AGAATAATGGTCAAGAGAGTCATATGATGTGGGGTAAGGACATGCACTCGAGTTTCTTCATAGTCTGAGGAAGGCCAGCTGAGTGCCCATGTAAATTACAACCCCCCTCTCGACACTAAACATCTCCTCAGGGTTTCAGAATTTTCGCCAGCAGAAAAGCAGGGATGGATGACTGAACTGCCGATGGAGTGTTTTGTGAGACTTCAGGCCGCTGAGACTGTGCAGTCCGTATCGCGAGAAAACGTCATGTGCTGTGTCAAAGGAAGAGGAGTGTAGATGCACTCAGGGGAAAGTCGCAGTGAATTGTGAGTGGCTTGAAGTGATGATGATACCGAAAGTGAGCAGCTTTGGGCATAATATTTTATGGACTCGTTGAGTGTGATTGAGACCTTACTTTACTGCCACATCATATATTTAGAGCAGGTGCAGATGATGCCAGGATATGGATTATTCCATGTGCCAGACGACCTGCTTGTACTTACGCTTTTAGTTTGGTTTCGAAAGATGTCATAATGACAGAACAGAACACGACATTACAATTATGAACATAAGACCTCTAATCAACAACACAACAACTTTCAAGATTAACTAATGTTAGGGAGATGAAGGTATGACGATGCGGTAGTAAGGTGGAGACAATGGAAAAGAGAAAACCATGTGATAAGGTTTGGAGGCTTAAGTAGTGAATGCCACAATTTGACTCTGCCGGACGTTCCCGAAGCGGCTGAGTGGCCCACTGTCGGATATTTCTGTCGGAGTTTTGACTGAATTTGATTCACTACTTAGTGAGTGTTACCAGCTTGTTTTGATCTTGTTTTTTTTGCTTGAGTTGTGTAGATTAGACTTGTACACTTCATGCAATTGTTGTTATTGTTGTCTGAGTTGTAGTACTTGCACTTGGGTTGACACATTAATGTAATCCTCAGGCTGTAATATAGGCTGTAACATGGTCTTTGTATTAGACTTGTACACTTCATGCAATTGTTGTTATTGTTGTCTGAGTTGTAGTACTTGCGCTTGGGTCGACGCATTAATGTAATCCTCAGGCTGTAATATAGGCTGTAACATGGTCTTCATAGGCTAGGCTCAGGGTTTCTATTGTGGAGCCTGAATCAGGTTCAGGCGCAGGTTAACCTACTCGGGTTAGAAGTTTAGACTTGATAAGTTGGACTTCTTCAAGCAAGTCCAGTGACTTCATTCCTCTGCACTTGGCGTGCTGATAACTCGTCCAGGATAACTTATTGTTCGATTCTCAGATATAGAACTTGGATTGGTTTTTCAAGCTAAGGTATTATTGTTTGACCATTTGACTTGATATTTTCTTAACCATGCCTTCACGACATATTGCATCCATTTGCTCAAGTTGTTCTCATGCAGTTCATTCCAGTTGGTGTGTGCGTATCTTATTGTTCGGCCGTGATTGGACAACTGTCTGCACGATAAATACGTCATATAATTTGTGTTGTGCCCCATCATCCTTCACGCCTGCAGCCATGGATACCTCACAGACTTTTACACATTCTATTTCACCTGCGCACATTATTTCGCATGCAAAATCCTGATCATTGTTGTTGGACCCAGTGATTTCAAAACGGAAGGCTGTGAATGATATTCTTGATACCTCTGTGCTACCTTTCGAAAAATGGTGCAAATTTCCTGCAAGGCATTTGAAATGCAAAGCAGGTAACGCAGCCTTACATGTCTCCCTCCCTCCCAGTTTCAGGATATGTGTTCTCTCCTGCTCATATGTGATTGCTGACATTAACGTGAGTTCAACCTTTTACCGGTCTTCCGCACATTCCTCATCTTTGTCTATAGGCTCACTCAACAAGCGAAGAGGACCGACGCAGCACCAACCGCATCCTTTCACATGTAAGTCAGCTTCAAAGCTCCATTTCTTTATTTATACCTATCTTTTGCAGGGGACGTCCTCTCCCATAGTGTCCTTGAGCAGACGAGCTATCATTCCCCTGATAATTTCATATTGGCCTTTTCCAAACGAACTTGTCTTGATGATCTTTGTATATCTGCCTGCGAGAGACCTGCGGTTAATGACACAAGTGTCCTGCCTCTCAAGGGACCTTGCCACGCCCCTATATTTTCATTCCGTAGGCTTATCCGTTGAGCAAAAATGGTTGCGGATCAACGCCCAAACATGCCTAGCCCTTCTGTTGTACTCTCGAACAGCTTCTTTCTGCGCCCCTCGGTTCCTGCGTTGCAACCTCATCGGTACTAGTGCCCGTGACCTGACAGCACTCCAAATCTTCTTGGAGTCCTTGATGGGCATTCAGAGTAGACCTATCTTGTCGGTCATATGCTTCGATGCACCCCCCAGAGTGGATCTAGCTTCTTTATTTCAGGTCATCAAGAACTTAGGTTGCTCCAGCTTTACCTATTCAAGCAGTGATTTGGAGCAGCTGCGTGTGATTGTACCTACTCCTGTTCCTGGATCAGACCCAGGCGCGGTATGTAGTCTTTGGCGATTATCATTGGACTTGCCCATGTTTTTCTCCCCATGTGTCGCCTCACTCACCCTCGCAACCTTGCAAGATTGTCCATTATCCAGCCTCTCACTCACCCACACTGGATTGAGCGGCATCAAGTGGGCTGCATTACTGCGGAGCGTCCACCTCCCACTGCTTCAAATGTTGACGGTTGATGTCCATTGCCCTCCTCATGTCCTCGCTAATTTTTTGATCCGCCATCAGAATATTGGGCAAGTGTGGATTCATCCAGGACAGACTTCTGTCCCACTGGAATTGCAGAATCATTCCTCACAGAAGTTACACAGTCACACCTTGCAGCAGACTTCCAACTCCCATTTACATGAACTTACCGTTCTTGGTGGTCCATCTTGGTATCTTGTTCCCCTACTAGCTGCAATTCATCCGGCCACTTGCATCCGAAATCTCAACCTTCGGTTCGAGGAAGATTCAACCTCCAACCACTTCTCCGCCGTTCTTGATGTTACTCAACATTTCACGAGCATTCATGCACTGCAGTTGAGTTTTTTCAATGCTTCCCATAACGTCAATCACTATGACGTTCCATGCAATGAACACCGCACCATACCTGCGAAACAGCTGACTGTTTCTGTGCATGGTCCTGATCTGGATGATCTTCTCATAAGTTCCCCTTAATGTATGGACATCATTGGCACTCACCTTCATGAAGATCCGCTGCCATCCTTGGCTCAACGCCTTCCATGAGCTGGAAAGCATTGGAATTCAGGCCAAACACACGAGTTCATCCGAGATGCTCGCAGTGCTATACTCTCATCTGGGCAACCCTTTTCAGTTAAAGATCAACACCACTGTCTTGTAATTCGTACTATCTCGATCCACTATCTACCAGCTGTGATTGCAGTTGACCCTGTAGCACCTGTCATCATATCACATGCATATTTCTATAGTAACATTTATGTGTGTTCCCGCTGATATATCCCTATGAAATCTTGAATTGCAAATATTCTGATTCTGAGAGCCATGGATCTGCGCTGCGACCGTGAAACTGCAAAAGTACTTGCTTTCCGCATAGATATCAGGAGTAAAATCAGTGAGTGTCCTCTTTGACCGCTTACTGCCTGGATCCTAATGACCCTACCCACATGACTTCACCAGGATTTCACCGGATCACACTATCATGAGTGGCAGGGCCATCGCCTCTCCAGTGGTTTTGATCAGTTAAACCCCATCCTTCCCCACAAAATCCTTGACAATGATACATACCAGTATGGGGGCTCCTCAGTGCGTTCCTGAGCGAGTGGCCCTGGAAGGGGCAAGCAGTCGGGGTAGCGATATCCTCCTGATGAGAGCTTTCGTCAGCTCGAAACCGCTGCTAACACATCTCCCCCAGCTAATCAAGAGTCCGACTATTTACAAGACAGCTGAGCAGAGGGACTAGCTATTAATGTTCTCGTCAAGCATAATTGCCCCATTGATTGTGGCTTGGACCACAGGAACAGGATCAGCTCAATTTTCACTTCAAGGACATTGCTGGTGGGTTAATAATAATTTTTTGTGAGCGTGTTGTCACTCATATTTGCTTTGTCAAGTTCTGTTACAGTCAACCATAACACCTACAGAAGCCCCAGCGCCCTCCACAGAGGCGCCAGCCCTTCCTACACCAGCCCCCGCTCTACTAGAACATAGACGCGGCGCTACGCCGTCCGCGCTCAGGAACAGTATGGTTTGGTCCGCCGTGACTCCGCCCCTGAGACCCTCTGGTCCCGCCCCTGGCGATGAGACCCCGCCCCTGGCCTAGACGGCCTTGTACCTGGCCCATGGAGGCAGCGTCCTCATGGCCACCCTAGATCAGGCGCATGTATACAGCATGACGCCTCATGAAGATCCGGAGCGCCCTTGGCACCTCATGAAGAGATCAGGTGCACTTCTATGCGCCTCCTGTTGATTGCGCAGTCGCACTTGGCGCTGCATGTATGATCAGAGGCTAAGCCTCATGTATACTATCTCTCCTCATGTCTAGTTATCTTAGATTACAGACTGAGCTAGAATACTTATAGCTAAACCCTATAAGAGTAGATACATTGTCGTAGATTAACTTCACTTTAATCTACTAGGTCCTATCCAGAACATCCTCAGCTAAGCTCCTAAACTTAGTTGTCTTTGACCGTACTTCTAAGTCGCTCCCATACGACTTAGCACGTATCCGCTAGCCCTATATCTCGACGAGCGCCGTCTTACCAAGATCATCGGAGGAACCCTTGACCTTGTGTCAAGCCGAGAACCACCCTCTTCTACAGTAGACTCAGTCGAGTCGTAGTTGAGAAGAACTATCCTAGTCACCTTGCGCTAGACCGACGTCCAGCGTAACAAGTTCGAGGATCCGTCGAGAACATTACTTCTACACAACCTTGTCTTTCTATATCACTTTATCATCTGTCTACACCACTTTATCATCTCTACACTACTTTGTCATCTCCCGTCTTATATAAAATGGCTGAAGGTGCAACGTATGCGGTCCATGCATCTTTATCTACTGTATACCTTGCGGTCCAAATTCAATATTGTTAGTTACAGAGAATACCGATGCCAGAGGAGGAATCAGACTGCACTATGGACATTGAGGCCCATGTCATGGTTCATGAAACTTAATCCTATTCTACTGTTTGTGGTTCAATTATTGTTGGCTTAGGAAATACTGAAGATGATTGAGGAATCAGATTGGTGCATGGATATCGAGGCGGACGCTGTGGTTCATACATCTTAATTCACTCTACTTGCCATTCAATATTGTTCGCTACAGGGAGAGCTGATGCCGGAGGAACAAGACCGCTTTATGAATGTTGATGCAGATGACATGGTTTGTCAATCTTAATTCATTCTACTCGCCATTTACATTGTTTTATTATCTCCAGGAAATCATGCTTATCGAAGAGGTGGTTCAAGACGTCGTCAACCCAGAGGTCTTCGATGAAGCCAATCAGATGCAGGTGGATAAACTGTACTAAAAACTGTGAGTACTTCCAACCTGTATGAACTACTCAAGTATAATGGCATGACTGTTACAAGTAACATCGGTCACGTGGCCCCCCTATCATTTTCCCCTCATCCTCACTCTCATCACCTACTGGCTCGCCCTTCTCTACCGACTTTCCATTGACCGGATACTCAGGACCATTCCCGTCCCTCACCTCGTTCGCCCCTATGCACGTGTGTATGCACGTTTCTTCTTTGATTCGACCACCAAGGTGCTCCCGCACCTCTGACTTAGTCATGACTCATGCCACCAATGTGGCTTTCCTTTTCTGTTCTCTTTGACTGCGGATTCCCGCACATTGTATTCTTACCGTTGGATCGTTCCAACGTTTCTCGGTCTCATTCCACATTCGACCACCCCTCACTAATCTGGCTCTGTTGCCAATGCACCTATACCATTCTCGTCTTCCCCTTACCCTTACCTATTGTGCAGTAGCCTTGCCCTTAACCCTCTCCACTTAGTATAAGTAGTCGGTCACTCTGTGCTAGATTCCCTAACTTGAATCTACTCAATCTTCCCTGGAACCTACTCCTTTCTGAATGCCCTCCTAAGGCATTCAGTCTCTAGTATCTTTCTTAGTCGCTCACCGCGACTGAGTCTATCCTCGATCGACCTCATCGTCTAGACAAGACAGTCTTGACCTTGAGTGACTTCTTAGACATCTGTCTACTAAGTCACGTGACACGCGCGCACTGTGATCACTGCCGACTCATCGTCGCCAGTATCACTTGCTATACCGGATCCTTCCGGTTACGTCATGAACATTAGCGGACGACGCCCCTCTTAGGGCTCCGCCTAACAGATCTATTTGAGTGCGTAACAATGACAGCTCGGCGATTTTGCGCTCTATTCCATCGAAGATACCTGGCCTGATTTGTTTACTGTATGCTTTACAAATTACCCCGCTCCAATGCATAGTTTCCGCTCATGCCTAACCCCACTCATCCTCATACTACCAATATTCGAACTAAACCAGCCTTGATATAGATTCAGAATTCTCATTGGCATTGTGTTACGCACTCAAATAGATCTGTTAGGCGGAGCCCTAAGAGGGGCGTCGTCCGCTAACGTTCGTGACGTAACCGGAAGGGTCCAGTATAGCAAGTGATACTGGCGACGGTCGTGTCGGCAGCGATCACAGTACGCGCGTGTCACGTGACTTCGTAGACGGATGTCTTGAGAAGTCACTCAAAGTAAGGACAGTCTTGTCCGAACGATGAGGTCGATCGAGGTAGACTTAGCCGCGAGGAGCGACTAAGAAAAGATACTAGAGACTGAAGCTGAGGGGGCTTCAGAGGGAAGTATGTTCCAGGGAAGATTGAGTAGATTCAAGTTAGAGAATCTAGTACAGGGTGACCGACTACTTATACTAAGTGGAGAGGGTTAAGGGCAAGGCTACCGCACAGTAGGTAAGGGTAAAGGGGATGCGAATATGGTATAGGTGCGTTGGCAACATAGCCGGATTAGTGATGGATGGTCGAATGTGGAATGAGACCGAGAAACGTTGGAATGGACCAACGGTAAGAATACAACGTGCGGGAATCCGCAGTCAGGGGAAACAGAAAGAGGAAAGCCACATTGGTGGCACGAGTCAGACCGAGTCAGAGGTGCGGGACCACATTGGTGGTCGAATCAGAAGAGGAACGTGCAGTGCACGTGCATAGTGGCGGATGATGCGAGGGACGGGAACGGTCCCGAGGATCCGGTCAACGGAAAGTCGGTAGAGGAGGAGGAGCCGGTAGGTGGTGAGGGCGAGGATGAGAGGAAAATGATAGGGGGGCCACGTGACCGATGTTACTTGTAACACATTGTCAGTTCCTAGGACACAAAGTAAATGCAGCAGACCACATTTAATTATCCTTTGATCTTACCCAGGAGATCCTTACTCGAAGCAGCTGAGTGGTTGGTTGGATTCAAATATTCATGTGTTTACCAATCATCATCATTATAAACAGAACACAGTTCATACAAGAATACACTATATAATACGAAGAAAACGAAACTATCCTACAAATGCTGGCAACTAGTCTTTCTGAGTGGTGAGTGGTGTAGTGGCCGCCAGATATTTCTATTGGAGCTTCAACTGAGTCTGGTTCACTACTTAGGCAGCGAAACGATGTGTATTTTCTTCTATCACAATCCACCCCTCAGATATTTTTGACCCTCCTCGTCGGTTTTGTTGCCCATCAACACCAGTTTCTGCAAGGCAAAGTGTTATGCTAACCGTCAGTTGGTGTAAGGTGACTTGGATAGTTCTTCTCAGCGACGACTCGACTGAGTCTACTGAAGCTGAGGGTGGTTCTCGGCTTGACAGAATGTCAAGGGTTCCTCCGGCGATCTCGGTAAGACGGCGCTCGTTGAGATGCAGGGCTAGCAGATACAGCTAAGAAGCGGGGAGCAACTTAGAAGTGCATTCTCAGACAACTAAGTTGGAAGACTTAGTTGAGGAAGTTCTGGGTTGGACCAAGTAGATTAAAGTAAGGTATAAGATACAATAATCTGTCTACTTATAGGGTCTAACTATAAGTGTTCTAACTCAGTCTGTAATCAATAGTATATCTAGGATCTATGATAACAAGACATAAGGTGAGATAAAGTACATGAGGCTTAGCCTCTGATCAAGCATGCAGCGCCAAGTGCGACTGCACATCTACAGAAGGCGCTAGGAAGCGCTCCAGGTCTTCATACATGAGGCGCCAAGGGCGCTCCGGATCTTCATGAAGCGACATGTGATATGCATGCACTGATCTAGGGTGACCATGAGGCGTACAGCCTTCATGGATCAGGTACAAGGCCGTCTAGGCCAGGGGCAGGGTCACAGCGCCAGGGGCGGGACCAGGGGGTCTGGGAGGCGGTGTCACAGCGGACCAAACCGCTGTCTTTCTAAGTGCAGGTGGTGTACCGCCGCGTCTAGGCTCTAGCAGAGCGGGGGCTACCATAGGGAGAGCTGGGGCTCCTGTGGAGAGAGCTGGGGCTCCTCTAGGCGTTACGGATGACTGTAACACAAAGAGTGTAAAGCAGGAGGTATTAGAGTCGGAAAAGGATTGGTTTGACGGATGAATGAAGGAGAATCTACTTGATGAATTGAGTGAACCTCTCAGTGGGGTACTCAGAGGCCCACTCGCACATATACTCGGCATATCTACAAATTGTAAACAAATTTGTTACATTGCCAGATGATAATAATCTTTTTAATTTGTTTTCGGACTTATCAGTCGGACAGATTTTAAGTCTGATATGTGATTTGATGTTCCATATGGCCCTGGCAATGTCACGTGAAATATGCAAGGACAATTGTAACCTTGGAGGCATCTTAATATTTGTAACTAAATTTTGGAAATGAAGTTAATATGCAACGTAGGCAAATTACGAAACAAATTCTCCCTGTTTTTGCCCACTTGATCTGAATTTGATCAATAGAATTTGATACTTACGTATATTTGTGATTTTATTCAGAGACTGTCCATTATCCGCACGATAGACAAATAGGCTGAAATATGCACGATTTTTCTCAGGATATGCATCACATCTGTTTGCAGAACTTTTCCGGCTGTGTCTCAGGTGTAAGCAACGAGCTTACAGCAATATGGATACAATTTATCAACTTCCAGTTTGTCAAAGCGAACTTCCCACTGCTGTTGTCTTCAGTACTTGAAACCATTTCTATAACGACATTTTTCTTGAACATTCGCTCTTCTTGACACGCTTTCCTCTCTTCATGATTATCGCTTAGTGTATCTTCTATATATGATTTTTAGACTATCTTTATAGCACGCTAGACATAGCTATGGTATCTCATCATATGGCATGCATATATTCCTTCTATGTAGTTGTTAAGTACGTATTGTGTTGTGTGATCACATGGTCGTTACAGACACAGATATCAAAAGGACTGAACCAGTGAGTCGTTGTTAGTGATAATACAGAAGTACTAGCACAGCAGTTTATAACTACGGTCAACGGCGGCGATAACGATAACAAATGAATGAAAGAACTCGAAAGTATGTAACAACATTCCCGGACGTGAAGGTATTCCAAACCCAAATAGTATTCTAGGAGGCTCCCACAACACGCGGTGCAGTAGCCGTTTCTGAAAGATCTAAGACACCTGTTGACTTTACCCCAACTCAAACTATATATGCTTCGAACTTGGTCAACACAAGGGAGCCAGGTGGAAATGATGCAAGCAAGACTTTCAGCATCTGCTATTTGAAGCTTGGATTTCTCCAAATCCAATGATCGTAGGGAGGTATGTTGTATTGGCTCGGTATCAGGATCGATGTCGATAGTTGCAATCTTGATTGGAACTTGTAGTGTATGCAATTGTGGACATGGACCGAGCGCTGTGAATAAACCACGGAGGGTGACTTCGGAAGGAGGATCAAATTCTTCGATTTCTAGAGTGCGGATGTGCGGCCAACTAGACATAGCTTGCAAGAGCATGTCATTGTCCAGGTAGATGTGGAATGTCTCAGATATGAGCTTCAGGGTTTGGAGCTGTGTAAAGCAAAGGAGATGCGGAATTGGTGTCAAAAACTCGTCGTATTCGGGTCCTATGATATCGTTATCATAGGAAATAATGGTGATTTCTTCTAGAGTCCGATACGCATTGCAGCTGGACAGAGCATGAAAGAGTTGCTCAGCCTCTTCTGAAGACAGAAAGTGGGCTTCAAACTCGAACTCTTTCAGTGAGGGAAATTGCGAATGTTGCATGACTGTGATGAAGTCTGCAGCATCGAACAGCTGTCGAAAGGAAAGGCTTGTGATGTTAAGAAATGATAGATTTACGATATCTTGTGTTGGCAGCGAAGGAGGGTCAATACATCCTTGATCAATTTTCAATTTGAGAAGGGTAGGGAGGCAGGAGAGGTGCTTCCATGCTGCCCAGTCGAGCATTGGACCAGAAAGAGTTACAAGTCCGCATGCACCAATGAATCCTATTGGATAGGAAGGACAGTTCATTTGCTGTGCTGCCATCATCATCACTTAGAGGAGTGTAGATGCATAAATGCTCCAGAGCAATGCAACATGTCACAAAAGATTGCAGACCCTCGTCGACACTCAATAGATGACGTCGGTGCAGCATGCGAGGCAGAAAGAGGTTCAAATATGTGGTGGAAAAACTTAATGACTTCAGCCTCGGAAATATGCATGCCTCGGCGGGGATGGCAGAGAGAAGATGCGGATATTCAGATTTTATGTTCAATATGCGTATGCGGGAGGAGTGACGCAGAAATTGATGGGCCTCATGGGCAAATAATGGCTTAACACCTTTCGCCCAGGGCTTGTACGAGTGGTCCCACTATTATGTAGACGCTCGGTCAGCCGAAAAGCAACAAACAAAGTGTAATGAAGTCATGCACTGACCCTTGTACCCCTACGGTATATCAGTGGATGTAACCTTGTTACACAGCCTAGCAGTGGTTCTAACCCATGGATTTCAGTCCACAGCAAATCCATCACAGGCTCGTGGAAGATTTTGCATGTCCTTGCAAGCGCTGCAAGCAATTTCTGGGTCGATGTTGTTTGAGTAGATGGTATTATATTCACATAGGCGAATATCTCCAGGAGGACTTCGGGAACAAGTAAAGCTTGATGCATCACTGAGGTACAATAGAGTCAGGACTCAAATAAGTTTCATGTCAATCTAAAAACACTGCCCACATGGGACCAATGGGCGTTGTTGCCTGCTATTTGCAGAATTCCAGTCAAGATATTGATGTGGGCTATATACACGTAGTATGGATACAATTTATTGCCAAAAATGTGGATACTTCATGAATCATTGTTCAGTGCATCACTCGAACATTTCGTCAACTTCCATTTCGCTGCATGACTTCTCGCAGAGCAGAGGTACAAATTTCTCAATATAAGTCAGGTTTTGGGTGAACGAGAGCTGTACACATCTTGTAAGCAACGGTGCAGATTGATTAACGCTAAGACCAATTGTGAAAAGACCCAGAGTTCTGATCAAGTTTCAAATCAAGCGTATATATCGCACGCGTCCGGTCGAAGCGCACACCACTGTGGCTGGAGTGGGATGGCATTGATGCCGCGCTGTACCATTCTGTACCTGACGTCCTGTATCGCTCATCTGTCATCGAGGTACTTCCACATCCAGAAACACTACTTACATGCAAACGAGGAAGTGCCTCGGTGACGTTGAGTGCAGCGCCAGTGGGCTGCTTCCCACTCCAGAAAATTTCTGCTGATGATGCAGCGCGTGGCCACACGATCGAGTCGACATTTTGGGGACCAGACTGTTCACTCCATAGAATTTGCTCGCCTGTAGATTGTTCAGAAAGGTTGGTTTAAGTTCGAGACTAGATTGCGTTTACCTCCGAGAACAAGTTCGTACTGCGCCTCGGTCAAGTTTGCCAACGGATCAAAGGTATATGCCTAGCGAAACATTGTGAAATGCGTGGCCATCTTCGACATTCATACCTACCTCGGACCAGGTCTTGAAGGGGTCGCACCAGCTATTTCTGTTCTCCCAAGGGATGTCAGTTCAGATTGAGTACATTCAACAAGATGAGGACTAACCCAGTTGGGTCGTCTCCCAGCCATTCACCAGCACCACAATCCTGGGATAATAAGGACATTGTATTCTGTAGAAAAACTCGTCAACTAACCAGGTAGAAGTAATTTGATGGTGCTTGGATGATCCTGAAACCCCTTCCTGCCACTGCTGCAGCATCTGCAGAAGAAATCCAAATCCTTTCGATACAGTTGAATCAGCGAAGTCAGATCATGATATCATTATACTTACATCACAATAGTTTCGTTTGAGAGTGTAATATTCCAATCGAGGACCATTTCTGAATGAACGCCGTCTCCATTTAATACTATCATTCAAAGGAAGAAACACAGCGCATACCCTCCCATACGACGGGCGTCTTTCCCTGGGCAATCAATGCACCGTGAGTGGTCTGTGTGAACGCGTCAAGAGCACCGTTTAGCGTCATGCCGGTTCTGTTGAGCTGCTGCTCCGTTAGGTAGTCATTGGCGTAACAGTTCGTGTTAAGTTCATCGCCGCCGGTGCTGAAATAGTGCGAAGGGAGGACCTTTGCGACGCTTGTAAGTAAGGAAGCAGTGAAGTTCATGACCTCTGGGAGTGCAAAACGAAGCTGGCCGGCAGGGGGCTCGTTGGCAAAGTCTGCCACGGGCTAGCATCAGAGCACGCAACATATTCGGGGTAAGTGGCTGCAATGATAGCGGTGTGGCCGGGTGTATCGATTTCCTGTTAGAGTGCTCAGAGTTATGTACAAATTTGACTGATGAATACTAACCATCATAACATCGATGCCTCTCTGCGAGAACACCATCAGCAAACAAAAGACCATGATGAAGGGAAACACGTACTGCAGCAGCATACTCCACGATGTATTGGACATCGCTCGCTGTGTAAACTTCTTGAGGAGAGTATGCACCGTTGATGGCAAGTTCTGGGTACTGTGCGACTTCGAGTGGAAAGCTCTGACTATCCGTGATATGCCAGTGGAAAGTGTTGATCTGTATAGCTTGTGAGGGATGACAAGAAAAGACATCAGGAAAACACTCGCCTTCACCCAGCTCATCGCAGTCCAACGTTCGCAGAATGTCGCTGACCGGATAGTAATTTCTCGATGTATCCAGTCCTAATCCCCGGAAAGGCTATATATATGGGTTCATGCATCAGACGTCAAAGTGTAAGGGATAGCTGCTCACATATGCAGGAGTATCTTTGATAGAAATCGGAGCGAGTAAAGTATAAGTTACTCCTCTATAGTAGTAGAAAAGCTGATTAAAAGTGGTGAGTCCTCTATACAGACCCAACGTCGAGTTCGCTATCAAAGTAGCAGCCGAGCCATCTGCTGGAATGATCAGTGCGTACTCCTCGCTACGGGTTCCCAGGGGCTTGATAGCTTCTGAAGAAATGGGCTCTACAGCAGCTCCACTCGCGAGAGACAGCGTCAACTTTGACAGTGTCCTCGCATTAGCAAGTGCGGTAGTATCATTTGCGCCGCGGCCTACAACGAGACGTCCGAGTTTGTCGTTTTCGAGATAGTACTGTGATTGTGTAACCGCATCATGTAAATCCGACGGCGCGCCTTCAATCTGCACATCAAAGTAGAATGTGGGGGAAATTTTGAGGGTAGTCATGCCGGTCTCGAGGGTAGTTGGGATGGGCCAGAGAGCCTGGACACCAGAAGGAAGGATGCATCCTGTGACAAGTGCCAGGATGATAAGGTAGCGAGAAAAGGCCATGAATCAATATGTGGGGGTTAAAGATGCGACCAGTTCAACTGCAGCTGTTTATAAAAGTTACAGCTGAATACTGAGCGCTAGTGGTGAGGCCTAGGTCTGAGGGTTGGCATGTGCGCTTTCAACATGCGTACGTAACACTAAAGTGACCCAGAATTCCAGTGCAACTATGAACTTTGCATGTGTCCGGCGTTGACAGGTCCAGCGTGGATGGCTTTCGGAAGTTTGAATCATCCATATGTTGTCCATATGCATGTCCGAGGTGGAATCCCGCGGTTCAACGGCGCGTAAACGCGTCTGTCACGATCACGTGACAAAATTCTCGAAATGGAACTACTCACGTCAAACTGTACCGTCAATTCTGTCCGGCCCAAGTCCGGCCAAGACTATTCCTGCATCATGCAAAAATGGCACACGACGCGCATGGGCTCCTCCTTCAAACAGATCTCATTCGCTTATCAGCAGACTTCAAACCAGTTTTTCTCTGTCATCTGATGATTGCCAGACCAGCTCTGTGCAACTGGTCGTATGGCGTGATAAGTTTCGAAACGCAAAACTAGAGCGGAACCGCGGTCATCTGGTATTGATGCTATCTCAGTAAGTGATAAACCTGGTGGCAGTTTTACTCATTCTCATAACCCTGGCAGGCATATGATAGAAGCCGTAGAGTGAGTCACAGGTGTTCCAAATATAACGACTTGCATCCCTATTGCGGATATGAAGCCTGCTAACAAGTACTTACTACGGCATAGACCAGCCTGTCGCTTGTGGTTGACACCACCATCCTGCCATATAACACTCGTATCAAGGGGCCTTGATCACGGTCGGTCGCTTTCGTCGTGTCCCTGAAAGCTGTCTAACATTGTGCGCAGAACTTGACTGTCCACTCAATCAATGCTTATAACTCGTTCGTCAATCCACGGACATTCATCGCTAAGCCACGCTCACTCGAACTCTTCAGCTCCGTGAGCGTCTCAAGATTCAACAGCCTGGGGAAACCCACCCTTACACTCCATTCTTATAAGCCGGGATGTTGAAACCTACCTCTACGATACCATTTGTATGTACTACGCAGAACCGCCTTTTCTCAGGAAACCATGCTGATGATTTTCTTGTATTATAACATGTCCCGAGTTGATAGGTCAACAACTCCTATATGTGATTCTGCGACGCCACCTCGAGAAATTTTCATGCTCTGTCGAGATGGACACCAAACTGCGTTCGTTCGAGCAGTCCAATAAAGGTGTCGCAGTTGTTCTAGCAAAGAACGACATATTGGAGATCTTATACTAAGTGGGTGATCCATGGTTACGGTGCTAAAGGTGAGATGCGATCAGTTTCAAATGCAGTTGGATGAGTCCAAATCGTGGTTAACTTTGGCTTACATTCTTGAGCGAGACTAGAGACGATATCCTAATGATCCTGAGAGATATTCTTTCACATAGAATTGGTTTTGATAGAGCGGTGCGTCTGATTTCTACTTACTTCGAAGGAGCACTCTTGAAAATATTGGCTCCGATTTGGAAGCTTTATAGCACGAGAGTATGTCAGTTTCTGCTGTCTTCGTTATCGCTTGGTGTATCTTCTATATGAGTTTTGGACTACCTTTATAGCACGCTAGACGTAGCTATGGTATCTCAGCATATGGCATGGATGTATCGTTGTTGGATTTCATCAAGCACGTATTGTGTTGTGTGATCACATGGCTGTTACAGACGCGGATATCAAAAGGTATACAGAAGGAGGGAGAGGACCGTCGAGCACAGTGAACGGTGGAGCTCAGGTGGCGCACGTAATCATGTTGGAATTCTGTTGGCGATGATGCAGAAGTATATACTAGTACAGCAGTTTATAACTACAGTCGACAGCGACGACAACGATAGCGAAAGAACAAAAGAACTCGAAGGTATGTAACAACATTCCCGAACGTGAAGATATTCCAAACTCAATCATTCTAGGAAGCTCCCACTACATATGGCGCAGTAGCCGTTCTCAAAGATCTAAGATACTTGTTGACTTCAACCCAACTCGAACCATGTATGTTTTGAACTTGTTTGACACGAGGGAGCCAGGCGGAAATAATGCGAGCAATAGTTTCAGCATCTGCTGTTTGAAATTCGGATGACTCCCAATCCAATGATCGTAGGGAGGGATGTTGTATTGGCTCGACATCAGGATCGATGTCGATAGTTGCAAGATTGATTGGAACTCGTAGTCTAAGCAATCGTGGACATGGAACAAGCGCTGTGAATAATCCACGGAGGGTGACTTCGGAAGAAGAGTCAGAGTCTTCTATTTCCAGAGTGCGGATGTGCGGCCAACTAGACATAGCTTGCAAGAGCATGTCATTGTCCAGGTAGATGCGGTAATTATAAAATGTGAGCTTCAGGGTTCGGAGCTGCGTGAAGCAAAGGAAATGCGGAATTGGTGTCAAATGCTCGCTCTCTAGGGGTACGAGGAATCCCTCAGCAAGAGAACAAATATATATTTCTTCTAGAGTCAGACACGCTTTGCAGCGGCACAGAACATGAAAGAGTTGCTCGGCCTCTTCTGAAGAGATATATTTGGCTTCAAACTCGAACCTTTTCAGCTAGGGAAATTGCGAGTGTTGCATGATTGTGACGATGTCTTTAGGATCGTAGAGCTCTTGAAAGGAAAGGCTTGTGATGTTAAGGAACGATAGATTCACAATATCTCGTTTTGACAGCGAAGGAGGGTCATTACACCCTTGATTAATTCTCAATTTGAGAAGAGTAGGGAGGGAGGAGAGGTGCTTCCATGTTGCCCAGTCGAGCATTGGACAAGAAAGATGTACAAGCTGCGTGCACCAATGAATCCTATCAGATAGCAGGGACAGCTCATCTGCTGTGCTGTCGTCATCGCATATTTCAGGAGTGTAGATGCGTAGATACTCCAGAGCAATGCAACGTGTCACAAAAGATTGAAGACCCTTGTCGACGCTCAATAGATGACATCGGTGCAGCATGTGAGGCAGAAAGTGGTTCAAACATATAGTGGAAAGACTTAATGACTTCAGCTTCGGAAATATGCATTCCTCAGGGGGGATGACAGAGAGAAGATGCGGATCTTCGGATTGTATGTCCAATGAGCGTATACGTGAGGAGTGACGCAGAAATTGATGGACCTCATGGGCAGATAATGGCTCGACGCCTTCAAGTTTGCCCCACTGTTATGTAGACGCTCGGTGAGCCGAAAAGAAACAAACAAAGCGTAATGAAGTCATGCACTGACCTTTGTACGACTATGATCATATATCAGTGGATGTAGCCTCGCTACACAGCCTAGCAGCGGTTCTAACCCATGGATTTCAATCCACAACAAATCCATCGCAGGCTCATAGAAGATTTTGCATGTCCTTGCAAGCCCTGCAAACAATTTCTGGGTCGATGTTTGAGTAGATGGTATTGTGTTCACATAGGCGAATATCTCTAGGATGACTTCGGGAACAAGTAAAGCTTGATGCATCACTGGGGTACGGTAGAGTCAGGACTCAAAACAAGGTTTTGTGTAAACCTAAAAACATTGCCTGCGTGGGACCAATCTTAATGAGTGTTGTTACCTGCTATTCTCAGAATTCCAGTCAGTGGTATATACAGTAACACGTAGTATCATTATGAATACAATTTATATAACGCGTGACTCTCACAAATGCGGTCACCGTGACCAAGAGTCCGAGTCAATCAAACAACAGTGTTGGCTGGGTGCATACCCCATCTTGGGCCGCAATGCACCTGATCAGAGGCTTACCTTGACAACAACAACCGTAAGCGTTAGTTCGTGTTCAAAAGGGGTAGCTTGATGTTTTGATTTGCGGATCTCGACCCTGATGCAGATGAGGCTGCATTGCAACGTAAAACCCCCTAAGTACTATATGGCTGTCTTATTCAGTGCCGCACAGCACACGGCTTCATTGAAGAATACTAACGGCCAATCCATCATTGCGTCTAGTCGAAACCTTTTATTGAAAGCGGCCTGGTTTAGACCTGTAGTTAGCCTGTAGTTTCGAAGACTCACATACATACGCAAGCATCAGAGGATCTGTAGCTACTTTCAATGATGTTCAAAGGCTTGAATTTTTCGGAGGAGTTGTGACTGATCTGAACTTTCTGAAGGACAATCTCCATGGGATACAAAGGACATGTAGGTCATCTAAGACTGATGACTCGGAGTTACTGAACAATCGTCAGTAGCATTTAGAAATGGAGAAAGTATTTCATGTTAAGGATCGTTGGATCCAGTTCACAATGGCATGACTTGCGCGCAAATCGGCTTGACTGGGCTCGTACTACATATGTACTCAAGCAGAAGACGAAGCTGCAAATATGATTCGACTTGAAATAACATACCAAAAAATAAGATAACTGGGGCACACCGTATCCAAGTCAGGGTCATTTCTACAAACAACAGAATGAGAGAGGCTCGCAGATCAACAATTGTGAGTATGTACCGGACGACAGGAATACGGCGCGGAACTACACATCTATATGAATGAAAACCGTCCTCTGTTTGAGCGGCACTTTCGTCTTCACATGCAGCGTGAGCCCAGGCTACCTTCGTACAGTCCATGGCACTACCATTCTTCGAATCCTTGAACACGTTCTCGTAAAAAGCTTTGATGATGAGTTTTGCGACTGCATCATCGACTGCCCAGAAAGTGCCTGAACCACCAGAATGGTAGACCTGCTGCGAGATCAATGCCCTCGTCAGGGGTCCGCTTGTTGCCGTGACACCTGAGCACTTCGTCTACGCAGCCATGAAACTGTGTGAACGAACAACTGCCCAATTTCCTCAACTCCCAACTGACACTCACTGATACTGGTCATTACGCACTGGGCTCGCCTGAAAGGTGCTTCCCGTGAGTGATACCCTAAGTTCTTCTGCCGGTTAAAGCTGACGACTCGCTTACCAGCGACTTCAGATACCCACGAAGATTTGTTGCATCTTATCGAATTTAGCAGGACCTGAATTCGTCGTCCAAAGCTGTTTTGTGGGCGAGGATTGGATATTGAATTTTGTAAGTAGAGTATCTCGCGAGTAATGGCCTGTGTGGTTCTGATGAGCATTAAATTGAAAGGAGATAGGCCCCTGGACTCACCAACAATCATTGCCATTGTCAGATAACCTGGTCTGATTCCAAGATCCGTGCAGACTTGTCTCGCATACGAGATCTACCTTATTCGATCCCCCAAGCGCTGACCATGCCGTCATCCACCAGTAAAACAGCAGTGGTCACGCCATGCCACACGATGCAGGGTCATGCAAGACAGGTCAACAGTGCTGTGCACTTGCCTGATGGACGACACATCATCACATGTTCGTCGGACGGCTCACTCCGACTATGGGACCTAGAGAGCGGCACACAGATAGGCGAGGACTGGCGAGACGAGGATAACGTAGTATTTCGATCCCTGGCATTGTCTCCAAACGGCAAGATGATTGCAAGCGGGGACTATGACGGGAAAGTGAGGTTGTGGGATGTCGAGACGAGGAAGGTCATTGCCAGATGGACAGGACATGCCCATACTGTGCAATCATTGTGCTGGAGTGCAGATGATAAACAAGTGGCAAGTGGATCCTGGGATGGGACGGCAAGAATCTGGGAGGTCAAGAAGGGCAAAACTATTCTGAAAATTGAAACCAGTCACGCCCGGGTGAATGCGGTGATGTACTCGCCTGACTCATCAAAACTTGCCACGGGCCGGGGGGATATGAGGAGAACGCTGTAAAAATCTGGGACTACGAAAACGGGAAAGCGTCTCAAAACACTCAAACACTCAAACACAGTTCGCAGCTTGGCATGGACGTCCTTGGATGGAAATGGCAAACTTATCTCCGATTCATATGATCTGATTAGGATATACGACACCGCCACTTGGGAACAAATCGCTATCCTTGAAGGTCACACAAAGCATGTCACCGCCCTCTCCTTGTCTCAGAACAACCGCCTCCTCGCAAGTGCATCTTATGACAAAACAGCGCGTCTATGGAATCTTGACACCAACCTCCCAGTTGGACTACCCCTCCAGCATGAGAACGTTTTGTGGTCCGTAGCTCTTTCCCCTGATGCAAAGGTGCTAGTTACTGCCGAGGACACAACCGCGTACACTTGGGACGTTTATACCATCCTCAAAGAAGCTGGCCTTGAGGACCTACTTTCCATTGATTCCAATATTGTCACGGTAAGTGTCAACACATCCATATCACCCGCTCTCTCTGACAATGTCTGTTGTTAGGCACCAGAGGAGAGACGGGAACAGGAACAGACGGCACCTCAAGATGATGATTCAGGGATACAGCACACACCCCGCTCTTCGCTCAGTGACAGGTCATTTTTGGAAGTACGTGCCGAGTTCGCAATCTTTCTCATTCATCATAACAGTAATATTCTAGCAGTGATGCTACGCGATGTCCTGGCCAATCTGACGATATAGATGAACTCCCGCCAATGTTTTTTCACGGCATGGAAGCCCCTCAGTCCTCCCCAATGGATGGTGCACACCCACATTCCTCTGCAAATGCATTCCTCGCTCGCCTTCTCTCGCTCCTCCGCCGCTTTCGACCCGACAATGATGGAATGACTGAACTTCCGCAACCTTCACGGCCTTTGGCGGTCCATCTACGCACACTCCTCGCTCGCCTGTCCTCACTCATTCACCGCTTTGCACCCGAAAGTGATGCACCAAATGAACTTCAGCAACCCTCCACGTCTTCCTGGTTAGATCCACATGTGCTCCTGGCTCGCCTTTCCTCACTATTTCCCCGATCTCGACTCAATACTGACGAAGAAGCCGAACATCATCCAACATTGCCTACGAGATCACATGCAGATGGGAGGCTCATCGGCCGGCTGTCCTCATTCTTCTGCTCTCAACCCCACACCAACGAAGAAGCCGAACATCATCCCACAGTGGCTTCAAGTTCACGTCCAGATGCGAGGCTCATTATCCGGCTGTCTTCACTCTTCCGCTCTCAACCCCACACCAACGAAAGAATAGAACTTTCGCAACGCCCAAGTCATCCTCGCGTTGTCAATGTGGCTGCAGTGCGGGACAAGCAGGTATGGCTCTTCTTGGTGCATTTACAATCGCTGTGGTTTAGTGATCTCTGTTCAGGCTTTGTTTGTTGCTCGGGGGCCAAATTTTAAGAGAGCAAAACGAGCATATGAGCAACGAACCGAATCGCACGCCCAAGCTCAGGCGTCGTCATCGGGCACTCAGCCTACCCATGCTTCAACATTGGCGACACCTCCTATTCCAGGTACTAAACCTACCACAACAGGTGCGGCAACCCCACAGTCACCACCCATCCCATGGTGGAGTCAGCTCGTGTTATTTCTCTGCTGTGCATATCCACCACATGCCAATAGTCATTGACACAATTAGCATTGCAGCATTTGGACAACTACTTCACCTTTGCTTCTAGTGATTCCGCACTTATGTCTCTTTCCTTATGTCTTTCAATACACCATCAATCTTGTTTCCTCGTTATGAGCCTCGTGCAATGCACCGAACAGGATCATACTAATTTTACGAGGCAAGGACGCTGTACTTCTCAACAATTCTTGATGGGTATCATATATCCTGCCCAAAAGAGCGTAACAGCTCTTCAAAGGGGTCGCTGTTGGCTAGGCTGCAGTGTGGTAGCTTGAAGTCCCAGTGCTGCACGACCACAGACTGGCTTATTGGTAGTGGTAAGTATGGTGATCATGATGAAAACTCGTTTATTGTCTACTTTCGTTCTCTCGCGCGCACAGACATTGATTTACGGAAATACACACTGTACAATATGATATATGATACACCGACGAAATGGCAGTCTCGACTCTCCATAACCTAAACGAAATTAACAGTCGTTCACATCCTCGACATTGAGAGCAGGTCTTTCTTTCTCGTTTCTCGGAGGGACCTTCTTTGCGACAATGCCCTTGTAGGCCATTTGAAAGTCGAATTGCATGTCTTTCATGCTTCCGGGAACCCCCTTCATAAATTCATCGACCTCTAGAACTCCAGATCTGAGTGCATCAATGTTACGGGCACGATGAGCAGATGAGGAAGGTTCTAGCTGCTTGCGCAGTTCCAATCCCTTCCTGAGGAGCGTTCTGTAAACAGGATAGTATTAGTTATTGTATGTCGCTGAGTAAGGGAGGACGGATGTTATCCCGCTTCTCTGTTTGCCCAACTCCTCGAGCTTTTCATGAGACTCCTTGTTGAAAAGGACTTTCGTCTTCGCTTTGGCAGTGTGAGTCAGAGCAATGCCTCATTCCAAACACACCAGGAGGTGAGGCAATGGTCCAAGGAAGAGGAAGTTGTAATAACCCGAACACCATTCAGGGGACTGCGTCTCCTTCAGGCATGTCATGAACATCGCATCGATTTCGGCATTGACTGCACGACTCGAGCGGCGTCTGACGTAACGGCGGTATGCGTTCTGAATGTTGCGAGCCGCCTCTTCTTCCTTCGCCGATGGTCCGTTGGTGCGTAGCGACTCGTCAAGATCAGGTGCAAACAACGCCATCGCCTCATCCAAAGTCCCCGATGCATCACGGGTCTCAGTATCAGCATTTGCCGTGAGATCTGCCTCCTCCCTTTCTTCCTCCCTTTCTTCCTCCCTTTCCTCCTCTCCTTCGAACTCTTGAGGTTGCGGTTCCGCTATCTCTTTCTTATCATGCTGCACAACCTCTGGTCGGTCCTTCGAATGCCCTAAGTGAGGTACGGAGGCAGGGGCCTCCACTCTCAGGGCAGACTGTGTGACCACTGTGTACGATGAAAGAAGCTGGGGGATCTCGATGGTCTTCTCGTATACGAGCCGTCGGACTATATAGACTCAGGTATGCTGGCTCATCGTTTTGTGGACAAGATGCACCAGGTTGCGCACTCCTTTATTATCATCGAAAGCCAGGAGAGCTTGCAGGTAACCATCTGGGGGTGGCGCCAATCCTGGCAAGGGTGTCATATACCTGACCACATCATCCACGAGTTTCCAATAGTTAACTGGATGCCGATTCGAAGGAGGGTTGTTTTTGTGCAGAGAAAGAATGATATAGTCTACTTTGCTTCTCAGGAAGCGATTCCTGATGTTATGAGCAACTAATGAACACAATTCAGCAGCAGATAAGTATTGAAAAGAGACAATGAACGTACTGAGGCAGAGAACCCTGCAGCTGTAATACACGTGATCAATATGCACATCGCTGACGGATACTAGATTGAACTCACATCCGGGAAATGAAAACATTACGGAGAATAGGCGTAAATCTCGCGTAGTCCAGCCAGAGGAAATCTGCTTAATTGTAATCTCGGATGTCTGAAAAGTTAAGAGACTCACCCATGCCGGCTTCTACGCGCAATGCTTCGACCAGCCTCGCGATTTCATCCAGAAGCTTGCCCATCAAAGGCAGGTTAGTTTTTTTCTCCGTAGTGAATTTGTGGGGAAACAGTAGCCAGTTACATGGAAGGACGACATTATGAAGGGGAAACTCATTGAAGTATGGGTCGATTCGCCAGTTGATTACAAAAGCGCTGCAGATGTCCTCGATACAGTCGCACAACACCGAGAGGTTGGCATATAAACGATTATCGAGGACATGTCTGAATTGCACTTAGTTCATTGCATGTAGAGACAAGAATAACGCGCTTACAGAATATACGAAATCCCGGATGAGATGCTGCTGCGGGTAGCTCCTTGGTAAGAAATGAGCAGGTCATGAACCATATAGCGTTTGTCCCACTTGCGAACGAGTTCGAACGGTCCGGAGATCGTACACTTTGCTCGAGAGATGTAGTCAGGTGTGTCGTCCCTGTCAAAAGCAAAACTAAGACTGGTTATTCCCATCAACACCGTCAAAAATTCAGCCTGGGTATGGAATGGGTCGAGCGAGTAGAAGGATTCGCGGACCCAGAGCTTCACCACTTTCATGCCATCTCGACGAAGAGGCATCAGGTTCATGTCGAGGTCCGCGGGGGAACCTTGAATGAAGAAGGGTGGATTGATGGCCTCGTAAAGATGCTTGAGCCAATTCCGCATGCTGATAAAGTGATCAGTATGAGTACTCGATCATAAGCTACCTCCAGGCGTACCTTTTGCGTCGCTCAATGTATGGGTGAGCGGAATACATGAATTGCAAGATCAGGATCTGCCAGATGTGGATGGCAACACGGTTGTTGTAATACTGGCGATCCAATTTCGATACTGCAACATGCTCTTGGGGACAGTTATCTCTTCGACATACTCCGGATATCAAGAATTGCAGGCATTGCGAGAAAACGGGAGATTTGCAACACATAGCATCGATCTCCGATATTTTGTCTTTCAAGATCGTTCGAATGGATTGTTGTAGGAGCTGGGTAGCGTTTCTACGAGAAGCTGTATACCCGGACGGATGTTCCGATACCCAAGTGATGCCCTGCCGGATTTCCATTGTTTTGTTGTGGAGGAATGTTCCATTTGGTATGAGAAACTTGTCGCCGGACAACCGCACGATGGAGAATAGTCTCTGAATACCCCTATGCTCCATGGGGTCAGGGAAGGTTAAAATCAGATAGAGCAGTCGCGCATAGGCGTGAAATTGTTCAAGGAACCGTTGCATTTCATTGACCGCGAAAGTTCGAATATCTGTGGTTCGAGAGAATATATGGTCCAGGCAAAGGAGAGCTGCTGGCCTGTTATGTTTATAGAAGCCAAGCGCAAGATTTCTCAACGGCTCGTGATTTCCGCGCAAGATGTTCTGAAACATCGATATCTAGATGTTGATCAGCCCAGCTGGTCACTTTGAGACTGCTAATACGTACTAGATCACATGTGGCCGGCGTTAGTTTGTTCGTCTCTAGTTGATCAGCAAGAGCGATGAAATGCTGCATTGGCTCATCAGCAATGGATTTTACGGTGATTCTGAAGGAGCATTTGCGCCAGAAGTATTCCAATATAGTATCGGCCGCACGGATGGTAGAATCGACGTTGCTTTTGTCCTTTATGAATGCTCGAACAGCTTCCAAGGGCCTATTCTCTGACAAGTGGAGCTCTGCGACCTCATAGTACCTTGAGTGAGATTCAAGCAGTGAGGCACGAGCGTCATCAAGATCATAGTCCTCCAGAAATTTGAGTTCCTCATCAAATGTCGAGAAGAGGGGCAAGGGAGCCCTGCGCAATTGCTATCAAATAAAAACATCATGGAGAGTCTAAGACTTACTGAACGTTGTTCCTGCTGCAGTAAAACAGTCTGCACACAGTCTGTAACTCCGTCTTGGTCTCTTTAGGTATATCCGTGCCATGGTCATTAAGAACATGGAGGGTCTTGTCAAACCGTCCGGCCTTGCGATATCTCTTCGCTGCTTGCTCAAACTCTTGAGCATTGAGATAGGCTTTAGCAGCTTTAAGATCATCTCCTGCTCGAACGTAGCAATCCGCCGAGTTACGATAATATTGGAGCTTCTGATTTGCTGTTGCGGTCGCCGCGCAATCAGTAAAGGCATCGGCAGCTACGTTAAAAGCTCTTTTTTGGTCGCTGAGTGAGGCCACTCCGACACTAGAACGTGCGACTTCTCGGAGTTGATATGCCTCACAAACCTTCGCTTCACGATGAAGGTCAGCACGTTCGAAGCAGTGGATAGCCTGCGAGTAGCGCTTGTGCGAGAATAGTGAGTGCCCGAAGGATGCCCATTCTTCCGGAGTCGAGGAGACGGCTAGATGAGGGACATCGGTGCCGGGGGTACAATTCTCGATCTGGTTGCGAGACGTCCAGAATATCTGAAGGAAAATAGTTATCAGGTCAAGTTACGCCAACATGCTGCTCTCAACGTACACGCATCGGCTCTGATCTATCAGATTTGTCAACTGACCCATATGTTCTTCCTTGCTCGAGTGATTCCCACATAAAGAAGTTTGAGCTAATAAAAGTAAGCCGAAGTTCATTTCAAGGATCGGTGTGCCTACCTCGCTACAAACCCCAGCGTATCGCGCCTCGTCTCGTTCAAAGTTCGGTGCATATCCTTGACCGTCTACCCCATTGAGAACTACGCGCCATCGCGACAGATCTACAGCAGAATCCTCGAAAAAGTTGTATAGCAGCACCTGACCGAAGTCAGACATTCATCAGATAGCAAGCCTAGGTTTCTCACATCATTGAATTCCAGGCCTTTGCTCTCATAAAGCGTCCTGCATACATATGTCAACATGAAAACACAGAGCAAAGGTAGTCTTAATACGACTCACATAATTAGTCCAATTTGACCAACTTGGTCTCGTAACTTCTGACGTGCCGCATCGTCACGCACGAGAATGCCTAGATGCCCTGTCAGTGTATGAATGAAACCTCCAACCAATTCCTTTACATTGCCCGGCTCCGAACTCAATGTGGCTACCGCTGGCAAGAATTCTCAGGAGGACAAGAGGGGTATAGTCCAGGTTTGCTTACCTCTCCCCAAACAAGAACTGTTCATAACGAACGGTGTCTTTGTCCCAACCAGTGAAAAATACAGGCTTCAGCCCGTCAACCACCCCCTTTTCTGGCTGAAGATTATCGATTGTGTTGGGCCAAAACTTCGTGATGAGTTCGATCACAGAACTTGCGCAGTTGACAATTCCACCGTGTGATCTGTAGTTGATCGCCAATTGAAACATCGCAGGCTGACGAAGACATGCTCCAACGGAATTCACCGAAATATTTTGCTGCTGCTTCAAGGTGTCAACTCAGGCCCGAGCTAAGTCACTGTCTGCTGACCTCAACACGGTAGAGAAACACTTTCAGATCATTAAACCTGAAGGAACTCCCTGCAGAGATTGTCTGTGCGGTGTCCCCAGCCCAGAACAAACCGTCTGGATTTTTGCATAATTGCTCAAAACTATAACAGAAAGTTCAAGGGATTATGTCAACAAAGGATGGAGTAGCCACTTACAGAGTGCGTCGATCAGAAGGTTGTCTTGTGCTTCGTCGACATACCTAGTGCAGGTGGTCAGGGGCAAGATGCATTGGTGGGGATAACACATACAGGAAATCGATCTGTTGGCCAGGAAACTTCTTGCTCTGGAAGACCTTGAGTATCGCATGTGTGCTGTTTGGGAATATATCGTGATATTACTTGGGTGAGAAGGGGAATAGGTCGTACCGATCTGCAACATCATGATGACGTCGCTGCCTCTTCATTTTCGTATAATACTCGAACATGTCGTACAGAATTTCCCTCTGATTCGCAAAATTTGGGTTAGAACGATGAGGAAGAAGGATGTATGTTGGGCGATCGAGAACTCCTTCAGGACAGGTCAGTGCATGTTCGGAGCCTTTGATGATCCCTATATGTATATTCAGGAATTGTCAGTGTCGATGTAATACAAATAGCACTTACCCATGAATTCGCTAAAAACCAACCACGGATCTGATGAGGTAGTGTCAGTACTCTATTGTCATCATAAGAGAAAGGGACGCTACTGAGATTCTTGCTGAGATTCTGTGGAAAATGAGGCCAGTATTGATTTGCGAATACGTCATAGGTGACGAAACAATCATGCGCGTCAGCATTGTCAACATTGAAGAAAGCTCCTGCGCTATCTGTCTTGTCCAAGATATCTGCCGCGATCATTTTCGCCAACTACATAGACGATTAGCTCGGAAGCTGTCCAGACGACGGATTGGGACGCACTCGATCGAAAGTTAGAAAAAGAGGAAAGTGCTTATCCTCAAGTCCACTGTATCTCATTGGTATATTCATCTGTGATTCGGGCAGGTCGTCGAGATCAACAAGGCCCTCCTGGACACTTCGTGCCTTCATTTTTGCAAGTTCCTCCAGGGTATAGCCTGCCAATGCCAGAGATTCGAGAAGCTTCGTGAAATACTCTTCCACTTTCGTAGCGAGCACTCTGGATTTGGTGACGAAGATTTGGTGTGGCTTCGGCATGTCGACTGCACTCATCTCCCAAGCTCGCTGAATACCGAGAATCTTGAACAGCATCGTCGTGGTTTTTCTAGTTGAGTGTGATAGATAAGCTATTCATATTAGGGGTAGGACACTTACCCCGTGCCGCTGCGACCCAAGACGTAACATGACGTGATACACTCGACAATCTTTTGTTCTTGAGGTCTGAACAAACATTTATCAGTGAATGCATCACATTGGGGCAGAACTCACGTGAGCATAAAGACGTGTTGTACGTCTTGGTTTGCGATAAGACCTTTTGGAAAGATAAGAGGAAGTGGCGAGCCAACTACATGATCACTCACTATGCAGGAACACCTAAAACAATATGTTATCGAGTCAATATATGCGTGCCTATGAATCGCATGGATAAGCTTACTTGCGAGAATGTGACATATTTCTCCAAACTAGAAAATCGTTAGATGAAAACCAATTTGAGTAAGGATGGCGAAAATTCATACACAAGTAAAGAGTGAAGCTGTGCCATGGATCAATGCCTGTACAAATGACAACTGAAAGTACTCAACTCGGTCCATGTCCTTATCACTAAGATTGAGTGGACTTCCTGAGCATTCTGGCTCGGGTTCAGCTGATGGGAATGATGCAGGCAGAATTGCGCTGTCTTTAGAAAGGGCAGGTCTATTCCGAAAGATACACCTGTGCAAGCAATGATTCACTGAATTGCATCAAGACCCGAAAAAGGTCCTCACCTTCTACGATATTCTCTGCCCTTGCGTGCGAGATGGTTACCCAAGGCATCCCATACTTTGCCAAGTTGTGCATGCGTATAAATGCCGTATATCTTGATTACTGGAATTCATATCAGTGCTAATAACGAACAGATGTAATTGCTCTTGACAGTTCACCTTGTCTTTCGGACTGTCAAGACTCCAGTCTCAATATCATGCTCGATGTTGATGTAAGAGCGACGTACCTTTCCATCCTGGTCAGGGACACAATCAATCTGGTACTGTGAGAAAAGGTCAGTCATTTCCTGCTCTAATCGATGTATGTGAAATTACGCTTACTACTAATCGTAAGTCCTTTGTCATCTTGGCATCGTAGATGGGTATGCCTGCATCTGGTCCGTTAAGTCGCTTGTGATTATCATCTGAGAAATAACCATTCGATAGTTGTCTGTGATAACGATAAGATCATTACAGCAAATTTCATCAGAAGACAGACTTGATCTTCCCGACGATGATCTTGAATGTCTTCTTTTCTGATTTACGTAATTCACGCAAATTTTTGTAGGCTTCCGTAGATATGAGAATTCGCCACTCTCCGAACCCGTCCGCATTCTCAAAGTAAAGCGCAGCCTTCATAGGCTGCACCATTTGGTACGCTTTGGGTCGGGTTGTTGGACTCTCGACATCCTCGGTTGACGAAACTTCAGGCGCAACATCTTTGGCAGACTCGCCCACGTTTGGGAGGAGTAAGGCTTTAATGTCGCCTGCCAATTCCGTCCTCCGCAGAAGCGAGAGGTAGAACTTACGGAGAGCTGTCAGGGGAAACGTCAAAAAGCAGAGAATATACTCACCGAGAGAACATTTTTCAGCTTCGTAAGAATGTTATTAGACAATGATGCGGCAGCCTCGCTCGTGAGAGGGACAACCACATCAAGCCTCAGGAAGAGAGATGCGTCGATAGACGTGTGAGCTTTCGGGCGATTACGCTTGCGCATTTTCTGAGGGACTTTCTTCTTGACGAACCCATCATCAGATTCGTCGAAGAGATCGTTCTCGTCTTCAAACGACCCTGCACCAGAAAATTCCATAGTGTTCAACGCGCAGAGTACAGGTAAAGCGTCCTCGATGAAGCCTCTGTGGCGGCTGATGTCCCTAGAGACATCCATCGCTAGAGGCTCAGCTGGAAAAGCTAGAAAGTACATAGACAGATTGTCTAGCATCGTTCTCGCAACGGATGTTGGATATTCTTGAGATATTCTTGGAAAGTCTTTCATGATCTGTGAGATCATTGCCTCACGGCGATCCCAAACTGTTGACAGAGTCAGAGCTGATGGCGCTCGAAGGAAGTTCGTGAGATACCAGAAATAATATATGCAAAAACATGGGGTGATGACGACATATGTTTGACCGTAGCTTGTAATGCGGTTGCTCCTGGACTTGAAATTGTGTCCAGGTGGCGCAAGGCGGTTCTGAGGCCTGCCTCGTTGACTATTCGATCTTTGGAGAGTAAGTCCAACATGGTCTGTTGAACAAGAGAAGGTTGTGATGATAAAGTGATTATATGAAGGGCTGGGGAACTTAGAATGGTACAAAGAGCTTGGAGGAAGTCCGAGTGCGAGTCTGCAACGAGGCTGTCCTTATATCGTCGAGCCGGTGCTTTGTCTGAATTTCCAAACAGGTTGAGGCGCAAATAGTACACCCAAAATCGACACCTGCAGGCAACCTGAAGTCGTACATAGCGGTGAACTTGGACCCTCAAATGATCCCAGATTGTGACAAGAATACGACCTTACGTAGGTGTGGAACAGTGTAAGATGTGCATTCCGGAATAAATCGGCTCTCTATCTTTATGTAACAGGTCACCTTACACTCGTCTGATCAAATGATGCGTCTAGACTGATCTTTCTTGGAAATAAGGCCACAAGTATCAAGCTGGACCTACAGCACGTGTTGTAATAGAAGCAGACGAGAGGCACCATATGATAATTTTTCGGAAATCTCCTACATACATTTTATATCATACAAGCAAATATCATCCGTTCACCTTCGAATATTTACTACAATGAATTACAACAAGAGATGTCTGCGTGTATACCCACGTGACTGTTGTCCTTATCTTGCAAATACCGTTCGAATGCCTCTGATCACTGACATATCTTATTGGGATTTTTCCCACGCCATAGGGTATTGGGCATTGTGTTGACAATACCAAGTACAGCTGAGCGCTGATCACGGTGATCCTCGAATTGATGATCCAGCACAGGCTTGCGAAGTTCATGAAACGCACTGCAGCCAATCCGCGAGTGTGGAAGGTCGTTACTTCGGGTAAGTTCAGACCATCTGTATGTCTCCTAGACATGTCCTGACCTCGTGTTTACTAGTACTATCAATCATCCTGTAAACCTTGACAAAACACATTGCAAAATGTCGTGATCTGTTCCTTGTCACGGTCGTCGCCGTGGTCGTCGGTCGAGCAGACTGACAGGATGTTCATTAACTGGTTATTGAGGCACAGGTACGATTCTACGAAATGAAGACTTGGGTGCAGCACCGCAGCTGGAGACTTGGAGCATATCAAAAGTGAACGATCACAGTGGGGCAGATGCCATCAAGATCGAGTGGGAGCTCTGTGCAGCAACCTCCGCTTTGGTCGAAACGACACAGACTATAAGGTATGTCATATAGTATCTAAAGACAACTTGAATTAGATCTCATTTTCGTGAACGAAGTTGCTATCGTTCAAATTTACAATGTATCATACATGCAGGTACTGATGTACTTATTTGTGCAGGAGCCAGGACGAGCCAATCATAATTGCATCATTTCACTATATCACAGAGTCTTCACACGAGGTGCAGCTTCGTATCATTCTTCCTTCAATCTTCCTTTGTCCTTATCATCCTTGTGCACAGCCGTATCATATGCCTTCAACCACTCGCTACGATACTTAATAGCGCTGTATAGGTCATCGAATTCCTCCCAACGTTTCAAAGGTCCATCCGGAGTCTCATTATCAATGTCTCTCTATCTACTTTCATCTCGTTCTTTCATTCCCCTTCAAACTTGCATTTCGTGCCATATTCTTCATGTGCGGTCGCAACTAAGACTTACATCTTCAAATCCTCACATCACGATTTTTGATGTTTCGGGTAAGTAGATCACTCCACCTGTGCCCAGTTTTGATTGGACCAAGTACTGTTTCTCCGATATTCCACACTCCTGCTGTCCCATAATTAGATCCGCTCACCTGGCCACTCGTTCATCCAGTGCACTAATCGCACCCAATCAGTGTGTCCCGTCTATTTGGCAATGACCCTCCCCGTCTCCACATCTCGCAACGCCACTATCAGTGCCTCCACTTGTAATAGTTTTGTCGTTCGGAGACAATGTTACGATGGTGAACGCTAATCACAGATCTAAAGTTCCCTCATTTCGCCATTCCTATCCTATCTGTATTACTCTCCAGGTTCACAGTTCAAGTGACCCATCCCACGAACCTGTGATGATGTGTCGTCCCCCAGGCAGGTGCACAACACCCTGTACCTTGCCAGGGAGACCTCTCATCGTCTGACCACCAGCATTGGCTGATGTTTGACGTGTCACAGCTGATTGTGAACTTTGACTACTCATTGTTGGATTGTGCGTCTTGTTCATCTATCCAGTGACCACAACTGAAATTCTGAATACGATGTATTCTTGAACAATCCAAGATTGCAGATCAGACTGTATGTGAGGTGACTTGTTGACGAGGTAAAAAGATTATGAACCGGTGGAAATATCGCACGAACCATCAATTCTAGCTAGATTATTTGTGTATTTTGACATCAAAACCGCCTAGGCAATAGATCAAAGATGGGCGTATGCCGGGTGTTTGATGATTGTTAGTTGGCATGCGTATGCGAGAAAGGTGGGTAACATCTCTCGTGGCTCTGTGGGCGATCCTCAGCGAGAGTATCGGACTCGGCGGCCGGAAGCTATGGAAAGTCAGACAACCGTGCTCACTTTCGTAAGTAATTTGGTGATAAAAAATCCTAAACAGGACAAGAGCTTCTAAAGGACTCCTGACACCGTTTAGAATAATATTTTATGATACAGAAGGTACAGCGAATGTAAATAGAATATGGATATGTGCAACACAACATCACCATTCATCTCCAGCTAGTACATTACTATCATGCTCGTCATCTGAGAAATCCCAGACAACCAACCCCGGTTGTTCAACAAGAGTATGCTGTGGGATATCAGGCTCGTCATCATCAACTAGAGCATCCAGCTCGTTGTGATGGGAAGTATCTTCAAATTATTAATGTCCGAGTCAGTAAGTATATCAGATTGAGAAAAACATCTCACACCTAAGCCCAATCTTCCTCCCACACCACCCATGTAGTAAGGGCCATTCGGCTCATCACAGAATGGTAAATCCGAACAACCCTCAAGTAGAGGTAAGACATCATCTTCATTGGTCTCGGTCTTGTTCAGTAATAACGTGGGTGGGACGTTGTCGGCAAGTTGGAGCACAGAGAGCAAGTTCCTATAAACCATCCATGCAGATGAGCGTGTGACTTCAGGGCAACCCATTCGATCATAACAACATTTAATAAATTTGCCGAGGGTGGGTGGAACGATGTCGAACACTAAATGAGAAGGATTTATGTAATGGTTTCAGATGCGATCAACACCATCATGGTCTATAACAACCTAGAGCACATGAGATCCATGTCCAATGTGATGAGACCCGACTTACCTTAAAATCTAAAGCATTAAAATCTTGAGGCGAGTCGTAAATGAGTGTTGGGACGCTGTGCGGGAGTATCTGATACATGGTCAGATGCCATCACTGACATTAAAAATTTAAATGTACTTGCCTTATTCCGGTCGCGTCTCTTGGCTGTGTTGTTAACACGGTCACGATACGCATCCAATTCTCATTGCAGCCAAGGGATGAAAACCCAACGGAAAACCATACTAAGATGCACAATAGATATTAGATAGTAGGGAGACCAAGATTAGAGTATGAACTTTTGAAGTGTATTTCCTACATCATACAACCCTTCGTTGACACCATGGTCGAGCAATGTCTTGAAATGCGAAGTACAAAGAGACTACAGTCCTAAACTATAAATTAGATCTTGACAACTGTGAAAGAACTAAAAAAATGACCTTGAGACGCTCATGCTCTTTTCATGAAAGAGAAGACTGATCACTTCTCAGATTCCGGCCTTCGGATACATCTGGCGGATATCGATCATAGCATCACGGATAGACTCTATTGTATGGCCTTGCTGACGAGTACATTGGAGGCCCATGCTCTCCCGTATCTCTCTAAATTTGGTGAGCCTAAAGATATAGATTAGATGGTAATAGTGAGCAGTTCATATGACCGTAATGCCTTGTACATACCCAATGCCATAACGCTCCGTGTCAATGTGCTTCTCCCGCAAAGTGCGAACGATTTGCCTGTCATTCTGACGTGCCTTCCATAGACGGAGAATATGGGGCGCGGTCTCGTCCAATGGTGCTAAACCTATTGTCAGTTTGGACACGTCGAACGGAAATAAGTGCATACGAGTGGGCTTATATTGGTTAGGCATCGGTGACTTGGAATGTTGGTTAACCATGGGTTGCAGTGCACTGTTAAATACCTGTCTGTATGATCGCATCCGCACAATCAGTGCATGCTTATCCGCACAAGCAACTCTGTAACTCACCAGCTGTTGACCGGACCAGCACCCATGGTGATAGCAATGGTAATTACATTTTGAGGCGTCAAGTCTTCTTGCTATGTGGACCAGGGAGTTACATTAGGAGGCAATGATAGTGTGACCGGCAGCGGCATGACCATGCGAGGCTGTATGAATGTGCTTGATGGTTAAGGAGTGCCCGCGTCTAATAAGGACTCACCTTTCGGTCCGAGCAGTACCAATGATAGTGTGACCGGCAGTGGCATGACCATGCGAGGCTGTATGAATGTGCTTGATGGTAAGAAAAGAGTGCCTGCATCTAATAAGGACTTACCTTTCGGTCCGAGCAGTATCAATGATAGTGTGACCGGCAGTGGCATGCAGGCAATAGTGTCATAATGATCTATTAATCACCTATCATTGTAGAAGGTATATGATACATCCACGCCTTTGAGTACAAATGTAAGACAATGATACATCAGTTCACAGAAGGTGATACATCACCTACTGCCAGAGATTGGTATATCGAATTTTGTGATACATCACACTGTGTGAATGATATATTATCAACCCTAGTAGTAGTGTAGTAGCGGGTCTGCCGGGTTGACAACAGACCTTTCCAGGATTGTGATATATCACATTCCAGTAGGACTTGGATACCTGCAATGGTCAGTGATATATCACTCAGGCTGAAAGTTTAGCAATATGTGATATATCACACCCTTGGCAGCACTTAAGCACCCGTCTCACGATCTATCAGGTGGGGTTTCTATGTTGCAGCAAACCCACCTGTGAGGTATGCCTCTCCATAGAGGCTCCCTGTAATTGCCACAAGAGGTCCATGCCCTTTCCTTAGTGTACTGCCTCTGTACTCCCAGAGGTTCGCGAGGGTAGGTATAAACCACGCGAGGCCATGCGGCACCCTCACTGTTTAAAATAGTTGGTTTATATGTTTTAGAATACATGTTTCGAACACAGTGAATCTCAATACTATCATGATGGTGCGACAGACAATATATTTGGTGTGAAAGGGACAGAGACACTAACAACTTAAAGAAGACATGAACGTGAAAGGGACACGATAAGACATCCAAACCACGAAGAAAATACACTCGTTATCCCTCTCTATCAGGCCATCTCTACTCGTCATCCCCCGATTATGCCGGTCCTGATATTCACAAATCACGGACAAGCTTGTATTGTGCTCGAGCGTGTGGGCGGATGGAAGATCGTGACATTTCAGACAATGGTGAAGGGACAAAGTAAGATAGAAGGCAATATGTGATGCCGCACTTGAATCAACAAGATCACGTGCACGAATGCTGTGCCATATCAATGATTAGTACATGCCGTGACAGGAGGCTCGTGAGGATGCAATGGAGGGTTGCGAGGGTCGAATAGAGGCTCCTGAGGGTCACATTAATTTTGTGAACATCAGAGGGAGGCTCGAGAGGCTCACAGATCATGTTTGTTCCTGCAGCTGCGAACTGAAAAGCTCATCAATCTCTCCTTTGTCCTCGGTAGTGGCATTGCTGACTGCGTCTTCATCATTAATAGTGGTGATCTCTGGGACAAGGTCACTATGATTGGGTTCAATGACCAGTGAACATTGCTGAATTGCCTTCAACCTCCAGGAGGGTGGCGCAAGTGGTACTTCTACAAACACACGAAGTCTGCGCCGATTAGATGACGTGGCGCCAGATTTTGAAGGAGAAGTGTTGCCCAGATGGGTCAGGCCAAACCTATCAATCCGTCCATTGGCAAACCCTCGTCGCCCACGAGTGTGAAGAGAATTTGCAATGGGCACTTCTCCAACAATGATGGGGACACGTGAGGTCGTAAGACTTTTGCGGGCATCTGTTGCAACAGATTTAACGGTGAGGGCGTCATTCTTGAGGGCATCCGCAAGTTTGAAGCGCTCATGGATAGTGAGGTCGTGTATACCCTTGCTCTTCGCAAGTGTTGAACGTCTCTCGCTGGGCATAAGGATGTCTTCTGGGTAGTTTTTGAGGATACAGCCACAACGGGCTAGAATGGTAGGTAGCGTCTTCCATGGGAAGTTTCCCCCTCGTCCTTCAAGGGTCCCTGTAACATATTTAGCTGTTCTACATATGATCTGACTGTGACACTCACCGAAAAGCGCTGTCAACCCTCCAACGATGCAAGGCATACCTTTGAGGAGCCTCCATCCCTCAGGATCACGGACCTCTCGCTTCTCCAACCATTTGTCCAACACCTCCTGCGCATCCACCTTGTAGCGCGATGCCACGCGCTCGAGAATGTAGTCGAGCTGGCTGAAATCCATGAATCCAATGAATGTATAGAAAGAGGGAGGAGTGTAGAGGAACAACATTGATAACACATTGAGAAGATGTGTGCCCCGGCCCCCCATCGATAATCAATTCCGTTGATGATTGATGGCCACATTGACAATCAACAGAAGACATCGGACGAAGTAATGGAATGCCAAATGCCTTCATATATTATGGGCATGCTGCATAGTTAGAGGCACGGTGGTGAAGTGGTAGTGGTGTTGTGATTTTGGCAGACTCTTAAGTTCAATCCTTCGACTATGCATTCTTTCATCTGTTAATTTTTTTTAAATTTTTTTTTACTACGGCATCCGCACTCAAGTACTCACACCCCACCTTCGACGGTATGGTGAAATTAACCAATTTACAATACAGACCGCAAGCATTGAAATTTAATTTGTCGTTCAAGCCTCTTCTCCTTAGCGGGGTATGGGTCACCTGTGGTTGACGGATGAGGTCAGTTGAAGTGTTTCTTTTGAAGTCGGGTCCCTTGAGAGATTCAATAGTACTATAGAGAGGGATTAGTTTAAGAGGCTGTAGGAGGAATGAAAGGAAACATACCGGCCCTTCTCTTTGTTGAGTTTGTCACCCATGTTCTCTGACAACTTCTTGAATTCACATTTGGACTTTGCATTGTCGGTGTCGACCATTAGGTTTTGCAAGTGCCAACAAAAGCAAACCAGTTTATTCAGAAGGCGGCACTACATTCAACTTGAGACAGCGAAGCATGGGGTAACAAAATGACAGTCACTACACTAAAAAGGTGAGAGAGAAAGGTATCAGCGGCAGTCTGCCTACACTAAAGGGCATGAGAGAAATGTTAGCAAATACAAGGAAAAAGGTATCAGCGGCGGTCTGCCCATCTATTGGTATCTCCATAGTACCTTCCATCATGACCACACATGTCTTGATAGTAGAGGTCTGATGGATGCCTGCGGTCATCATAGCGGTCGTCGTAACCTTCAGCAGGTGAGTTGTAATGAGAAGGATAACTTGGATGGTTGTATCCCATAGGTACATGAGCATACCGAGCCTCTTCAAGATTATGGGTGCGTGGAAGGCCGTGGGGATTGAGGCCGCTAGTAGGATGGGGGTGCGTGTGAGTGGTACTGTTCCGATCATAGAGTGAGTTGTGCGCCTCATGATAGTGAGCAGCATCGTGTGGGTAGGAGGGTCCCTCCCGAGGATGATGCAGATGGTCTCGCAATGGCACAGAAGCCTCGCGAGGGTGAAGCAGAGGCTCACATAATGGCACAGAGGGCTCTCGATGATGAAGCATAGGCTCTCGCAACGGCACAGAAGGCTCTTGATCTCGAGGATAAAGCATAGGCTCTCACAATGGCGCAGAAGGTGCATGAGGATGAAGCAGAGGCTCTCGCAACGGCACAGAAGGTGCACGAGGATGAAGCAGAGGCTCTCGCAACAGCACAGAAGGCTCACGAGGATGTCTGGGGAGCTCGTGCATGTGTAAAGGAGCCTTATGTGTGATGGGAGCATCGCATTGAAGCAATGGAGAATGTGCATAGCGGTTGGCCGCCTCAATATGAGGATCAGTGTGAAGTGGCTCAGGTTGCGGAAGGGGCCTCTCCCCAGCAGGATGCGAAGATGGACGCTCAATGGATTGAGCTTTGGGGGTTCCATTCTCGTCATTGCCAGGTGTTGAAGGGGAAGACATGGTCTGGAGCGTACCGTTCGAGGGTTGGGGTTGCTCAGAGCCCTCGTGTTGTGCAGCCACGCTGGGCGTGACTTCCAGTGGCGAAAGTGTGGTGACCATAGTAGCTGGCGGTTCAATTGGGGTGGGGTTTGCTGGCTGAGCTGCGGCATCAGGCTGAGGGTCTGCAAGCACGACAGCACCTTTTCCAGCATCTGCTGTTGCCTTTGAGTCCTTTTGACCTGGAGCGTCCTCCTCTTCCGAATCAACCGCATACATCATCTTGTGTGCACGGCGCATGGCTGCCCAAGATGCCTTTGTTATGCGTTTTGGTTTTGGGAGTGCTGGAGCAAACAAGTCAACAATACGTAGATCCCAAAATGTATATACGTACCCTTGGATTTTGGCTGTACGTTGGAAGGACCATCCCGGATGCGAGCTGCAGGTTGAACTGGCTGGGCAGCTGAATAAGATGGTTAGCGAGTAAAGACAAATGACGTATGTAGCACAAACCTTCATCGCCAGACAAGTGCTCGTCAACAGAAGACGACCCCACAGTTAATGGTGACAGCGGACCCCCTTTTAATACAGAGGCATCGGATGGTGATGGTTTTGCCTTGGAATGCACACCTTCCTTCGTCAGTTCAATGACAACCTCTGCAGATACACGCTTCTTGGACATCTGAGAAGAACTTCCTGACTTTAGTTTCCGTTTCTTCCCGCGTGAATCGTCTTCATATTCAATGTCCACCTCCGCTGTCACATCCCTTGAGCCCTCCGAAGTTGAAGTGAGTTCAATGACCTCCTGCGCAGCAGCCTTGGGAGCCATTGGCGCAGCTGGCCTAGTGACAACCCGGAAGGGACGAGCGGGAGGAGGAGTTTGGGGCTTAGAAATGGGCTTGGCGACAACCTTAAAGGGACGAGCAGGGGGGCGAGACATGACTGCCTCTCCATGCTCAGGATCACGAGCTCTTGATACATTCTTTCCCTTCTTGACTCTGGTCTGTGCGACACTTGTCCCCACACATTCTGGGCCACCATAATCTGTATGGCGATCAGCAAACATGCAACGAGCAGATGCGTGCTCCCAGGTGGATGGAGGAGCCTCTCTGATGATAACTGGCTCCGTTGATTCAATCAACGATGCTACAGAAATTGGTTAAAATTAGACTACTAAATAGAGACAAAACTTACTGTGCGTATTGGAAGACTTGACCACCCACATGGTGCCAGCCTTGTAAGCATCAACAAGCGCTGCAACCTCTTTGAACGTCAATACACCTATCCCCTTGTTATTCTTTGATGTCGGATCATGGGATTCACCCGGCATGAGACACATGTGGGCGGGATACCCTTCTATGTTCAGGCCGCCAGAGGCTAAGGTGCTGGGCATCGTTTTCCAGGGGAAATTCTTGTCGGATGCAAACTTCCCACCAAGTTTAGCTATATGAGCATGTCAGGCTGAACTGAAGAACAATTCGAATAGCTACTTACTGACTTGTTTTGCGATTTCTTTCTTGAGCCACCGGAGAGATTCATCGCGACCCTCGACTTCAGTGGAAGGAATTGAGTCAGCATCCCGAGAAGAGGCTTCTTTGTCATCTTCAGGCAAGTCGTCGAAGGCATTTTCAACTACTGCCATTGAGGTTTTATTGCTGTTTTGAAGATGAATCAGAAAGAGATAGTAAGACACAGATTGAGACTTACTAGACATGAGCTTTGAGGTGACCAATGATAGTGTCATCATCAGCTCGGCATCGTGTACTCCAGAACTAGCAGACCAGAATGAGTGATCTCAGTATTGAATACCACTCTCAAGATACTTACCTCTGCAGCGCCTGGTGTAGTATGAACTTGACCAAGGGAGGCATCTTGATTGACAATTTTACCACAGATGACCATTGCGGTCTCAAAACCGAATTTAGCAGCAGCGCTATCAGCCTATAACGAGGACGGTCAGGGCACAGCAAGCAGTGAGGCATCAAGGAAGTATACTTACAATACTAAACATCCTTCGGTAGTATTTTTGAAACTCTTGTGCGCGCTGAGAGACAGTTTGAGGGGAAGCGGATAGCATTTTCACTTCATCGTGGACGGAGAGAATGTCTTTGTATGTGTCTGGAAAGGCCTCTTTGAAGAGGTCGTAACATTTTGTCTGAATCGACATACCTAACATCCACGATGGAACTGTAAGTACGACATCAACAAATATGATTGGAACTTACCTGGAGAGCCTCCGTCTGCAGGAACCTTATGCCCAACCCATGCAAGTTCTTGCTCTGTGTGATCCTTGAAGTAACTGCGAGCATATATGTTCCAGAAGTTAGTGCTGACTGTCGTCTGACCTCGACTTTTCAAGAACCAGTTGATGACTTGCTGCACTGGAATTGATGTCGACCCTGAGAGCTCAAGAAATGATTGCTCAATTTCGACGAAAGCAGCTTCGAGGATCGCATTGGTGTTGGCAGACTTCCGTCCGGGGACAAATGACTGGTCTGACATTGAGGAAGGTGCGTCTTTGCTGCCCTGAGGATCAGAGAACAGGTCGTTGACATTTCTGGCATCGACGGAAGCACCACGTTCATGTGGGGAGGGATAACGAGGAGGGTCAGAAAGGCTGTAACTGCTGGCAACATCCTTCAGTGGTGTTGGTGGGATGACATTTGTAGTCATAGGTGCAATCTGACGAGAACTTCCTTCGGCACTCTGAGGCACTGGAGGCTCATGAGAGGGTGCATGCGAGGAGGAAGGCTGGTTAGTGAAACTTGGGCTGGCATCAGAAGACATAAAATGTCCCTGTGTCTCCATGAGCAGTGCCGTGAATGATGCATCATCCATCTCTCCAAAGGAATTCGAGTGCTGCGGCAACCATCCGCTGGGTTGTGCCTCCATGGGATCGTAAAACATATCCTGTAGAGGTGCAGGATCGGGAGGATCGGGATCATGGAGACGTGGTGATGTGTGACGATTTCCCTGAGGAAGAGCCTGAGTGGACGACACATCACCTCCCATGACACTATTATCATATGTAGGATGTGCAGGTGCTGGTGCTGCGGGAATGGTTAGAGCGTCGGGTGGGAATGAGTTTTCCTGACGCCGGATGGCAGCCTCTTTGACTATGCCGACATCGTGCTGCGTAGCCTTGATTCTACTCCTTAGTCTGGTAGGAGTTAACTCCACCGGAGGCGTTTTGGGACGACACCCGCCACCATACTGCTCCTGAACATAATCTCTGCCAGGAAGAAGATGCATAGACTGAGATGAGGTGCTGTAACTTTGAGGGGGTGGGGCTCCTGGTTCGAGGGGGTATGGGTATTCACCGAATGTATGAGTCATAACTGTGGGATGGTCAGAGATTGTCAGTTGCACTGCGAGGTTGTGAACGTACAAAGATGAGTATTGTTAATATTTGACGGCGAAAATCGAGAGCAGACAAGGGCAAGAATGCTGAGCGAGTGTGTGTTAGCCAAAAAAAACTGAACAACCAAGAGAGCAACATACCACAAAAAAAAATTAATCGATCGCAGATGGTACGTAGAAGAATCAATGCAGGTAAAAAACAAAAACGGTAGACACTGGACACATTTCAGTATGGTGTCAAAGATAAACACTGTAAACACTTACATCGGTCTGAAGGAACTGTATTTTTGAAGCTACTGATGATCGGAGGGTTTTGTCAGAGGTGAGTGATGTCGTCAGAGCAGATGTGTACAATCTAAGCCTTCAGAGACGGTCAAATTTTGAAGAAGGTGAAGGGGGGGAAAACAGAACCTACCTCGATCTTAAGGGCGCACATTTTGAGTTCATCGCAAGGAGTTTAAATTCCTGCATGCATGGAATGATTCCATTGAGATACATGCTATACTAAAGTCAGAATATTACCAGCAGACATTTGAAATCAGAATGCACTAAGTTATGCTGTAACAGAGGGTCGCACTTGCTATGCTGTAACAGAGGCTCGCAGATGATGGCTTGAGAGGGTGAGGTGCCACCATGAGTTTCGGTGCAGAGGGTCTGGATGGTCTGCAGCGAGGCGAGTAGGAAATTTACAACCAATCACAATCCTTAAACGTATCATACTACTTACTTTGGTTTAGCATACGAAAGAAGCAATTACATCGGAACAATTGACCAACACAGTGGCACATGCTGTAATGAAGGCAATCCTGATGCTTAGAGGCTCGCGAGGGTGATGTCCAAGTTAAGGGTGAAGTGTTGAGGCTACAAGATTGAACCTCCGGAGCCTCCGAAAGTATTTAGAACCAATCACATTGCGGAAACAGTTCGTGCTACGATTGCAAGACAAATACAACACCTTGTAGTGCTCCAACATCGTTTGAAATGAGCTCAGATGACTCCCATGGAGTGCCCCGTCACCCTGGTATAAGCAAACCAAGAGTATGGGCGGTGGAAGATGCTGCACTACCACCAGTAGCGTTTAATGTGCAATGCTGTAAGTACTTCACATTGCTTTATTACACTGAACATCAATGGGTCGCAGAGCTAAATATTTTACGCTGGAGGAGAAGAACACTGCCTTACGCAAACAGATCATACTCAAGGACAGAACGGTGACTCCCTCTACTTATCTTTCTGTGCTGATTGTTTAACAAACTGCAGGGGAAAGGCTGCTCGACGGATTCAAAATGCTCATGCTAAGGCCAAACTCCGTAGATGGAAGAGGACTACTACTGGATCCCTCAGCAATGCTAAACCACTTCCTCAGTCTCTCGTCACATTGGCAGTGCTTCCCCTCCCCAACTCATCTCTGTTCCATCAAGCATGCTCCGGATCGGAGTTGATCGATGAGTCCGATGTACTCCAGTGGGAGAAACCACCACCATACGATTCCCCTCCTCCTCCAAACTCACCAGATGAAGATCGCTTTACTCGCAATCTTGTGGACGTCATGCATGGCAGACAGTATCGTTTGGAGAAAGAGACCCGCGCACGTTATGCTCAAATATTTGCAACAGCGAATGCGGAAGTCATCCTGCAGGACATTCAGGTGGCAGAAAGGACACTGATGGGTAAATGGAATGAGCTTAATGAGTATGTATCGCACATGCAGAGTTGTGAAAGACATAGGGTGATGACAGAGTGTTATGTGCAGTGGCAGGCAAGGAAAATCTTCAACTATCGTCGGGAGGCAGACTTAATAATTCGTGGACTGAATCCATACAAGTAGATATATATGTGATATTGATGATCTAGAAGCACGGTACAGAAAGAATGAGAGCTCGTAGATAATGCCGCAGGTGGTGCATATCATCCTCACAGAGTCCTGTTACATGACGTCCTCGTAAGACAGCAGCAATTGCTGCCAATACCCATACTCCACAGTCATAACCATTGGTCTGGACAGGCGTGATCTCGGAAGAAAGTTTAGATGTATGTACCCAAAGACTCAAAGTGTTACTAACTTTCAATGGTTGTGCTGTCCATCCGTCAAGTTCAGTTGTGATGTGATGATGCCGTTGGCGTGCAATAGCAAAAAGATGAGCAATCAGCTTCATGACATCCTTGGAGTACATAAGCCTCGCACGAAATCCTCGACACAAGTAAACTTACCTTAACATCGGTTTTCCAAGGTTTTTTCTTAGCCAGACTATCAAAGAGGTGCAATTCTTTGCTGGAGAAGCAAATAATGCACAGCACCCAATGGCCAATATTGGAGGGACGATGGATAGGAAGAATCCAGACATCTTTCTCCCAGTAACGCGTGTATGATACATTACGCCACAGAATGTCATCTGATGCATTATATTGAATGCGAGGGAGGTCGTGGGTTGTTAACAAAGCGCAATGACTAGTGGCGACACTTTTCAGTTCAGAAAATAGCAAAACGGCGCACTCATTGATACAAGTGTCATTAAGGAATGCTGTGCATGAGGTAAGCAAGGTGATATCCTTCGGCTCAAAAATTTGATGAGGGTATCCATCTCATGAAGGTTGTTCTCTTCGGGTAACTGTTCCTGGAGCGATGACATGCTCCTCCTTATGTGGGACGTAGGAGTCATCTATCAGCACGGACTAAAACCTAGTTAACATTCAAATGATTCCTAAAGGACTGGCGCACCTCGGGAGCCTCCCACAAGATAACAGCATGGGCGTCATTGACATGATCCATTGAATTGAAGTCTCAAACCTCCTTTCAACCCAAATCATCCTCTAGAACATCAGCGAGAGCGGCATGTTCAAATTCAACTACTGGCAGGTCAAGAGGCTCAGCAAACTCAACATCACTGAGTTCTCCCTCAGGATCAGGTACTTCCAGTAACGTAGTGCTGAGCCAGTGCACGTTTGGCGATTGGACACCACCTGAAAGGGTGATGGCAATCTCCAGCGCATCCTTGGCACAGGACGTGAAGCGAAGTGAAGAGGCTAATGGGTTCGCTCAGCAGGTTTGAAGTCTGAGTAATTGATTGTGGCGCTGCCTCAGCAAGACAGATATAAGTTCACCTGTCTATGCATTAAAAACAATTCCTACAACAATAAGAAACCTACATCCTGGTGTGCGGAGTGCAAGCTCGAGTGCAGCAAGTTCCTCCCCAAAGAAACGACAAAGATTGTCTGCCTCGATACCGAGTCGCTTCTGTTCTTCTCGGCAGCGCTCATGTTTCAGAAGTGCATGGATGCCGTCTCTGACATCAGCATCTTCCAACCATCGAGGAACTTGTCCTGTCGATGGCATAATCCACACGTCTTCCATTAGATTGGGATCACTACGTAGCTCTGCAAGCTTGGTCGGGAGAGGATTAGGTAAAGGAATCCCCCAAGAAGGGTCATATAACACTTCTAAGCGCTCACAGTAAGCATTAAACTTCCTGAGTGCAGTCAACAGAGCGGGTTGGCGTTTCGCAATAGCTTTTCGGGTTTGTTGATGTAGTTTTGTGCCTAAACGACTATCAGTTGATAGCAAATCACAGGTATGAATGATTTACCTAACGCCTGTTGAGCACCGCCAACCGCACAGTCAAGTTTATCCCACTCAAAAAAGCTTGCGATTGCCCGTTTGTGGATGTTCATTTTCAAGTCATGCGCCATCAGAAGAAGCTGAACAAAGTCTAAATTGATGCCTTCTAGTTCAGGGAATTGGTCGTGAATATTGAGGGATGCATATAAAACTTCGACTTTGGCCATAAGACGATTGTGACCTCTCTCAAGAGCCTCGAGAGTGTCTTGTGAGGCAGTTCCTTTCTCGAGCATGAGCCTGGTGGATTGTAGTGCTGTATCGGAGGTATCAAGGTCGGCCTGTAGGGTCAATACAGTGTCTAACTCCTTTTTAAGGCGAGCAGGGGCGTCTATGAACAAATGTAACTCGTATTGTATTCAATATCAACTAAAAACACTTACGTGCGCAGACTGACAGCTGCGAGCTTCGTTGCTGAGACCATTCTGACTCGAGATCATTAACAGAAAGTTCGCATTGATCCAGCGCCTCTTGGGCAGCAGTTCCCTGGTCATTAACACCACGCTTGAGGCGTCGTCGAATCCAATCACCTAAGTCACTTTGCATTTCGGATCCTATAGCTGCAGCCTGACGGTCGATCAGCCAGAGACGGCGCTGACGCTGACGTTATGCAATAAGACTTGAATCAATGACAAGAATGAAGAAGGCGTACCGATGACGACCTCTCAACACCAATTAGGCACACCAAGCGAGATCAGAGCCTCTCGGTTCCTTCTCCATCTGAAAGACCCAGCCCAATACACATGCGTGGGTTGTACACTAGCCGGCATGCCCACTCATGCCCGTAGGCATGCATGGCAGTGGTTGCCAAGCGCAAACATGAGATGATACTGCCAGGGAGAATGTCATACTAAAGATGATGAGTGGATGAACCTAAATGGAGACCAGATGAACTTACCTTGCTAAGGGATCGGGCAAGGACACACCCGACATCATACAAAGCTACAACCGTAGCATAAGGTGGGATCAATGAGAACAAATGTTCCAGGAGGGCCACCAAATATTTTTGCTGTTCTCCCGGAGAGTCGATATTAGCAAAAAAAAGAGGGATATCATGATGACATATGAGTGCCATGACGCCAGTATCATCAAAGCTATCCATTGCTGCCTTCTGTTTTTTCCCATCGGCTGCTTCGTATGCTGTTTCACATTGGTCAATAGCCTCATCAGGAACGAGGGGTACAGCTGACTTTGCAGGCCTCTTACGTTGGGCCTCTATGCGGCGGCCGACATCATCAACATACTGTTTTGGAAGGAAATAAGTGGGGTCATAAAAGTGGGGGCAATCCCCTGCCGCACGCCGATGGCGGTGGTGGAAGTTGCCATCTGTGGCAGTGTGAATGTCTCCTCCGTCAGCAGTAGGTTTCCCAAACATCGTCCCTCCGAAACATGCAGGACACCATTGAATAAGTATGGGTGCACAGCGGCCTCTACGTAGGGTAGACAAAGGTGACGAGGTGGAGACGTGATCCTCTGTTTGAGGACAAAGGGTCGCCACCCGGTCACGGCTATTCTGCAGGGCTTCTTCGACTTGATGTTCTATTTGGACTTGAAGAATGTCGTACCATTGTACGGCATAGCCCAGGCCTCGACGAAAAGGATCCTGAATAATTTCCCCCTAGTGCAACAAATCAGTTTAAACATATGCCATAATGAATTACTTACTCGGGTGTCTGTCATGACAAAACCTCTGCGAGAGTAGTGCATTTTTAGAGCCGACGCTAAGGCATTGATGGCATCACAGGACCATTCGAAAAGTGCCCGATAGAATGATAGCAGTTCGATGGAGACAGCCATACGAGGTTGTGAGGGAGCGGTTGGAAATAGACCATGGTGAAGCAGCACTTGGGGAAGCATGGAGCATCTACAACTGAGGACATTGATAGACGTAAATCCTGAATGGTGTTCATTTGTCAACATGGTGTAAAGTCGTAGATAAGAAACCTACTGTCAAAAAATAAACACGCGATTGATGTTCACTTTTGAGGGCACGAAAGTGTTGCACATGCAGAGATAACCTTGGGGGTGATCTCCAGTGCTGTCGCTAGTGTTCGTGCTGAATATTTGAGATGAGGTTCGACAAGGAAGGGTATCAGTGTTTTCCAGCTGCTATACGACGAATCCGTAGCCTTGTCAGGCAAAATGCGACGTTTGACTGGAGATTTTTCTACAAGTATGTCGGAAGGAGGTTCTGATGGAATTTCGAAGTCTGGATCAGGAATTTCGGCCAAAGTGTCAGTTTGACTGGTGTCAGAGACAGTTTCAACTGCATCTACAGCATGAACTTTACTCTGTTTGGGCTTGGGGTTCATCAGTTGCTGCATACGAGCTAGCAGTTGACGGTGTTTGGCTTGCACGCCAGGTAACTCAACATGTTTCTGAGTTTTTTTCTTATCTCTGGGTTTCTTCGGGCTGACGAAATGGTGGCCTAGTCCAGAAGATACACATTGAGCTCCACAAGTAGGAGCAAGAGCACTGGTTGAGACCATGGTGAAAGGGAGAGTGTGAGGGAAAACTATGACTCACTAACACCTCAAACTTAGCAGGCAATATAGACATGGATTCCTGTGGCGCAAGAGCCACGAGAGAATATAGATCACCCTGCTCGAGGCGTGCAAGGAATGCTGGAGGTGTGCAATAATGAAAGGAGGGTAGTTTCAGGTGCCACGAGCACCTTGCAAGCCACGCCAGGAGGTGCTGGATGTAATGTAAGAGGCATGTTATTAATAGAATGGTGGGAGGGCGCACCTCAGAGGTAAGTTTCCCACAACATAGAAACCCTACCTCAAAGGTCTCTATTGATGCCGGGAAGTAATGCCTGAGGTGATATATCATCAGCTCTAGGCTAGTGAGCTGTATACTACAATGATAGACCTTTCCAGTACTAGGTTTAGAAAATGAGTCACTAAGATTGTGATATATCACTGGTAGGTTAGCGAAATGTGATATATAACCTGCTGTAGTACTCCTAATACTCAGCACTCTAGCCGGTGATATATCACCTCCTAGCCTGCGGATGCATCTGCGAGCTAGGAGGTGATATATCACAAGCTGTGTTGCATCCCCGACACCCACGTTAGTGGGGGAGGGCTTTGTCGACCTCAAATATTTTCCCATGTGTCTGGATATATTCCCACTCCGCGAGCACTCGCGTCAGCTTACATACAAGCGCCTGCAAAACAATGATCACTCCCAACCTTCTCCAACTCTGAATCACTTTCTCCACGTCTAGTGCTGGCCCAATGAACCTCTTCTTTTTCGTTGCCTTCCTTATCGGCCCTTTTTTGTATCTGAGGTCAACATCTGCCTCTTCTTTGAGTGTCCTGCCTTGTGCATCCACAAATACCCGATTGCCTTGTGCTTTTGACACTCCGACACAAACACGACTTCCGAGCTCGCAGCCTCGCACTCAACAGATCTACTTCTTGCCATACCTGTTCAAAGAACATCCTACATTGGTGAGTGTCATTATAGATTTGCTCGAACTTCCTACAGGCCTTGTGGAACTCCGCATATTCTTCACCTTGTACCTCTTAATTTTACCTCTCACTCCTTGCTCACCCAGTGTAGGGTTAGGGTTATTCCAAATAAGGAGATCCGTCCCAGGACGTCCCTAATCTAGGGTTAGGTTCTTGTTTCATACAACGGTCCGCTGCGCTTCGACTTTGAGAGTACGTCTTTGGAATTTTATGTGAGATTGCTCGCTAAGTGGTAACCTGATTTGGCAGATACTGACCTGACGTGGAGTGGAAGTAAGAACCAAGTGAATACGTTGTCGGTGCGGTTACTGATCATCATGCAGATGTGCTTAAGGAATGGTTCTCTGCAAAGAAAGGAAGAGAGCGTGCAACTGCGTCGTCTGATGAGAGAGGTCTGTGATGTCCTCGGTGGTGGCAATCATGCACTGACTCAAAGGACAGAGGTCAGGGAATGGAGGATGAAAGACATGCCCGACCCTCAGGGTCACCTCCGGACAGTGATGGATCTCTACAATGTGGACGATGTGCCCGTCGTGGTACCCATAGGATTCAACTCCGCCGTAAGGATTGTTTGTTGAAGGTGTTCAAGCACCACTGTGCTTGTGGTATTATCACGAGAGTTTCAACATACACTCTGTATTTATGTGACTAGAAGTTATAACGATTGGTGAGAATTTGATGGCAATGCGTGTGGGAGATTGGTGTCGGGGAATTGGTGCGACAGCACCGTTACGTATGATATATCGCCTACTGCGGCGATATATCACCTCCTAGCTCGTCCTCATAGCTCACGGATGCATCTGGGTTGAAGCATTCAGTCTTGTGCAAGTCTGGCAGCTGTGACGAGGTCTTGTTGCATTCACAAATCTAGTCCAATACACACCAAAGTCGAGTCACAGGGACACCACAACAATCTCACTATTAACATCTCTGACACAGGTTACAGGTACTATATAGCGCAGCGATTTCAAGAAGAGGTTGGTTCCATTGATGCCCTCTTTGTGGAGGGAGTGATCTGGATGAATGAACAAACGCATCCTGTGCTAACGATGCCCTCGAAGTGCAGCGATTTCAAGATAAATGAAAGCATCCTGTGTAACCGAACTTGTTAACTTACGTTGGCAACACCACCAAACGTACCGCTACGTCACGTACTACGGGCACGTAATCAGAATGACTAGGTCAACGACGACTCTATGCACGATGGAAACACGTTCGGATGAAGCCAGAGTATTGGTTATATACATGGGCGGAACCATCGGAATGCTCGTCAGCTCATGAGGTTACATTCCAGAGCCTTATTTCCTCACCAATACCCTCCGGAGCCAAAAATGCTTCCATGATCCTTTGCAAGACTCCCTCTTCTCCAACGCTGCATCCGTAGAAGGTTATAGAGAATGGAGCAATAGCGGAAAGTCTACTCCAGTCAGCACAGATAATGTCACGACTCCAAGTGCATCAAATCAGCCCACCCTTCTCGTCAAGTCCTCCCGCCTGATTGGTACCACGGTTACCCTTTCTCTGTCTATATTTTCGCAGATTCAGAGAGTGAATGAGCAACCAGAATGTCGAAATGTCACTGATGGTGTCTATGAGACATGTCTGCCAAGTCTTGTAACTCCCCGAAGTGTCGTACCCGGACACGGTCATACGAAACGCATACGCTATGCAATTCTTGAGGTCAGTCGTCCGCATACACTCATCGCTCAGCCAATAGCTTAGCAAAATCAGTGGAATCCACTACTTGATAGTAGCAACATGGAAATGGACGGTGCTCGTCTTTTACACTACTCTTAGGTTTCTCCCGTTCGCAATCTTGACTAGGACATATTGGATCTGCATAGCCGCCGAGATCAAGCTAAACTACACTTCTTTCGATGCATTTGTAGTATTACATGGCACCAATACCATGTCATACACTTCCAGTGCACTCAGCTTCCTGCTCGAGGATCTTGGTAAAACTGTTGTACATCTTACATCCTCCAATGATATGATCATCCTCATGCAACGAGACTAGATCCTCACCGGAGCTCAAATACCTCTCTCACAACTTCGAAACGACGCTGTCGACAATCTCCTTGGCGCACTGTCTATTGCAGGCAACTATATCATACCAGGTAATGTAACATTTCGATCATGCAGCTGTAGTTTATTATTTGTTCTGGAATGCAGCTTGTATTTTAATCACACCTTGCACCACGGTAATAAGGTACAAGCATACATTGACATCTAACAGCATCGAATGGAGGCATTGGGCGTGAAACTTCCAAGCGTTGAAAGGTGGAGACTTAATTTACAGGCAGCACTGCAGATGAATAGCACACGGTTCGTGTATAATGATAATGGAGGCGCGAGTCTAGATCCAGGTGATAGTGACACAAGTCTAGCATGCTGCATAGGCCTTGTTCTAGTCCTGTATGGTAGGGCGTGGCAGGGCACAATGGTTGGTTGAGGAAGAAAAGAAAGAAAAGAATCACAAGCTTTAATTCACAGCAAGGGTCGAACTCACATGATCGAATATTGATGTCTTTGAGAACCTCGGCAGAATACACGTGGTCATCGAAACCGAGACAGTACTGAGCGCGCAGCGACTGATGCCAGCCTCCGAAGGGGGCTGCAAGTGGAGACCTGGAAGGACACTGAAGATCATTATGTGCTCCTGATACAAACATCAATGCGTTATTTGCCAGGATCATGTAGATGCAGCCACAGATATATCGGTTGGTGTCTGTCTGGAAGTTAAACTCGAAAACTACCATGAGTACAAGACAAGCCGCAGTGGATGTACTCACAGAAAGACGAATAAGTAGACCAAATCAACTCTCATGGCATTAGCAACATCGATAGGCTGAAAGCCAAGCTGGGAAAACAGGTTGCATATCATATGTGTATATAACACACACCTGATGACAACATCCGTTACGTCGAGATCTTTAGCTATCTGAGGATGGAAGGCACGAATGTCACTTGGGCAAACACTAACCAATGTTTGTCAGTATCATGTCCAAGTCAGCAGTGTATTAGTATACTGTAACTTTAACTCCCAGAACTCAGTACTCAGTAGCCAACAAACCCACAAAGGACACGTGAAACAGAATCCACCTCTTGATGTGGCGTGAATCTGTCCGATAGATAGCTTCATGCGTGGTGGGCACCAGCATAGGGCTTTCTTCTGAGTCTGAAGCCGCATCGTGAATCGTGTGCTGAGTCTCGTGGATAGCGCGGAAGATATTATAATAATATTCATCAACAACGTACCTCAGGTCCGATCGATCACTAAGTGACTCTACTTCCCCTATGGAAATTTCCGACCAATGTGGTTGTACAATGCTCATTGAGTATTTTGAGCCCGTAATGAATGTAACTTACAAAGTTCGCAGACGTGATTCGTTATCACACCAGGCTGCACCCTGTACGGATAGCTACAATCAGCATCACCAATCTACTGATCATCATCGTTCCATCCATGTTCAACGTTCATGTTGCAAATGCCATCAATGCAAATGACCTGAGATCCAGCACTGTTATCATGCACACTTTTATCCCCAAACTATGCGAGTCCGGAGTCAACAACGATCATTGTCCCAGAGCAAAAAAAGGAAAGAAAAATACATGAGATTAGTATGTTACTAATTAATACAAAATTATGATGGCAGGAGCCGAACGAAAGCAAGAGTACACCTTTGTAAGCCAGACGCTTACCATCTGCTTACGAATCATGGATCACGTGTTACGTTCCCCTTTATATTGTGATGTTCGATGTCATGTTACTCAGACTTGGGTCTCCTACCTACTATCACCTACCTGCTTGTACAATGTTCTAAAGAATCATAACTTTGTCCTATTAATCCTGTCCGATTCGTCTTAGTGTTACTTGCTCATCCTCGGCGAGTTTCCACTTTTTTTTAAATAGAAACGAACTCATTGATCCCCTGACTCGTTACCAACCATACTTTAAACCACCGGGCTCCCCGCCCACCAATTGACCAGCCAAACTGTCTTCCCTGCGAAGGAAACCTACCGTACCCAAACCTCTCACCACGCGAGCGCGTGCGAGGAACCAAAGATCCCAACCGCTGCCAGAACCGCCCCTATCCCCGTTAACCTCTATATCCTCGAACTCTCCTACTGTTAGACACGTCACACCAACACCTGCATATTACGACTCCTCCTCAGAATCAGACCTTGAAATCACGCATACATCCCATCCTTGTGCACGTATGATGACAAAATCTGCAATCATTGAACAGACCACTCCCAATAAGCCGCCGAAACTCCTACCAGGTGAGCTCACCCCAGAGGTAGCTCGTGACTGGGATAATGCGTGCACTATGTACTTCATGCATAAAGGAGTTGTCGCGCAGGATCAGGTAAAAATGATAGCATTCGGAATGATGGACCCACACCTACACACGTGGTACTTGGCCCAACGTGCTGTGTTAGATGCGGGAACGTTCGCAGAGTACATGACCGCCCTCAAGGACGGCTGGATCGATACGCACTGGGATACGAAGCTACGTAAGAAAGTTCTAGGTTCACGACAAGGGACACGCCCGTTCTACAAATGGGCATTGGAACTTCAAAACCAGAATGCATTACTGTATGGGAATATGGCTCACCTCTCAGACGTCCAATTGTGAAACCAACTCAAGGCAAATATCTGCGACGAGCTCACAACATCTGTTCTCAGGGCTCAACTCGCAGATAATCTGACACTTAGAAGATGGATCGAAGAGGTGAAACACCTCGACGATAAACGCCTTGAAGACCTCGCTTCCCATAAGAAGATCGCTGAGGATCTATACAGATCCTCGAAGCGCTCGACCTCCTCCTTCCAAAACAAAACCAATTCCTCATCCAAAACGTTCAATTCATCCTCGCATCTCGGTGCCCTAACGGAGGCGGAACGTAACTTACTCGTCGACCACAAAGGTTGTTTCAAATGTCGGAAGTTCTACGTTTCGCACCACTCGAAGGAGTGCCCCGATGGCACACCTGAAGCCTCATCCTACAAGACCCTGAGTGAAGCAGACACTCTCGCGGCCCGGCCAAAGATGACACGAGCCAAGACCATGGCGGCCGTGGCTTCCGTAGGTGCTGTCATACCTTCATCAGTACTCGAGGAGAGCTCAGGTTTGGAAGATGACAAGTACGTCGCACCTTTTGAAACCGCCCACATTATGTGGCCCTGCCTACTAGCAGGGCCCTCTTCTGAATCGTTTGAACGTGTCGAGGCTCTGATTGACCATGGGTCACATCTAGTTCTTATTGACGAAAGCATCGTCAACAAGCTGGGACTACGAAGACGCAAACTGCACTCGAACATTGAAGCTAATTCAGCTTTTCTCAATTCTTCTTCTGTTTCATCTTGTTCTTTCTCTGAATATGTTCTGTTATCTCCGTCTTCGATTAATCATGATTGGACATCTCGTACGATACACGCAATTATTGCGCCTAGACTTGCAGTTCCGCTCCTCCTTGGAGGACCTTTCTTATCACACAATTGCCTTGTTATAGATCACGAATCTCGAAGCTGTATCGCCAAGGAATTGAATTACGACCTCTTGTCGCCGCCGAAAGTGAGAACAAAAGGACAATCACCAGCACCTTCACGTCGCGAGATCCTTCGTCAATGCAAATTGGTGGTTAAGGAACTACAAAACGTACTGAAAGACTGCAAATGCGACTTAGAGGAACACACTAGCTCAACTTATACGGGAATCGCGGCTGTGCTTCGGAATTGAATCGAAACACTCACTTTCATTGAGAGTAACAAGGAACACCTCGAGCACCTCAACAGAGAGATGCGGAGGAAGTTCGAAGATAGGTTTCCAGACAATATCCCACATATTGACAAGCTACCTACAGACATTGTACACCGAATTCGACTAAAAGATCCTAACAAGATCATACAGTGCAGAAGATACAATACCCCCAGGAAGTACCGAGAGGCTTGGGACGCGCTCCTGAATCAACACATAGCTGCGGGTCGTCTGCGGCCCTCCTCTAGCCCGTTTGTGTCACCCGCCTTCTTAATACCAAAGAAAGACCCAACGGCCTTGCCTCGATGGGTAAACAACTACAGGGCGCTAAACGCCAATACGATACCGGATAATCACCCACTACCACGCATCGATGAGATCCTGCGTGATTGCGCGAAAGGTGAAATCTTTGGGAAGATTGATATGACTAACTCGTTCTTTCAAACCCGCATCCACCCGGACGACATTAAGTACACCGCGATCGACACTCCAAAAGGCCTCCACGAATGGACGGTGATGCCGCAAGGAGGCAGAAACGCTCCTGCGACACATCAATGCCGAATGTTTATCACACTGCGCCCCCTGATTGGAAAGATCTGCCACGCTTACCTCGACGACATCATCATCTGGTCACAAATGGTGGCCGAACACACCAAAAACGTCAAGCTGGTCCTCGAAGTGTTACGAAAAGCAAGTCTTTTCTGCTCGCCCAAAAAGACTTCGTTGTTCTGCACAGAACTCGACTTCCTGGGCCATCATATCTCGGCTGCCGGCATCGAAGCTGACGCTTCGAAAGCCAAACACATCCTGGACTGGCCTGTACCAGAATGCACGAGTGACGTTAGATCGTTCCTTGGACTGGTCCGTTACCTGGACCAATTCCTACCTCACCTCGCAGACCACACTCGCATCCTAACACCATTGACGACAAAGTCTAATGAACAAGAATGGCCTGGATGGACCGAGGAACACCAACAAGCCTTCGATGCGATCAAACGGCTTGTCGTCAGCCGAGAATGCTTGATAATGATCGACCACGACAACATTGGAGAAAACAAAGTCTTCATAACTTGTGACGCAAGCGACTGGCGGACAGGCGCGATGCTGAGTTTCGGACCCACCGCACAAATGGCTCGACCTGTAGCATTTGACTCTATGCAACTAAACGGTGCGCAACTCAACTACCCAGTACATGAAAAGGAATTGCTGGCTATTGTGCGCGCTCTCAAGAAGTGGTGTATCGAACTATTAGGTACCATCAGAGAACCTGTGAACAAATGAGAAAGATATTTAAAGCAATATATAGTAGAGCATCGCAACAATCTTCGTATATCTGCTGACTACTTTTACATGGGAATATTTGATCTTATCGAGGAAAGACGAATGTACAAACACGCCAGCCTAATGACATTATTTGTTTCAGAAGCTTTTAGGTTTGGATGGACGTAAGGAAAAAAGAGCAGGTACAGGTTCATGAACTTCAGTACAGACTGGTACTGAGAGTGTCAAGGGAGGAGGTTGCCATGTGCTAAAGTGAAATAAACTTTGGCGACGTCCCCAGGAATACAGACACATATTATTCGCCCTTCACTGAACATTTTTTGGTTGCTCAGGGTGATGATGATGTGGATGTAGCTCGCTTGAGGGTAAGAGATATGAGTCTGTGTTGCAACCAGACGGTAACAATAGAATCGTACGTGTTGTGCGAGTATTAGTCGACCGTCACTCAAAGAGATATATTTTACGCAGCACGAAAAGCATACAAGTTTGATTAAGTTCAAAGAGTTCACGGTCACGACAATATTTATTAATGATTTAAAACTGGGTGTGGCGCTGTAAGCATACATAGTGGTAGTGCTACATTGTAATCTTATGCAATCATTGCCATCTTCACAATTTGAACCGTTCTGCCCTTTCTAGCCCGGAAGATATGAAGATCTCATAGACTCCTCAACCACCTCACGGGTACCTCAAAGCAAGCGACCGCAAATGTATAACTTGCTTCAAATCTTTGCCCGGCCTTCTGTCATATTCCGCAACTCGACGATCGTATTTACCTGCAAAACGCACCAAAGAGGTCGGAGCATTGTGCAGACATGGCGCCTCTATGACTCAGTACCTGGGCTCGCGAGTTGACAACGGTGAGTCATGCTTCGCATCTGTTTTTCCTTATCTTTCAACGAACATCTCATGTATTTCGCCCCATACCAGTTACATTGCTTCACTTGCGACAGACATCGTGCCTCTATGGCTCAGTACCTGGGCTTGCAAGTTGACAACAGTGAGTCATGCTTCTCATCGGTGTTTCCCTTCTCATTCAACGAACATCTCATATATTTCGCCCCATACCAGTTACATTGCTTCACTTGCGACAGACGTCGTGCCTCTATGTCTCAGTACCTGGGCTTGCAAGTTGACAACAGTGAGTCATGCTTCGCATCGGTTTTTTCCTTATCATTCAACGAGCGTCTCGTGTATTTACAGAAATAAAAACTTGTGGAAACTGATGGGCAATACCGCACATTTTTTTCTAATCATCTACAAAACACATAGATTTGTTAAAATCACCACTTACGAAGGTGTCTTGTCATAGCTAATTAAACGAGCAGAAGAGACTTATTGACAGCTCGCGACGCACTGTCAGATATATGGATTCAAAGACAAATATTTTGATATCGATAATATTAGTAGCATATGGTACAGTGTAAATGTAGGACTGTACTGAATGCAGTGCAGCAAAGAGTATTCGACGCGGTGATTATAGACCCTTGAAGGACAGCGGAAAAAGCAAGCGAAAATATTAAGTAGCTATTCGGAGTCAAACATGACGTCTTCCATCTCTTGTCTCTGCGCAGCAAGTGCACTCACAGACATCCGGGAAGTTACGTCCATCGTCAAGTCTTCCCGATGATTTCTCCTGAAAACTTTTCTGCACAGGGTATTAGCAATGCAAGTGAGTTACTGATGATCGATGACTGACCTAGTCCACCATTCAAGGAGCTCTCTAACTCTGGCTCGTGCCGCCGGACCCGGGGCGTCCTCGAAGAAATCCATGATGTTGTCCCAGAAAATTTGATAATCGAAATCACCATCTACAGCGCGCCAAGACGTGATATTGGAGAGTGCAAAACGGATCTGCAAAAATAAATTTCAGCCTTACAGTCAGGGACAAGCATTGATGATTACTTGGCAAGTTGCATAAGCGATCGCACGAGGAGTGACTTTCCTCATACCTATAATAGAAGCCACACACATTTTCACTTTAGCCTGATCTGATCGTCTCCTGGCACGACAGTTGTTCTCAATGATATTGGCACCATCGCCATCGCCATCCACTTTGTTGGCAGAGGACAGAGAGGTAAAAATAGCTTTGAACCCCTGCGATGCGATGAGATGCGAATCAGTTGGAAAAATCAAGTTACTCACCATGACCAACAGCTTCGACTTGAAAAGACCACATTCGAGATTCTTGGCATCAGCTTGGTAGTCTTCATACATGAATGCCGGCCATGAATTTTCAGACACGATGAAGGAAGTTGTACAGTCGCGAATGCCAGCCTTGACGCTGGACTCGGAATATCAGTGAGATGTGAGCGACGAAGACCATCACTTACATCGGGTCTCCCCAGCGCCATTCCGCTGGGCAAAGTAATTTACTGCATGCATTGTGCACAAAACCCCGATGATGTTTGTCATCCGTTCTGATGAGGGGAGTCGCATTACACTCGATATTCACCCATGATGCCACGAGCTCTTTGAGAGTTCCCGTGTCGTCACCACGAGCTGAATCCGCGCCCTGCTTGAGCTAAATGGAAAATGAGTAAGAAGTGAACAAACTGGTGTTGGAAAGTACCTTTCTGAGCATGTCTTCCAACTCTTCGTGGTCAAGACATGACAACTTCTCATGAAGCCACGGCAATACTTTAATGAATTCAATATAACCACGTTGGAGGCGGTTTTGGCTGTTCCTTTTTGTAAACAAACATGAGGATATGAACAATGATACTACTCACTCCGGAGTGGGGTCGCTGTCTGCGTTATCTTCACAGTGCCGGTCATTTTCTGCAATGAGATCCTCTATGGGAGTGTAAAGGACCACCAACCGGCGAATCGCTCGTCCCTGTGAAATGTAATAGGTCGTCTTCCTAGTGACAATGAGACACTGAAACCGCTTTCAGTGGTCGAGAAATGATGTGCGCACACCTTTGCTTTGTCGCTTTATCTTGCTTCAAAATTTCGACCTCCTCCATGAGGGCGGCAATCTTTCGCTTTGCCCTAGCGTGAGGAGACATTTGGACACAAAGGGATGTGTTCAAAGAAGGTGCATTCTCAGACGACATGCCAGAGATGAAGTGGGGTGAACGAGAGAGTTGAACCTGCGAGGCCGTCTTATATACTTGCCGAAAGCTCTAACGACCTTGTGATCACGTGAAAATCTCTCATGAGTTGTTCTCGAATAAGTAGAGGAAACTCGCTTTACTTGGTAGTCTGTCTCGAGCCCATTTTGGTGATCTGTAGTAGCCCGTGCCGAGCCTGTTTTTGGGTTAGCATCAGAAACCTCGAAATTTGCAAGTTGCGACGGGCATACAGCGTGCGGAGTGCCCTCGGTAATAAATTGCTGGTTGTAACCTAAAGTAGTAGTCACTTCATTGCCATTTATACAAATAGTGTTCTGTCAACCAGTTAGTGAGTCGACTGGCCGAAATGTTCGCTTTAAAGTCTCCCCGACTCTCGTAATCAGAAAAGTAAGTGTCGGTGGCCTTCACGACAGCGACGACAGCATCCAAATGATTTTCACTTCCTTGCATTTGGCACAAGGTGACCGCGGCCAAGTGCGCGAAAGAGATGCGATGCTGCAAGGCTTGTTAGTAACGAGGATCATTGTGATCAGTGAGAATAAAGTCATCATTCCTACTAACATCGGACTTAGTAAGTGACTCATGTAGGCACCAACATTATTACTGATTAGTACCTCTGAGGCGGTTCAGCCCAATGCGCTTGACTTGCTCGGGTGTCAGAAGCGAGTTCTCGGTAGTGGAAAGCATAGGAGAAGCATTCCGTAGTAATGTTTGAGACCTCTGGTGATTGATTGCTAGCTTTGCTAAGGAGGGTTGGAGACAGTGTTTCCATTCCATATGACAAATATTCGAGTTTTACGGATTAGGAAGTTGGTATTTTTGCCACTGATCAGTGAGTGAACAAAGCTGATCCGCTGAGCAACTATTGGCAATACGTCCCATGCACCGTCTGCGCGTTTTCCTGGTATTCGATTGATATATTGGTAGCATAACGACAGCAATGATAACAAGCAATATACAAAGTGGTCAGTCGAAGCAAGCCATCAACTTTCTACCCTTGTGCACGTAGCATCGTTCGTTTTTGGCGACTTATCACCCGAGTAATGATCTGTTGTGCCATTGGCGGCGACCGGTTCAATAGGTGTAGGCTCGCTTTCCGTGGTCGTTGGAGTATCGACTTCCATCGGCAAATGTCCGCTCGACACGGAGCAAACCATCGTGGTGTGTCCACTAGGACCAGCCATGGGTCAAGCCCGCAGCACCCGAACTCAAGATGCCCACACCGATACTAAACCTCCTTCCACCAGCAATGTCCGCATCGATTGAGCAATATCTGGCAGTTTGATGAACATTCCAGCACCTTCCAAATACCCTCCAAATCCATACCTGTCATATGAATACCGGGAGGCCCTCCCAAATGTTGCAGATGTTTGAGTACAATATTCTTGACACATTCCAGGTACTCCGGTGTATTCATATCCTCTGTATTTGACGTAGTCCGGTCCAAAATACTCGTAGTATTCATTCACGGGTATTTCTAGATCATGTCAGTACGAGGTGAGAGAACTGCACTGAAAAAAGGCCAACCCAGTAGTAGAGGCTTGTTGAAGGACTTCACAAATTGACACAGTTGGCATGCCCTGAATGAAAGTTCAGACAAGTCAAGGGTAACACTTTTGGTCATACCTCGCATAGATAGGTTTAGGCAGCCGAGTTTACCGGTATGATACCTGGTGGGTTTCGATCATCAGGACCATGACATGGTTAGACTCTGCAATTAGAAAGCCCTTACCAGAATAACTCAAGAATGCCCAGCACGATGTCTGCGACATGTAATCAGCATGAAGACAACTGTTGCAGAAAGAGTTTGTATGACCATTGACATAGCGAAAGCTGCTTGCTTCACTTTTCTTCGTGTGGTGAAGACCGCCAGCCCAGTTTACGGCAATATCACATTTGTCTCGACTAAGACGTGCAGCACCCTCTGCAGGACGCATGAGCATTGACTTATGATACCCCGTGAAACACTGTTACCCATGGAGCCTCCAGCTGAGATAGAACAGTAGTCGAACAGCCCATCGAAAACGGGATAGTCATCACCAATGTTGTCTGCGAGAGGAAGCCATGATAGTTAGACGACACGAGAAGATGAGAGGCGAGACTACTTGCATTTATGTTGTTCTTTTATGTACGAGTTCATATTGCTGGGGGTGATGTGACTGAGGAACTCAACGTATTCGTCAGAATGAAACTGTGTCATTTTGCATTTTGTTGCAGGTTTGGCACGCTGCGGGAGGTAAAATTAGGGTCAAGTGAACGTCCGTGCATTCGCAGGTGTACTCATGAATATCTCCATTTTCTTGTACACACCATAGTTCATGACCAAGGAATGACACATTTGTATACGAGTTGGTTTCATCCTCACAATCTTCGGCTTGACAGACAACCATAACTCACGGGTGCCCAGGACCATAGTGGAAACCTCCGATGTCCAAGTTGAAGAAGTAACACTGACGGGGAGGTAAGCATGACTCTGATCAACTCCCGGCTGCAAAGAAGATGACTTACCACCCTCTTCTGACCTTCACCATCAAGGGGTATCATGTTTTGTGACATAGTTGTAGAATGAGTATAATAGTGATAGTGAAGGACTGTCAGTATTTAATGGGCAAGCAGCCTTCACCATCCCCAGAATGCTGAGTAGACCGTGCGACCGAGGTCTCTCAGGCTATCTTATCTGTGTTAGTAAGCATCTGGAAGAGCAATCCGAGTTGGTCGCTTCCATGCATTGTTCTGAATATATTCATTAGTCAGTACATAGTATGCCAATACAATGACAAAGTTGTACCGCCGAGCCTGAGCATGATCATCGCTGGTGGAGGATGAAGCATGCTTCGGCACCTTTAGTCAATCTCCTTCTGGACCATAATAACCTTGACACGCAACAACAACTATCAGAGTGAATGTTGCTATAAAACACTAAGCAAATGCGCTAATGATCGGGTTTTGAAGGAATCTATCGAGTTAGAGTTGTATATGATAACACCTGAACTTTAAGAATAAAGTTCCTATAGTAGCACTTAACGTTCTAAGAGGTAAAATTTTCGACCTGAACAGCATTTGTTACCTAATCAGCTGGGTCAACCAATGTTTACCATGTTTGTAGAACTGCTTATCAAACTTCTGCCTTGCATTCCAGTTGCTTTCGCCGGACGTGATTTTACTCAATCAATAATCTTCACGTGTTCATGGGCAGAAGGCGGGAAATATCTTTATTTGAAGATGTACGTTTTATATCTTTTGCTCGCCTCACTCATCACAATGTCAGGCTGGCCTGGGGACGATGAACAATCGCAGGCCGTTTACGATGATGATTCCCCACATCTTTATATCAACTATACTGCAGACCCTCTGATGGGATTACCAATCTATCCTGACCATCGTCATGATCAGGTAGTTCATCACTCGTTTTTGCTTCACCCTGGTCACAATGTGGTGGCCGCAGTCCCAGTGAGTGATCTATACTGAAACTTGAGTCATGCTCATCGCAGTTCGCTAGCAGGCCCAGGGCAGCCACCATGCACTAGATATAGCGCATCCTGTACCCCGATATGGCATTCCTCCGGTTTTCTACACTGCCTGGTCAATGTCGCGGTCTCCAGATCCCCCACTGGCTATGCACACAGGAGGTGCTTCCATGCATCAAAACGTGAGCTACCCTGAGCACGGGTCCAGTCAGCAGCCCGAGATCACGGTGCCAACGTTAAGCCTAGAACCATCGAATATATTATCATCCCAGTCTAGCGTTACCCTCGAGCCTCCCTCTCATTATAATCTCGACGACATCACCCAACACGCAAAGATCAGCTACCAATGCGGTAAAGTTGGCCCCGCTCGCGCAATCTTCAAGACCGCTAAACTTGTTGGCATGGAGCGAGCCCAGCTTGCCAGGGAAATTCAAGCTGGTGCATCTTCTGCCACCGCTCAAAGCTCGTCCAAGCAATCATCTGAGGCTGACGTGAAGATCGTCCCCGGATCGGGCACCAGAAAGCTGTTAGAACGTTTTCAAGTTGGAATGAGAAAGGCGGCCTTCAATGAATCAATATTACTCTCGATCGGTTCCCTTGGTGCAACGGTGGATTCTTCATGGCAAGCCATGGCCAATGAACTCCAAGGCAAGTCTTTTCCAAAGCTCCAAGTAATATACAAGACTGATTGGAAACAGGAACCGATCAGGACTGGGCCATGGAGATGATGAAGGACAAGAATTACGTTGATGAAAAGATGGGATCTGTGATCGATGAAGTATCTGAGGAGATATGTGGAGTGGCACAGATTTTCACGTATCAGTGCTATGAACTCGACTTTAGCGACATGGCCGTGTTGGTGAAGAAGTCAGACATCGACAAACGCGCGAATCATATTCAAGGTCTGCTGAAAGACGACATATTCATTTATGGTAAACTATTCTCTGTAAGTCTAATCCAAGTTTGGCTCACATTTATAACTCAACACTGATATGTCCTTTGAGGTCGATGAAGCTGACCTTGGCACCATCACATTCACTAGCCCAGCCATAATCTGAATGGCTCGATACTTATTGCACGACAGCGCACATTAATATCACAGGTACATCTCCGATGGCAAGTATGGACCAATACTCGCCATGACCGCTGCGGTTTGTGAGTGGGTACTGCACCAATATGAGACAGGTTACTTTGTCGAAAGCAAGTTTTTGCCAGAAGAAAACATGCGCAAAAACACCAAGTACCTGAACATGTTCAACAATATGGGCGCTGAGGTGATTGCTACCCTTATCTTACATTTGACTAGCAATTCTGCATTGACTCAAGCTTCACTCGTTACCTTTTAATATCTTCAGGTTTAAGTTGTTCCCCCAATTCTTACTGCATGCAGTGACAGCGGTAGTCACATTGTACTTGTAATCTCATGATCCCAAGTTCGCTTTTAGGAAATACTAAGGTATTCGGTTCGGTGACTAGGGTGTTTACTAAGTGAGTACGTACTATCCCGGCAAATGCACCATGGAGCTACTGAGACTTCAAAGCTTCAACATCTAGTACCAAACATGGAAATTGAGTGATCGACAAGGCGCTAGATCATTTCAGGTAATCATATGTCCCAACTCATTTGGTGAAATTTGGAATTTTCCATTGAACTGTAATGATACTGACAAACTGAACTAGAGCTTTGGTATAAAGGTCAGGTGGGCAAAGTTACAGTCTACATTGCCTATCCTTAGTGCACGATGTCTCCCATTACTTGTACTCACAATGATCATGTCGATTCTATTCCATCTGTGACTTGCTGGCGCTCTTCTCGTCAGCACTCTTGTATTCAGACTACTGCGTGTGCACGTAAAGAACTGCCCAATGTTGACGAGGAAAAGATCAATTGCACTCGTGCCATTCAGTCGTGGTACGAGTCAGAGGCGCCGGAAGGGCAACTGACAAACCAGGAGTCTCTTGAGAAAGGTAATTGTCCGTTCGTTCTCAATGGTGACTTCAAATACTCACATCAACTTACTACTAGTCAAATTTTGGATTCCTTTGAACACTGCCAATACAAACAAATCTACGACATACGTCGACCATTTTTATGCCGAGTCTGACCTGAGTCCCCTAGATATGTTCGATTCTATGAGGGCCGCGATGGATCTTCCAAAGACCTACGAGCATTTAGGCTGGCGCATATCTACAGCCCGCCATATGGACCCGCCGCATAGACTTTTGACAGCCGAAGATATCAAGAGTGCTTTCAAAGCTGCAAGAGCAGAACAGCTCTCTGGACGGCACAAGAAAAAAGTTGCAATTGAAGTCGTAGATACTGTACGTGCCTTGCTAATCATAAGTTTCTCGCACGATATGAAAGTACTTGTCACAGCAGATGCCTGTGTTAAAAGGGACAGCGGCAAAGCAACATGCAGGTACTACGCGTTCTGCAGGCGAGCAGAACCATCTACCCGGCACATCCCATTTCGACGACGAAGTTCGTATCTCACGTAAGGAAGGAACCGCGTCCCTTCAGCATGTGCCAACCGAGCTCATATCACCCATAATCCACAATCATGTTCATCTCCCATCTGCGATCAACGACATGTGGGCTTCCGGGTCTAATGGCGTACTTTCTGAACAGCAACATGACAACTCCATGGCTCCTCGACCCCTCAAGAGGACGTATGCACTCTACTTGGAGAGTGACGAAGACACCGATATGAAGAACTGCCGCAAGGCATCGATGAAGTCCTTGCGAACATCCATTCTCACTACCCTGATATGAACTTGTCGCAATACACGAAATCGCTGAAGGAGCATGGCATATTTTATCTGCCCATCGCAACACATTTTAATAGTAGATTTTATGTGGAAAAGGTTGGTATGTCGGAGGGCGCCGCATTTACATTTCACACTTGCATTTCTAAAGCTCACATGAAGGATGGACGTGCGAAGGCGAGAAGGAAGGCGAAAGGGAAAAACAGGGCACAAGCTGACGATAAGGAAAATTTTCATGCTCACTAACGCTCTCAAATAACTTAAATGTGCATTCTTTGTGTGTATACTCCGTGTATTCAAGTTATATAGTATAGTATATCACCATAACTACTAGTAGCAAATAGAGTACTCAGTGGTTGGATCAAATACATGCAATCAGCAGATATACGAAGATTGTTGTGATGCTGTATTATATATTGCTTTAAATGACCTTCTCATTTGTTCATCGGTTCTCTGATGCTTGGTCTGCCGTAATCGATGCCAGCGCTGATGAGTGCTACATCAGCACGAATCCAAACGGTCCCTACTGGAACTATCCCCTCAATCCAAAGTTATGTAGTATCTGCAGCACTCTACAGTTCTTGATATTGTCGTACACAGGTGCTCGTTCAAGCTAACTACTGGTATCTCAGAATTTATAGTAGTACTACTCTGGGCATTTTGCAATACCATCAGAAGATTCCGGATTGAAATTCAAAGGAGTCACCCGGAGGCGGACTCCAAACCTTGATAACAATCTGCCATCCTCCATACTAGTCCTTGCCATAGTAGTGCATCTATTGATAATCATAGTTGACTGTGCCCTCAGGGTTACAGTGAGAGCTGATTTTCATCCTAGTTCACTTTCATTGTACCTGTCATATGGCGGACCAACAATCCCCAACTTCAACCACCACAGCACCAGTGGCAAGCCCTTCTCACCAATGGGATTTTATGCATGGGAGAATTGGCAAAGACATCAGTATAATCATGTGTATCTTCCAATGGAATGGCATGATCATGGTCTTTCTCAAGAGCAACTGGTGCATGGTGGAGATGACAAGGTTAACCTCATTGCAGGCAAGCACGTCCCTTCTACGTCCTCAAGTTAAGCGTTCATCTCAGTATTGTAGCATGTTAAAAGGTACACCTGAAGCAAGGAGTAATGTTATCAAAGTCTCAAAGGTGGTGTGCTTGATTGGATTATCCCCAGGTAGAGCAGCTGGTGCATGGTGGAGATGATGAAGCTAACCTCATTGTAGAGCTGGCAAGTACCTCCCTTCTACGTCCTCAAGTTAAGCGTTCATCTCAGTATTGTAGCATGCTAAAAGGTACACCTGAAGCAAGGGGTAATGTTATCAAAAGTCTCAGAGGCAGTGCCCTTGGTTGGATTACCACCAAGTAGCAGAGTCTCCGTCCCTGCTCTTGCTCGCAACCTGAAGGTATATGGCGTGCGATCTATGTTCTACAGATATTCTGCTGTGCATAAGAACATGCTGTCCAAGCAGAGGAGCCCCCAATGGAGAACCTCATGGAGGTGACGTCTTGCTTCATTATTTCTGACTGGTGTACACTCATAGCATACCACAAAGACTCGGCCAAGGACACCCTCTTCCGTGATTGCGTCTCAGACGCCGCGGACCTTAGAGTTGACACTTGCTGACGAAAGCATACGTATGCCACGGCGAGCTGTCATAGCGAAAAAATTTAGACAACACTGACGATCTAATGAAGGCCTCCCCACCATGCCGGTGCCCACACCCACTCCCGTGCTCCCTCCCATTACAGCTGCAGTCACCGGACTCAACAGCCTCCTGGCTGACATGCCATTCACATCGATCGCTGAAATTCCAGACAACATGTCTTGTGCTACCTCAGCAAAGACGCCGTCATGCGCCTTGCTTGTGTCGCTAAGGGGGTCACCATCGAATCTGCGACACCATTATCCCATTGCGAATTTGCATCATCGCCAAGCACCCGCACAATTTTCACCTGTCAGGATCAGAATGTGCATCTCCCTTTCTCGACCTTGTTCATTCCGACGTCTGTGGTCCAATCCCCACCGTCACTCCTCACAGCAAGCATTATTTCATTCTCTTCCTGAATGATCACACGCACGCTCTCAACACCGACACCGAAACCCAGGACTTTGGTTAAGCCTACTTCTAATAGATGATATCTCCAAAACCAGAACCTGAAGACAAAGACAAAGATGAAACATACCCCACCACCACCTGCCCAAGCAGCAACGTTGGAATAAACATGGAAGTGTCCATCATCCACTCATCCACCATGACAATCTACTAATTTCTCCGTATTCCCAACAGTCTCCTGATCTCATTCAACTCCCGCCAGGAATTCTCGACATATCTCATAGTCTCCTCCAACTCCTGCTCCCTCCGAAATGCCATCAAAGTCAGCCAACACTTGTCTTTGTTACGCACTCAAATAGATCTGTTAGGCGGAGCCCTAAGAGGGGCGTCGTCCGCTAACGTTCGTGACGTAACCGGAAGGATCCGGTATAGCAAGTGAGACTGGCGACGATGAGTCGGCAGCGATCACAGTACGCGCGTGTCATGTGACTTCGTAGACGGATGTCTGAGAAGTCACTCAAGGTCAGGACTGTCTTGTCCGGACAATGAGGTCGATCGAGGTAGACTTAGTCGCGATGAGCGACTAAGAAAAGATACTAGAGACTGAAGCTGAGGGGGCTTCAGAGAGAAGTATGTTCCAGGGAAGATTGAGTAGATTCAAGTTAAAGAATCTAGTACAAGGTGACCGACTACTTATACTAAGTGGAGAGGGTTAAGGGCAAGGCTACCGCACAGTAGGTAAGGGTAAAGGGGATACGAAAGTGGTATAGGTGTGTTGGCAACATAGCCGGATTAGTGATGGGTGGTCGAATGTGGAATGAGACCGAGAAACGTTGGAACGGACCAACGGTAAGAATACAACGTGCGGGAATCCGCAGTCAGGGGAAACAGAAAGAGGAAAGCCACATTGGTGGCACGAGTCAGACCGAGTCATAGGTGCAGGACCACATTGGTGGTCGAATCAGAGGAGGAACGTGCGTGCACGTGCATAGAGGCGGGCGATGCGAGGGACGGGAACGGTCCCGAGGATCCGGTCAACGGAAAGGCGGTAAAGGAGGACGAGCCGGTAGATGGTGAGGGCGAGGATGAGGGGAAAATGATAGGGGGGCCACGTGACCAATGTTACTTGTAACAGTCTTCATCTGTAGTTGTAATCAGCTCGCGCTGCAACGCAGAGCGGTGATTTTGAATTCGGTCCTGAGCCGTTCACGTTGTATTGTTCCATATTGCCTAAAATCTGTTAGTAAATGGTATCTACAGTAGTAGGTGCCACATACGATCACTGAGTCACCGATGATTAATGGTCCTGGGACGTTTAACAGTTCTGGGACGATCAACGGTTCTGGGACGATATGGTCTAGTGGTAGTTGCTGGTGGGTGAGTCCGATACGGTCAGGTGAGCTACTAGGCAGACCTTCAAGAAAATACTTACCACTGGCCCTTGCGCTTGAAAATTGTACTGATTGTTATGGTGTAGGTCAAAAAAAGTGTTTTGCTCCATGGTATGTAGTAGTACTTGATCTTTGCTGGTGCTAGCGCTCGTCGCGGCTGTATAGTAGTGGCAAATGGAGCTGAGTTAGAATGTTTGCCTTTTTTGGATAAACTTCAAGCGGCCAGCACCACTCAGACTCACTGACTTTCTTTTTTTTTTTCAAATTTCAGTAACATGGACTCGCGAGCCATTATCTCTGCCAGCGCACAAGTCGTAATAGGTCCGGACTTGAGTGCGTTTGACGAGGAGGAGAAGCAGACGTCCAAGACGCGTACGTACACAGGCTTTCACGCATCTTTATACTCAACTGATGTTGCATTAACTTGTGATCCTATGTGCAGGCTGCAGGAGGTACCATCAACTCTCCACGCTTCGCGTAGAGAAACGACTATCTCAACGGAATTTGAGATGTGGTCCTCCACTCCATTCAACCCCCCGTTCCGATACACGAACACTCTACTGGTGAGGAACTAACAGCCGGTGCGTGCCTATCAAACCACATAATTTGGCAACTTCACCAATCTTAATGCAGGCACATCTGTGTTACAGAGTACCACCTTGCGTCGCGATCCACCCAAGAGACGCGGGCGATATGCCCAGGCTACGTACTTAGACAAGTGTCCACCTTATTTCAATTGTCTTCTTCCAGCGTTCACCTGCATGTCACAGACATGACTTGTTACACTGGTGGCGAAACTGTTTTTAGCAACCACCAAATGTGTGACATTACTAGTACGCCCTCGGAATGCATCGACATGCTATATACTAATCTTGGTAGACCGCAAGATCTTGGACATGCTTTCCGACCGTTCCTCGCAAGTCACATTCAGTTGCGATAACTCCACTGCGACATGCAGCTTTCAGTTCTGGACCGCACAACAAGAATCCTTTTATTGTACGCTGGACACGTGCTCTTCTGAGGCCCAACCAGGATACGACACGAACACTCAAGTTTCAGGGTTCCATGTACGTAGAGTAATTGAATTGACGTGTTCATGTCCTCACAATCTCATAGCCCATACCCATACCCAAACCCAACAACACCAAATGGATTGCCCTAAGCTCTGCTGGTGCAGGTTTGATTGTTGTCCTGACTGTTGCAATTCTGTGGTACATCGGTCGATCGCACAATGGTGGTGACTTCGGAAAAATCAGCCTGCCGAAAAATGAAGCTTCGAAGCTCATGACAGACCATGTCCCCGCATCCCTCCATTTTTCGAATATATCTTACTTTCTTGGCAACCGCATTATCCTCGACAAAATTTCTGGGGCTGTCAAGCCAGGTCAAGTCATGACGATTATGGGTGCATCCAGCGCGGGTAAATCTACCTTCCTTGATATTCTTGCTCGCAAGCACAAGATGGGCCAAGTCAGTGGCAAGACACTCGTCAACGGGCGAGAGGTCGTGGACGCGGAGTTTGAAAAGGTGGTGAGTTTTATGGATCAGGAGGATACATTAATGAACACATTGACGGTATATATGCGCTATTGCGACTCCTGCAAGAGATGATGAGCTTAGAGACGAAGAAGTACAGGACACTTGAGACAATGAACGAACTCGGTATCCTGGGTATCAAGGACTCGAGAATTGGTGACTCTGGTATGCTTGATGTCTGCTCAGGTTAAGGACGCATACTAACTGTTGTGTAGGATGCTGGTCAATATCTAGAGGGGAAAAGAGACATGTCTCGATAACCTGTAAATTGGTCACTAGCCCTTCGATATTGTTCTTAGATGAGCCTACAAGTAGTGAGATTATGCTTTGACGACTCCCAATAACACGCTGACATTGTACAGGATTGGACTCTTATAATGCCTTTAATGTTGTTGAGAGCCTGGTGACCCTTGCACACGATTGTAATCGGACTGTTATCTTCACCATTCATCAGCCTCGCAGTAACATTGTTGCCTTGTTTGATCATATTGTCCTCCTGGCTCATGGGAAAATGGTGTATTCTGGAGAATTCGCCTAATGCCAAGAATACATCGCTAGCATCGACCAGCCATGTCCACTAGGGTTTAATATCGCGGATTATCTCAGTAAGTAGTGTTATGATTCTACGGTACTGTGCAACTGACCTCTGTCATAGTCGACCTAACAGTGCATGCTGGACTTGAACCACGAAACCTGGACTCTCCTTCTAATAATGCGGTATCATCAACGTCTGGTGACAACCTTTTACATGAGGAGCGTGCCGTTGGTGCATCATCTGTACAATCACGAGGTCGCTCTTCCACTGCGGTGGAGGAAGAAACTGAGCTCCGAACACGTGGCGTCTCTTTCACATCCTCAATCAAATGCAAGACCTCGGAGTTCCTGGAAGCTGTCCGAAGCTCACCATCTGGTAACAGCACACTTACTCCCAAACTTGCGCAGCGTGTCGAGGCGTACCCTACGAGTGAAGTTGCACAGTCGATCAAGGCCGAGACAGAGGAGGTTGCTACTGCACAGCATGGAGTTGATGCATCACATGCGGATGGTGAACTGCGAGACGTTGTGGTTGAAAACTCTTACTGCGGGATTGGAAAAGAGCCAGTTGGGGAACGCAGTTTACGATTTTGAGCGGTCGTGCGTTTGAGAATCTCTACCGTGATCCGGCATTACTGGCAGCTCACTATCTATCCTCTGTCGTACTGGCTTGTGAGCCATCACCTTTTCTTGTGATTTCATATATTCATATACCTTTTCTCAGTGATCTGTGGCCTCTGTTCATAACATCAGCGATGGCATCGCAGGCTTCCAGAACCGGCTTGGTGAGTAGTCTTGTGATAGTTTATTTTATTTGACTGATAGCATTCAGGCCTTTTCTTCACATTGTCGCTCTTCGGCTTCTCGTGCTTATCTAGCCTTGCATTATTTGCGAACGAGAGAGTCCTTTTCATGCATGAAAGGTAGGGAAATTCTTACAAAACATGTTTCCCGCACTCATTCTATATATATCAGAGCAAACAGCTACTATTCGACCTTCACCTACTTCTCTTCAAAGGTAACATCAATTTAATCAGACTGTATTTGTTTTCTAATTTGGCCCTTGGTCAGGTTTTGTTTGATATCCTGCCACTCCGCTTGGTGCCTCCAATTGCCTTTGGTGGCATTGTTTACGGCCTAGTTGGTGCCTACAGTTCCGGCTTTTTGGAAGTTTATATTGACACCCGTGCTATTCAATTTGACAACAGCAAGTGTGATCCTTCTATTGTCGATAGCATCTACCAGTACCGGCGTGGCGAGCTTAGTTGGCACCTTGGTCATGCTTTTCAAGTGAGCCATCCTACGTATCTAAATTCCAGCAGTGTTAATTGATCATCACCACAGCCTCTTCACAGGCCTCCTGATCAACAGGGACACTGTCACACCTGCTTTGCAGTGGTTGCATACTGCCTCATTCTTCCACACTGCTTTCGAGTCGCTGGTGCGTGCCTATTAAACCACATACTTTGGCAACTTCACCAATCTTAATGCAGGCATGTCTGTGTTACAGCGTACCACCTTGCGTCGAGATTCACCCAAGAGACGCGGGCGATATGCCCAGGCTACGTAAGTCCCCCCAGACGATGCTTGCTGCTCACTAACTCCCTGACTCAAACCAACAGTGATGCCACCACTATCAATTCACGCTTTACTGTAAGCAAAGAACCTAATCATGGCGTGAAGTATGATGAAGTAGTCAAGAGCCGTGAGGGGTGAAAAAAGATGCTTGCTGACGATTGTGAATGTTGTCGTGGTGTGCGTGTCCATTTTTCGAAAAATCATTACTCAATCTCCATGCGTCCTAAATAGTACTATGAAGGCATTGGACCACTGCCCAAACCTCTCCAGAAACCACTTTGGTGTTCACCCTCTTCAACACCTACTAAGAAATGCCAGTTATCCTTTGACAGCCTCTCAGACTGCAAGGAAAACTGTGAAGACATCGAACACCACAAGACAGAGATATCACGACATCAGCACCATTGGTATCGTGCCAAGACACCATCCGGCTACTGGGACATCGGTTTCCCTGACACACAAGAGACATCAACCGACGTGCCGCAGAGATGTATGCACAGAAATTGGTAGAGGCTGAAAACAAAGCACGGTATACTAACATCCATATTCTCCAGACTTCTCTAAACTGATTGCATCGCGTAGGAGCGGCAAGGGACGATATGTCTATTCCGTGCTATCATCGACCCTGATCAGTGTTCCTTCGCACTAGCCTAATCGCCTTGTCGATCTTGTCGTACTTCTTCCTCGCCGACGGATCCGCGTTCAGGTAAGGACTATCCAAGTTAGTGAGCGCGCATGGTGTTCAAACTAATTACACACCTTATTTTCCTCCTGAAGCCCAGGACCGATGGCCAAATCACAACTACAATAATGTTCCCCACTTCCCCCTTCTTTGGAATCCGACAACTATCCTGTGGATGGACGATCAGTGAGGAACAAGCCATCGTATCGACACTTACAGTGTTTTGCGGTCCCATCGACACTTCTATACCGTGATATGGATTGATATTGCGATTTGGGATTGTCGATGAGCGCCGTCTTGAAGGGCACCCTTTTAGGTACTGATTAACTAATCACCCGGAATTCGAACTTTGAAGTTCTCGCTGCAGGTGTCTTCATCAGTCACCCCATTGCCAGGAAGTGAGTGGCGGAGTTACTGTTTGCCATTTGCGATGGACTTACATTCATTTGACCAGCAACAAATGGCTCAACACATACTGACGCAGTTTGAAGACCATCCTGATGCATGGACAAGGGTTCCTGACGTTTTGGAGAGATCCTCATTCCCGCAGTCAAAGGTACTGTGTTAACTGTTCTACAGTTCCTAGAAGCCCCTGACTTTAGGAATGTGACGCTCAAATGTCTAGCGGAGATTGCTGGATTGAACGTGGGCCCAGAATATAATCCAAAATTTGTCATATTGTTTCCCATGGTCATAACCTCCGTCAACCGCTCCTTCTACCAACATCGCTGCGGTATATTCTTCAGCATCAGACGCCGGTCAGGAGCTCATTCTTAACCTCGCCCTCTTCCTCTCCAACTTCTTGTCCACCCATCTTCACGCTGGCGAGACTGAGGCGAACCGTGATGTTCTGTTAAATCCACATCTTTGCATGGTCAAGATCTCCCAAGTTGACGAGCAAATTTGCAAAGCAAGTCGATGGTTGCATACGTACTACGATTGCTGATTCGTTTATGATCAGAGGTCCTGGTATCACTGGCACGGCAGGTTCCAATTGAGTGCTTGGCTAATAGCATTTAGTAGGCAGCGCGATACTTCGCTAATCGACTTACCGTGGGTTCTGGTTGTGCTTGAAAGTAGTTTTCCATTGTATGTAGACTCGAGGATTGTAATATACAACGTTAATGATTATCGAGTTGAAGGTCCTACTTACTAGCTAGTACTACATGTTTCAACATGCCTACCTTTTTCGGCACAAATATCTGCAAAATTTCCCATCTGTCAAACCAATATTGTCCAAGATTACCGAGTCGACGACTGACTATCGCTCAACTAGTTGGATCACCCTGAGATTTGGTGTTTGTCCAACAACCAATTATTAGGTCTGACTATCAGACAAAGTCTTGATCCCCCTCGGACACCCACGCCGACACGTTGTTTTTGTTTGTATTTATTTATTACCTTCCTTGTCACTGAACTTGTTATATTCATACTCCGGGCTTGCCAAGTTTCCGAGCGAGTCGCTCCATGGCCACACCTAAGTTATGTTCGATATCTCAATTTGAAACTTCCACACATTACATAGTTTTCCAACACATCTGTCACTAGGTTCGAATTCGTAATTCAAAATTTCATAATGATTCAGGCCTTTCAGAATATATTATCAATGTGGCACACTACTTTGGTTCAGAAGTTTGGAGTTTGAACGTCGGACTGCGGATTTCACGCCGCAGTTCAGGCAAATTTTACCCTGCGGCCTGTGGGCTGAACGTTCCCAAGTACTGGTACACCTGACCTTGCAAACTTCCAAAGGTAAACATAACATTTCCAGCTATAGTAAGCGCTCTTAGTTGCAGTGTGATCATACAAATGACAAAGGTATGGTGCAGTAATACCAAACTCGGATCTTTCACAGATACTTTATAAGTAAGTGATTCACAGCTTCCTGCACTTCAGCTTCAAGGGCAATCAATGAATTACTAACTGTAGTCACCGTGGGAGCCAGTCGTTTTAGAAGTCCGCTCATATTCTCACACTAGTATTGAAAGGTGTCAAAATCAGACAAGGACACAGTCAACATTCACCAAGATCCTTATGCTCACTGTGGCAACGCCTCTCCACTATCAACGATGTCTTCACCTGGTGTTCCTCCTATTTCTCACATATTCGACTCTAGTGATGATAAATCCATGCACGATAGTGCTCATACCCAGCGTCGTCGCGATAACTCTAGTAGGAGAATGAGAACCATAGACTCCAGCTCTCCCAGAGTTGCATGCCTTCCACCCGTGATATATCATATGTCATGCTATGCAAAATGTGCTAGCTCAAGGTTCAAGCCCTATCAGCCGGGCAAGCATGTTCCTACAGCCCTTGAGCACCGTTTCTTGGCGAAAAACATCCTGAAGCACAATGAGGCTGATATCAGTCTGATAGATGTCCAGCAGGTATGTTAGCCTCATTTGTACCACAGATCCAGTCATTGACATATCATCATACTAGGGCAAAGAAATCTTCAATAGAAGCATGCAGTACATGTCAAATGCGACTCTCCGGTCAGCTGCCATTGCAAAGCGAGCTGATGCTGAAAGCAAGTGTTTGCACGCTCTCGCACCAGCGTGGGACCTTGAGTCAACTGAAAGACATGCTGTACTCCTTCAAATGATTCTCAAGGACAATGCGGAACATTATCTTGATAGCCTTGCAGAGGCAACCTTTTTCGAATCAGTGATGGTCAAACGTTCCCACCAGCAGCTCGAAGATGATGCAGACTTCACTATCGCTGCGTATACTCATGACATAACGGCACACAGTATAGCAGACAAGCAACTTGATCATCTAGAAGAGATTGGTGCTGAGCGGAACTTGTCTTTGGAGGACCCAGTCGGCATGGATTCGGAAGATGTTGAGCATCGCTTCGATAAATACTTGGATTCCATCATAGGAGAGGGGAATAATATGATCATGGTTGCCTAAGGTGAGGTGACTGTTATATACTGCAGTGTTCTGCAATATTGATCATGATTGTAGTTCAAATGGCAGTACAAACAGACCACCTGGGTATCATGCATGTCAGCGATGTACATCCCATCATTCCCCTTTCCAAGTATGTACAACACTATTTTCCCTCGCAGCAGCAGAAGAAGAAGAAGAGCAGCTTTATTAGTACTGCATCATTGTTCACTACCATTGACCAGGACATGGTCATGATTCTTTAGTGATGATGATAGTACAAGATGTACGCTATAGTAGTACATCAATAACTTATCATTACTTTTTGGAAGTGATCATGGTAATACAGCGAGAGTCGATGGCATCAGCTGGGATTCTTTTCCGTGCTCGCTGTCCCATTCAAAGTTCATTTTATCCTGAACTCGGCAGAGTAGTGTTTGCCTAGCAGGAGTCACTGCCTGTCTGATATGGCCCTTCGCGTCACGCTGAGTGACTTATTTGTCATAATACATTGATCTGGTCAGTGACCGTCTCACTACGCCAATTAGTATCAACTTGAATGTGCAATGCACATTTTTGAACGTTTCTGGATTGGCTTATTCTTTTTTCTTCTAATGGTGTCTTGTAGCGCACTGGGTTGTTCTTTGGAAAGCCGGGCCACTGACAACCGAGGACTCAGCAGGCATCGCGCGACGTGCCGTTTCTATAAGAAATCTAGCACTCTAGCCAGCCATAGGAGGCAAGAACGGGCGAAAGAGGCCGTTTCTTCAAGCTTGGTTCTGCCTCGTTCAGGCAATGCCACATCAGTGGGTGTCCTTCTGCTTCAAATTTGAACCTCCAGTCATTGTCGACCTCAGGGAATATCTGCTATTCGACACGTACACATGAGAGACCGCTCAAGTTTGAAGCCAATTGCTCCTTGCAGGCTCTTTGGGCCCATGTCTATAGCCGTTGCAGACTCGCAGATGGAATATGAGGAAGCAAACACCTCGAACTATGATCTAGGTTGGTGTCCCTTTTGAGTTGCAACTGTTTCATCAATTGTCATTTTTCAGAGGAAACTAGACTACCAATAAGGAGAATTCCGAGAGCTTTCTGTGATATTGACGTCTCACAGGATGACCTCAACCACTCGGATAATACCAACCTCTCGTCGACCAACCTCTCGTCGGCTCAAAGCTCGACTTTGTTACCCACTCGGTCCAGAATTCAGCGCGTTCTTCTGATGCTCAGGGACACTCTAAAGACCACCTATAACTCATTCGGTCTCTGCTGACTGTACCCTCGTCGTCCCTCCTTCGAGCCAGATAAATTTGTACCATCTTCGTTGCTTTCAAGGACGTCCCCATCGGTTAGCCAACTTGAAGAAACTGATTCTCAACAACAAGGTTTTTCAGCGCCTTACCCCTTTGCTAATATGACTATTTATTGACTCATGTCCTGGATAAATTCTGGGAGTGCTCTGTTGTCTGAAACTAAAGTCTCGCGCTTGGTTAAGGATGTGATCCTGGCGGAAGATTTTGACCCCAAGCACCTTGAGAATTTCTCCGTGAAGCGAAGCTTGCGAGAGCTGGATAGAGATGAGCATGGGAAAAGGATTACCTTTCCTGATGATTGGATCGAGACTGGCGTTACCATTAATATTCCAATGAGATCAAAGGAGGATGGCCCTCAGCCCTATACTATTCCTGGATTTCACTATCGCCCACTTGTTGAAGTATTACGCGCTGCATTTGCAGATGTTCAAGCTCGGGCATTTCATCTCCTCCCGTTCAAATGGTTGTGGAAAGATCCTTTGGATGGCCACGAAGAACACGTATTCGACGAGCTCTATGCATCTGATGCATGGCTGGAAGCTCAGGACAACATTCAGAAACTACCCAGGGAGCCCGGTTGTTCACTGGAACACGTCATTGCTGGTCTGATGTTCTTTTCAGACACCACTCATCTGGCAAACTTTGGGACCGCCAAGGCTTGGCCACTGTACTTGTATTTCGGAAACCTAACAAAATACGCAAGGTCATCACCCCAATCGGGAGCATGCCACCTAGTAGGATTTTTTCTGTCAGTAAGTTTACATGTGTTCACTGTAGTCACCTTTTGCTGCTGATGATGTCAGCTTCCTGATAGCGTCAAAGACATTTTGAGTAATTTATCTCGCATATCGAAGACTGGCATGGCGTCTCTTCAAGCCCACTGCCGCCGGGAGGTGTTTCAATCCTGCTGGGAAATCTTATTGGATGAAGACTTCATTCACGCATATCGTCATGGCATCATTCTTAAATGTGCTGACGGAGTACGGCAGAGGGTCTTTCCCCGGATCTTCACATATTCCGCGGATTACCCTGAAAAGTACGTTCCTCTGCACACCCACTTCAAGAATGCTAAAATACTGTTGATTCACAGGGTATTAATTGCCACCATCAAGGACATGGGATTGTGCCCTTGCCCCCGGTGTCTCACGCTGAAAAAATTATTCAATTCTCTTGGGCTCGTGAGAGACATGAAAAATTGAATGACAAACCTTCAGGTATATGTTCTGGCGAAGGTTAAAAAGGCTCACGAGTTTATCTGTAATGGAAGTACTGTTGACGGTACAAAGGTAGAACATAGTCTCGGTGAGGGCTCATGGGTGCCTGTTGTCGTGAGTGCAACTACTTCCTTACATTTATATTGACTGCATGTAATCTACTGTAGAATCAGTTTGTCAAAAAGCTCGGACCGCTTGGCCTCGATGCGTTTGGCATGCTGGTGGTCGACTTCATGCATGAGTGTGAACTGGGCACCTGGAAATCACTATTTACGCACCTCATCAGGTTGCTCTATGCACTCCCTGGTGGCAGTCAGTTGGTGGCAGCGCTGGACAGCAGGTATGAAGAGTCTACACAAAGCTTTGTTACCTGCTAACTAGTAGTTGACTCCCAAACTTCCATAGGTTTCGAGAGATTCTGACTTTCGGCAATGGTGTAATCCGCAAGTTTTCAAATAATACCTCTGACATGAAGAGATTAGCAGCGCGCGACTTCGAAGATATCTTACAAGTTTGCTGGTTATCTATTTCCTGTCTTATGCTGGTTGACGCCTTTCTAGTGTGCCATTCCGGCCTTTGAAGGGCTGTTTCCCAAACACCACGATGCGATAATACAACCTCTACTGTATCGATTTGCCCAATGGCATGCGCTCGCTAAGCTCAGGCTTCACTCAGAGTCCACCGTTACTTTCCTGGAAGAAACCTTCAAGAAGCTGTCTGGGATGCTGAGAAAGTTCCAACACTATACCTGCACGGCATTCAACGCCGTGGAATTACCCAGAGAGAGGGCAGCACACCAACGAAAGGCTGCTCAACATCCTGAAGCTAACAAAATCTCAGCTGAATTGAGTGGGGCTAGGCCAAAGAAGTTTAATTTAGGTACCTATAAATTCCATGCGATGGGAGATTATGTGAGAACCATCCGGTTCTTTGGCACTACAGATTCCTTCACCACTCAGATTGTACGTACCGTTGGCATTCCAACTATGTGTCTGAAATTAAGTTGACATAGGGAGAGCTCGCTCACAGAGCCCTGAAGGTGTTCTATCCGCTGACTAACAAATTAGATACCCCAGCGCAGCTGGCAAAGCATGAACGTAGGCGTCGGGTTTTGCGGCGGACAGAAGTAGGAGGCACCTCGTCCCCTGGCAATCAATCAGGAGCCAATGCCCCCTGGTCAATGTCCTCAGAAAAGCATCATTATATTGCGACCAATTGGAACAACGCAGTAAAAATAATCACGTTTATCCAGGAACACGAGGGTGATCCAGCTGTCAAGGTAGAAGCTACATTGGACACGCCTACACCTTGCTCACATTGATTGTCAGGAATTCATACCAAAATTAAAGGACCATATCCTCTATAGGCTGCGGAAGCTAGACATTAGTTATTGCGATCATGTCTTCACTGACCAGGAACGTAACTCGGTGATCATCCCAAACAATGTGATGTACTCGGTGCAAACGATGCAGGTGCATTACACCACCTATGACCTGAGGCGTGAGTATGACATCATCAATTCCCGAACTCACAGGGACGTTATGGTGCTGTCAGGGGAGAGGAACCCTAGGCACCCATACTGGTATGCCCGAGTATTACGCATTTATCATATGGAGGTATGGATTAAAGACGAGCATCCGCCTGTGAAACGGTACCTGGACGTTCTATGGGTTAGATGGCTGGCACCTCTGTGGACCCATAAATCTGGCATGAACCATGCTCGCCTTCCGAAGATTGCATTCGTGGAAGAATCGGACCCAGATGTGTTTGGCTTCCTCGATCCAGGACAAGTCATCAGAGGAGCGCATTTGATTCCGGCAATTGCATCCGGACGCAGTATAAGTTCACTCCACTACGGAAAATCACTGGCACGTCCTCAGGGGGAACTGGACGATTGGGAGGAACACTACGTCGGGATGCAAGTGTAAACTTTCCTTGCCCTTGCATTAATCCTGACAAAGCTTTTCAACTAGATTTGTTGATAGAGACATGTTTATGTGCTATACCTACTTTGGTGTCGGTCATTCAGTCACGGTCCGGAGAATCACACGAGACACTCTTGGTACAGATTCAATGGTAAGGACCGAAGCCATGGACGTTGAAGACAGCAAGGAGGATATGGATGGTGGCGAAGATTATCAAGAATGTGACGATGAACAAGAGGACATCGGTGACGAGGATGATGAAGAACTCGACGATGACATTAGTGAAGAAGAAGTAGACTCAGAGGGAATGGACAGCGAGGGGCATGACGATGAGGACAAGTTCGAGGATCATATCTCTTTCTAAAACTCCCTTCCAATCACATTCTATTACTCGAGTCGAATTTATTTTAAAATTAAGTTTTGAACTTCAGATCGAATGCAGGAGAACATATAAATTCACAGCACCGTCACTGCATGCTAAAGCAGAGATGTGCGGGTAAATATGAGGACAAGTACTCACTGATAATCTGATCAGCCATGGCGTACTCAGGCGGTCACGGGTCATGGGTACGGGTCACGGTAGAGACCTGTGACCAACTCTCAGTTAAACTCGCACGAGCCGCCACTGCATTCCTCTGTTTTTATGTCAGTTTCCGCCAGCTAATCTGTCTCGATTGAAGAAGGGTTGGAGGACAACCTTCACACCATGTAACACTGCGAAGTGGTAAGTGAATCGATAACTATCTCTCTGCTACATTGGAACTCACGCTTTGTCAAAGTTTGGATCTTATCACTCATGTAATTTGGCCTTGGATCTAGTACCTGTTCATGCAGCCAGAAACATGAGTTGTGGTTCTCCGATCGGATTGTTCGCCCCAGGAAGGCACAAACATTCACAGCGCACCACAACCAATATTGCTTCAGTGACCTTCATCCTCCATCCCTTACACGCTCAGACACCTACTGCCACCGCGAACACATACCCATTTTCATAACATCTTAATCTATTATCTGCTGGCTCAGGTACATGTATTCCCAGCTTCAATGCCTATATTTTCTAACCATATCTACTTCTTACCTTTAGATGACTCAATCTCCCTCACATCCCTCATCGCACAATTCCGACTCTTCCAATACAAACCAGGACACCCCAAACACTGGCATGTATATGGGTCAATTTCCCTGGCCCCATCCTGCACACATGCATCATCCAGGCTATACCCCCGCACCCCCTGCTGCCTGCACGGTGTCCCTCCCCCATACGCGCCCATCGCACCTTCGTCTGGTGTGGATGCTGGAGTTGTGTATCACGCACCCCAAGCGGGACAACATGGCCATTGCCCTCCTGCAGTGGCCCACGTTTCGCATGCCACTCATGTTGGCCCATACCCACTGCTAACTGCTGCCGCTTCTCCTCCACAACACCCATCCGCGCCCCCCCATACACCATCAATCCTTCCCATCGGGGCATTTTCCAGGAGTCATGACCTCCTATGCAACTTGCATATCATACCAACCAAGCCTCCATCAGCATCACAGAGCCGGGCTGGTAACAGGCTCTGCTTCTCCATCTCTCCCTCAAGCACCAAGTTTGTCGGTTGGCGAGAAGCGCGTCGTGGAAGACCTCCAAGACCGTAACGTCAAGCGAATTAAAATGGGCTCCGGCAAGATAGAGGACGACCTGCTCTTTGTAAGTTTTCTTTTTAATTTTGTGAGGTCACATTTTTAGCCCTTGGGACAGGAACCTATGTTAGATCAATATGGTCGACACAATGGGAGATATGTGTGTTATAAGGACTCTGTCAAGCTCGTCCGTCCTGGCTGTCATAAACGCCATCTCAAGACAGAAAAACATCTTGGTTACAAGTTGAATGGAATTCACATGCCCTGGTTGTCTGGAAACATATGTATCCCTACTCTCAAATAAGTGTGTCTCATCATTGATATTGTTGTGACTAGTTATACCCGACGCGATGCCTGCAAGAGGCATTGGGACGACAGTGTCAATATCTGATGTATTAGTATATAGGCCAGGCAATACAAGAAAGTAGTCTGGTTCTGTCAAAGAGATGTACTCTCCAACGGTGCAAATATGATGTTGTAGTAGGCTATGGCTCTTGGACGGTAATAGTAGAGATCCAAACTTTGCCGCAGCCATTTGCTGGGGAAAGACCCTTGGAAAGCCCGCCAAAATAAGAAAGACCGAGAACAGTTTACAACGTTAAGAGGAGTACGCTGCGATCCCTTGTGTATTGTGATGGCGCAGTGTCACGACTTTATGGTGTACTTTACAATGCCATCCTACATTTTTTGTGCAGGGCCAAGCTACTTCTCATGAGAAAGCCGTGGATAATCTGAGATAGCATCTTAATTTCAATGAAGAACGAGAACAATCAACAACATTGAGAGGAATACGCTGCTATCCCTTGTGTGTTATGATTGCAGTATATCGCGACTTTGTTAAGAAGTCCCACACTATTCTACTTTCGTTAAGCAGTGTCAAAGCTACTTCTCACGAGAATGTCTTGAATGAGGCCGTAATTCAGAGCACAAATGAGGCAAAATGACAATGCACAAAATAATTGGCAGAAGTGTGCTACTACCCCTCATCTACTGCAATAGAGGAAAGCAACAACATTTGTGTGAACTGCTCATGTTGCTCTGGATTTACAGGCATCAATGGTCATGTATTCCCAACCAAAAATTCTCGCCATATAAATGACATTATTTAGGAGGAGCAAAATTGCATTCTACTATAGTTCTCACGGCTACAATATCAAGGACTCATCCATTCGCTGATGACCCCATTCATCGTACATACTGACCACAGAACGCTCGAGAGTTTCATGACTCAGAAAGAGTTATCGCGCAGACAAGCCAGATGGCAGGAATTCTTCGCGCAGTATGACTTCAACATCCAATATATTCGTGGCGAGGACAATTCGGTCGCGGATGCTCTATTGCACCTACCTCCAGATGCTGAGGACATCCCCTCATACGCCGAACGCACTCTACACATGCCAACAAACGTCACAGAGAGCATCAAACCAATAGCATCGATCTTGTCCGTGGCACCGGACCCATCGCTACTCAACGACATAAAAGCTGGATACTTGAAGGACACCTGGTGCATGAAGTTGACAAATCTAACAGACTCGTTCCCCGGCCTACAAAAGCGCAATGGACTCTTATATATCAACAACCGTCTCGTCATTCCCCGCATCATGCATCTGTGAGAGACGGTATTCCGGCTCGCGCATGACGAACTCGGGCACTTTGGAATCAACAAGGCATACGGCGCTATCAAGGAATCATTCTATTGGCCAAATATGAGACGCGATTTAGAGGAAAGCTATATACCTGGTTGCGCAGACTGCGCAAGGAACAAAAGCTGGACAACAAAGCCCACAGGTCCCCTCCACCCGCTACCAGTGCCAGACCAATGCGGCGACTCCATCGCAATGGATTTCATCGGTCCTTTACCCACAGAGAAGGGATACGACGGGATCATGATGATCACCGACAGGCTGGGTGCCGACATACGACTGATCCCTTGCAGAATGAATATGAGTGCGAGAGAAGTTGCCAGCTTGTTCTTCGACCACTGGTACTGTGAGAATGGGCTCCCACTTGACATAATCTCCGACCGTGACAAGCTCTTCACCAGCAAGTTTTGGAAAGCCCTACACCAGCTGATGGGCGTGAAGCTAAAGATGTCAACCGCCTACCATCTGCAAACAGATGGCTCCAGTGAACGAACGAACAAGACTGTCGACCAACAGCTCCGATACTTCGTCAATTGGCACCAGAACAGATGGCTTGACGCACTACCAAGGGTGCGATTCAACATGATGTCAACTATTAACGCGTCCACAGGTTACTCCCCTTTCCATATGCATCTCGGGCATACACCTCGCAGACTACCACCACTGACAGTCGACGGGGTGAAATGAACCCGCGAAAACTTCCCGGCTGATGTGGCAAACGCGCTGGAAGCTATCATGTCACTGAAGACGGACATAGCGGACGCTCATGACGCTCTGATAGCCTCCAAGATCAGTCAAGCTAATGCGGCTAATTTGCACAGAGGAAAATAGCTCACTTTCAACGTCAGGGACCTCGTATACCTCTCAATGGCTCACAGGTGGAGAGAGTACCTCAACGGTAACAGCAGAAGAGTGGCAAAATTCATGCCATGCTTCGATGGTCCCTACAGCATAGTATCAGCAAACGCTGAGTCGTCGACTTACACTCTTGACTTGCCTGACCACACTAACATCTATCCCACTTTTCATGCCTCAGAACTGAAGAAACATGTTCCCAACGACGCCGAGCTATACCCTTCGAGAGAACTACAACGTCCAGGACCCATCATGACCGCTACCGGAACGCACGAATGGGAGATTGAAAAGGTGCTGGATAGAAGAAACCGAGGACACGGCCACCAGTATCTTGTCCAATGGCGCGGCTATGGTCCAGAGAACGACATATGGGTGGCTGGAAGAGATCTCGAAGACACTACCGCACTACAAGCCTACAACGCAAGACTTGAAACGAATACTGCCAAAGAAGACAACAACACAAGAGACACGCCAGAGCTCGAAGAAGAAGATCAAGACAGACCGACACTGAAAGCTGTGAAAGATGCAGAAAGTCCTATGGACACCATGGAAGGTTCTTCGGAGAATGGGAGGGTGTAAGCCAGACGCTTACCATCTACTTACGAATCATGGATCACGTGTTACATTCCCCTTTATATTGCGATGTTCGACGTCATGTTACTCAGACTCGGGTCTCCTACCTACTATCACCTACCCGCTTGTACAATGTTCTAAAGAATCATAACTTCGTCCTGTTAATCCTGTCCGATTCGTCTTAGTGTTACTCGCCGATCCTCAGCAAGTTTCCAACCTTTGTTATACAAAACCCATAGGGGTGAACATCATGGACACGGCAAACAACAAGGAGGGTATTGTTACCGTGGCCGTGAGGGACCTTTATTTGCCTCTGCCACATTGTCCAGTTGTGCACTCCATTTTTGAGTGAGTTCGTTCTGGCGTTTTAGACTCCTGCCATGCCAATTCATCAGCACAAGACCTTGGACATGCAAGGAGGAAAAAAGAGGGAAGAGAAGGTCAACCAACACAAACCTTGACTGATTTTCCAACTCCAACTCCAACTCCCTCTCCTTCGCCCCTTGCCTCTCCCTCTTATGCTTCTCCTCCCCCGCTTTCAACCTTGTCTCATACTCCTTCACCCTCGCCTCCCATTTCTGATCAGCTGTAGTCGTCTTTTGGTTTATGTTCGAAATCATTTCTTCACTTAAGAGGAGCTGGTTTTGAACCACCACTAGGCATTTCTCAGCATTTACTGCGCGGGAAAGGTGCGTCTATGTTTCTTGGGAGTCGCCTTGGGTTGGTCGTCGGGATGTCACTAGTTGCGAGGTTAATGCTGCGTTGGTGGCCTTAGCAAATGAGAGTAAGAGTATCAATCAAAGTCAACGTAAAATCAAAAACACTCATAAAAACACCCACCTTCAACCCCTCAATCTCTCCTTCCTTCGCAGTAAACTTCCGTCTCCATGTAGCCTTTGCCTCACCATACACCTTTACGCTCGACTCAAACTTATCGATCTGTTTCCACCGCACATCAAGCTGCCTCCGCATCTCACCAAGCTACCCAGTGAATTTCCCTTTTGCATCTTGGACGAGCTTTTCGAAGTCGAGTTGGATTAGAGACAAAGCTTTGAGCCGTGTGATGAGGTTGTCGTGGAAGACACTGAAATTGGTGGAGGGCTTTGTTTCTGCTTGATTCTTTCTTCTGCAAAATAACATGATCTTGTGAGTGAATGACGCGTGTTAGAGAGAAACAGAAGAACTCACAGGAGTCTTATCCATGCCGAGGATCTTATCCATGTATTGATATATCATAAGCAGCAATGTATTTCGCTCCGTAAGCTGATCACGATACTGATTCTCAGCACTCAATAACGTCCGCTGGTCTTTAGACAACCGCGTCTCCAGCTCATTCACTCTCGTCCTATACCCAAATGACTCTGCCTCAGCGGTCTTGAGACTGCTCTGTGCACTGTCAAGCTCCTCTGAGAGACTGGGACACGCTTGAGTTTGGGTGCTGAGCTGTGTGGTGAGCTGTTGTACTTCGAGCTGCAGTTTATGAATCAGATGTTCATGATCACGAGTCGTACCCTCTCGGTCGCCGACATCTTTCCTCGTACAAGGTAGTTCGTCCTCTAAATGGTCGACATCACGTTTCAGCCTGTCGACCTCTAGCTGCAACGAGAACCGCGCGGTCGTATGGGTCTCCCCGAGCTCTTTGGACCGTTGTTCCATATCCCGAAGTGTGTTTTGGACGGCTTCGAGGTTGCCTTGGCGTTGTGAGAGGAGGGACTGCGTGCGTGTGAGGTCATTGAGGGTGCTGCGCAGTGCAGAGTCTTTGTCTTCGAGTGCACGGTGTTCGTGTCGGAGCTCAGACTTGTGCGTCTTCTCGATATCGTCGAACTCGCGCTCAAGACTCTCCTGAGCTTCCTGTTCGCGTTTCACCTGTTTCACTAGGTCTTCGATGTGCCCTGCTAGTTCTTCCTGACGGGCTCGGTGTGCGTGCATGTCTTGAAGAGATTGGTCATAGAGTTCTTGGATGTCTTGGAGTTGGGATTTCAGTCCTGAGACTTTCTGTTGCAATATGTGAGCTTTTCAATTCGAGTGAGTGATGAAAATGGATGTACATATTTGAGCGCAGATGCGAGTGCTTCTAGTGTTTCGTGCTCGACTGCGTCCTCCTCTCTCTGATGTTCATGATCCTCAGCCATGTGATCTGTGTCTTCCTCGAGTGCATATACTTGCTTTCCGAGTTGCTCAATCTCCTCATTCACAGCACGGAGCTCGGCATCTTTCTCCTCTGCTTCTTGTTCAAGATGTGCAAGTGTGGCTTCGAACTTGGCATGGAGGTCATTGGTATTGGCTTCGAGCTCTGTGATATTGAGTTGGAGTTCTCTTGCTTCGTTTTCGCATTCTGCAAGGACCTATGCGATAGTGAGAGACAGAACACAGATAGGACAATGAAACAAACATCTCTGAGCTCTTCAACCTGACTCCTGGCCTCTTTGACTTCACCCCTCCACTCCTCCTCGACAACATCAACGATGTGATCATGTTCCTGGATCAAATCATTTATCTCTTTGTTCTTGAGCTCCAATTCGTCCTCCTTCTGTTGTAACTCGATAGTGGCGGCAGCAAGTTTATCCTGGATTGAGTTGAGATCGTCCTCCACAGCCTCACGTTCCTCTCTCTCCTCAAGTATTTGAGCCCGACTCTCGCTCCTTTCAATGCTTTCCGCTTCTCTCCATCGCTGCAAATCCTCGACCTCCAGTTGTAACCGATCAGCATGGTCAGCAAGTGCCTCATTCTCCTCCTCGCGTGCAATGAGAAGTTGATCGTGCTGCTCGAGCTCATGACGAAGTTCCTCATTCTCAGCACGCAGATCCTCAACTTTCCATGCATAACTGGGATCTATGGAGTCGTCCTCACTGCGCTCAATGATAACCTGGGCCTTCCTCAACTCCCTGATCTCATGCTCGCGCTCTTGAAGCTGCATCTCAAGATCGCGTTCCCGCTCGTGTAGCTGTGTCTCCAAGTCGCGCTCGTGCTCGTGCAGCCGCGACTCCAGATCATGGTCGTGCGTCAAGCCACGCTGAAGACGCTCCAACTCATGCTCAAGCTCCAAGACAAGTTTCTTGAGTTTCTTGATCTCAAGACCGCGTTGCTGGACCTCGATCTTCAGGTTAATGTTCTGTTTGAGAGCAGCATCGATCTGGTCAGGTGCAAGCTGTGCAAGACGCTCCTCAAGGAAATGAACGCGTAGTTTGATGTTAAAGTTTTCTTTTTTGAGAGAGTCAATGTGCTGTTGTGTAGATTAGTTTGGATAGAGCCAGTGGGCAGCGGTTTTTGGTGTATCTTTTCTTGGTCTCTTAGAGATAAAGCAGCGCCTTTTCCTCCTGGTGCGCTTTGTCTTGGATGTCGTGCGCGTGGAAGGGGTGTGTCTGGGCCATCACCATTGCTGGGAGCGGGTGATGAAATTGACAGAACATGGAGTGGTCTGCCAGGTGTACTGGGACCTGATATGAATGAACCGAGGGACAGATCCGGGTGAGTACCAGCAGAGATGTCTGCACCATTTGGAACGGAAGACATGCACGTTGAGAGCATGGGGGGAGGGCCTGATTACTAAGCAAAGACCATTCGTCCTTTATAGATAAACGGGCTACCTACAGTACTTAGTCTATTGAGCGTGATCAGGCATTCTCAGGCCCTGCCAAAGTGGATTGCCTAGCCAAACCTGGTCAGCATGATCAGGTATCTTGTGCTCAGATAATTCAGATTTTTCCGACATATCGAGTCCTCACCACTTTCTCGGCTGAGGGTGCCGATGTGCTTCAAACACGCATACTACACCATACTGAGGAAAGCGCCATATTGTATGATAATATAGCCATTTCGTACAATTCCAACTCCTGAAACTACCTCGACAAACCTTTCAAGCAACCTGTATTCACAGGCGAGACGCCTCAGCTCCACTCCAAACCGAAACATTGTAATGATGTTGGAAATCATACTAATGACAGAGAACCAGTGGGTCCTTGGTGATTATGCAGAAGTACTAGTACACCAGTTTATAACTACAGACAACAGCGACAACGATAACGAATGAACGAAAGAACTCGAAGGTATTACAAACTCAATTATTCTAGCAGGCTCCCGCGACATACGGCGCAGTAGCCACTCTCAAAGATTTGAGATGCTTGTTGAATTTATCCCACCTCTTATCTATGCTTAGAACTCGATCGACACAAGGGAGCCAGGCGGAAATGATGCGAGCGAGGGTTTCTGCATCTGCTATTTCAGTCTCCGATGTCTCCAATTCCAGTGATCGTAGGGAGGTATGTTGTATTGGCTCGGAATCAGGATCAACATCGATAGTTGCAATATTGATCGGAACTCGTAGTGTATGCAATTGTGGACACAGACTGAGCGCTGCGAATAATCCACGGAGGGAGACTTCGGAAGAAGAAAGATGGTCGTCTAAGTAGTTGATTTCCAGAGTGCGGATGTGCAGCCAACTAGACATAGCTTGCAAGAGCATGTTATTGTCTAGGTAGATGGAGGAATGAGAAAACTTGAGCTGCAGAGTTCGGAGCTGTGTAAAGCAAAGGAAATGCGGAATTGGTGTCAAAAACTTGTGGTTTTGGGGTCCCACGAATCTGACTTCAAGAGAAGAGATGAAGATTTCTTCTAGAGTCCGACATGCTTTGCAGTGGGACAGAGCATGAAAGAGTTGCTCGGCCTCTTCTGAAGACAGATAGTTGGCTTCAAACTTGAACTCTTTCAGCAAGGGAAATTGCGAGTGTTGCATGAGTGTGATGATGTCTGCAGCATTGCACACATGTAGAAAGGAAAGGCTCGTGATGTTAAGGAATGATAAATTCACAATATCTTGGTTTGACAGCGAAGAAGGGTCATAATACCCTTGATCAATTCCCAATGTGAGAAGGGTAGGGAGCTGGGAGAGATGCTTCCATGTTGCCCAGTCGACCATTGGACAAGACAGAGTTACAAGCCGCGTGCACCAATGAATCCTATCAGATAGCAGGAACAGTTCATTTGCTGTGCTGTCATCATCGTACATTAGAGGAGTGTAGATGCATAAATGCTCCAGAGCAATGCAACATGTCACAAAAGATTGCAGACCTTCGTCGATGCTCAATAGATGACATCGGTGCAGCATGTGAGGCAGAAAGAGGTTCAAATATGTGGTGGAAAAATTTAATGACTTCAGCCTCGGAAATACGCATGCCTCGGCGGGGATGACAGATAGAAGGTGTGGATGATCAGATTGTATGTCCAATGTGCATATACAGGAGGAGTGACACAGAAATTGATGGACCTCATGGGCAGATAATGGCTCGACATCTTTCGCCCAGGGCTCGTTCCACTATTATGTAGACGCTCGGTGAGCTGAAAACAAACAAACAAAGTGTAATAAAGTCGTGCACTAACCCTTGTATGACTATGATTATATATCAGTGGATGTAGCCTTGCTACACAGCCTAGCAGTGGTTCTAACTCATGGATTTCAATCCACAACAAATCCATCGCAGGCTCATGGAAGATTTTGCATGTCCTTGCAAGTGCTGCAAGCAATTTCTGGGTCAATGTTATTTGAGTATATGGTATTGTGTTCACATAGGTGAATATCTCCAGGAGGACTTCGGGAACAAGTAAAGCCTGATGCATCGCTGGGGTACGGTTACCACAGTCATTCAAAACTAGGTTTAACTTTTATGTAAATCTAAAACCATTGCCTGCGTGGGACCAATATCTAACTTATCTCCATCTGATTAGGATATATGACGCCACCACTTGGGAGCAGATCGCTATCCTTGAAACAAAGCATGTCACCGCCATCTCCTTGTCTCGGAACAACCACCTCCTTGCAAGTGCATCTTATGAGAACAGGAACAGACGGCACCTCAAGATGATGATTCAGGAATACAGCATACACCCCGCTCTTCGCTCAGTGACAGGTCATTTTTGGAAGTAGGTGCCGAGTTTGCAATCTTTCTCATTCATTATAACAGTAATATTCTAGCTGCGATGTCCTGGCCAATTTGACAATATAGATGAACTCCCGCCAATGTTTTTTCACGGCATGGAAGCCCCTCAGCCCTCCCCAATGGATAGTTTACACCCACATTCCTCTGCAAATGCATTCCTCGCTCACCTTTTCTCGCTCCTCTGCGGCTTTCTACCCGTCAATGATGAAACGACTGAACTTCCGCAGCCTTCATGGCCTTTGGCGGTCCATCTACGCACACTCCTCACTCGCCTGTCCTTACTCATTCACCGCTTTTCACCTGAAAGTGATGCACCAAATGAACTTCAGCAACCCTCCACGTCTTCCCAGTTAGATCCACATGTGTTCCTGGCTTGCCTTTCCTCACTTTTCCCCTGATCTTGACTCAATACCGATGAAGAAGTCGAACATCATCCAACAATGCCTTCGAGTTCACCTCCGGATGGAAGGTTCATCAGCTGGCTCTCCTCACTCTTCCGCTCTCAACCTCACACCAATGAAAGAATAGAACTTTCGCAACGCCCCAAGTCGTCCTCGCGTTGTCAACGTGGCTGCAGTGTGGGACAAGCAGGTATGGCTCTTCTTGGTACATTTACAATCGCTGTGGTTTAGTGATCTCTGTTTAGACTTTGGTTGTTGCTTGGGGGCCAAATTTTGAGAAAGCAAAACAAGCATATAAGCAACGAACCAAATCGCACGCCCACCAAAACTACCACAACACGTGCAGCAACCCCACAGTCACCACCCATCCCATGGTGGAGTCAGCTCATGTTATTTCCCTGCTGTGCATCTCCACTACATGCCAATAGTCAATGACACAATTAGTGTTGCAGCATTTGGACAACTACTTCACCTTTGTTTCTAGTGATTCTGCACTTATGTCTCATTCCTTATGTCCTTCCAGTACACCATCAATCTCGTTTCCCCGTCATGAGCCTTGTGCAATGCACTGGATAGGATAATACTGATTTTATGAGGGAAGGACCATGTACTTCTAGCCAATAGCCGTAAAAATGAGGACATCTAACCACAGTGCCCAAGTGTGGTGTACTGAAAACCCTGCCATCTCAACAAGTCTCGATGGGTGTCGTATATGATCCTGCCCAAAAGAGCATAGCAGCTCCTCAAAGGGTCGCTGTTGGGCTAGACTGCAGTGTGGTAGCTCGAAGTCCCAGTGCTACATGATCGCAGACTGGGTTATTGGTAGTGGTAAGTATAAATACCTTCGATGATGATGAAAACTTGTTTATTGTCTACTTTTGTTAACGCTTGTTCTCTCGCATGCACAGGCATTGATTTATGGAAATACACACCGTACAATATGATGATATATGATACACCAACAAAATGGCAGTCTTGACTATACAACCTAAACAAAATTTATATCCTCGACATTGAGAGGTATCTATGTCTCCTTCCCACATGAACATTCTTTGCAACAATGCCCTTATAGGCTATTTGAAAGTCGGATTGCATATCTTTCATGTTGCCGGGAACCCCCTGCATGAATTGCTGGACTTCTAGAGCTCCAGATCTGAGTGCATCAATGTCACGGGCATGGTGAGCAGATGAGGAAGGTTCTAGCTGCATGCATAATCTCAATCCCTTCTTGAGGAGGGCTCTGTAAACAGGGCAGTGTTAGTTATTGTATGTTGCTGAGTAAGCGAGGACGGACACTAGCTCGCTTCTCTGCTTGCTCAACTCCTCAAGCTTCTCATGAGACTCCTTGTTGAGAAGGCCTTTCATCTTTGCTTTTGCAGCGTGAGTCAGAGCAATGCCTCGTTCCAAGCACACCAGAAGGTGAGGCAACGGTCCAAGGAAAAGGAAGGTGTAATAACCCGAACACCATTCAGGGGACTGCGTCTCCTTCAGGCATGTCATGAATGTCACGTCAATTTCGGCATTGACTGCACGACTCGAGCGGCATCTGACGTAACGGCGGTATGTGTTCTGAATTTTGCAAGCCGCCTCTTCCTCCTCCACCGATGGTCCATTGGTGCATAGCGACTCGTCAAGATCAGGTGCGAGCAATGTCGCCGCCACATCCCAAGTCTCCCACACATCATGAGTCTCAGTATCAGCATTCGCCGTGACATCCTCTTCCCCTTCTTCTTCTCCTTCGAAATCTTGAGGTCGTGGTTCCGTTATCTCATTCTCATCATGCTGCATGACCTCTAGTCGGTCCTTGCAATGTCCTACACCAGGTACAAAGGCAGGGGCCTCTACTCTCGGGGTAGACCGTGCAATCACTGCGTACGATGAGAGGAGATGGGGGATCTCGATGGTCTTCTCGTATATGAGCCGTCGGTCTATACCAGTATAGACTAGGGTATGCTGGTTCATCATTTTGTGAACAAGATGCACCAGGTTTCCCACTCCTGTATTATTCTCGAAAGCCAGGAGAGCTCGCAGGTAACCGTCTGGAAGTGGCATACATCCTGGCAAGGGTGTCATGCACTCGACCACGTCATCCACGAGTTTCCAATAATTAACTGGATGCCGATTTGAAGGAGGAGTCTTTTTGTGCAGAGAAAGAATGATATTGTCTACTTTGTTTCTCATCAAACAATTCTTGATGTTATGAGCAACTAATGAACACAATTCAGCAGCGGATGGGTATTGAAAAGAGACAAAAAATGTACTGAGGCAGAGAACCCTGCAGCTGTAATACATATAATCAGTATGCACATCGCTGACGAACAGATACTGAACTGGGCTCACATTCGGGAAATGAAAACATTGCGGAGAATAGGTGTAAATTTCGTATGGTTCAGCCAGAGGAAATCTGCCTAATTGTAGTCTCGGATCTCCGAAAAGTCGAGAGACTCACCCATGTCGGCTTCTACATGCAATGCTTCGACCAGCCTCGCTATTTCATCCAGAAGCTTGCCCATCAAAAACAGCTTAGTGTCCTTCTCCATGGTGAATGTGTGGGGAAACAGTAGCCAGTTACATGGAAGGACGACATTATGAAGAGGAAACCTGTTAAAGGTGGGGTCCATTCGATAGTTGATTACAAAAGCACTGCAGACGTCCTCGATACAGTCGCACAACACCGAGAGGTTGACATATAAACGATTATCAAGGATATGTCTGAATTGCACTTAGTTCATTGCATGTAGAGATAAGAAGAACGCGCTTACAGAATATACAAAATCCCTGATGAGATGCTGCTGCAGGTAGCTCCTTGGTAAGAATTGAGCAGGTCATGAACCATATAGCGATTGTCCTCCTTGCGAGCGAATTTGAATGGTCCGGAGATCGTACACTTTGCTCGAGAGATGTAGTCAGGTGTGTCGTTTCTGTCAAAAGCAAAACTAAGACTGGTTATTCCCATCAACACCGTCAAAAATTCAGCCTGGGCATGGAATGGGTCGAGCGAGTAGAAGGATTCGCGATCCAGAGCTTCACCACTTTCATGCCATCTAGACGAAGAGGCATCAGGTTCATGTCGAGGTCCGCAGTGGAACCTTGAATGAATAACGGTGGATTGATAGCCTTGTAGAGATGCTTGAGCCAGTCCCTCATGCTGATAGAGTGATCAATATGAGTACTCGATCATAAGCTACCTCCAGGCGTACCTTTTGCGTCGCTCAATGTATGGGTGAGGCGGATACATGAATTGCAAGATCAGGATCTGCCAGATGTGGATGGCAACTTGCTTGTTGTAATACTGGTGATCCAATTTCGATACTGCAACATGCTCTTTGGGACAGATATCTCTTCGACATACTCCAGATATCAGGAATTCCAGGCATTGCGAGAAAACGGGAGATTTGCAGCACATATCATCGATCTCCGATATTTTGTCTTTCAAGATCGTTCGAATGGATTGTTGTAGCAGCTGGGTGACGACTCTACGAGAAGCTGTGTATCTGGACGGATGTTCCGATACCCAAATGATGCCCTGGCAGATTTCCATCACGTTGTTGTGGAGGAAGGTTCTATCTGGTATGAGAAACTCATCATCGGACAACCGCACAATGAAGAATAGTCTCTGAATACCCCTATGCTCCATGGGGTCAGGGAAGGTCAAAATCAGATAGAGCAGTCGCGCATAGGCGTGAAATTGTTGAAGGAACCATTGCATTTCATCGACCGTGAAAGCTCGAATATCTGTGGTTCAAGAGAATATGTTGTCCAGGCAAAAGAGAGCTGCTAGCTGGTTACCCTGTTTATGGAAGTTAAGCACAAGATTTCTCAACAGCTCATGATTTCCGTGCAAGATGTTTTGAAACATCGATATCTGGATGTCGATCAGTCCAGCGGTCACTTTGAGACTGCTAATACATACTAAATCACGCGTGGCCAGCGTTAGTTTGTTCATCTCCAGCTGATCAGCGATAGCGATGAAATACCGCATTGGCTCATCAACAACGTATTTTGCCATGATTTTGAAGGAGCATCTGCGCCAGAAGTATTCCAATATAGTATCGGCCGCACGAATAGTAGAATTGACGTTGCTTTCATCCTTGATGAATGCCCGCACAGCTGCCAGGGGTCTATTCTCTGATAAGTGGAGCTCTGCGGCCTCATAGTACCTCGAGTGAGATTCAAGTAGTGATGCACGAGCGTAATCAAGATCATAGTCCTCCAGAAATTCGAGTTGTTCATCAATTGCGGAGAAGAGGGGCAAGGGAGCCCTGCGCAATTGCTATTAAATAAAAATATTGTGGAGAATCTAATACTTACTGAGCGTTGTTCCTGCTGCAGTAAAACAGTCTGCACACAGTCCATAACTCCATCTTGGTCTCGTCAGGTATATCCATGCCATGGTCATGAAGGACATGGAGGGTCTTGTCAAACCGTCCAGCCTTGCGATATCTTTTCGCTGCTTGCTCGAACTCTTGAGTATTTAAATAGGCCTCGGCAGCTTTAAGATCATCTCCTGCTCAAACGTAGCAATCCGCCGAGTTATGATAGTATTGGAGCTTCTGATTTCCTGTCGCAGTTGCCCCACAATCAGCAAAGGCATCAGCAGCCACGTTAAAAATTCTTTTTTGGTCGTCGAGTAAGGCTACTCCGACACTAGAACGCGCGACTTCTCGGAGTTGATATGCTTCACAGACCTTCACTTCACAATGAAGGTTGGCACGTTCGAAGCAGTGGATAGCCTGCGAGTAGCGCTTGTGCGAGAATAGTGAGTGCCCGAAGGATGCCCATTCTGCCGGACTCGAGGAGACAGCTAGGTGAGGGACATTGGTGCCAGGGACACAATTATAGATCTGGTTGCGAGACGTCCAGAATATCTGAAGGAAAATAGTTATCAGATCGAGTTACACCAACATGCTACTATCAACGTACATGCATTGGCTCTGATCTATCAGATTTGTCAACGATCCATAGGTTCTTCCTTGCTCGAGTGATCCCCACATAAAGAAGTGTGAGCTGATAAAAGTAAGCCAGTGTTTGTTCCGAGGATCGATGTGCGTACCTCGCTACAAACCCTAGCGTATTGTGCCTCATCTCGTTCAAAGTTTGGTGCATATCTTTGACCCTCTACCCTATTGAGAACTATGCGCCATTGTGACAGATCTACAGCAGAATCCTCGAAAAAGTTGTACAGCAGCACCTGACCGAGGTCAGACATCCATCAGATAGCAAACTTGGCTTTCTCACATCATCGAATTCCATGCCTTTGCTCTCATAAAGCATCCTGCATACATATGTCAACATGAAAATACAGAGCAAAGGTAGTCTCAATATGACTCACATAATTAGTCCAATTTGACCAACTTGGTCTCGTAACTTCTGACGTGCTGCATCGTCATGCACGAGAATGCCTAGATGCCTCGTCAGTGTATGAATGAAACCTCCAACCAATTACTTTACATTGCTGGGCTCCGAACTCAACGTGACTACCGCTAGAAGAATCCTGAGTAGGAAAAGAGGGATATTGTCCAGGCCTACTTACCTCGCCCCAAAGAATGACTGTTCATAACAAAGGGCATCTTTGTCCCAACCAGTAAAAAATACAGGCTTGAGCCCACCAACCACCTCTTTTTCTTGCCGGAAACCATCGATTGTGTTGGGCCAAAATTTTGTGATGAGTTCGATCACAGAATTCACGCAGTTGACAATGCCACCATTCGATCTGTAGTTTGTCATCAATTGAAACATCGTAGGTTGATGAAGACATGCTCCAGTGGAATTGATCGAGGTATTTTGCTGCTGTTCTAAGATATCAATTCAGGCCCGATCTAAGTCACTGTCTGCTAACCTCCATGCGGTAGAGAAACACTTTCAGATAATTGAACCTAAAGGAACTTCCTGCAGAGATTGTCTGTGCGGTGTCACCAGCCCAGAACAAACCATCTGGATGCCCGCATAATTGCCTCAAAACTACAACAGAAAGTTCTCGAGTGATTTCTGTCAACGAGGGATGGTGTAACTACTTACAGAGGGCATCGATCAGAAGGATGTCTTGTACATCGTCCACATAGCTAGTGTAGGTGGTCAGGTGCAAGATGCATTGGTTGGGACAACACGTACATATAATCAATATGTTGGCCAGGGAACCTTTGGCTTCGCAAGACCTTTAGTATCGCATGTGCACTGTTTGGGCATATATCGTGACATTACGTGGGTAAGAAATAGGAATTGGTCGTACCGGTCTGCAACATCATGATGACGTCGCTGCCTCTTAATTTTTGTATAATACTTGAAGATGTCATATAGAATTTCCCTCTGATTAGCAAAATTTGGGTAAGAACGATGAGGAAGACAGATGTAGTTTGGGCGATCGAGAACTCCTTGACAAGTCAGCGCATGTTCGGAGCCTTTGACAATTTCTGTATGTATATTCAAGAATTGTCAGTGTTGATGTAATATAAATAGTACTTACCCATGAATTCACTGAAAACCAACCACAGATCTGATGGGGGAGTGTCAGTACTTCATTGTCATCACAAGAGAAAATGATGCTACTAAGATTCTTAGTGAGATTCTGTGGAAAATGAGGCCAGTATTGATTCGCGAATACGTCATAAATGACGAAACAGTCTTGCGCCTCAGCATCGTCCACATTGAAGAAAAGTCCTGCGCTATCTTTCTTGCTCAAGATATCTGTTGCGACCATTTTCGCCAGCTACATAAACGATTAGCTTAGGAATTGTCCGGAGGATGGATTGGGACATACTCGATCAAAAGTTACAAAAAGGGGAAAGTGCTTGTCCTCAAGCTCGCTGTATGTCATGGGTATACTCATCTGTGATTCTGGCAGGTCGTCGAGATCAACAAGGCCCTCCTGAACACTTTGTGCCTTCATTTTTGCAAGTTCCTCCAGGGTATAACCTGCTAATGCCAGAGATTCGAGAAGCTTTGTGAAATACTCCTCTGCTCTCATAGCGAGCACTCTGGATTTGGTGACGAAGATTTGGCGTGGCTTCGGCATGTCGATGGCACTCATTTCCCAAGCTCACTGAATACCGAGAATCTTGAACAACATCGTCGTGGTTTTTCTAGTTGAGTGTGATAAATAAGCTACTCATATCAGGGGCAGGACGCTCACCCTGTGCCGCTGCGACCCAAGACGTAACTTGACGTGGTGCACTCGACAATATTTTGTTCTTGTGGTCTAAACTAGCATCGATCAATGAATGCGTCTCATTGGGGTAAACTCACGTGAGCTTAAAGACGTGCTCTACGTCTTGGTTTGCGATGAGACCTTTTGCAAAGATGAGAATAAGTGGTGAACCAACTACATGATCGCTCACCATGCAGAAGCGCCTAAAACGAAAGGTTATTAAGTCAATATTCGCGTACATATAAGCTGTATTTATAAGCTTACTTGTGAGAATGTGACATATTTCTCCAAATTACAAAATCGTTAGATGGAAACCAATTTGTATAGATGGCAAAAATTCATACACAAGCAAAGGGTGAAGCTATGTCATGAGTCAATGACCGCACAAATGACAACTCAAAATACTCAACCATGTCTTTATCACTGAGATCAAGTGGGCTTCCTGAGCATTCTGGCTCAAGTTCAGCTGGTGGGAATGATGCAGGCAGAATCGCGCTGTCTTCAGAAAGGACAGGTCTATTCTGAAAGGTACACCTGTGCAAGCAATGATTCACTGAATTGCATCAAGAGCCGAAAAAGGTCCTCACCTTCTATGATATTCTCTGCCCTTGCGTGCAAGATGGCTACCCAAGGCATCCCATATTCTGCCAAACTGTGCATGCATATAAATGCCATATACCTGGATTACTGGAGTTCATATGAGTGCTAATGGTGGAAAAGATGTAATTGCTCTTGATGGCTTACCTTGTCTTTCGGACTGTCAAGACTCCAATCTCAGTATCATGCTCGATGTTAATGTAAGAATGGCTTACCTTTCCATCCTGGTCAGGAATACAATCAATCTGGTACTGAGAGAAAAGGTCGGTCATTTCCTGCTTTAAGCGACGTATGTGAAATTACGCTTACTACTAATCGTAAGTCCCTTGTCACCTTGGCGTCGTAGATGGGTATGCCTGCATTCGGCCCGTTAATTCACTTGTGATTATCATCTGAGAAATGGCCATTCGATAGTTGTCTGTGGCAACAATGAGATCATTGCAACAAAATTCATCAGAAGACAGACTTGATCTTCTTGAAGACGATCTTGAATGTCTTCTGATCTGCTCTATGAAATTCATGCAATTTTTTAAAGACCTCCGTAGATATGAGGATTCGCCACTCTCCGAACCCATCCGCGTTGTCGAAGTAAAGCGCAGCCTTCATAGACTGCACCATTTCGCACGCACTAGGTCGGTTTGTTCGGCTCTCGACATCCTCGGTTGACGAAACTTCAGGTGCAACATCTTCGGCAGACTTCCCAGCATTTTGGAGGAGTAAGGCTTTGATGTCGCCTGCCAATTCCGTCCTCCGGAGAAGCGAGAGGTAGAACTTATGGAGAGCTGTCAGGGGAAACATCAAAAGTAGCGAATATACTCACCGAGAGAGCATTTTTCAGCTCTGCAAGAATGTGAGTAGACAATGATGCAGCAGCCTCACTCGTGAGAGGCACAACCACACCAAGCCTCACGAAGAGCGATGTGTCGATGGCCGTATGGCCTTTCAGGCGATTGCACTTGTACATTTTCTGAGGTACCTTCTTCTTGACGAATCCATTATCAGACTCTGTACCAGAAATTTTCATATTGTTCAGCGCGCAAAGTACAGGTAAAGCGCCCTCGATGAAGCCACTGTGACGACCGATGTCCTTTGAGACATCCATCGCTAGAGACTCAGCTGGAAAAGCCAAAAAGTACATAGACAGATTGTCTAGCATTTTTCTCGCAATGGATGCTGGATATTCTTGAGATTTCGTTGGAAAGTTTGTCATGATCTGTGAGATTATTGCCTCGCGGCGATACCAAACTGTTAGAGAGTCAGAGCTGATGATGCTTGAAGAAAGTTTGTGAGATACCAGAAATAATATATGCAAAGATATGGGGTGATAACAACATATGTTCAACCGTGGCTTGTAATACGGTTGCTCCTGAAGTTGAAATTGCGTCCAGATGATGCAAGGCGGCTCTGAGGCCTGCCTCGTTGACTATTCGATCTTTGGAGAGTAAGTCCAACATGGTCTGTTGAACAAGAGGAGCTTGTGATGATGAAGTGGTTATATGAAAGGTTGGGGAATTTGGACTTGAGTTGTGTCAATGGTACAAAAGAATGCCTTGAGCTTGAAGCAACTCCGACGAGTCCGCAATGAGGTCATCCTTATATCATCGAGCCAACACTTTGTCTGAATTTCCAAACAGGTTGAGGCGCAAATGGTATACCCAAAATTGACACCTGCTGTTACAGTAACATGGCACGAGTCCCCCGCCAGCAGAGAGCCCTCTGCCACCGCACGGCTATAGACGATACCGGAGCCTCACCAGCTCTATAGACGATGATAGATGATGATAGATGAGAGACGATAAGCGGTCTGGACCGCACGTGACATGACATGACGACATAGGTCTAGAAGACCTATTTATGTTATCAAGATAGAAGGCAAGCCTCGTGTTGCCTCATGTACTGATAGAAGGGTACCGCATGGACCCTATCTACGATAGAAGCCCGCCTCATGGATGCTATCTCTGACTCATGTAGATAAGCAGATTAGAACCCAGCTTCGAGCTGAGCTTAGACACGATAGAGTAGCCTTATATAAGGTCGAAGATTAAAGTAGATGTTCCTTACTTTAATCTTACTAGGTACACCCCAGAAACTAGTCTAATCAACTAGGTTTACCCTTGAACTCCTTGTCCCACTAAAGCTACCTGCTCGACATCGACTCGTACCTTCAGTGACGCTTCTCACTGTCTGTAAACCCTGCTATCATCTCAGCGTAACCCCTCGTTAACCACCACGAGCTACATTCGAGTACGCAACCTTTGCTTGTCTGTAAAGGCCGACGACTCTCAGCACTCGGTACCACTGTCGTGGTTGTCGCTGTTTAGATCATCCTAGTCGCACGCGACCGTTTGTCGTAACACCTGCAGGCAACTTGAAGTCATACATAGCGGTAAATTTGGACCCTCAAATGATCCCAGATTGTGACAAGTTGAACGTAGGTGTGGCATTCCGGAATAAATCGGCTCTCTATCTTTATGTAACAGGTCACCTTACACTCGTCTGGTCTAGACTGATCTTTCTTGGAAATGAGGCTACCGTTCAAGTACTCTTGCCTGAAGGCCTGATATCCGATTCCTTTTCCTATGCCATAGGGTATTGGGCATTGTACTAAGTTCAGCTGGTCTTCGAATTGATGGTCCAGCACGGGTTTGCCAAGTTTGAAACCTACGGCAGCCAATCCGCGAGTGTGGAAGGTCGTTATCAGTATGATGCACTTCAGGTAAGTTCAGGCTATTTGTGTGTCCCAGACATGTCCTGACCTCATGTTCACTACTACTAACTATCATGCAAATCTTGACAGAACACATTGCAGAATGTCATAACCCGTTCCTTCCCATGGTCTTCTAGAGGTAAATTGATACACACACCATGGTCGGGCAGACTGACAGAATGTTCATGAACTGGTGATCATTGAGGCCCACTCCCAGCATATGATTCTACGAAGATGAAGACTCGCATCAGTGGACCGGTGAACAAATGAGAATACTATATAAAGCAATATATTGTGAAACACCGCAACAATCGTCTTAAATCTGCTGACCACTTTCACATGGGAATATCTGGCTATATCGAGGAAAGACGAATTTGCAAGCACCTTAGCCCAATAGTACTATTTGCTTTGCGAGCTTTTGTACTTAGATGGATCGACAAAAAAATTAACGCGCATAGGTTCATGAAATTGAATACAGACCAAGACTGAGAGTGTCACTGAAGGAGGTTTCAATGTGCTAAAATGAAACACACTTTGGTGAAGTTCCCCATGGTACAGATGTATATCATCTGGTCTTCACACAATACATTTTCCTAGCTCAAGATGAGCATCACATAAAAGCAAGTTGCTTGAGCGTAAAAAGCACAAGTCTGTGTTGCAGCAAGACAATAACAACAGAGTCGTGCATATTGCACATTTATTGGTCGAACCGTCAGTCAAAATAGTATATTTTATTGAGCACAGACTGTGTGCCAATATACATAAAGGCACATGGTTTTCGGAGTGCCCTTGCAGAGCAAGTCGGGGCATTCTGATCAGCATTGGCAAATGCGAATAGTATGTTCAATTGACATCACAAAGCCAAACGATCGGCAGGAACATGGTGATATGTGTCTTTCGAGGACACGACATTCATTGCAGCGTCGCTCAGACACACGATATCTTGAATGTGTTTGGCAGGGACAATAGCGATTAGTGTCTTTTGAGGAGATGTCGTTCATTGGTGCATCGCTCAGATACGCAATACTTTGAGTGTGTTCGGGAGAGACATGACGGTTCATGTCTTTCGAGGACATAACATTCATTGGTGTGTCGCTTGGACACGGGATACCTTGAATTTGTTCAGCAGGGTGTTGAGAGCCGATGTATCCGAGGAGCATAAGGCCGAGAGAGACAGAGCCGAAGGGGAGAAGGAGAGTACGGCCGAAGAATGAACCACATCGAGTGTGAGCGTCTCCAAACGGAGAACATGGACGACATGTCAATGTCGGCAATCTTTTTGTTCTTAAGTATATATGCTTTCATCAAAAGTCTTGCTGGCACACTCACCGTATAAGAAGAGCCAGCCAAAGTTGTAACATCTCAGTTTCATAAATGAATACTGAGATGTGAGTTGTTATCCCACTGTAACGTTTGAGTAGAGTACTGATGTACAAGTAGATTCATACCTGTTTAGGTACAATGTTTTTTTAATAGAGTTTCATAAATGAATACTGAGATATTCATACCTGTTTAGCGTGTTGCGAAGCCTCCCGCTCGTATAGATTTTCCACACAGGGACATGACAGTCCGTGTGTTTTGAGGACACAACATTCATTGATGTGTCACTCAGACACACGATGTCTTGAATTTGTTTGGCAGGGACATGACGGTCCGTGTGTTTTGAGGACATAACGTTCATTGGTGCATTGCTCAGACACGCGCTACCTTGAATTTGTTCGGCAGGAACATAACGGTCCATGCCTTTTGAGGACATGACATTCATTGATGCGTCGCTCAGACTCTTTCGGAGACATAACATTCATTGCAGCGTTGCTCAGACATGCAATATCTTGCATGTGTTCGGCAGGGATATAAGCATTAATGTCTTTCGAGGAGATGTTGTTCATTGGTGCATCGCTCAGACACACGCTACCTTGAATTTGTTTGGCAGGGACATCATGGTCCGTGTGTTTCGAGGATATAATATTCATTAGTGCGTCGCTCGAACTCACAATACCTTGAATTTGTTTGGCAGGGACATCACGGTCCATGTGTTTCGAGGATATAATGTTCATTAGTGCGTCGCTCGAACACACAATACCTTGAATTTGTTCGGCAGGGACATCACGATCCGTGTGTTTCGAGGATACAATGTTCATTTTGAGGAGACGATGAGGGTCGAAGCTATACATTACACAGCAGAACTAACAATGTTTCAAGATAGTTCTAATAGCACATTAACACTACCATGATATTAATTGTAAGACCAGACATGAGAGTGTAATTAATAGAAATGTAACAAATGTTGTAGAACTAATCAGAGTCAAATGCGGCCGCCTCCATCTCCAGTCTCTGGGCAGCAAGAGCACTGACAGACATTTGGGAAATAACATCTAGTGTCAGGTCCTGCCGGTGATTTCTTCCAAAAACTTTCCTACATGGGACGTTAGCGAATCTAGCGAGTTGCTAACAGTCAGATACTTGCCTTGTCCACCACTCCAGGAGCGCATGTACCCTAGCTCGCGCAGCTCGACCTGGCGCATCTTCAAAGAAATCTACGATGTTATTCCAGAACAGTTGATAATCGAAGTCTGCATCTACAGTGCGCCAGGAGGTGATGTTTGAAAGAGCAAATTGGACCTGCAGAAATAATGTCAAATTCATAGTCAGAGGCAAGAATTGGAGCGTACTTGGCAAGCAGTGTAGGCAATCGCGCGGGGAGTCACCTTCCTCATACCTATGATAGAGGCGACACAAGTCTTGACTCTTGCTTGGTCTGATCGTCTCTTGGCGCGTCGGTTGTTCTCGAGGATATCGGCGCCGTCACTGTCACCATCTGCCTCATTAGCAGAGGATGGAGAAGTAAAGATGGCCTTGAATCCCTATGATGCGATGAACTATGATTCAATTGGAAAAAAGGTCACGTACCATAACTAACAATTTTGACTTCATGAGACCGCGCTCGAGATTCTTGACGGAAGCTTCATAGCCTTCATACATGAACAACGGCCATGAGTTCTCAGAGACGATGTATGCAGTGGTACGGTCACGAATCCCAGCCCTGACGCTGGACAAATCATCAGTAACAGTTAAGAATGAGAATTATTGCTTACACTGGGTCGTCCCAACGCCATTCCGCTGGACAGAGCATGCGACCGCATGCATCATTAACGAAGCCTCGGTGGTGCTTGTCGTCGGTCCTAATGAGCGGAGTCGGATGACAGTCAATATTCACCCACGATGCCACAAGTTCCTTGAGAGTACCCATGTTGTCACCACGAGCTGAGTCCGCGCCTTGTTTGAGCTACATGGAAAATGAACAGGGGATATAATAAAGATGCTGAGGACCACCCTTTCTGAGCATATCTTCCGACTCCTCGTGGTTGAGACTCATCAGCTTCTGGTGAATCCATGGTAGCGTCTTGCTGAGTTCGATGTAGCCACATTGGTGGCGGTCTTGTCTGTGCATTGTCATCAACAAAATCAGTACCACTGTGATGAACACAATCGAATCCGAGTCCTTACTCGATGGTAGTGTCACTGTCGCCATCTTCACAATGCCAGTCATTTTCGGCGATAAGGTCTTCTATGGGAGTATAAAGGGCAACCATACAGCGGATTGCTCGTCCCTGCGAGATGTAATAGGTTGTCTTCCTGCGATGGGGAGTTAAAATCACTTAGAGAATTCGAGAGGATGTATACCTTTGCTTTGTTACCTTGTCCTGTTTCAAAATTTCGACTTCCTCCTCAAGAACGGCAATTCTTCGCTTCGCTCTAGCATGCGGAGACGTCGGGATACACAGGGAAGACTCCTGAGCCCGAGGGCTGCCCGAACTGTTCCCCGATTCCGTCATACCCGAGTTTGAAGTCAGAAAGAGGAGGGCTGCAGTAAGTTGGACGAGGGCGAAAGCCTTCTATGAGGTTGTCTTATATGTGCACGACATCTGCACCAATGACTTAATGAAAGATGAATGCGTATTAATTGGAATTCCCAAACAAGTAGCAGAAGTTGGCCTTTTTAGGATAGTCTAAGGAACGTCATTAGCTAGGTGCAACAGGGTCTTTCTAACATGGGTGGTTTCTCGAACCTTTTCGGGATAGTTCAAGGAACGATGAAAACAGCTCTCTTTGATTGGGACGGAGGCAACTTGAAGTGGCGGCTAGCCCAACAAGATGATGACGCGAGTTGGCCCTGAGAGGGTCCTTGATGTTGAAGATACTGAATGGCGAGTGAGATCGACGTCATAATAACAAGCCAGAGAGTTTTACAGACCTCAAAAGAAGGCCAGGATAGAAGGTGAGCAACAGACTCGGTAGTCCGAGTCTGACACGTAGTCACTGTAACTAAGGATACACAGATTTCTGATGCTCATCATTACGGTATTTGGACCCAGCAGTGATCTGAACCAAGTGTAGCAGGAAGTCATTCAATGTACTAGGGTCTCCCAAGGTATTCTGCCAATGCCGGTGAATGTAGAGGTGATGGCCAAGAGTAGACTTGGAGTAGCCTAAGTCACCCATTAGACTTGCATTGATCGACATGAAAAGAGACGCACGAACTTGAAGAGTCGGTATAACACCTGTAGTATCACCATACCATGATGCTGGTGAAGTATACTGATTGATTGACAATCACATATTCCGAAGTAGCAACTTGAAGGCCTCCCTCGATGGCCAGAGCACCATCACGGTTGCCGGTATCGGCAGGCGCAGGACTGTAGCGTGATATGCTCGAACACTAAGGATGAGGCATGGTCCCAGCAGACAGCTGTGCCATCTCGAAGGTTTGAGCCAAATCTAACGTCCAGGGAATCTATGTTCTATAGAATTGATGGGAGCACATAGAGGTCAATGACAGGTCGACATACCGCTAAGATTGTCAGAGAGAATCAACCGATATGGAAGCAAGCAATAGCAAGAAAACTAGCGCGTGCATAGATACCAAGTTCTTGACAAACGCCAAAATATATTCTTTCCTCTCATCCCCGCTTGCCACTGCACGCAGTAATTTGTTGGTCAGGACTAGATCTTGGATGGCAAGGATAAGGCGACGTGATCTCCCTAGCATTGTTGGTGTCAGAAAAGTCCAGGCATATAATTACGACACTGAATGCCCAAGTGATGCCTACCGTAAAGATTCATAAATGATCGGCGTGAGCCACGGTTAGCAGGACAGACTGTTGTTGAGCAATCCAAGGTTAGTGATCAAGCCAGAATGTGTGAGGTGCTGCGAACCAATTAGTCCTATCAAATGTGATACTCATACATGATTGACATCATATTTTCGAGCTTCTCCGCAAGACCGTCTTCGCGGGGCACGATAAGTCCTGTGAAAAACATAGTGGGTCTGTTCTCTGTACTTCCAGTGAACCTAGAAAACCATAGCAGCGCGATTCTAACCAGCCACATTAGAGATGTTGTACAGGCATGTCCGAGTCAGCAGGACTCGGATCCATAGAGCTGTCATGGTAAGCCTGGAGGTCACATTGACATACTATAGTAGGTGCCAGTAGACTCCAACCAACTACATCATTGCACACGCTAACTGACAGGACAACTTCGACGGCGACCGTTGTGTCCAGGAGCCTCAGTGTGATGAGAATGAGCAAACCCCGCTGATAGCCTGTATAATCAGAAGGGGACACGGTAGAAGAGAATACTATGCACGAGCCTGGCCCAGTATGAGAGCCTACCGTACGCAGTGTGCTTCGGTTCAGGAGACCCCCAAGCATTTCGTTTTCGCTGACAATTCGAAAGAGAGAGGGCTGCGTCATGGTCAAGGACAGCCCGGGAAGGGAGTGACTTGGCCCAAGTGAGAGTGTCAGACTGGAGAACGATGGAGGGAACCGTTGAAGTATCGAATTGGTCACTGGAAGGGTATATGGTATTGAAGAGAAATTTGGAGGTCACTAATCACATGGCAGGATGTCTGAATCGCTATTGCCATCATGGTTAATATCATTGATGATAACTGCGACAAGAAGTAGGTATATTATATGTTTAAAACTAGAACTTTTTTCCTTAACTATCGGAGGCCCAGGTCACCGTGAGGAACATTACAAGCTTCTGCTCACTCGTGAGTCGGACTTGGACTCCGAGTCGATGAGCCTAACAAATCAAAAAGAGAGATCATCAAATGAGTCATTGTCAGACTCTCTCGTATCATCTTCCGATTCTGATTCCTCCAGTCCATCACTTTCATCTCTGGACTCCTCGCAAAGATCACCGTCACAGTCCATCTGTTGTTCATCGCCCTCTTCTTCATCGCACTCGCCATCGCTTCTGCCTTTACCAACGTCCATAGCTTCCACTGGTGCTGCTGACCGGGAGCCAAAACATTCTCTAACGGTCCTCCGCAAAGCTACTGGATGTCCTACACCCAAGTCAGTATAGCGCAAGAACATATCGCGGTCAACAAAACTGGTAGCTCTAACAGGTAAGAGTCATTCAGCAACAAGAAGACGCACTACACTCACATCCCGACATAATACTCTTCCCAATCATCCTGTTCTTCGTTGGGACATGCTAAAGATTTCCCGTACCGAAGCGCACTCGCACCGCGCCCCGAAGCGAATGAAGGGATTAAATGAGCTCCTCGAATCACTTGACCTGGATCAAGAAATCCGAATGCATCGTGATCCAACTCCTCCATGAATGCCACCTTGGTAAGGCGGGCGTGCTGTATGCCAGACTGATATTCCGACAGTATTAATGGTGCGAACCATCGGACATAGAAGACCTCGACCTGCTGTTTTTTGATGCGACCACCAGACCCTTCAAGCCAAGTATCCATGTGGTAGATACCAAGTACGCGAGCATACCAGTATGGATGGGTAGGGGCGGTTTCTCCAGAAAGCACCATCACATCTGCGTGTGTGCGGGGGTTGATAATATCATATTCGCGCCTCATGTCGTAAGTAGTGTAGTGTACCTTCATCATCTGGACCGAATATACCATATTGTTAGGTATAATAACCGTGTTGCATTCCTCGTCTGTGAATGTGTGATCACAATCACAGACATCCAACTTCTTTAGCCTGTATAAAATATGGTCCTTGAGTTTTGGGATGAAATCCTGAAAATCGTCATCATAAACAAAACGGGCCAAAAGTGCAAAGTCATTTTTACCTTGGTAGCTGGATCACTGTCATGTTCCTGGAGGAATGCGAACAGCGAAACCAGATTATTTCGACTACTTGCGATAAAATGATGGTCTTTGGGAAACCATGGAGTGGGTGAGTCGGCTGGAGATTGGTCGCTTGACAAAGTGATATCTGCTGCTTGCCTGATTCGCTGTAGCACACGACGCCTGCGCTCGTGTTTTGCTAGCTGCCCTGGAGTGTCCAATTTCCTCATTAATGGATAGAATGCTTTCAAGGCTCTGTGCGCCAGTTCACCCTGGTCAATAACATAAGTTCCGCAGTGTTCTTGAGAACTAGGGAACAGTACGCACGATCTGAGTGGTAAAAGAGTCGGTAGTGCCGAAGAGCTTGATAGTGCGCACGTAGTCACCCATTGTGTGAAACTTATAGGTGTTTAAATTGAACTTTTTCACTTTTGGTGCACTAGATTCTGAAGAAGGATTATTGGATTCGGCACGTTGGGCCAACCTTCGTTGGTGAGCTGCTGTTTCTCTTTGTAATTCCACAGTGTTAAAGGCGGCGCACATAAAATCACGGAATTTCCGCAACTGTCGAGAGAGCGTTTTGAATGTGTCCTCGAAAAAATTAAGGGTCGACTCCGAATGATTTCTTAACTTGGCAAGTGCGTGCCATTGAGCAAATCTATACAAAAGAGTCTGCACGATCGTGTCATGACTGGCGGGAAACAGCCCTTCGAATGCTGGTATTGCACACTGTAGAGGTCGTCAGGACGCTACATAGATAACGATAAAGTTAAAAGACAAAAAACCTGCAAAATGTCTTCAAAGTCTCGTGCGGCCAGTCTCGTGCGGCCAGTCTCTTCATCTCGGATGTGTTGTTTGCGAAGGTTCAAATGACCCCACTACCGAAAGTTGGGACCTGACGAAGTCTACAGTGTCATAGAATTTGTTACTGATAAGTCACGGTTATGTAGAAACACTGGACAAACGCCTACCTGGAGTCTAAGGTTGCAACTAGCTGGGTTCCGCCTGGTAGTGCATACAGAATCCTGACGAGGTGAGTAAATAGACCCTTCCAAGTACCCAACTCGCACTCGTGCATAAAGTCCACAACGAGCATCCGGAATGGGTCGAGGTGCAGCACTCCGAGCTTCTCAACAAATTTGTTCTGCCGGTTACTCACATGAGCTAATATGACATAGCTGCGGAAAATGTGCACTCACTATCACAGGTACCCAGGACCCCTCTCCAAGCGTCTCTTCAACTTTCACACCGTCCACTGTATTTCCCCACTTATAAATATATTCTCGTGCCGTGGAGATATTGGTCTCGATGTAGACTCTGAGATTATCGAGACGGCTCCTCATGTCCTTAAGGAGGCCTAGAAAATTGAACATACTTTTCGGCGTGAGACAGCATGGGCAGGGACACAAGCCCATGTCTTTGATGGTGGCAATTAAAACCCTGAATTTCGTTGAGTAATCCACCGATCTTTATAAACATGACGTACTTTTCAGGATAGTCAGCTGAATACGTGAATATACGAGGAAATACCCTGCGTAACACTCCATCAGCACACTTTAATATAATACCATGGCGGTATGCTTGAATAAAATCTTGATCTAGTAAGATATCCCAGCATGCGTGGAACAACTCATGTCGGCAATGAGCGTGAAGAGCGGCCACACCACTCTTCGATATTCGAGGCAAGCTGCTTAGGATATCTTTGACCTTATCAGGCAGCTGGTGTGCAATGTCAAATGGTGCTTGAAGGTAGAATAGGAAGACTTACCAACGGTAAAAACCCTACAATGTGACATGCACCGGATTTCGGAGCAGAACGTGCATATTTGGTCAAGTTTCCAAAGTACATATAAACAGGCCAGGCTTTCGCTGTTCCGAAGTTCGCCAGATGTGTGGCATCGGAAAAAAACATCAGGCCCGTGATTACTCGTTCCAGTGAACACCCGGGCTCCCTTGGGAGCTTTTGCAGCTCATCTTGGGCATCTAACCATGAGTCAGACGTGTACAACTCGTCAAAGATTAGTTCCTCGTGACCATCCAATGGATCCTTTCATAAAGGCCTAAAAGGTAAAAGATGGAATGCGTTCACTTGGATATCAGCAAAGGCCGACTTGATCACTTCAACAAGTGGACGGAAATGGAACCCTGGAACAGAAAAAGATCTAGCATCGCCCTCACCCAATTTCATAGGAATATTGATGGTGACATTGGCTTGGGTCCAGTCATCTGGAAACTTGATATTCTTGCTGCTGCCAGGGTCGTCATCCAATTTTCGCAAACTCCTCTTCACCGAGAAGTTCTCTAGGTGCGTTATGTCAAAATCTTTCACCAGCATTACTTCCTTGACGAGACGGGCGACTTCAGTCTCGGATTTCTGGTTACTTCCTGAGTTCATCCAAGACATGAGCCGGTAGATTGTTATGTTGGAAAAGGGGTAAGGAGGCAGGAGGATACCAGGTGAATCAGTCTCCTGCGTCATAGTTGGACACGTTGTTGAAAGTAGCTGGGATGGGACAAATTTATCTGGTTCGAAGGATGTGCAGCGGGGATACAATCGACTGAGTCCAAGAGAATTGAAGGGAGTCTGAAGTGTGTCTCGTAATGTCAGTAGAACTCTCCTTATTCTGGATTGAGGCGGGGCAACATTTTGAGCGCCATGATCAACATGTTTGGAGATATTGACGTCCTCATCAGGAAGAGAGATATCCTCATAGGGCCTGGGTATCCGTCTCACTGGCAGATGGTGTGAAGGTTCTTCTCCTAGGAAAAGTATTTTTAAAAAAGGATCAGTAGACTTCGGGAACACACTGCTGCCAGGAAACTTACTAGTAGTACCCAACTGAGCATGGTGATCAATCACGGGTTCTGTGTCATTGAATCTATCAGCCATATCAAGCTGCTGTTGCGAAGTTTGCTGGAAGTGCCCATGACTTTCCGCTGTGCTAGAAGATGGTCTTCTATGGCCAACCTGAATATTGTACCTGATGGATGGTTTACATGAGGCAATGGGCTTTGGCTGAATAGGCTGCAATACGGTAGTGTTCTAGAAATATGTTTTCAATCACTAACCTGTTATAACTGCATGATGAGACAGAAAAGGCTCCTCACCAACGAGTTGGAACTGCCATGACAAGCTAAGCCTTCCATTGAATTGGCAACTGTTCGCTGCACCATGAAACTGTTCCGAGTCAGTGGAGATCTGGCTGCCTCTTTTGCTCTCTCGTGTCTTTTCTGACTGGCTAGAACTTTGTATTTGTTGTAGGATTGGCAGGTTGCACGATGCCTACTAAGCCCTCGACTGTCGGTTGCTTTCTCCCAGGAGCAGCCTGGAGCTTTGCAAGCCTGAGATGACACCATCAACGAATAGTAGTAAATGACTGAGAGCCAAAGAAGAATGAGCCCGGGCCATAGAATCAACTGTTTGCGCATTCGACGAACAGCTGTTTAGCAGACTCGAGTCGTTATTAATGAATGTACGGTGGGCTCCGTACTACTAGTAAGGTTCGACTCCAGCAGAGTCACTGCTCGGCACCACAGCCGCAGCCCGCTCCGGGGCTCAACAACTTGCACTTCAAGTTATTCTAAGGTTGGAATGCAGGAAGAACTTCAAGATCAGTCACATTAGTGACTTCAATACTAGTACGCTAGTCAAACAAATAAGTTACTAGTAGTTGTTGATACAGTGATAATCTGAATCTTTCTCGCTTCTTCTTCACCTTGAACTGCCGTGGCTGCATACTGCACCGGTCATGACGTTTTGTACACATATACATCTACTATGGATCGATCCGGGAACGTTTGCAACGTCAAGAACACAAGTGAAATGGTATGTACTGTCATTCGCAACACGGTCAGTATCATAACATCTGCAAAAATTCAATGAATCACCCTACCTCAGACAGCCAACTGGGACATAGGGCCATCTGTACTATCTGTAAGAATGGTGTCCAAGCATGTCTTCAAGCGATCTTCAGGAGCTGGATCATCGAAGGGTAGTGACAAGTTGCGCTTATCAACAACACCCTCCAGTTGTTCAAGTTGGCAATCTGCAACAGTGTATTCCGTGAAATCATGAGTATACGCAGCAATGCCAAAGTCCGCGTCATCTTCGAGTTGCTTCCTACTACGTTTGACCAAAAGCTTCTCAAAGAAGGAAGCTTCCGCTACGCTATCAGCATACTTCTTGGCATCGTTCAACAGAAGTGTTTGGAGAAGAATAGCATGTCGTTTGGTTGTCTCGAGCTCCCAAGCTGTTGTGAGAGCTCGCAAGCGCCTAGATTCGCGATTGGATCGCTTTGCTAGGATGGCTGCACGGACGGCGCTGTCAGGCAAAGCATCAATGCCACGATTGAAGACATTGAAACCCTATTGTAATGCCTGTCAACATAAGATGATCTGTGGTCAAAACTAAGCTAGAATACCTTCTGGACATCTATCATACTCATATCAGTCTCACCAGAGTACTTCCCTAGATGTCTTTCAACAAATCGGAGCTCTAGTGCACTGGGAGTATCATGACATGACGTTGCAGGCCGGAATCTTTTGGCCGAGTGCATTGCATAACAAGGCATGTGGCAGGTTACAGAGGGAAGAGATGGAGGTGCATACAATGGGACATCGGAGTCATGATGTCGCTGCGTGATGGAGTCTAGAAGTATACCATGGGGATTACTGGGAGTCTCTGAGTCAGTCACCTCGTCCAATTCGGATGGCTCGGAGCTGTCTGGTAACATGGTTTTAGCCAGGATATGGTCAGCCATACATGCTACATGGTGAAGATCAGGACTGGGTCCTCTGTGAGTGTTCATTGAAGGCACTCTAAGAACTTCGCGGATGCTGGTATATGGGATGCTGGCCATAGTACGGTCATGTTGACTACAATTGTTCCGCCTGATTATATAAGTCGGCGGTGTTTAAAAGCGGCCATGCCGTATTTGGTACCTAGGAGCTACTTGGTGGGAGCATAGTCCCGAAAAATATCAGTGAACAACCTAAGTAAGGTATCACTGCACCAGGTCTTTGTCTTGATACACTGCATTGCTAGTTATATATAACTAGAGGTCCGCGTCATGCCCAGTTCAACATGTCATAGTGATAAATGCCCAGCCAACCTTCCTTAAACTGTTCAATCGCTCACCGATATGTCAGCCTATCAGCTGGTGATTGCTGGAAGGGTCTGGCAATAAATTAAATCGTGACTAGACTAGGACTACTAGTACTATAGCAGAATCTAATCAATGAAATTCAGTCTAAGTTTGGTCCAAGTATCAACAAACAAATTCAAATAAACATCAAGAAGCACCTTGCGGCGTTCCTGCCCCCCGGGGCCCCAGCGCTGCCAACGGTATTAGTAGAAAATATAAGCGACCATCCGTTTAAGTTACTCTAGATTATGAATATTATGAATATTTTCTTTGTCTTTGTCGTCAGGTTGCACCCGTGCCTTCCTTTTCCCTTTTGCATTCCTTCTCATCTTTGCGCATTCCTCCTTCATATGAGCTTTGTGAACACTAGCGTGAAACATGTATGCAGCACCCTCTGGCATCCCGATCTTCTCCTCGTAGAATTGAATACTAAAATGTGCTGCCGTCACCAAATAAAGTATGCCGCAATCCTTCAGCTTATCCACATACTGTGGGAACTTCATAGCAGGGTAGCAAGCATGGATGATTGCAAGGACGTCGTCAATGCCCTGCGGCGGTTGCCAGTCATCGTCCGATTCCTCGTCACTCTCCATGTAGAGTGCATATGTCCTCTTGAGTGGTTTTGGGCCTTGGTCTTGTTGCCCGAAAGGTGGGCCGTTACTAGAAGCCAGCATGTCGTTGATAGCAGGTGAGATGTGAACGTGATTATGGATGACAGGTGATACGAGCTCGGTAGTAGGCACGCGCTGAAGTGGCGACACAGTTCGTTCCTTCCGTGTCTTCCGAAACTCATCAAAATGAGGTGTGCTAGGTAATGTAAGACACGTAGCATCCTCTGGATCCCGAGTTTCATGCTAAAAGTCATAAGCATGGTGCAACGTGATGCTCGCAGGCTAATATGTACCAAATATTTCGCCCACTCCTGCAGGTCTTGGGTACACAACAGATAGTGCGGACTCATGCTTGGCTGTGATGTATCCACCCAACAGAATGTGGCGTCCTCTCCAAGTCGATGCTTGGAGCAACACAATTTGCTCTGGACAATCTGTAACTCCTGCTCATATGGCAGAAGCAATGCTTTAGATTCCATCTTCTGATACCCTGCAGAACACCGTGACATAGCACCTTCCCGCCGTTCTGTTGACTTTCCCTTAACTATAGGCTTCTGCAATTGTCAATTATTACCCTGACGTCTGAGTGCGGTGAAGGTACAACAATTCAGATGGTGAGTCTGAACAATGTTGGGTCTTGCAGAACCTAGCTGCTATTTGACCCTAAAGGGTTTCTGGACCAGGCTCAAGGCTCAGAGGAGAGGAAATGTCATAAAAACTGCTGAATACTCAGACTCATAGTAGAACTGGTGAAAAGGTAACCTCGTTATGTAAGCTACAAAGTGCCAACATAAGGTAAGGTAAAGACAGTCTCTCCAAGCCTAGCCAGAAATGAATCCCTACAGTGGGTGACCCTCAGTGATGAATAAACCACTTACGGTATTGACAATTTCGATAGCAATGTTCTTCTTTTTCTGACCGGACATCTGCTCCTGTGCAGCTCTGAAAGTGTTGCTGATATCTTGCGAGTTCAGAAGCCGGTGGGGTGGGTCTGTGCGGCGGGCTGTAGACAGGTGCCAACCCAAATTTTCGTATGTCTTTGGGACGTCCATGGTGGCCCTCGTGGAGTCTAACAGGTCCTGGGCACTCAGATCTGATTCGGAGTATAAACGGCCCACGTATGTCGTACATTTATCGGTCTCCATGCTATTCAAAGGAATCCGAAACTCAACTACAGTAGTGTGGCCAGGATTAGTATTCAAGTTACTCAGCGAGTGTCATAGAGTCACCTTTCTTTCGCTCGGGCTCGAGCTCTGGCTTTGCGGGTGCAGGAAGTTCTTGCACTGCTCCGATATCTTGAGCTCCTGCTAATGCTGATTGAACAGCACAGATTCGGTTGATTTCTTCGCCGTCTACATCGGGTAGTTTTTGGCGAACACCCAGTAAGTAAGCCGCAGTTTGCACCTGAGATTGCTGATGAGCAGAGAGCATAGAATTTATGGAGTTGCTGATATTCTGCGAGAGAGGTGACTCCTGACCCACTTGGGAGCAGTTCGGATTACAAGCCTGTGCGGGCGCGGAAGACAAAGTTATTGATTTGGGTGGCATCATGCACTAAGATGACTCTGGGACGGATTTGCTCACCTCCAAGCATTTATATTCTGGCCAAATGGAGTGGTCATAATTTACTCTCATGCATAGTAGGTCGACTCACAAAAGAGGAGACTGGTAAGTTCCAAAAAAGGCTCGACAAACAACCTTGTATATGCAACCCTGACACTAGCGCTGTCAGGACTTCGTTCTCTTCCAAACAAGTATCTCAATTGAGCGGGTGTCACGGTATAACATGATAACTTACAGATGAGCATTTATAACGAGCCGGTTACCATATTTGTGAACACGATTCGTTCAAAGTCTTCATTGATTGTACTATGACTGACTCTGATATCTCAGAGGTTCAATTGGTTGTGCAAACCTAATGGTTGGTCTGGTGAGTGGCCAATTAAGAGGATTTAAATTCGGAAGACGGGCCAGCAAGCGGCTTATGCTAGTCTGAGGATGCAGCCAGATGACCTACTACTAGGTAGCAGTCACTGCAAAGAAGAGGACGTGGTAAGGCTTGGTATTGCTTGATACGTATGACATATAAAGTGAATAGGTGGGAGACGACGAGCCTACTAGTAGGTTGGCGATTGTGACGACCTGCTTAAATGTCACAACATGTAACATTACCTGATTAAGAACATTGACGCATGTTAGTATGCATTTTGGCATAACTATGTACAATTTAATTTATTAGTGCCGCTGTAGTAGGTTTCGGTACTAATAAACCTGTGGCACCAGTTCCTCCCCTCCCCATCTTTCCTGCTGGCGCCTGCTTTGCAGTCGCCTCTAACCCTACTATATCAGCAGAACCAAGGTTCGTAAGTTCAATTGGTCGTGTACTAGTTATTGTTACTGACCCTGAGCAATTCATCTAGGCTAGTACTACTTCGCTGCGACTATCGCAATCTCCCGCTCCTACTCGTGCTACACCTCCAACTTATGCCCACGTCCTACTTGCCTTAACACAAACACCCAATTAACCCCCTACGCAAGGAGAAAGAAGAACGTCTTGAGGTGCTAGAGGAAGCTCACCTTGAAGCTGGGAGGGCTGGTGACGTCGTTCAGACTCAGACTCCACTGAGTCAGCCAGCGAGTCTCCAGAACCCGACGACGGCAATGTCTGGAGTTGAATTTCAAAGAGTGGTAAGTCTATGGGTTCTTCTGCCCTCGCATATTTAGAACGACCTAACTATTTCACGAATCATATTCCTTCAATGTCAGTGATACAGAGCAGTCAGTCAATGTCCCACACCTTCAATCAATGCCAGCATCCGCCTTCCTCATCTCACCCACAATACTCAGCCACAATATGGAGCAGGTGGACCAGTCCTCAGCCTGTGAATGAACTGAAGGTCGACGTGTATTTCATACACTACGCAGTCGAGGGAAGGCAGACTCTGTATCCGTGGTGCCAATTGTTTCATGAGGTATTTAAGGGTGAAGTCATACTATTTGACTGCATTATTACGATGGCTTAACGCTTGTTAGGCTGGAGCTGTTCCAGTGCTGACTCAGATGCTCTTGGTCTCATATGGAGAAAGTGTTCAACGCAGTGATATGCATAGCCATGCGGAACCACCTTCAAACCCAGCTTGGCTATCTCAAGGCAGATGCAATGTAGCCAGGTGCGCTTCCACCCACCAGTTCTGCACGATTATCTAACAGAGAGATTGGCCGGGGACACCTTTTGATATGGTTGTCAAGCACTCCGACGGATACACAAGGCTGACTGTTCTCGGCACGAACATCGACTCTTCCAGTGTATCCTTCGCCTTACGCTGGCTCCAGCGTCGAAGAAGGTGAACCTCACCATATCTGGGACATTGAGAGCAAATAGATTCGTATTTTGAGGACACTCCCGTTTGCATAACAAAACGAAGATGATGATGAGCCAGCCGCCTGACTAGTACTAGTACGTGTAAATGAAGAATATATGCAAATTTGGACTAGTCTGAGTTCAAAGGGCAAGTAGCAATTTGGTCGACTAAAATTTGTAACGCAGCCTTTTGCTCTGGGGTCATATTATTGAATCTGTTAACGAGTGTCGTGTGGTAACTATGATTGTTCCTGACCCATAACTCACTGTCGATCACCGTACCCGTTCGCCGCTCTTCTAAGGCCCAGCGAAAGAGAGTGCCTGTCATAGTAAACAGTGGTCGCAACTTCTCAACCGTCATTGTGGATACACCATCGGGCGATGGTTCAGTCGAGCCACTGCTGATATAGCGATGATATTGATACCTGCTGTCGTACAGCAGGTATCCAATGTATGCCATGATAGCTGGGTTTCCAAAAAGAACAGTAATGATACGCCCATTGATCTAACAGCCTTGAAATGGGAACATGATTGACATCGAGAACCGATTCATGACTTACCGTTAGCGTGACATCAAGAAATCTGGATTCATCCTCCGTTAAGTATAAGACTCGAATCCTGCGATTGATAAGGTGCGAGATGTTCATCTGGTAGATTTGTAGGTCATATCAGAAATAAACAAATAACCTCGCAACATCCTTCATGTCACTTCTGACAGAGTCGACTATGTTCACGAGGCCCTTTTCCAGAGAACAGCGAAAATTCTCAGCCCATTCGCGAAGGTCCGCTATTTTCAATTGGTTAGCGACATCTTCGGATCAGATACTTGAGGAAACATACCTGGCTGCCTGCTGATTGCAGTTTCCCAAGAGGTCCGTACCATAATTTTAATCTTGGGCATTGTAGGTAAGAGCGATTCATTGAAAAGTGAATATTTCATCTCTTCACGAAAGTCCAACGTAGCATCTCCGGAGTTCGAAGGTACGAACATGTAGTTTTGAACAGGCATTTCACCCCCCTCTGGCTCAATGCCACTTTTGGCCTTCAGGCGCCGGGATGATGTGCACGTACTAGTTTTAGCAGTGTGTTTGGATCGGCCCTGCTGGGGGGCCGTAGACATTTGACTTGGAGTCACAGTGGGCTGGGCGGTGATCCCAGGCCCCAGCAATGGTGATGGCCCACTGTTGGGCACTGGTCCGGGAATATGGTTATCATTGGATGCGATTTGGAAGTCTTGATCATGAGAGGGCCACTCTCTGGGCCAAACCGCGTTAAAGGAGGTTTGAATGACTTCGTCAAGTTGGAGATTCTGGGGTTGATCCGGAGCCCACTGGGGCAGGAACTGATCATGATGATCTGATGACGGTTGACCCAGCGCAAGCCTTGGCACGACAGGCTGCGGTGAGGGTAACGACTGACGCTGAAGTTCTGCATGACGATAATCACGGTAAGGATCATGGTGGAGTCCCATTGGTGGCACGTTTTGGGGGGGCCACCGCCCACTAGTAGAGCCGATTATCCATGGAAGTTGATGATTGGCATGGTTGTGACCAACTTGAGCCCCAGCCTGAGGATTGTCAAAGTTGAAGAAGCAATCGAGGTGGAGGGCATCTGATGACGCAGCCAGTGATTGTTCAAGCTCGTTTGACAGGCTATGGTCATGGTTGTGCTGGCTGGGGCCAATGTCAGAGGCGTTAAAGTTCATGATGATGATCGGAGTCAGCTGCGGTACTATCGATGGTGGAGATAGTTAGCAAGATTTGAGATTTGCATTTACTCATCTTAAACTTTGACTTGGATTCAAGGCAGGCTCGTACAACAACACATGAACTTTATCGATTGACTAGTGAGTGTACGTTTGTCGATAAAGTTCTGAGTCAATAGCCCTGATAGGAACTTTGATCATCGTCGTGGCGAATTGGCAAGTCTTCAACGCGTTGTCAACAACAAACAAACAAACAAACTCACCAAGTTGGCAATCATGGAAGTCCCTTCACAGAATGATTCCTGTCAGGACTCAGTGGTAGCCAGAGAAAGCGAGAGATGGCACTAGTATGATGACTGCCATGGTACTGGCACCATGAGTCCGGTCTGACTTGGAGTCCTTTGAAAATTGGTGAGAATTTTTTTGTGATGGCTGGAAATCACGACTAAAAAATACTGCCCAGGTCCCATCATGATCATGTCGCGACTCCATACTTGCCAGAATGACTTACTGTGAGCCTAGAGCAATCGACAGTCATTCTGTGCATTGGATCATCTCTAGTCAGATAGTCATCGACCTTCAAGCAGTCATGTAAAAGAACTTGCTGAAAACAGTCTTGCCAACGCCCGTTGTTACGACTGGGATATGTCGAGCTGTCTAAGTCCGAGTGGACTGAGATTCAGCGAGACAGACATGGTTCTTCTCTCGATTGAGAGGTCAAAGGTTTCTGGCTAAGGCGAGTATCGGCGACTCCCTTAGAATAATGGTTCTTAGATAGCAAGGTTGGGGACCTTGCTAAAGGACTATGTTCCAGGTAGAACCCAGTAGATTAAAGTAAAGAATACAAGTGGTACGCTATGTGTCTATATAGCGAGTGTTCAAGCGGAGCTTGTAAATGGCGTATCAAGATAGAAGGCGGACAGCCCGCTTGATAAGAGATAACAGACATGATGCGGACAGCCCACTTGATAAGGGATAAGGCTATACATGGTGACGGTTACTGGAACGGAAGGTGAGCTTGGCGATAATATGAGTAAGGGTCTGGAATGTGATTGGACGTTCAGTAGCAGATACAACAAGGGACCACTGTCCGGTAACGAAGGAAAAGTTAGGGGAATAAGTATACCATAACACCCGTGCTACTGTGAAACAACGGTGTATCACGTCCTCAGTTGACGCCTGTGTACCCAACTGACGTTTAGAAGAGGTTCGGTTTCTCAACTATGGGCTCATGTCTATCGAAGTTATCGACGTGGATGCGGCATAGCCCTGAAGGATTATGAAGGTGTCGGTAAGTCTCGTCCTTTTGGTATCTATGTCACTTGTCACTTCATCGCTCGAAGCATCACACATTCAAACTTGCTGCCTTTGAGGACCTCAACTGTCTTGACCTTTGGTTTTCGCAGCGAAGCCTTGTCTTTACTGTGCAATTTGAGTGATAGTGTTATGCTCACAACTGCTACCGCTAATGAGACCCCGATAAGTGCCATACTTGAAATGGATCGGAACGGCACACTTAGGAATTCCAATTCCAAGATCATAAGATATGCAGGAATTCCTGAATCCACGATACATTGGACACAGCCAACATGGAAAACGCGGAGGGTGATGCCAAGGCTCCTGCTGCTCCTTCCCGGATCATATCGAAAACGGACTTCAACAAGATGCCTCGATAGCCTCGATAACCTCGAACCACCCACCACACATCCCTCCGATCTTTTCTACAAACCAGATTCCTTCTCAGCTGCTTCCCATTCTTCAAACTTTTCCAATACAGCCTTCACAATCTCCTCGGCCGACCCTTATTTTCCTGCACGAACATGCGCCTCGTAGTGGTGTGTTTCGAGTAGATGATGCTCTTTTTGGCTTGTTGACTTTTTACAGGAGGTATGTCAATGCTATGACCGATGCAGCCATCTCGCTAAGAATCCTTTTATAGGTTGAATTGGTCTGGGCAAGTAATGTCTCATGTCAAAGGAACACGCATGAAAATACACTTAATTACAGAGGCAATGCTGGTCGTTAGTGACAGTTCTGTATCTTAGTGTATGTAACTTGTTTGTCGCGGTTGCCATGTTGTGCTGACCTGAAAGTATCCTAGGTGCGCTACCTTGGAATCTTCTTTGCTGCGTGTATTCGGAAAGCTAAACAATCATCTATCTCTCATAAACAGCCTGACCATGCTGCGTATGTCTCCTTAGTTTCGCTGTCTTTTCTTCTTCTGACCAATGGCATACAGTCAATGTTCTGACCATCTTGCTGACAGATACAGTAAGTCTTCTGCACAGATGCCTGCTATTCACCTCCAATTAACCGTGGTGCCTTGTAGGAGTGGGTGTGGTTCTTTACTAACTTCTTGGTTCATTAATGACTGCCACGCTATACTACCATAGATGTGAGTCTGTTTGGAGTGTGCGCTACCGAGGCTGGTCACTGACCGGATTCGTCAGGCTGGATTATGTCTGCCATATGGAATTGGACGGGTATTATGGCATTTGGAATGCTGTGGAGTGAGTTTGGCACTTGCGAGCTCTCAGTGATATTGACTTGACTGAAACATGCTGCTAGTCATTATTATCACTCGGTTATATGCCATGTATCAACAATCCAGAAAGATCCTGATATTGCTCATTATCACCTTGCTGGCTAATGCCATCTGCATTGGAGTGGCAGCCGTAATAATAATGGTACATGCTTCAGTGGGTATGCTTGATTTTGGATGAAAATAAATGTGCACCAGTGGGGCTCATTGATGAATACCAGAGGAATACTATCTCTCCGGCACCTATCAGTGCTCGATTGGCTTTGGGGGAGATCTCCCACTTCTGACTGCCATTATATGAATACTCAGCACTGTGTGGGAAGTCTTCACACTGTGTCTCGCAGTCTGGATCGCAATAAAACATTTTCGTGAACTGCGACAACATCCGACAGGAGGGATTATCATGGACTGTTTCACAGTGTCGATGAAAACTCACGTGCTTTACTTTGCGAGGTAAGTTCATATCGTGATTATCGTTCTTTTTTTCCACTAAAGGGTCGGTCGTGGTAGCTTTGTTGCTGTTTCTTGCCTCCAGCTCATTGTTCCAAGATTGTCAACGGTATGTCAATCTTTCGCTGCTCCTGCGTGCTACCATGGTGTATCGTCTCCATAGGATTTACAGGATGTCCAGATTTATTCTGGGTTTCTTCGGATTTTGGGGGTCGTGCAGATGTTTGTTCTGGGACCACACCTGATCCTTGGTGTCCGAGAATTCAACGCGAAGCTCGTGGCTGATTCCGATGCAGCATCTGTGATCTGGGTACTCCTCGCTCGTCATAGCACAAGCCTCGCCTTCAAGATGTCTAAAGAGAGTCACCTGGCTCGAGCCCCCTAGCGTTTTATCCCTGCCAAGCTTAACTTTGGATACCTCATTGTCACCACTATCATGAAAAAGTACGTTGTCGAATTTTACTCTATTCTCTTGCCCATGTTACAAATTTATAATAGTCCCAAGAAAACTATGAGGACAGCTCTGGCATCACACACTGACCTCGACGACCTCGATTCGCAACCCATATGATCTGTTAATACTCGTAAGTCCGTCCGAAATCTTGTAATTTCTAAATGGCTTACCTAGAAGCGGTGTTCTCTGAGTCCCAGGAGGTATTCCAGTTCCCGCACCTCCATTTCAAACATCCGGTGTTCCCTTGCGATCCATAACACCATCATCGCATGCAGCTCGTCTGGCCAGATCAGAGGTGGCGGATTAGGAGGAAGTGGTAAGGCAGGTTCATAAACTTGTTGGTGCACACGCACTCGAGCGGCGGCCCAAGTGACATACATCAATGCCTTAAAAATGTTAGTATCGTAGCTCATGAATGAGTGAGTGACTCACGAGTTGCTGTCGAGTCATCGTGAACATTACGTTCCATGGCCTTAGTGGGTATTGGAGGAAGTGTTGAGGCATCTGTAGGATATTGGTGAGTAGCCACGGTAAAAAAATCCCCAACGCACCTGGTGATTTTGGTGTCCATCTCCATCCCCGTTTCCGTTTCCAGCTCCTCTGTTAGCGTTAGCGTAGTTATCCATAGTACTAGAATGGTAGATGTAAAAATGGAATCGAGAGTGAATAAATCCTCACTTGCCTTGGTCCTTGAGTTATCAATTAGCGTCTGGAAAGCCGTCCCGATTTGCATAAAGATATATTTATAATGTTTCCGGCATTTTCTGGAGTGGCGTGTGCTACTATGTACATAGTAGCTTGAAAGTACGGCCTGGTGGTTGATAGTACTACTAGGAGTTTAAGTTTTTAGAGTTTGAGTCTTGTCGCGGCTATTATTTAGTTTGTCTTTTCATATTCTACTTGTAATGCACTAGCAGATCTACAAGCTGCCAGACATTTTTTCTCAGATCGCAAACTTCAAGTTGTACCGGTTCTCGCGATGGTTGTTTGTACTTATTGAATTCTAAAGCCTTGAGACTGCTGTCACAGTCACGAGACATAGAATGTTTTCTTCAAAGTCGAGTCCGACTTAAAGTGCAGGACGGTCTCTACTAGTTTACCTCTCTGCATTATAGTGAATAAGTTTCTTTCTCTGATCTTCCCTCCAAATTCTAGGAAGATGTGGATGCGCAGAGCTTTTCGGCCTCAAGTCAGTTTCATCGGGTATGACAAGCGAATTGAACTCAACGGAACATTATACAGGGCCTTTGGACACATTTATTCTCGTATTGACAACCCCACTGTTGTACGTGATTCCTTCATCAATCCTCCTCTACAACCAAGTACTTCTATTCATATAGGATGTCTTCGAGACTCGAATGGCTGCCCTTGAAGGTGGTGTTGCAGCCATCACAACGGCCTCCGGTCAGTCTGCGCAATTCCTTGCTATTTCCACGATAGCCAGTGCAGGTGACAACATTGTTTCAACGTAAGGTCCAATCTTTCAGGTCCAGATCCCCAATTGACATCTCGGCAACAGATCATATCTCTACAGAGGGGTAAGTCTATTATTTTCAGGAGTCAAGGGATTGTTTTAACTGATGAGGTCGCTTGAAGACATACAACCAGTTCAAAGGTTCGCCTGTCAGCATCTTACTACCATATCATGGTGAAAGTGCACATGCTAATCATTGTCAATGGACTGCTGCTCATGTTAAATCAACAGGTTGCACATGATCACGGCATCCCCTTAATCGTGGACAATATCTTTGGAATTGGAGGATACCTCATCCGACCCATCGATTTGGGCGCAGACATTGTTGGTGAGCATGTCCTTCACGTAGGTGATCCGTGGCTCACATAGATGGTCATCAGTGCACAGTGCAACCAAGTGGATCGGAGGTCATGGAACGACGATTGCAGGTGTTGTCATCGATTCAGGTGCGTTCACTTCACGATGCTTTCAATCTGCATATCTCATTTTAGCTGTCAGGCAAATTCAACTGGGCACGCTCCGGCAAGTTCCCGTCGTTCACTTCTCCCTCCGAGGGATACCATGGCCTGATCTTTCACAACACATTTGGTGCTGTTGCTTTCGCTATCAAGCTTCACGTCGAGCTCCTCCGTGATTTGGGACCAGCCTTGAACCCATTCGCCGCATTCTTGCTCATTCAAGGTATTGAAACGCTTAGCTTGAGGGCTCAGAGGCACTCTGAAAACGCTTTAGCGCTTGCTCAGTAAGTTGTCATGCACTGATCTGTGCGTAAATTTTTATTGTTTTAGGTGGCTGTCAAGACATGAGAAAGTCGCATGGGTTTCCTATCTTGGCCTAGAGAGTCACCCGTATCACCAAAGGGCAAAGCAGCTTCTCCGCCCAAACACCTTTGGTGGTGTTCTCAGCTTCAGCGTCAAGGGCGACGTTAGCATGGCAAGCACGGTTGTCGACGGCCTGAAATTGGCTAGTAATCTCGCAAACATCGGCGATGCCAAGACCCTTGTCATCCACCCTGCGTCGACGACGCACCAACAGCTGAGTGACGAGGAGCAGCTGTCTTCGGGGGTCACGCCTGATTTGATCTGGGTGCATGATGCATCTGATGAAAATGTTCAAATTTGACTGATTATTTGGGCAGGTGTCTGTGGGCATCGAACACATTAATGATATCATCGCGGACTTTGAGCAGGCTTTGAGGCAAGCACCCTGATTTTCAAGAAGGAAAGATATATGTAATAGTACTGTTCCCTACGACTATAAGTAACATGTACAACAGCGATCTACTCACAGCTACCCTAAATATAGGTTTCTTCCTCCCGCTGTTGCCTGCGTCGTTCCCTTCGCGTGCGATGTACTTTAGTTGTCCATACAGTAGTAAGCAGCTCTGGGTGACCAATAGTACCGTTCTCAATACTGTTCACACTGGCGAAAACCTTACATAGCGGTAGCAATATTACGCAAATTATATAGCTATCTCTCACCAAAAAATTCAACACCCAAATGATGGAAAATGTGGATTCTCAACAAATCAGGCACCATGACTTATCATTCAATTTCAAGCCATGGTGACGCACTGTCATAACATTGTTGCATCCTGCAATGTGAAAATATATATCGCAACCATTGCTAGTGCTACTTTTCACGATAAAGACATGGATGACTTTGGCATCGGAAAATTAAATTACGATAAATAAGCACGTTTAATAACTCGGATACAATTATGCTATGATCCCTTGCTAAGCTGTGATGTCGCAACATCGCAATCTTGTCAGTGACTCCTTATTGTAGTCTATATTTGCATACATCTATGGCTATGTACCAACAACTCGAATTTCTTGCAGTATAGATAGTTATGTTTAACAGGAGCAGAATTACATCCCTCTATAGTTCCCACGACTACAATATCACGGACTCATCAATTCACTGATGCGGGTGCAGTAAAGGTAGCACGCGCAGATACTGTTTTTGCATTCTAAGATGGAGGATAATTGTTGTGACATCAGTATAGACGTTGCAATCAGCCGACATGGCTCGTGCACTGCTTAGCGGAGTTACGAGAGCATCTGAGTGGCGGAGTAAATAGTTAGTATAATAGAATATCGGAATCGGCCGAATATATTCTGCGCGCCACAAACTCCTATTATCGTCGCTGTTCCTACTAAGCCCGGAACCTGAATCATAAGAGGTTATGAGCCCTGTGATATGTTAAAAAGCAAACATTAAAGCAATACATTGAAATAATAATCAAGATGTCGAATCCCAATCCTAATCCTCTGACTTCTACAGCTACTGGGACTTCCACAACAGTACCTGTCCCTGCGGCAACACAAAAACCTAAAGAGATTAACCTCGGAGCGTTGTTGTCGTATAAAATCGAACCTTTGAAGGAAAAGAATTGGAGTGGATGGAAAGCCTGTATGATGGGCCTTCTCAAGCTTCATGGCGTGTCTGAACATGTAGACGGCACGACGAAAAAGCCTGATCCGAACAAAACGGATGAGTTAGCGTCATGGAATAAACTCGACCAAGTTGCACAGACCTTGATAATGAACAGCATCACTGATGAACAGATGGTGCATGTCACCGAGGCTGCAATGGCCGAACAAATGTGGACAAACTTGATGAGTATTCATCAAGTTCGAGGACAACAGAGTGTCGTCGTCGCGAAGCGAAATCTATTCGCTATGCGAGCAGCTGAAGGCGTCAATATCGTCGAACATATCAATGAGATGAAAAGGCAACAAAATGACTTACATCTTATGGGCGAGATGATTATGGACAAGGAATATAAATCCTTGCTCGTGATGTCCCTACCGGACTCCTGGGATGCCTTCACATCCTCGTACCTTGGTACGCATGCAGATGCGCAAGGGACAAAAGGTATAACGTCCCAGGAGATGACCTCGTTGATTATAGACGAGTATAATCGTAGGGAGACGCACAGTATGCAGGCGCAGGAAAAGGGGTATTATGCTAAGAGTACCGAACGCGGGAAAAAGCGTAAGATCGAGAAGGAAAGACCGAAACAGAACTTACCGGAATGTTCGATTTGTGGAAGACATAACCATGTCACCGCAAAGTGCTATTGGAAAGGCAAGCCGAAGTGTACGTCCTGCGGCAAATTCGGACACGAGACTTCGGCATGCTGGGGAAACAAGACTTCAGGAGCGTCATCTAGACCTGTAAAGCCGAAATGTGCTTACCAAGTGCGAGGCAATATGGAGGATGACGACACCGATATGGAAGTCGAAGACGAACCTAAAATTGCATTTATGGTTCAGTCTGATCTTTCCCCGAAGAGCGAACAAGAATCAATGATCTGGTACGAGTGGTTCGCAGATTCAGGAACAACCTCGCATATAACCAGAGTTCGAACTGCACTTACAGAATATGTCCCAATGAAAAGTGAAGTTGTCGGGATAGGAAACGAGCCCCTTGAAGTGAAAGGGCGAGGCACAGTCAAACTCGAAAGCTATATAGGCAGACAAAAGGTCAAATTTTATCTAAAGAATGTATTATACGTACCGAACACATCAAACAATCTATTATCTGTGCGCCAGCTAGACAAAGATGGCGGATGTGCTAGGTTCGGTGGTGGAAAAGTGGCCTTGTATGCCAAACAAGGACAACACATCGCGGAAGGACATATTGAACATGGCCTATATAAACTAAATGTTAGAGCGAAGTTAAGACTAATAGAAAAGACACATACTGTAAAAGAGAGACCACCAGCTGATTGGCTGACATGGCACAAAAGATATGGCCATGTAGCGGTAACAGGTCTTAAAAAGCTGTATAACGAAAAGTTAGTAGATGGCTTGAATATAGATAAAAGCGAACCTCAATTTGAATGCGAAGCATGCATTCGCACAAAACAAATAAGGGAACCTTTCCCGAAATCAGTAGATCAACGTGCAGAAAAACCATGTGAACTTACCCATAGTGATGTATGGGGTCCAGCAAGGACTCAATCTATAGGAGGAGCCCGCTACTATATCTCCTTCGTGGACGATTGTTCCAGGAGATGTACCGTTGAATTTCTGAAACACAAAAATGAGGCATCATCAAAGGTAAAGCAATATATCGCTTACCTTGAAAGACAACGAACCGAATCACCCAAGACAATTAGGGTAGATAACGGTACTGAATATATAAATAATGAGCTGATAACATGGTGTAAAGAGAAGGGAATAGACTTACAAACAACAGTGCCCTATTCACCACAGCAAAACGGAGTATCAGAAAGACAGAATCAAACGCTAACAGAATTAGCGAGAGCGATGCTAACCGAAAGAGAGTTACCAGAGTTCCTATGGGCAGAAGCGGTTGTACACGCCGCATATGTAAGAAATCGGGCACCAACCCGAGCATTAGATCATTCAACCCCTGAAGAAGTATGGAGTGGTAAGAAACCTGACGTGTCATATTTACAAGAATTTGGTGTACCTGTATATGTTCTCCAGGAGAACGCCAACCAATCTAAGATGCAGCCTAGGTCCATAAAACAAGTCTTCGTCAGCTTTGTGGATGGACCAAAGGCAATATGTTACTATGATGCCCGAACACGTCAGATACGAGTGAGTAGAAACTACAAGTTTATAAACTCACCGGAAAAGATCCCAGAAAGCGCTAATGATGTACAGCGCGAGGGGGAGATAGACGCGCAGACATCAGGGGGAGCTGACATGCAATCACCTATACAAGAACACTCCGTAAATGAACAGCATAGAGATATACGAGAACACTTACAAGAAAAGAGCTCAAATGAGCGTATATCCGCAGATAATAAGCAGAAAGAGCCGCCAGAGACAAATGAGCTGCCCAGAAGAACCAAGAGACAAACAGTTAGAAAAGATTACCAAAAAATGAATGAACCAGACTTACCGGACTTTGATAATGACGAAGATGATAGATCTAAGTCGTATGAAGTTAGAGACGGTAAACTACCATTGCCAGAACTTACAGAAGAAGACATAGTCTTGATTGCGATGGTAGAAGGAGGACACATTGACCCTAATGGGAAGAAGCGATACAAGCAGAACTTACCCAGTTAAACGAAATGGGCACTTGGGAGTTGGTAGAACCACCCGAGAACAGGACGCTCGTAGGAAACAAATGGGTCCTAGTTAAGAAAATAAATAAAGAAGGCGAAATCATTAAGTATAAAGCAAGGTTAGTAGCGAAAGGGTACTCACAAATTCCTGGTATGGATTATACAGATACCTTTGCACCGGTAGTACGTCTTGAGTCGATACGATCGACGATGTCTGTTGCAGCAGCCCTAAATTGGGAAGTTGAGCAGATGGACGTGAAAGGAGCATATTTAAACGGCACCTTAACAGAGGAGGTGTACATGGTCCAACCGGAAGGATATGATGACGGTACTGGAAGAGTGTGTCGACTTTGAAAAACCTTGTATGGATTAAAACAATCTGGACGTGAGTGGAACATTGAGTTAAATAGTCGTCTAACGAAGATAGGATTTAAACGTACTGAGTCGGATCCATGCGTCTATATAAGACAGACCGAGACAGGCACGCAGATTATAACAGTATGGGTAGACGATCTACTCCTGTTTGCAAATAGTGTCAATCTTATGAGTCAGTTAAAGATGCAGCTAAAAGAGATATTGGATGTTACCGACCTGGGAGAACCTAAAAAGATAGTAGGAATTGAAATAACGAGAGACTGTGCCGAGAAAACAATTGAGTTATCTCAAGCACGGTACATAGATTCAATCCTACAAAAATATGGACTCCAGGACTGCAACGCAGTAGGTATGCCCATGGATCTGAAAATTGTATTAGAAAAGGAGGATACCGACACAAAAGGCGAACGAAGTAATAGTTACGCCTCGTTAGTCGGATCTTTAATGTATCTTGCAGTGGCGACACGTCCCGACATCGCGTATGCGATACAAAGGCTAAGCTCTTTTGCCGCAAATCCTGGACTAACACATTGGTCAGCGGCAAACGGGTATTAAGATATCTAGCTGGGATGAAAAACCTTGGAATTAAGTATCGAGGAAATGATTCCATGAACGCCAAAGTCAAATTTGAGGGATGGACAGACGCAGACTATGCTAATGACGTTCGCAATAGAGTCTCAATATCAGGATATGTCTTCAAACTTAGTGAAGGAGCCATTACTTGGAGCTCCAAGAAACAAAACACCGTTTCGCTATCCTCAATGGAGGCAGAATATGCAGTGATGGCGTATGGAGCAAAGGAAGCAGTGTGGCTCCGATATTTGTTCGAAGATTTGAAATTGGCCCAAGAAGGACCAACAATCCTATATGGAGACAATATGGCAGCGTTAGCAATAGCACGAGACCCTCAATATCACGCGAAATCAAAACACTTTGATGTAAAGAATCATTACATCAGAAGTAAGATTCGCGAGAAAATAATACAAGAAGTATACTGTCCTACAGAAAGGATGATAGCAGATGTACTCACTAAACCGCTAGCTAAACCGTCGCATCAGAGACTCTCCAACATGATGGGCATGTCTCCAGATTGAGGGGGAGTGTTGTGACATCAGTATAGACGTTGCAATCAGCCGACATGGCTCGTGCACTGCTTAGCGGAGTTACGAGAGCATCTGAGTGGCGGAGTAAATATTTAGTATAATAGAATATCGGAATCGGCCGAATATATTCTGCACGCCACGAACTCCTATTATCGTCGCTGTTCCTACTAAGCCCGGAACCTGAATCATAAGAATAATCCACACATTGACGTATCTATGCAGAAGCCAGGACGGGCCAATCATCATTGTATCATTTCACTACTCATGCAAGGCCTTGAGGGCCGTAACCGTGACATTGCAGCCGGCAAATGCTTAACGTTGTAACCCGAAGCCAGCCTATCTAGATTCAATATTCAGTAGGCAATGAGGAATACTAGTATTGTGCGATTCCATGAGGCGTACACGACGTCCGTATTTGAAATTAGTCCAGAGTTGGAGTCGTGTTTCGTGCCGTATTACCCTTCCAAAGTACTTCGGCTCCACAAAGCTCCCGAAAACAACGCGTGCATTCAATACCCTCTATGGAGAACATATCCAAGTCAAGTAAGTAAACAGCGACGACAACGATAACGAAAGAACGAAAGAACTCGAAGGTATGTAACAACATTCCCGGACGTGAAGGTATTCCAAACCCAAATATTCTAGGAGGCTCCCGCGACACGCAGCGCAGTAGCCCTTCTCAAAGATTTAAGATGCCTGTTGACTTGAAGCCAACTCAAACCATTTATGTTTTGAACTCGGTCGACACAAGGGAGCCAGGCGGAAATGATGCGAGCGATAGTTTCAGCATCTATTAGAAACTCGGATAAGTCCAAAGCCAATGATCGTAGGGAGGTATGTTGTATTGGCTCGGCATCAGGATTGATGTCGATAGTTGCAATCTTGATTGGAACTTGTAGTGTATGCAATTGTGGACATAGACCGATCGCTGTGAATAATCCACGGAGGGAGATTTCGGAAGAAGGAACACGGTCACCTGAGTCATCAATTTCCAGAGTGCGGATGTGCGGCCAAGTAGACATAGCTTGCAAGAGCATATCATTGTCCAGGTAGATGTAGAAATTATTAAACATGAGCTTCAGGGTTTGGAGCTGTGTGAAGCAAAGGAAATACGGAATTGGTGTCAAAGACTCGTCGTCTCCCACGAATCCGTCATCATAAGAACAAATGGAGATTTCTTCGAGAGTCAGACACGCTGTGCAGTGGGACAGAGCATGAAAGAGTTGCTCGGCCTGTTCTGAAGAGAAATGATGGGCTTCAAACTCGAACTCCTTCAGCGAGGGAAATTGCCAGTGTTGCATGACTGTGATGATGTCTCCGGCATCGTAGAGCTGTTGAAAGGAAAGGCTTGTGATGTTAAGGAATGATAAATTCACGATATCTTGTTTTGGCAGCGAAGGATGGTCATTATACCCTTGATCAATTTCCAATTTGCGAAGGGTAGGGAGGTGGGAGAGGTGCTTCCATGCTGCCAAGTCGACCATTGGACAAGAAAGAGTTACAAGCCGCGTGCACCAATGAATCCTATCGGATAGCAGGGTCAGCTCATCTGCTGTGCTGTCACCATCGCATATTTCAGGAGTGTAGATGCATAGATGCTCCAGAGCAATGCAACGTGTCACAAAAGATTGCAAACCCTCGTCGACGCTCAATAGATGACATCGGTGCAGCATGCGAGGCAGAAAGAGGTTCAAATATGTGGTGGACAGACTTAATGACTTCAGCCTCGGAAATATGCATGCCTCAGTGGGGATGACAGAAAGAAGGTGCGGATGATCAGATTGTATGTCCAATGTGCGTATATGGGAGGAGTGACGCAGAAATTGATGGGCCTCATGGGCAGATAATGGCTCGACGCCTTTCGACCAGGGCTCGTCCCGCTATTATGTAGACGCTCAGTGAGCCGAAAAAAAACGAACAAAGCATAATGAAGTCGTGCACTGACCCTTGTACCACTATGATATATCAGTGGATGTAACCTCGCTACACAGCCTAGCAGTGGTTCTAACTCATGGATTTCAGTCCACAGCAAATCCATCGCAGGCTCGTGGAAGATTTTGCATGTCCTTGCAAGTGCTGCAAGCAATTTCCGGGTCGATGTTGTTTGAGTAGATGGTATTGTTTTCACATAGGCGAATATTTCCAGGAGGACTTCGGGAATAAGTAAAGCCTGATGCATCAGTAGAGTCAGAGCTCAAAACTAGGTTTGATGTAAATCCAAAAACATATTGCCTACTACTTACGTGCTATTTATCGGTGTGGGCTGCATAGCATTGCAGATACAAGGACGAACCGTGAGAATTCAAGCGAGTGAGAAAACCATTTGAGTCTCCTCACTACCAACCACGATGCCACGGCGGCAGATGAATTCTCTTTCCGAATGGATCGTTAGGGTATGGCCAGGCTCAAGGGCAGCACCTATCACAGCAGTCTCAGGTAAATCTTTCCCAACAATCCAAACCAGGTAGTACTGCTAGTTTCGGCAGTGTTAGTAGGGGAGCCGTTGGAAGCTTCAGGTGGTCAGGGAGGTTCTTCCAGAAAGAAGCCCAGAGTTGGATAGCTCATTTTGTCTTGTAAATACAGTTGCTCTGCAGAATTTGATTTTGTTTTCATTTGTTTGCCACACCGATCAAGACGAACGTTCATTTGCACACACCAAGTACTTATCCGTATACATAGCACCACGGTCCACAGGCTGAGCCCTGTGTTTTGCTTCACCCGCTCCCTCTCACGTTCTTAGTCTGCTACCTGAGACTCGGAAATGGGCGAAAGGCCAACTGGAGACAGAGACATCGAGCTCGACGCACCTGGATGTAGATGTCAGTGATAATGGGTGAGTAGACGTAGTTTGTTGCAGTCTGCAGAGCTCCTGACTCATGTGACAAATTCATCTAGACGCCTGGTTGCCCTTACCGCCAAGGTTGTCAAGGAATTGACTTATGCCACTGCTGGGCAGTTTCGGTGACGTTTGGAAATGTCACATCTCTTCTAGCATACTATGCGTTTTTGACTACATGTTCCGACCTAACGTGGATCTCTCACTTCGGGAGTAGCGTACGATGGGCTGCTCCTGAGCTTTTCGAAGTTTTGGACGTCGAGGATGCATCTAGCTCACCAAAACTAGAAAGCGACATTTATTCATTTGGATGCATCGCATACCAGGTTTGTTAACGATGTACATCTGCAGCGCTCTTGTTCTCATTTGTGTCAGGTTCTATCGGGCAAGCTGCCGTACTATAACATTTGCAGTGATAACCAGGTGGTCGTGGCCATACTCAAGGGTGTCAAGCCTGAGCATCCAGATATCGCTGTCATCGAAGATTATCAGTGGAACTTTACAGAGCTGAGCTATCACAGCGACCTCCCATTGCGTATGTCCCAGATTTGATGTGTCACTATAGAGATGCCATGTGATAATTCATGTTTTTGTATCAGGCAAGTACTATGACCATCGACTTCTTGGGATTCTGTGCACATTGATGGATGGTCAGTGGTCGATTTAGAAGAACTAACTTCGGGGATCCATGATCTGATCGTTGAACTAGGCCGGGGGGCTCACAGCCCACAGACAGAGCAAGCAAGGCTGAGATGAGGTGAAGCCACATGACATTAAAGGTGATTCTGGTATCGGTTCTCAGCGACTGCCACTATGCAAGTCATCATTTGTCAGTCATGCATTTGGAGTAGAAAAAGAGGTGGGCCAAACACGACGCTTCAACTAGTACAGCTACTCATGCTCTCAATTCATCGTTGCGCACAATAAGTCAGGCGAGGCCAACATCGACAAGGACTTGATCTCACCTCGGAACGAAAGGTTTGTTCTCCATGATAGCAAAGCCTGCAACGCGATATATTCCAAGGTTCAACTTTAAACGTTCCCCTTGCCCTGCATTTGTCACCATCGCTAACGTCCTACTGCTATTGTCTTCAGGACTTGAAACCATTTCTATCTACGACTAACGACATTTGTCTTGAACATTCGCTCTTCTTGACACCCTTTCCGCTCTTCATTATCGCCTGGTGTGTATTCTATATGATTCTTAGACTATCTTTATAGCACGCTGGACGTAGCTATGGTATCTTATCATGGATGTATCGTTGTTGAATTATATCAAGTACGATCACATGGTTGTTACAGACACAGATATCAAAAGGACTGAACCAGTGAGTTGTTGTTGACGATAATACAGAAGTACTAGTACAGCAGTTTATAACTACGGTCAACAGCGACGACAACGATAACAAATGAATGAAAGAACTCGAAGGTATGTAACAACATTCCCGGACGTGAAGGTATTCCAAACTCAAATAGCATTCTAGGAGGCTCCCACGACACGCGGCGCAGTAGCCGTTCTCAAAGATCTAAGACACCTGTTGACTTTACCCCAACTCAAACTATATATGCTTCGAACTTGGTCGACACAAGGGAGCCAGGTGGAAATGATGCGAGCAAGAGTTTCAGCATCTGCTATTTGTAGTGCTGCCGTGGTCCGGTTCGGTCCGGTTCGGAGGGTCCTAGACGAGAACCAAGAACCGGACCATCGGTTCGGTTCTACAAAATGTCCGAACCCAGAACCGGACCATAGATAACCGTTCTCTATGGTCCGGTTCGGTTTTTTGGGGGTCCGAACCCGAACCGAACCAAAAAAAAAACTGTAAGAGCACGCAAAAAAACATTGACAAAGTACTAAGTAGTATACATGTTGAGTAACTAATCTAATAACATGGCTGCTCCGGATGGCGATCATGAGCATGGGTCAAGGATGGCGGCGAGCAGCAGCAGGAGATGGCAGTGAGCAGCAGCGTGAGATGGTGGCGAGCGCGGGTACCATATACAAATAATAAATTTATTAGACACTGAAACAATAAAATACCATGATGCACCTTTGCAGCTGAGAGAACTCCCCATCTAGAGTCGAGTCTACATGCGCTGCGCGTTTGCGCATGGTGCTGGTGGCATTGGATGTGCTAAGCGGGAGGATGCTGAAGGTAGTGAGAGGGCGCTGAACTTGTCAACTTGATGGCGGGAGGGCTCCAAAGGTAGCAAGAGGGTGCCAAAGGAAGTGAGAGGGTACTGGGAGTTGGGTTGGCACGAGAGGTTCAATCCAAAATATGATGCGACCGGTGGGAACGTTACACATACTTGAGCTCCACAAAGCATGCCAGAGAGAACTCACTGAGTAGCCCAAAACTCGAATGAGACCATTGCGCCACCAAGAGCTACATTCCAGAAAACGGGACCAACTTTCCCGGTGGTGTTGTCAACATGTGGCGTGTCCCGTACATGGGTGGCGTGTCCCGTACATGGAGTGCCAACTTGTTGGCCTAGCAGAGCGCATTCAGTTGTGAGAATATGCAATGAGACATGCATATCGATTCACCTTTGGATCCGAAAGTAGGTCATCGAGGCAGGCTGTGAGAGACGGAGGGTGAGAGACAGCGGGGTGAGAGACAGCGGGGTGAGAGACAGTGGGCGAGAGCAGCCAGCGGGTGTGTGAGACAGTGAGCAAGAGACAGTGGGTGAGTGAGACACGGCGAGCGAGCCAGCAAAAGCCAGCCAGAAAGAACAGCAAGCGAGTGAGAGGGGATGCGGTGAGGTGGCGGGCATCAACATAGGTGCAGGTGGTGTGGCGTGTGATGGGTCGTGCGCTGGTAGTGATGGGTGCTGGCCCTCGAGGGAGCCATCAGAGCACAAATACACACCTCTGCAGCATAGCGCAAGACACAATCCCTCCAAAATCCACCTTGACCACGCCTAACACATCCACCTCCAGTAAAAGGTAGTCTTGCGCAGTGTTGTAGCCAGTCCTCAATGAATAGAACCTCCTGTTATAGAGGTGAGCGGGTGAGAGACTTGAGAGTTTAATTAGTTAGTGCTTACCTTCGAAAAGGCTAAATGTAGCTTGATTAATCAACAACGTGAATCCCGAAGACGACAGTTGTCGAAGTGGAAGTGGATAAGGGTTCAGAATGGTTCGGGAAGGCCGAACCAGAACTGGACCATTTGGGAAGATCTAGAACCGAGAACCGTTTTCCGGTCTGGTTCTGGCTGGCGCGAGAACCATGGACCGAACCGCGGAGAACCGGATCAAAAGTCCGGTTTGAACCATGGTTCTGGACCGGACCGCAGCAGCACTAGCTATTTGAAGCTTGGATTTCTCCAAATCCAATGATCGTAGGGAGGTATGTTGTATTGGCTCGGTATCAGGATCGATGTCGATAGTTGCAAGATTGACTGGAAATCGTAGTGTATGCAATTGCGGACATGGACCGAGCGCTGTGAATAAACCACGGAGGGTGACTTCGGAAGGAGGATCAGATTCTTTGATTTCTAGAGTGCGGATGTGCGGCCAACTAGACATAGCTTGCAAGAGCATGTCATTGTCCAGGTAGATGTGGAATTTCTCAGATATGAGCTTCAGGGTTCGGAGCTGTGTAAAACAAAGGAGATGCGGAATTGGTGTCAAAAACTCGTCGTATTCGGGTCCTATGGAATCGTTATCATAGGAAATAATGGTGATTTCTTCTAGAGTCCGATACGCATTGCAGCAGGACAGAGCATGAAAGAGTTGCTCAGCCTCTTCTGAAGACAGAAAGTGGGCTTCAAACTCGAACTCTTTCAGTGAGGGAAATTGCGAATGTTGCATGACTGTGATGAAGTCTGCAGCATCGAACAGCTGTCGAAAGGAGAGGCTTGTGATGTTAAGAAATGATAGATTCACGATATCTTGTTTTGGCAGCGAAGGAGGGTCAATACATCCTTGATCAATTTTCAATTCGAGAAGGGTAGGGAGGCAGGAGAGGTGCTTCCATGCTGCCCAGTCGAGCATTGGACAAGAAAGAGTTACAAGTCGTGTGCACCAATGAATCCTATCGGATAAGAAGGACAGTTCATTTGCTGTGCTGCCATCATCATCGCTTAGAGGAGTGTAGATGCATAAATGCTCCAGAGCAATGCAACGTGTCACAAAAGATTGCAGACCCTCGTCGACGCTCAATAGATGACGTCGGTGCAGCATGCGAGGCAGAAAGAGGTTCAAATATGTGGTGGAAAAACTTAATGACTTCAGCCTCGGAAATACGCATGCCTCGGCAGGGATGGCAGAGAGAAGATGCGGATATTCAGATTTTATGTTCAATGTGCGTATGCGGGAGGAGTGACGCAGAAATTGATGGGCCTCATGGGCAAATAATGGCTTAACACCTTTTGCCCAGGGCTTGTACGAGTGGTCCCACTAGTGTACCGTGGATAACTGTTTTGGGAGTTATCCACCGTGGATATCCACCCTAGAGAATTTGGGGGTCAGTTATCCACCGGTGAGTAGGGTGGATATCCACCAGCGGCAAAATCGGCCCGGTGGATCCGCGCGCTGCAAAAATTTTCAACCCATGGCGTGTTTTCGCAAAATTTCCGTTCGTTCACCAATACTAAGTAAAGATACATCATGTAACAGCTATTCCATGTCCCAGTCTGCCTCCGTCAGGACCCTTTCCGATGCCTTCGCGAGGGCCTGCAATATGTACAGTGGACCTTTGCATTATAGTAGCAAAAAAATGTCAAAATGACCGGGAAAAACACATTTTTTGGGTGTCAAAAACTCCGTGGGTAGTTTTTCACGGAGCCTTAGTTGGCAGTGCTTTGAGCAGTTCAACTAGCTGATCCTTGAGATGTTGCTGCATGTAAGTTTTTTGGGGGATGAATAACTTGAAGTTCACAATGTTCCATTCCATCAACAAAAGAACAGTTCGCGTGTATGGCTGGTTACTGCCTTTTATGGCTTACAAACCCTGGTAGATGGTTGTATGAGATTGTAGCACATATGCAAGTAGTAACAGACACGTGTAAGATGTAAAACTTGTACCGGAAGGGTACGAAGCTTGTAAAGTAACTAACAGAAGTGCGGAGGTATGCATGAGATCGTAGCATGTATGCAAGCCATAGCAGATATGGGCGAAATGTAAAGCTTGTACATGAAATGTGTGAAGCTTGTACAGTGATTAACAGAAGTGCAGAAGTATGCATCATCAAGATTGCATGTATATGTCATGCACATGTATATATACTAGCTATAGGTCTTATATACATATGGTGATTGGTCTCATGCATATGCATGCATCATGTACCGATCCAAGATGTGCTGCAGTTTGACCACGAATTCGGCCGACAGCAACTTGACATGTACCGTTATAATTTTTGCCAAGTCATTTACCTAGGACCCCGAACTCGAAGCTTGAGCTTGAAGTTCCGACTTCGAGATCTGTCCGTCTCTAAGACTTTTCTCACATAAGTGCCACCCACACGGTGGGCCACACCATTACCTCTTTCCCACCGCGAGTGTTATGTTCTAGCTAATAATGTTCCCTCACCAGCTGCCATCGCCCTCGTAAGTCCTTTTATGTTTTTCTCTTTTTATCAATAGTAGTACTACTCAGAGACTCTTCCTTGCATTGCGCTGCTTACCACACCCTACTGTGACAGCCTACGCCCTGCCGCTGCCACCTCTTGCATTTTGTTGTCCCTCACTGCATCTCTTGCACCCTTGCGTCATTCGAGTGAGTTTATTCCCACATTTACCTGCTAGCTAGCATCTCCCGCACTCAACTCTACGGTAATTTCTTCTTGTTTTGTTCGCTCCCTAAGCTAACCAAAGCTCATACACATGTAAGTTCTATCTTTTCTTTTTGTCTTCTAACTTTGGTAGCCTTCGGCATCCCCCCGCATCCTCTGAAACCTTCCTCCACCCTTCTGCACCATCTCGCACCATCCCTGCATGCTCTCGCACGTTCTTGATCCCTCTCGTGTGCTCTCATACTGTCTAGCGCTGTCACATGTTATTGTGTGCCTTTCACTTTCACTTTTTCCCTTGTCTCTGCTGGCTCACATCATACACATGACTACCTTTGCATCGTCACTTTCATATTCAGTACTTTCCCTTCACATATTCGTATCTCTACTTACTACTTTACTTCCATGCTCATTGCCTATAGCCCAGTGTACTGTAGCTACTACAGTGCAATTTGATGTGGCCATTATCGTGATCAAACAGAGCCTACAATTATTGCACAATATGGTGACAAGACTAGTAGGAGTATGTGTATAAGTTCATTACCCGCACAAGGGACTGCCAGGAAGCACAATTGTCACAACAATTGTAGTGGCATGTATCGAATTTCATCACCTAAACAAGGATCTACCGAGTGATACAAATATAACAAGGCCGGTAATAGTATGTATAAAACCTCGCTGCATCATGCATGCACGGACTTATATGGAGACTGACAAACTCAACACATGTCTGTCATGTGTTTGTGGGGATGGTAGCAATTTGTGCACCTTGTACTGGCTGTTACTGGCTGTCACATGGGATGTACGGTTGTTGTGTTTTTTATGATGTCATTTTTTGTGACGATATTCAACAGTAACCAAACAAACATTGCTTGATATTGCGCGAATTTAAAGTTTTGCCAAAATAAGTTGGCTTGCAATGCGGACTTGTAGTGTTTGCTTTTTAAGTGTATTTAATGTTATTTAATGTAACCCTGGGCACGTACACTGTTTTTTGAGTTATTCACATAATCCACCCTATTGATTTCGGCCTTGAGTGATCCACCTAGTTATCCACGTGGGTGGATAACTCGATGGTTATCCACGGTACACTAGGCCGCACCATCGAAAGTCAGTGATTTGCCGCATTGAATTCAGTGGCCATGTCGACAACAATCAGTGATTTAACTACTGATGTCCATCGTCTTTTCGGGGGATTCAATGGCCGTTGATTCATTGCGCTACCTCATTAGTTTCAGTGGCTCTCTCTATTGATTTTCAATGTTTTCTCCTACTTAAATTCATGGGCTTTCCTTTCCACAGTGTAGGGAGGTATGTTATATTGGCTCAGTATCAGGATCAATGTCGATAGTTGCAAGATTGATTGGAACTCGTAGTCTACGCAATTGTGGACATGGAACAAGCGCTGTGAATAATCCACAGAGGGTGACTTCGGAAGAAGAATCAGAGTCTTTGATTTCCAGAGTGCGGATGTGTGGCCAACTAGACATAGCTTGCAAGAGCATGTTATTTTCCAGGTAGATGCGGTAATTATAAAATGTGAGCTTCAGGGTTCGGAGCTGTGTGAAGCAAAGGAAATGTGGAATTGGTGTCAAATGCTTGCTGTTTAGGGGTACGAGGAATCCCTCAGCAAGAGAACAAATGGATATTTGTTCTAGAGTCGGACACGCTTTGCAGTGGGACAGAACATGAAAGAGTTGCTCGGCCTCTTCTGAAGAGATATATTTGGCTTCAAACTTGAACCTTTTCAGCGAGGGAAATTGCGAGTGTTGCATGATTGTGACAATGTCTTTAGGATCATAGAGCTCTTGAAAGGAAAGGCTTGTGATGTTAAGGAACGATAGATTCACAATATCTCGTTTTGACAGCGAAGGAGGGTCATTACACCCTTGATTAATTCTCAATTTGAGAAGAGTAGGGAGGGAGGAGAGGTGCTTCCATGTTGCCCAGTCGAGCATTGGACAAGAAAGATGTACAAGCTGCATGCACCAATGAATCCTATCAGATAGCAGGGACAGCTCATCTGCTGTGCTGTCATCATCACATATTTCAGGAGTGTAGATGTGTAGATACTCCAGAGCAATGCAACGTGTCACAAAAGATTGAAGACCCTTGTCGACGCTCAATAGATGACATCGGTGCAGCATGTGAGGCAGAAAGTGGTTCAAACATATAGTGGAAAGACTTAATGACATCAGCTTCGGAAATATGCATTCCTCGGGGGGGATGACAGAGAGAAGATGCGGATCTTCGGATTGTATGTCCAATGAGCGTATATGTGAGGATTAGTGGGCAGATAATGGCTCGATGCCTTCAAGTTTGCCCCGCTACATTACATAGTCATCCATACAATCTCAAGGAGTCAGCAAATGAGAACACACAACAAAGTCAGGACAAGGACGCTACAGTCCTTCCGCCGTCATGATCGTGCTATCCCACAGTGTCGCGACAAACTCCAAACATTCCCTTAATGTTTTAGACAATTGATATCTTTTTCATCATGAATAAATTTGATTCGTGTGTCTATAGTATTGTAGCGCGGTAGCAATGCTATGCCTGATTACAATAGCAGTCCCCACCATTTCAAGGAGTCATCAATTCCCTGATGGACGCTCGGTGAGCCGAAAAGAAACAAACAAAGTGTAATGAAGTCATGCACTGACCTTTGTACGACTATGATCATATATCAGTGGATGTAGCCTCGCTACACAGCCTAGCAGCGGTTCTAACCCATGGATTTCAATCCACAACAAATCCATCACAGGCTCATAGAAGATTTTGCATGTCCTTGCAAGCCCTGCAAACAATTTCTGGGTCAATGTTTGAGTAGATGGTATTGTGTTCACATAGGCGAATATCTCTAGGATGACTTTGGGAACAAGTAAAGCTTGATGCATCACTGGGGTACTACGGTAGAGTCAGGACTCAAAACAAGGTTTTGTGTAAACCTAAAAACATTGCCTGCGTGGGACCAATATTAATGGGTGTTATTACCTGCTATTCTCAGAATTCCAGTCAGTAGTATATACAATAACACGTAGTATGAATACAATTTATATAACGTGTGACTCTCATGAATGCGGTCACCGTGACCAAGAGTCTGAGTCAAAGTGTTGGCTGGGTGCATACCCCATCTTGGGCCGCAATGCACCTGATCAGAGGCTTACCTTGACAACAACAACCATAAGCATTGATTCGTGTTCAAAAGGGGTAGCTTGATGTTTTGATTTGCGGACCTCGACCCTGATGCAGATGCTGCATTGCAACGTAAAACCCCCTAAGTATATGGCTGTCTTATGCAAATCCATCATTGCGTCTAGCCAAAACCTTTGATTGAAAGCGGTTAGTTTATTTAGGGTTAGGTTAGTTAGTTAGCTGAACTGTCCGAAGGACAATCTACATGGGATACAAAGGACATGTATATAGGCAATATGAATTACTGGTCTAAAGAATCCTAGGAACAGTCGTAAGTAGCATTTAAATGTGGAGAAAGCATTTCATATTAAGGATCGTTGGATCCAGTTCCTTCATAATGGCATGACTTGCGCGCAAATCGGCTTGACTGGGCTCGTACTATGTACTCGAGCAGAAGACGAAGATTCTAATTTGAAATAACACGAGAAAACGAGATAACTGGAGCACACCGTATCCGCTCGGACTCGGGGTCATTTCTACAAACAACAGTATGAGAGATCGTAGATCAACAACTTGTGAGTATGTACCAGACGACAGGAATACGGCGCAGAACTACACATCTATACGAATGAAAACCATCCTTTGCTCGAGCGACACTTTCGTCTTCACAGCGTGTATGCCCAGGCTACCTTCGTACAGTCCACGGCACTACCATTCTTCGAATCTTTGAACATGTTCTCGTAAAAGGCTTTGACGATGAGTTTTACGATTGCGTCATTGACTACCCAGAAAGTGCCTGAACCACCAGAACGGTAGACCTGCTGCGAGATCAATGCCCTCGTCAGGGGTCCGCTTGTTGCCGTGACACCTGAGCGCTTCATCCACGCAGCCATGAAACTGTGTGAACGAATAACTGCCCAACCTCCTCAACTCCCAACCAACACCCACTGATTTCTGGTCATTGCGCACTGGGCTCGCCTGAAAGGTGCTTCCCGTGAGTGATACCCTAAGTTCTTCTGCCAGTTGAAGCTGACGTCTCGCTTGCCAGCGACTTCAGATACCCACGAAGATTTGTTGCATCTTATCGAATTTAGCAGGATTGAATTCGTCGTCCAAAGCTGTTTTGTGGGCGAGGGTTGGATATTGAATTTTGTAAGTAGTCTATCTCGCGAGTAATGCCCTGTGTGGTTCTGACGAGCATTGAATTTGAAGGAGGTAAGCCCCTGGACTCACCAACAATCATTGCCATTGTCAGATAACGTGGTCTGATTCCAAGATCCCTGGAGACTTCTCTCGCATACACGATCTACCTTATTCGATCACCCAAGCGCCGATCATGCCGTCATCCACCAGTAAGACGGCAGTGGTCACGCCACGCCACACGATGCAGGGTCATGCAAGACAGGTCAACAGTGCTGTGCACTTGCCTGATGGACGACACATCATCACATGTTCGTCGGACGGCTCACTCCGACTATGGGACCTAGAGAGCGGCGCACAGATAGGCGAGGACTGGCGAGACGAGGATAACGTAGTATTTCGATCCCTGGCATTGTCTCCAAACGGCAAGACGATTGCAAGCGGGGACTATGACGGGAAAGTGAGGTTGTGGGATGTCGAGACGAGGAAGGTCATTGCCAGATGGACAGGACATGCCCATACTGTGCAATCATTGTGCTGGAGTGCAGATGATAAACAAGTGGCAAGTGGATCCTGGGATGGGACGGCAAGAATCTGGGAGGTCAAGAAGGGCAAAACTATTCTGAAAATCGAAACCAGTCACGCCCGGGTGAATGCGGTGATGTACTCGCCTGACTCATCAAAACTTGCCACGGGCCGGGGGAATATGAGGAGAACGCTGTAAAAATCTGGGACACGAAAACGGGAAAGCGTCTCAAAACACTCAAACACTCAAACACAGTTCGCAGCTTGGCATGGACGTCCTTGGATGGAAATGGCAAACTTATCTCCGATTCATATGATCTGATTAGGATATACGACACCGCCACTTGGGAACAAATCGCTATCCTTGAAGGTCACACAAAGCATGTCACCGCCCTCTCCTTGTCTCGGAACAACCGCCTCATTGCAAGTGCATCTTATGACAAAACAGCGCGTCTATGGAATCTTGACACCAACCTCCCAGTTGGACTACCCCTCCAGCATGAGAACGTTTTGTGGTCCGTAGCTCTTTCCCCTGATGCAAAGGTGCTAGTTACTGCCGAGGACACAACCGCGTACACTTGGAACGTTTATACCATCCTCAAAGAAGCTGGCCTTGAGGACCTACTTTCCATTGATTCCAATATTGTCACGGTAAGTGTCAACATATCCATATCACCCGCTCTCTCTGACATTGTCTGTTGTTAGGCACCAGAGGAGAGACGGGAACAGGAACAGACGGCACCTCAAGATGATGATTCAGGGATACAGCACACACCCCGCTCTTCCTCATTCATTATAACAGTAATATTCTAGCGTGATGCTACGCGATGTCCTGGCCAATCTGATGATATAGACGAACTTCCTCCAATGTTTTTTCATGGCATGGAAGCCCCTCAGTCCTCCTCAATGGATGGTTTACGCCCACATTTCTCTGCAAATGCATTCATCGCTCGCCTTCTCTCGCTCCTCCGATGGAACGACTGAACTTCCGCAACCTTCACGGCCTTTGGCGGTCCATCTACGCACACTCCTCGCTCGCCTGTCCTCACTCATTCACCGCTTTGCACCTGAAAGTGATGCACCAAATGAACTTCAGCAACCCTCCTGGTCCCTCCACGTCTTCCCGGTTATATCCACACGTGTTCCTGGATCGCCTTTCCTCACTTTTTCCCCGATCTCGACTCAATACCGACGAAGAAGTCGAACATCGTCCAACAATGCTTTCGAGCTCACCTCCAGATGGAAGGTTCATCAGCCGGCTCTCCTCACTCTTCCGCTCTCAACCTCACACCAACGAAAGAATAGAACTTTCGCAACGTCCAAGTCGTCCTCATGTTGTCGACGTGGCTGCAGTGCGAGACAAGCAGGTATGGCTTTCCTTGGTGCATTTACAATCGCTCTGGTTTAGTAATATCTGTTCAGAGTTTGGTTGTTACTCGGAGGCCAAATTGTAAGAAAGCAAAACGAGCATATGAGCAACGAAACAAATTGCACGCTCAAGCCCAGGCATCGTCATCGGGCACTCAGCCTGCCCATGTTTCAACATTAGCGACACCTCCTGTTCCAGGTACTAACACTACCACAATAGGTGCAGCAACCTCACAGTCACAACCCATCCCATGGTGGGGTCAGATCGTGCTATTTCTCTGCTGTGCATCTCCACCACATGCCAATAGTCATTGATACAATTAACGTTGCAGCATTTGGACAACCACTTCACCTTTGCTTCTAGTGATTCTGCACCTATGTCTCTTTCCTTATGTCTTTGAATACACGACCAATCTCGTTTCCTCGTCACAAGCCTCGTACAACGCACCAGACAGAATAATACTAATTTTATGAGGGAAGGACGGTGTATTTCTGGTCGATAGCCGTGAAAATGAGGACGTCTGACCACTCTGCCCAAGTGTGATGCACCGAAAACCTTGCCGTCTCAACAGTTCTCGATGGGTGTCGTATATCCTGCCCAAAAAAGTTTAACAGCTCTTCAAAGGGGTCGCTGTTGGACTAGACTCCAGTGTGGTAGCTTAAAGTCCCAGTACTACACGATCGCAGACTGGGTTATTGGTAGTGGTAAGTATGAATACCTAGTATAAGATGATCATGACGAAAACTTGTTTATTGTCCACTTTCGTTAACGTTTGTTCTGGCGCGCGCACATGCATCGATTTACGGAAATACGCACTGTACAATATGATATATGATACACCAACGCAATGGCAGTCTCGACTCTTTACAACCTAAACAAAATTAATAGTCGTTCATATCCTCGACATTGAGAGCACGTCTTTCTTTCTCCTTTCCCGCACGAACCTTCTTTGCAACAATGCCCTTATAGGCCATTTGAAAGTCAGATTGCATATCTTTCATGCTGCTCGGAACTCCCTGCATGAATTCCTCGACCTCTAGAACTCCAGATCTGAGTGCATCAATGTCACGGGCACGATGAGCGGATGAGGAAGGCTCCAGCTGCTTGCGTAATTTCAATCCCTTCCTGAGGAGCGTTCTGTAAACAGAATCGTGTTAGTTATTGTATGTCGCTGAGTAAGGGAGGACGGACGCGATCCCGCTTCTCTGTTTGCCCAACTCCTCGAGCTTTTCATGAGACTCCTTGTTGAAAAGGCCTTTCGTCTTGGCTTTGACAGCGTGAGTCAGAGCGATACCTCGTTCCAAGCACACCAGAAGGTGAGGCAATGGTCCAAGGAAAAGCAAGCTGTAATAACCCGAACGCCATTCAGGGGACTGCGTCTCCTTCAGGCATGTCATGAATGTCGCGTCGATTTCGGCATTGACTGCACGACTCGAGCGGCGTCTGACGTAACGGCGGTACGTGTTCTGAATTTTGCGAGCCGCCTCTTCTTCCTCCGCCGATGGTCCGTTGGTGCGTAGTGACTCGTCAAGATCAGGTGCAAACAACGCCGTCGCCCCATCCAAAGTCTCCGACGCATCATGGGTCTCTGTATCAGCATTGACCGTGAGATCTCCCTCCCTTTCTCCCTCCCTTTCTCCCTCTCCTTCCAACTCTTGAGGTTGCGGTTCCGTTATCTCTTTCTCATCGTGCTGGATAACCTCTGGTCGGTCCTTGGAATGTCCTAAGCGAGGTACAGAGGCAAGGGCCTCCACTCTCGGGGTAGACTGTGCGATCACTGCGTACGATGAGAGGAGACGGGGGATCTCGATGGTCTTCTCGTATACGAGCCGTCGGCCTATACTAGGATTGACTCGAGTATATTGGTTCATCGTTTTGTGGACAAGATGCACCAGGTTGCCCACTCCTTTATTGTCGTCGAAAGCCAGGAGAGCTCGCAGGTAACCGTCTGGAAGTGGTGTACATCCTGGCAAGGGTGTCACGCACTTGACCACGTCATCCACGAGTTTCCAATAATTAACTGGATGCCGATTCGAAGGAGGGGTTTTTTTGTGCAGAGAAAGAATGATATTGTCTACTTTGTTTCTCAAGAAGGGATGACTGATGTGATGAGCGACTAATGAACACAATTCAGCAGCGGATGGGTATTGAAAAGAGACAATAAACGTACTGAGGCAAAGAACCCTGCAGCTATAATACACGTGATCAATATGTACATCGCTGACGGATACTAAATTGGACTCACATCCGAGAAATGAAAACATTACGGATAATAGGCGTAAATTTCGCGTAGTTCAGCCAGAGGAAATCTGCCTAATTGTAATCTCGGATCTCTGAAAAGTTAAGAGACTCACCCATGCCGACTTCTACGCGCAATGCTTCGACCAGCCTCGCTATCTCATCCAGAAGCTCCCCCATCAAAGGCAGGTTGGTTTTTTTCTCCGTAGTGAATTTGTGGGGAAACAGCAGCCATTTACATGGAAGCACGACGTTATGAAGGGGAAGCTTATTGAAGTATGGGTCGATTCGCCAGTTGATTATAAAAGCGCTGCAGACGTCCTCGATACAGTCGCACAACACCGAGAGGTTGACATATAAACGATTATTTAGAACATGCCTGAATTGCACTTAGTTCGTTGCATGCAGAGACAAGAAGAACGCTCACAGAAGATACAGGATTCCCGATGAGATGCTGCTTAGGGAAGCTCCTTGGTAAGAACTAAGCAGGTCATGAACCATATAGCGTTTGTCCCCCTTGCGAACGAGTTCTAACGGTCCAGAGATCGTACACTTTGCTCGAGAGATGTAGGCAGGTGCATCGTCCCTGTCAAAATCAAAACTTAGACTGGTTATTCCCATCAACGCCGTCAAAAATTCAGCCTGGGTAAAGAATGGGTCGAGCGAGTAGAATGATTCGCAGATCCAGAGCTTCACCACTTTCACGCCATCTAGACGAAGAGGCATCAGGTTCATATCAAGGTCCGCAGGGGAACCTTGAATGAATAAGGGTGGATTGATAGCCTCGTAGAGATGCTTGAGCCAGTCCCTCATGCTGATAAGGTGATCAGTATGAGTACTCGAGTATAAGCTGCCTCCAGGCGTACCTTTTGCGTCGGTCAATTTTTGGGTGAGCGGAATACATGAATTGCAAGATCAGAATCTGCCAGATGTGGATGGCAACACGGTTGTTGTAATACTGGCGATCTAATTTCGATACTGCAACATGCTCTTGGGGGCACTTATCTCTTTGACACACTCCAGATATCAAGAATTGCAGGCATTGCGAGAAAACGGGAGATTCGCAACACTTATCATTGATCCTCGACACTTTGTCTTTCAAGATCGTTCGAGTAGATCGTTGTAGCAACTGGGTGACGTTTTTACGAGAGGCTGTATATCCGGACGGAGTTTCCGATGCCCAAGTGATGCCCTGGCGGATCTCCATAATTTTGTTGTGGAGGAACGTTCCATTTGGTATGCGGAACTCGTCACCGGACAACCGCACGATGGAGAATAGTCTCCGGATACCCCTGTGTTCCATGGGGTCGGGGAAGGTCACAATCAGATAGAGCAGTCGCGCATAGGCGTGAAACTGTTGAAGGAACCGTCGCATTTCATCGACCGTGAAAGCTCGAATATCTATGGTTCGAGAGAATATATGGTCCAGGCAAAGGAGAGCTGCTGGCTTGTTATTCTGTTCATGGAAGTTAAGCGCAAGATTTCTCAGCGACTCGTGATTTCCGCGCAAGATGTTTTGAAACATCGATATCTGGATGTCGATCAGTTCAGTTGGTCACTTTGAGACTGCTAATACGTACTAGATCACGCGTGGCCGGCGTTAGTTTGTTCATCTCCAGCTCATCAGCAAGAGCAATGAAATGCCGCATTGGCTCTGGCTCATCAGCAACGGATTTTGCAGTGATTCTGAAGGAGCATTTGCGCCAAAAGTATTCCAATATAGTATCGGCCGCACGGCTAGTAGAATCGTCCTTGGTATCGTCCTTGATGAATGCCCGGACAGCTTCCAAGGGCCTATTCTCTGACAAGTGGAGCTCTGCGGCCTCATAGTACCTCGAGTGAGATTCAAGCAGTGAGGCACGAGCGTAATCGAGATCATAGTCCTCCAGAAATTCGAGTTCCTCATCAAATGTCGAGAAGAGGGGCAATGGGGGCCTGCGCAATTGCCATTAAATAAAAACATTGTGGAGAGTCTAAGACTTACCGAGTTGTCCTGCTGAAGTAAAATAGTCTGCACACAGTCCATAACTCCGCCGTGGTCTCTTCAGGTATATCCGTGCCATGGTCATTAAGGACATGGAGGGTCTTGTCAAACCGTCCAACCTTGCGATACCTCTTCGCCGCTTGCTCGAACTCTTGAGCACTGAGATAGGCCTCAGCAGCTTTAAGGTCATCTCCTGCTCGAACGTAGCAATCCGCCGAGTTACGATAGTATTGAAGCTTCTGATTTCCTGGTGCGGTTTCTGCGCAATCAGTAAAGGCATCGGCAGCCACGTTAAAAGCTCTTTTTTGGTCGCTGAGTAAGGCCACTCCGACACTAGAACGTGCGACTTCTCGGAGTTGATATGCTTCACAGACCTTCACTTCACGACGAAGGTTGGCACGTTCGAAGCAGTGGATAGCCTGCGAGTAGCGCTTGTGCGAGAATAGTGAGCGCCCGAAGGACGCCCATTCTTCTGGAGTCGAGGAGACGGCTAGATGAGGGACATCTGTGCCGGGGGTACAATTCTGGATCTGATTGCGAGACGTCCAGAATATCTGAAGAGAAAGGGCTATCAGATCGAGTTACGCCAACACGCTGCTCTCAACGTACACGCATCGGCTCTGATCTGTCAGATTTGTCAACGATCCATATGTTCTTCCTTGCTCGTGTGATTCCCACATAAAGAATTTTGAGCTAATAAAGTAAGCCAGAGTTTATTTCGAGGATCGGTGTGCCCACCTCGCTGCAAACCCCAGCGTATCGCGCTTCGTCTCGATCGAAGTTCGGTGCATATCCTTGACCATCTACCCCATTGAGAACTACACGCCATCGTGACAGATCTACAGTAGAATCCTCGAAAAAGTTGTACAAAAGCACCTGACCGAAGTCAGACATCCATCAGATAGCAAACTTAGCTTTCTCACATCATTGAATTCCAGGCCTTTACTCTCATAAAGTGTCCTGAGTACATATGTGAACATGAAAACACGGAGTAAATGTAGTCTTAACACGACTCACATAATCAATCCAACCTCACCAACTTGGTCGCGTAACCTCTGACGTGCTGCATCGTCACGCACAAGAATGCCTAGATATCTTATCAGTGTATGAATGGAACCTTCAAATAATTGCTTTACATTGCTCGGCTCCGAACTCAATGTGACCACCCCTAGAAGAATCTTCAGGAAGAAAGGTGGGCTATCGTCTAGGTCCACTTACTTCGTCCCAAACAAGAACTGCTCATGATGAACGGTGGCTTTATCCCAACCTGTAAAAAACACAGGCTTCAGCCCGTCAACCACCCCCATTTCTGGTCGAAGTGTGTCAATTGTGTTGGGCCAAAACTTTGTAATGAGTTCGATCACAGAACGTGCACAGTTGACGATACCACCGTGCGATCTGTAGTTGATCGCCAATTGAAACATCGCAGGCTGACGAAGACATGCCCCAGCGGAATTGACCGAAGGATTTTGCTGCTGCTGCTCTAAGGTATCAATTCAGGCCCGAGCTAAGTCACTGTCTGCTCACCTCCACACGGTAGAGAAACGCTTTCAGGTCGTCGAACCTGAAGGAACTCCCCGCAGAGATCGTTTGTGCGGTGTCTCCAGCCCAGAACAGACCGTCTGGATTCCTGCATAGTTGCCTCAAAACTATAACAGAAAGTTCTAAAGGGATTTATGTCGACGAAAGATAGAGTAGCTACTTACAGAGTGCGTCGATCAGAAGGTTGTCTTGTGCTTCGTCGACATACCTAGTGCAGGTGGTCAGGGGCAAGATGCATTGGTGGTGATAACACATACAGATAATCGATCTGTTTGCCAGGGAATTCTTTGCTCCGCAAGACCTTGAGTATTGCATGCGTGCTATTTGTGAATATATCGTGACATGCGTGGGTGAGAAGGGGAATAGGTCATACCGGTCTGCAACATCATGATGACATCGCTGCCTCTTGATTTTCGTATAATGCTCGAACATGTCGTACAGAATTCCTCTCTGATTTGCAAAATTTGGATTAGAACGATGAGGAAGACGGAGGTAGTTTGTGCGATCGAGAACTCCTTCAGGACAGGTCAGTGCGTGTTCGGAGCCTTTGACAATCCCTGTATGTATATTGAAAAAAGTGTCGGTGTCAATGTAATACAAATAGTACTCACCCATGAATTCGCTGAAAACCAACCACGGATCTGATGGGGCAGTGTCAGTACTCTATTGTCATCATAAGAGAAAAGGACACTACTGAGAGTTTTGCTGAGATTCTGTGGAAAATGAGGCCAGTATTGATTTGCGAATACGTCATAGGTGACGAAACAGTCATGCGCGTCAGCATCGTCAACATTGAAGAAAACTCCTGCGCTGTCTTTCTTGCTCAAGATATCTGCTGCGATCATTTTCGCCAGCTACGTAAAGTTTCGATTAGCTTGGGAACTGTCTAGACAACGGATTGGGACGCACTCGATCGAAAGTGAGAAAAAGAGGAAAGTGCTTATCCTCAAGTTCGCTGTATTTCATCGGTATATTCATCTGTGAATCGGGCAAGTCGTCGAGATCGACAAGGCCCTCCTGAACACTTCGTGCCTTCATTTTTGCAAGTTCCTCCAGGGTATAGCCTGCTAACGCCAGAGATTCAAGAAGCTTCATGAAATACTCTTCTACTTTCGTAGCGAGCACTCTGGATTTGGTGACAAAGATTTGGCGTGGCTTCGGCATGTCAACAGCGCTCATCTCCCAAGCTCGCTGAATGCCGAGAATCTTAAACAGCATTGTCGTGGTTTTGCTAGTTGAGTATGATAAATAAGCTAGACATGTTAGGGGCAGGACACTTACCCCGTGCCGCTGCGACCCAAGACGTAACATGACGTAGTACACTCGACAATCTTTTGTTCTTGGGGACTGAACCGATATCGATCAGTAAATTCGGTTCATTGGGGCAGGACTTACGTGAGCATAAAGACGTGCTGTACATCTTGGTCTGCGATGAGACCTTTTGCAAAGATGAGAATAAGTGGCGAGCCAACTACATGATCACTCACTATGCAGGAACGCCTAAAACAAGAGGTTATCGAGTCAATATTCGCGTGCCCATAAACCGTATTTATAAGCTTACTTGCGAGAACGTGACATATTTCTCCAAACTAGAAAATTGTTAGATAGAAACCATTTTGTATAAGGATGACGAAAATGCATACACAAGCAAAGAGTGAAGCTATGACAGGGATCAATGACCGCACAAATGACAACTGAAAATACTCAACGTGGTCCATGTCCTTATTACTAAGATTAAGTGGGCCTCCTGAGCATTCTGGCTCAGGTTCAGCTAGTGGGAATGACGCAGGCAGAATCGCGCTATCTTTAGATAGGACTGGCCTGTTCCGAAAGATACACCTGCACAAGCAACGATTCACTGAAATGAATCAAGAGTTGAGAGAATGTCCTCACCTTCTACGATATTCTCTGCCCTTGCGTGCGAGATGGCTACCCAAGGCATCCCATATTCCGTCGAGCTGAGCATCCATATAAATACCGTATATCTTGATTACTGGAGTTCGTATGAGTGCTAATGGCGGAGAGATGTAATTTCACTTCATAGTTTACCTTGTCTTTCGGACTGTCAAGATCAGTCTCAGTATCATGCTCGATGTTGATGTAAAAACGACGTACCTTTCCATCTTGGTCAGGGACACAATCGATTTGGTACTGTTCGAAAATTTTGGTCGCCTCAAGCTCTAAACGACGTACGTGGAATTACACTTACCACTAATTGTAGGTCCTTTGTCATCTTGGCATCGTATATGGGTATGCCTGCATCCGGCCCGTTAAGTCGCTTGTGATTATCATCTGAAAAATGGCCATTCGATAGTTGTCTGTGGGAACGATGAGATGATTGCAGTAAAATTATTCAGAAGACCGACTTGATCTTCTTGAAGATGATCTTGAATGTCTTCTTATCTGCTCTACGGAATTCACGCAAATGTTTGTAGGCCTCCGTAGATATCAGGATTTGCCACTCTCCGAGCCCATCCGCGTTGTCGAAGTAAAGTGCAGCCTTCATAGGCTGCACCATTTGGTATGCATTGAGTCGGTCTGTTGGGCTCTCGACATCCTCGGTTGACGAAACTTCAGGCGCAACATATTTGGCATACTCTCTCACGATTGGGAAGAGTAAAGCTTTGATGTCGCCTGCCAATTCCGTCCTCCGCAGAAGCGAGAAGTAGAACTTACAGAGAGCTGTCAGTGGAAACGTCAAAAAAAACAGCGAATATACTCACCGAGAGAGCATTTTTCAGCTTTGCAAGAATCTGAGTAGACAATGATGTGGCAGCCTCGCTCGTGAGAGGCACAACCACACCAAGCCTCACGAAGAGCGATGTATCGATAGACGTATGAGCTTTCGGGCGATTACGCTTGCGCATTTTCTGAGGCACTTTCTTCTTGACAAATCCATCATCAGATTCGTCGGAGACATCGATCTCGCCTTCAAAGGACCCTGCACCAGAAAATTCCATACTGTTCAACGCGAAAATTACAGGTAAAGCGCCCTCGATGAAGCATCTGTGACGGGTGATGTCCCTAGAGACATCCATCGCTAGAGACTCGGCCGGAAAAGCTAAAAAGTTCATAGACAGATTGTCCAGTATCTTTCTCGCGATGGATGCCGGATATTCTTGAGACTTCGTTGGAAAGTCTGTCATGATCTGTGAGATCATTGCCTCGCGGCGATCCCAAACTGTTACAGAGTCAGAGTTGATGACGCTCGAAGAAAGTCTATGAGATACCAGATATGATATATGCAAAAATATGGGGTGACGACAACATATGTTCGACCGTAGCTTGTAATGCGGTTGCTCCTGAACTTGACATTGCGTCCAGATGACGCAAGGCGGCTCTGAGGCCCGCCTCGTTCACTATTCGATCTTTGGAGAATAAGTCCAACATGGTCTGTTGAACAAGAGGAGCTTATGATGACGAAGCGGTTATATGAAAGGCTGGGGAACTTGGACTTGAGCTGTGTCAATAGTACAAAGTTGAAAGGAATGCCTCGAACTTGAGGCAACTCTGCAAGGATGTTGGAGTCCTTATATCGTCGAGCCAGCGCTCTGCCTGAACTTCCAAACAGGTTGAGGCGCAAATAGCACACCCAAAATCGACACCTGCGGGCAACCTGAAGCTGTACATGAGCGTTAAACTTGGACCCTCAAATGATCCTAGATTGTGACAAGAACACGACCCTTACGTAGGTGGGACCAGAATCACCAAATGTGTAGTTAAGTTAGCATTCCGAAATAAATCGGCTAGGGCTAGTGGAGTCACCTCATTCCAGAATGGCGACAAAAAGTTCGCGTCTAGACTGACCTTTCTTGGAAATAAGGCCACAGGTATCAAGCTGGACTTACAGCGCGTGTTGTAATAGAAGCGGACGAGAGGCACAATATGTTGATTTTTCGGAAATCTCCTACATACATTTTAAATCATACAAGCAAATATCATCCGTTCACCTTCGAATGTTTACTACAATGAATTACAACAAGAGACGTCTGCGTGTACACTGTTGTCCTTCTCTTGCAAATACCGTTCGAATGCCTCGTACTCTTCACTGACATGATATCCTATTGGGATTTTCCCACGCCATAGGGTATTGGGCATTGTGTAATTTGTGTTGACAATACCAAGTACAGCTGAGCGCTGATCACGGTGATGTCGAATTGATGATCCAGCACAGGCTTGCGAAGTTCATCAAACGCACGGCAGCCAATCCGCGATTGTGGAAGGTCGTTATCAGTATGATGCACCTCAGGTAAGTTCAGACCATCTGTATATCTCCCAAGCATGTCCTGACCTCATGTTTACTACTAGTAGTACTATTAACCATCGTGTAAACCTTGACAGAACACGTTGCAAAATGTTGTGATCTGTTCCTTGTCATGTCATCGCCGTGGTCGTCGGTTGAGCAGACTGACAGGATGTTCATTAACTGGTGGTTATTGAGGCGCAGGTACGATTCTACGAAGATGAAGACTTGGGTGCAGCACCGCAGCTGGAGACTTGGAGCATATCAAAAGTGAACGATCATAGTGGGGCAGATGCCATCAAGATCGAGTGGAGCTCCGTGCAGCAACCTCCGCTTTGGTCGAAACGACTCTGACTATAAGGTATGTCATATAGTATCTAAAGACAACTTGAATTAGATCTCATTTTCGTGAACGAAGTTGCCATCTTTCAAATTTACAATGTACCATACACGCAGATACCGTTTTCGCATAATAAGATGGACGATAATCCACACATATTGATGTACTTATTTGTGCAGGAGCCAGGACGAGCCAATCATAATTGTATCATTTCACTATATCACATCTTCACACGAGGTGCAGCTTCGTATCATTCTTCCTTCAAGCTTCAATCTTCCTTTGTCCTTATCATCCTTATGCACAGCCGTATCATATGCCTTCAACCACTCGCTACGATACTTAAAACAGCGCTGTCTAGGTCATCGAATTCCTCCCAACGTTTCAAAGGTCCATCATGCGTCTCAGCCCGGAGTCTCATTCTCAATGTCTCTCTGTCTACTTTCATCTCGATCTTTCATTCCCCTTCAAACTTGCATTTCGCGCCATATTCTTCTTGTGCGGTCGCAATTAAGACTTACATCTTCAAATCCTCACGTCGCGATTTTTGATGTTTCGGGTGAGTAGATCACTCCACCTGTGCCTTTGGACCAAATACTGTTTCTCCGATATTCCACACTCCTGCTGTCCCATAATTGGATCCGCTCACGTGGCCACTCGTTCATCCAGTGCACTAATCGCACCCAATCAGTGTGTCCCGTCTATTTGGCAATGACCCTCCCCGTCTCCACATCTCGCAGCGCCACTATCCTATCAGTGCCTCCACTTGTAATAGTTTTGTCGTTCGGAGACAATGTTACGATGGTGAACGCTAATCACAGATCTAAAGTTCCCTCATCTCGCCATTCCTATCCTATCTGTATCACTCTCCAGGTTCATAGTTCAAGTGACCCATCCCACGAACCTGTGATGACGTGTCGTCCCCCAGGCAGGTGCACAACACCCCTGCACCTTGCCAGGGAGACCTCTCATCGTCTGACCACTGGCATTGGCTGATGTTTGACGTGTCACAGCTGATTGTGAACTTTGGCTACTCCGAGTCATTGTTGGATTGTGCGTCTTGTTCATCTATCCAGTGACCACAACTGAAATTCTGAATACGATGTATTCTTGAACAATCCAAGATTGCAGATCAGACTGTATGTGAGGTGATTTGTTGACGAGGTAAAAATATCATGAACCGGTGGAAATATCGCACGAACCATCGATTCTAGCTAGATTATTTGTGTATTTTGACATCAAAACCGCCTAGGCAATAGATCAAAGATGGGCGTATGCCGGGTGTTTGATGGTTGTTAGTTGGCATGCGTATGCGAGAAAGGTGGGTAACATCTCTCGTGGCTCTGTGGGCGATCCTCAGCGAGAGTATCGGACTCGGCGGCCGGAAGCTATATATCGGAGGTGGAACTCAACCGAACTTGTTAACTTACGTTGGCAACACCACCAAACGTACCGCTACGTACTACGGGCACGTATTCGGAACGACTCTATGCACGATGGAAACACGTTCGGATGAAGCCAGAGTATTGGTTATATACACGGGCGGAACCATCGGAATGCTTGTCAGCTCACGAGGTTACGTTCCAGAGCCTTATTTCCTCACCGATACCCTCCGGAGCCAAAAACGCTTCCATGATCCTTTGCAAGACTCCCTCTTCTCCAACGCTGCATCCGTAGAAGGTTATAGAGAGTGGAGCAATAGCGGAAAGTCCACTCCAGTCAGCACAGATAACGTTGCGACTCCGAGTGCATCAAATCAGCCCACCCTTCTCGTCAAGTCCTCCCGCCCGATTGGTACCACGGTTACCCTTTCTCCGTCTATATTTTCGCAGATTCAGAGAGTGAATGAGCAACCAGAATGTCGAAATGTCGCTGATGGTGTCTATGAGACACGTCTGCCAAGTCTTGTAACTCCACGAAGTGTCGTTCCTGGACACGGTCATACGAAACGCATACGCTATGCAATTCTCGAGGTCAGTCGTCCGCATACACTCATCGCCCAGCCAATAGCTTAACAAAATCAGTGGAATCCACTGCTTGATAGTAGCAACATGGAAATGGACGGTGCTCGTCTTTTACACTACTCTTAGGTTTCTCCCGTTCACAATCTTGACTAGGACAGATTGGATCCGCATAGCCGTCGAGATCGAGCTAAACTACACTTCTTTCGATGCATTCGTAGTATTACATGGTACCGATACCATGTCATACACTTCCAGTGCACTTAGCTTCCTGCTCGAGGATCTCGGTAAAACTGTTGTACGTCTTACGTCCTCCAATGATATGATCATCCTCATGCGACGAGACTAGATCCTCACCGGAGCTCAAATACCTCTCTCACAACTTCGAAACGACGCTGTCGACAATCTTCTTGGCGCACTGTCTATTGCAGGCAACTATATCATACCAGGTAATTCTAACATTTCTATCATGCAGCTGTAGTTTATTATTCGTTCTAGAATGCAGCTTATATTTCAATCACACCTTGTACCGCGGTAATAGAGTATCAAAGGCCTCTTCCTACGACCTCAATGCCTTTCACAGCCCTAATTTTTCCCCGCTTGTGAACGGTACGCGAACACACATATCGTCCTCGCAATGGTCACGAAGTTTTTTCTTTTTCAGTTGGAATAGATATAGTTGTTAACTGGAATGACGTCCTACGTCAGACAAGCCTTCGAAGATTCAGAGCTCACAAAGGAAAGCGTTGATATTTCTACTCATTCAACAATATTACTGACATCTCTCAAAGAAATGAGTCCTCACGTCGGTAAGCACCTACAGGACACATTTTCACCTAACCTGACACTTTCCAGCAACTCTCCGTCTTTTCCCAGGCATGACAGGCGCCACTGCTCGCGCATTCCTTGCACCGCCGACACGCGGTATCGTTCTAGAGACATTCGGTGCTGGAAATGCTTCCCAACGTCCAGATGTCCTGGCTGCATTCAAGGATGCATGTGATGGAGGCGTCGTCATCGTTGCCATCTCTCAATGTATCAAAGGGTCTGTATCAGGTGATTACGAAACAGGACAAACACTTATTCGAGCCGGTGTCGTTCCCGGCGGGGACATGACCCCCGAGGTGTGTCATTTTTTATAGTTTTTATTTTAGTTGACTGGCTATTGGAAAGTGTGCTCTTACCAAGCTTAGCTACCTTCTAGCAAAACCCGAACTTACCGCAGCCGAAGTCCGCTCACTTATAAGTCTTCCTTTAAGAGGCGAACTCACGCCACCGGTGCCATCTCTGGCTGCGGCGCCGTCATTAGACGGTGTGAACATAGACCTGTCTAGACTGCTTTCTCAATTTGTTCGTCTCTCTTCATCTGCAGCGAAGGCAGATATCCCTCAGATTGTGATCGGAGAAGAAGCACAGGACGCTGCAGCTCCGTGGAGCCGTACTGCTGCAGAGCGCGCGAGTACAGAAGCTGCGCTCTTACCGTTTCTCGTGCATCTTGCTGTTGCGCGGGATGACGTCGAGGGACTTGAGTTCTGCATTACTTCAGCAGGCACAGCCTCGTGTTCCGGTATGACTGAGGGAACGGCAGAAGTTGTCGTACCAGGAGGTATCGTAAATTGTCTGGAGGCGGGAAGTGGACGGAGTCCTTTACATGTCGCGGCATTAAACGGGAATATGAGGTGTGTCGAGAAATTACTAGAGAGCGGTGCGTTAGTGCATCTCAGGGACGAATTGGGACACACTGCTTTGTATTATGTGAGTGTCGTGTAATTTTACTTCGGGTTTGAGTGGCTGAGGTCAGCAGGCTGCACGTCAGGGCCATGGTCTCATTGTCGATACACTTGTGAGCGCAGGTGCGAATCTTGGGGGGATGGAGAACGAGGCTGGTTATGTGGGGCTTGCAGCGCAGAATGCAATTAATGCAGGAGATGAAGCTGTGGTAGAAATTTGGAGACGGGCTGGCGCGAAAATTATAGATTAGTTTGTAGTTGAGAAATTTTCTCCGCAACCCTGTGACGTTTCGTTCGTTTCGTCAGTGTTATGTACATGGTTTAGTCGTCTGTAGACGTGTTGGAGAAACTGATTCTGATGATACCGCGGCCAGGATTGCATCTGCGGATCCGGTCAAATCTCAGCCCGAAGCTAGCATCCTTTATTGCCGCACTAACACCAAGTACAACAGAGCGTAGGGCTCAAAACCCGTTTTGTCCTTCATGTAAGTATGCGTTTCCGATTCCGGCATCTTCGCTGAATGTCACGACACACGTGACCGACGCGTCGTGGGATCATGTTTATTTTTATTTGTCTTTAAGAGGATAGCACGCCTCGTGTTCCCCACAAAAGGGTCTTTCACACCTTTCACATTTCCCTTGGACCGGTCAGTCCGCCTTATATAAAGGTCTGAGTTCCGCTGGCGAAAAGATTGGGGCTGACCTTCTCTTCTCTCTATTTCATCTTGCAGCTGGTCATCGCTGGAAGATTCTAACCCCCGCTACCTCTCTCATACTCGTCTTTGGACTACTTTTGCACAACGATCAGATCAGATAACTGATTCCCAGGTTGAAATTTGAGTTCGTGTCAAGTTCGAGTCGAGAAAATCAGCACCATGGCTTTAACGATGGCAGCACACCCAATACTAGTCAGAGACCACGCATCGCGCGTAACACGGGCGGGATCCGTTTTCGCCGATACAACCAACTTGCACCGTCGTATCAAGTCCTCACCATCGACGAAGCACCATAACGCTCTTTTCCCATTCTCCTCCCGCCCGTGCAAAGCCCCACCCACCCTTTCCCTTTCAGCGACATGCGCTAGCTCCTCGCAGTCGCGAGCGCTCCTACCATCTCCCCCCGATCTACCGGATGTCCGGAGTGTCATACCCTTCCCTTCCACGTCACCTGCAGATGATGTTGCTAGCGTAATGGATGTTGATATGTTCGATGGGACAACCGATAGCGTTGATTCGCAGTCTTTCCCATCAGCTCTGTTTTCATCCTGTAATGGCACCGCCTCCCCGTGCTCTGCGCAAACCCGTCTTCGGAAACGGCGATCCCAAGCTATTGCCACGCTCTCCCAGCCATCGAGTCCCAGACGGGATAAAAAGGCCAAGTCAAGGGAGAGTAGCAGGTCCGGGAGTACAGACCCCGTTGTGCGCAAGCGGTCGCGTAAGAGTTGGCGCCAAGTCGCGGACTTGATGATCCTCGCTACCGTGCATCGCAGCCTCGTATCGAACTGCAGTACAGATCCGTGGGACTGTTTTCAGGGAGAGGATGTTGCGCCAGTTGATGCACAGACCCTTGAGGGGCAGGATGTGCTCCTGGCACGCAGGATCCAGACACGATTAATTGAACATGGATGGTCATTGGTAACTGATGGCATCCCAGAGATGCCTCGTGATCGTGACGCGTCCATCCCTTCTTCCGCGCAGGCAGAGTCATCCCAATCTATACACTCCGACACAGTCCTAAACCTCCATAGTCTATCATCTGACACGCCCTCACCACGATCATCCCCACCGCCCACAAGCGCTCCTATGCCCTCTGTCCTCACTATGCCTCAGCTCGTCGCCACACTGATGATGCGAAACAATGACCGATGTAGCACGCGTTCGCGCTCGAGCTGGAAAGCTCGCCGTGCTGATATATCTTCTGGCCATTTCGTCCAGCGGAAGTCGTCCCTGTCTGTGGCTTGTAGCTAGCAGACTTGTGCGTGCTGGCTTCCCTGATGAAGCAGAGATTGAATCTCCGCTGCCAGGCATTGTATCGCGCTGCTGATGCATCATATATCTTCGCCGCGGCCACGATGCATCGTACCTTTGCCACGATGCTTCACATCATTTGCCACGAGGCGTCATATATTTGTCATGAGGCATTTATCTTTTTTATGTATTTTCACGATGTTTAACGAGCGCTACGACATGTCATACTGTGTATTGATAGTCATCTAATTCTTCGCGGAACGGTGCTTGAGTACGTGTACCGCTAATTTGTAGTCTTGCTTGCGAGATTTACGTAGTGCTGTGCAATTCAGTCACGATATTATGATCGAGATAGAATTTTGGTCTGATTGAACTTTATTTTTATCTTCGTGCACGTGGGATGTGCGCAGTACTTCGTCGAACGCATGATTTCGGAATTAGGTTACAGCTCCGGGTAGTGGCGCAGCGCTCCGAGTCAGTGGCACCTACTATGCACCTAAGTTTTTTGTTCTTTGTCTGCTTTGTCTGAGTTACTATAGCATAAAATGGCGAACACTCTCAACAGGTGAGTACTACTACTCCATCAACTGAGAACTGATGCATCGGGCTCTGCTCGTTTCCGATGTCATCCTGTACATATTCACATACGTGGAACAACTACCGCCTACCGTTTACACGCCATCCGTCACGGCATCTCCGGGTCAGAAATGTCTTGCATCGCTTGCAGCAACATGCAAAGCCTTCTACGAGCTCGCGATGGACTTGCTGTGGGCTGATATATATGGGTTAAAGCCACTCCTGGGCTGTGTAATGAGGCTACATCCACTCGTGTATAGTTCATTGGTGAGTGCAGACTACTTTCATTATTTTCGTTCTTCGGCTGATCGACTCAACCTCTACTAAATAGTGGAAGTGGGGTCCACAGCCAGCAGGCGTCGAACCATTATCTGCTGACGAAACCCGTCAATTCTTGCGTCACTCCACTCGTGTTCGCTCGTTGATCATAGAACTCTCTGACGATGGCGCTGTTCCGCTCCTCTCAGTCATCCCTGCCGACGTATGCCTCTTCCCGAGGCTACGGGAGTTACGTCTTTCGGGTTCCAAACATTCAGAGCTATTCCTGTCCCACACCCTGCGCGATTGTTATGTATATTACGATCCAGAGGAAGCGATTCCTGGTACTGCTTTGCTGAATTTATCTATGCAAACAAAATCTTGACAATAACACAGTAGATCAACTGCCCATGCTGTCTGACCGTATCCGTTTGTGCAATCAGCTCGTAACTCTGTCTTGTCCACCCCTCGACTGGGCAACATGGAAGCACCTTTCCAACCTCCCTACCCTGGTGAAAATCGAAGTTCGTAGCAGTCTTGGCGTCCCTCCTTGGCTCGAGGAACAGCATATCTCACCATTCCTTTACCTCACGTCTCTTTCCTTTACGGACAGCAGTGCTGGATACGCGACCACCGTGATGCAACACATGCAATTCCCCTCATTGAAAAATTTCTGGATCGGTATGGAGACTTTGGCTTCGACAGAAGTTGAACCATTTTTTCGTGCACTATCCCAATATAAACAGACCCTGGAAACACTCACTATTATGTGGGAGGAATACGACGACCCCCAACGCAGGCCTTTAACAGCGATCCCACATCTCCTTTCCTTTTCCTTCACACAGCTCCGAAGTCTGCGACTCCGTAGTTATGTTTCCTGCATCTACCTTGACAACAACGTTCTCTTGGAAGTCACGTCAGCTTGGCCGCACCTCCAAGCTCTGCACATAGAAGAGTGCGCTATCTCTCCTTCCGTTACATTCCACGGACTACTCACCGCAATCCGTCAATGTCCTCAGTTGGAAGCGCTCGGAATGTTAATTGACACTGTGAATATCGACGTCGATCCTGACGCTGAGCTCATACAGCATACCTTCTTACATATGTTGCGGTTGGAAACACCCGAGTCTCCCGTAGGAAATGCTGAAGCTATCGCTCGCGTCATTTTCGATTGGCTCCCTTGTGTCTACCAAGTTGCCCAGTACATAGATGAATCGGATTGGGATGAAGTCAATGCACGTCTCGCATCGTTGTTATGTGACTGCTGCACTGCATGACATAGGAGCTTGAATACCTAACTTCAATACAGATGTTCTCGAACATCCTAGAGTGGCTGCATTCATTTCGTGTGCGTTCGTGTCTTTGTCGGTATCATGTTATGTTAGACAATGCTTGTACAATGTATAGATTATTGCAGGAAGGCGATTCAGACTGGCCGTACAATATATAGACGTAGTACTAATCATGACGCATCATGATCCAGGTGGTTTTTACTCATGATTGTTCTCTCGCTGTCGATTGAATTGATGTATTGCATCACTTCATCCATGGCCATCATCAACATGATGGAAAATTAAGAAATCCATATCTTTTCCACAATAAGTACCAAATAAGTACTTACTAATATTGGACCATGACGGAAGTTCCCGAGCGGCTGTTGACGATGTCTTTGCCCACCACCACCGATGTCGTGCTCGTCGACACCATCCAGCTCACGGCAAACATCGGCGCAGATTGCTGGGGACGCTTGCGCGAACAGCCCGTCTCTATTACCGTCCACCTGCATCTCAAGCCCTCCTTCCTTGAGATCTCCGGCCAGTCTGACAATGTCGTAGACTCCATCCACTATGGTCATCTCACGAAAGCTGTCTCAGCGCTCTCGGCATCTTACGCTGATGTTCGTGCACTCGTACATGAGGTCACTCAGAAAGCGTTCGCTCTGGCTGGAGAGAATGTGGACGCCGTGCGCGTCGTCATCGGCCTTCCGAAACAGGTTTTACTTGCGAACGACTTTGAGATTGAGGTGATTACACCGAGGGACAAAGACAGTTTGCAGCAGACTGCAAAGGTGTCTGTCAAAGACCTTGTCATGCCCGTGCTGATTGGCGTCAATCCCCCCGAACGCCTCGCAAAACAGAGGGTGATCACGAACATTACATTCTATGAGAAAGCTGGTATGCACAAAGTGGACTACCCTGCAATCATCAAACAGATATCAGAGGCACGTACTCTCTTTCTTCCGTTGATTACTGAAGAGTGACGATACTGAGTATCATCATGACAGGAAATCGAAAACACTGCGTACCTCACGCTCGAGAAATTCGTCCTGCACATTGTCCGCAGCTCATGCCTCGCATCTGATGCCATCGAAGCTGTAACAACACGATCACAGAAGCCCAGTGCACTGTCTTTCGCTCACTCTTCTGGTGTCGAGATGACCCGGTACCGCGATGCGTTCCAAGGATTGCAGTAAACCCGTGTAGGAAATGTGTGTAACCGATGTCATGTAGCCCATCACCCACATACTCATGCATGTCTGAACAGCCAACATGAAGGCGGGTATTGAAACGCGATCGTTGATTACCTCAACGTTAGTCAGGTATATTATCCCAAACCGTTGCACGCATGATTGATTACATTATTCATCTGAAGAGCGCAAATTTTAAACATACAAGATCGGGTTTTTCAAAGCAAACATCACGAACTCTCGCTGATCTTATAGACGATATGGAAGGAGGAAACGTTGAAACAGTCAGATTCAAGCACCACAAATCACAACAGCCTTTCCGTCAATTAAACATCTACACATACCATTTCTGATGCGCTGGAATGTAGTGAGAGGGCTAGCCGACTTAGAGCTCCTCCAGCGATAGAATAAGGCACTCGAGTTTCCTTTTGGCACCTCCAGGACAGGGCTCACGGAAGAAAGCACCTTCATTTCGCTCGTCCGCTGTGACTTGAAAGGATACCAAAAAAAATTGTGATTACTTTTACATGAGACCAAACCGTCTTCAACGGAAGTAGTTCCTACGACGGAACATTGTCTAATAAAAGACACTATGCCAACTTCATTTGACGCGGATTCGTCTAGAATCCAGACCAAGTCGGAGCATAAATAGGGTAATCGGCACCACTATGCGATCTCCAACTACTTGTCTGTGACGCTTAGCACTCCATCAACATACTTAGGACTGATGCATCAGGCTCTACTTGTTTCCGAAGTCCTCCTGGACATATTCGCACAAGTAAATCAAATACCATCTACTGGGAAAAAACCATTGTCTTGGACGTCCCTTGCATCGCTTGCAGTGACATGCAAAGCCTTCTACGAACCCGCGATGGATTTGCTGTGGGCTAAAGTAGATCGATTGCAACCATTGCTGGGTTGTGTAAGCAGGCTACATCCACTGATATATCATCGCAGCCGTCCGCCGGTGAGTGCAGACTAGTCCTGACTAACCCCGCTCTCTTCTTTTTTTTCGATCATTAGTTGACCGAGCATCTGATAATCAAATGTGTAGTGGGACGACACCTGGGCAGAAGGCATCGAGCCATTGACTGCCGATGAGACCCATCAATTTTTGCATCACTCCGCCCGTATTCGTTCATTGTGCCTACCATCTACTGATCGCCTTTTCCCGCTCCTCTCAGTAATCCCCATCGAGCCATGCGTCTTTCCGAGGCTGCAATCGTTAGCTCTTTTCTCTAATACACGTATGGGCCTATTCCTGCCCCACACCCTACGTCATTGTTCTGTATTTTGCCGTGAATGCAGATCCGCTGAAATCTATTGCAGTTCCTGGTGCTGCTTTGAAGCACTTATCCATCAAAGCTTTCGACAAGAACACAGCAGATCAGCTGTCCATGCTGTCGGACCGCGTCTGTTTGTGCAAGCAGCTTGTAACTCTATCTTGTCCATCCCTCGACTGGGCAGCGTGGAAGCACCTCTCTAACCTCCCTACCTTGGTGGAAGTGGGAATTCGTGAGGTGTGCGGCTATGACGCCCCTCCTGTGCCGTTGGATCGGCACATCGTCGATTTCTCACCATTCCTTAATCTAACGGCTCTTTCCTTCACGGTAGAGAGTCCTGCATACGTGATCACAATCTTGCAGCACTCACAATTCCCCTCGGTGAAAACATTCTGGATCATGATTGAGATGATATTTTCGACAGAGGCCGAAGAACTCTTTTGTGCGCTCTCCTGCTGCAAAAAAACCCTAGAACAACTCACTGTTGTCTTGAACGAATATCACGACCCCCAACACAGCTATTTGAAAGCACTCACACATCTCCTTTGCTTCACACAACTCCGATTTCTTCAGCTCGATTGTCTTGATTCTTGCATCTACCTTGACAACAACCTTCTCTTGGAAGCCACGGCAGCTTGGCCATACATCCATACGCTGAAAATAGAGGACTGCGGTATTCGTCCTTGCGTCACATTCCGCGGACTATTCACCGCAATCCACCAATGTCCACAATTGGAATCACTCCGAGTGTTAATTAACACTGTGAATATTGATATCGATCCTGATGTTCAGCCAACACAGCATACCTCCTTACGAACATTGGACTTGGAAACACCCGAGTCTCCCATAGGAAATGCTGAAGTTCTCGCTCGCATCATCCTCAAATGGCTGCCTTGCGTCGACCAAGTTAACAAAGTCGCGGATGATTGGGAGCCTTGGGATGAAGTCAACGCATATATCACATCTTTGAGAGATGTGCGGCGTGTTATGGGAGATGTATCGAATACCTGATTTCAATGGGATATGTTCATGTTCGGGATCGTTCTAGAGTTGCTACATTCGTTCGCGTCAATTCGTTCGTGTCGTTGTTGATATGGTTGCTTTTACCTATGGTTGCAATTGTTTTATCCCTTCCGACCGTTAAATTGCTTACACAGGTCTTCACGCCTTTCTGTAAAACATCTTCATGTGTTATGATCTACGTAGTGCAGTGCTATGTAATTCGAAGTGTGATGATATGATAGCAGAACTTACTGTATACCTCTACACGGGTGGATCCTCTCGAGGAAACAAACCCTTCAGCAATGAGTTGGAGGCAAAGAATGCAAGGACACAAGAAGTTTGCCAAGAGGCTGCGGTTGTCCATCCTCTACGTGGCACAAATATATCATCGTATATAACTACCTAGGGACACCACATATAAGATGCTCGTGTAGCCCTCCAGACTATATACAATGAGATTAACGACTTGGAAATCTGCAAAGAATCGTCACGCTTCGCAGCCTGGGTCAAAACGCGACTACATACCTTTCCTTCGAAGATGACGAGAAGATCCGCGAATCCGGTTCTTGCTTGTAAGCTTTCCCTATAGGAGAAAAATACATTAATTTTATGTGTTCTAGTGTGAGGATACACGGACGTGGATAATACTTCATCTGATGTGAAACCAATGGGAAGAGAGCAGTCGCGCCGAATACGTGAAGTTACAAGTTGATGAAAGTGACGCGCGTCTTTTGCGAGATGCATCGTGCATGATGGGGCCGTTAAGGAGTACGAGGCTTTGTACTCAGCCCTGTGCACATCTCTGATGCTGCGTGGGTTGGTCTAGGAAGTGGAGAGGATTGGATGTACTCGATGGTTGAGACAATGAAATGAGGAAACAGTCCAATGGCGTTGAAAGAGAAACTGCATCGGAGGGTGAGGGACAAAGAACACTACAAGCTACGATCAAATCATTTAATGTGAGAAGCGGTTAGCAAATATGCAAGGACGACCACTGGACTGACATTGAAGAAGTCTTCGCTCCCCATCTTGGCTAATCTGTTTGTAACATCGAGCTCTAATCTGAGCTATCAGCGTGGGTGGGTTGACCATCAGCCTCAGGATTTACAGCGCACGAGGACAGCTCAGCACGGCTTCTTCGAACGCATCCAAAAAATACCTTGACCACTCAACTGCAGTTTTGCTCAAGGAGGCAACCATGAATTCCACATCGACAAAGCTGTTCTATGCGGAAATACGATCCTGACATCAGTAATGCCTTCGGAAGATGATATCCCTAGTATCACAGCCATATCTTACTTCCCCAATAGCCGTGATGACGCGTATAAGAGGGCAAAAAGGTTGAGTAAGTGCGGGATGTCTGCAGGGCAAGAGACGCCGGTGGCATTATCAACAGATGGTCGATACACCAGGGCATTCGCGTACCCTGAGATGCAGCGGGGCACGGGGCCCCAGAACTAGATAGTACTGTCCAGCATAGAGTAAAAAAAAAACAGATGGTCGATGCTGCTGGCGATCGTCCATCTGCAGAGCCTTGGAAGATTGGAACGGAAACGGAGATTGTGAAAGCATTTCGAGAACACTCGCTAGAGGTGAGCTGCACACATATCTCTGCGGGCAGCACGCTACTGGTGAGTGGCTCAGATAAATCCTGATCATTAATATGGAGGAGCTTGGACGCTGTGGAACTCGTGGTTGGTGAGGGAGACTCAAATGGCCTTCCCACGAAACAGCTGTCGCTTGTATTTTCACGGTTCGTACTTGCAATACACCAAACAGTGAGCCCACATTCATATTGATGAACAGCACGTAGGCAATGATTTTAGATTTACATGGAACCTAGTTTTGAGTCCTGACTCTACCCCAGGGCCCAGTGATGCATCAGGCTTTACTTGTTCCCGAAGTCCTCCTGGATATATTTGCCTATGTGAACACAATACCATCTACTCAAACAACATCGACCCAGAAATTGCTTGCAGCGCTTGCAAGGACATGCAAAATATTCTATGAGCCTGCGATGGATTTGCTGTGGACTGAAATCCATGAGTTGGAACCACTGCTAGGCTGTGTAACAAGGTTACATCCACTGATATATCGTAGTAGGGGTACGACTTGGGTCAGTGCACGACTTCAGTATGTTTCTTTTCGGCTGACCGAGCGTCTACATAACAGCGGGACGATTTTATTTCATGGGCGAAAGGCGTCGAGCCATTATCTGCCCATGAGGCCCATCAATTTCTGCGTCACTCCTCCCGTATACGCACATTGAACATACAATCTGACGATCCCCACCTACTCTCTGTCATTTCCACCGATGCATGCGTATTTCCGAGGCTGAGGTCGTTAAGTCTTTCTACGACATATTTGGACCTCATTCTGCCTCACACGCTGCACCAATGTCATCTATTGACTGTCAATGAAGGTCTGCAATCTCTCGTGCCACGTTGCATTGCTTTGGAGCAATTACGCATTTATCCTCAAATGCGCAATGGTGGCAGTATGGCATATGAGCTATCCCTGCTATGCGATAGAATTCGTTGGTGCACGCGGCTTGTAACTCTGTCTTGTCCAATGCTCGACTCGACAACATGGAAGGACCTCTCCTACGTCCCTACCCTTCTCAAATTGGAAATCGATCAAGGGTATCCTTATAATGACTCTCCTTCACTGTCAGAACAGGATATCGTGAATTTATCATTCCTTAATATCACGAGCCTTTCCTTTCGACGGCTGGACGATGGCGCAGAGATCATCACAATCATACAACACTCACAATTTCCCTCACTGAAAGAGTTCAAGTTTGAAGCCAAGTATCTGATTTCAGGAGAGGCCGAGCGACTCTTTCATGCTTTGTCCCGCTGCAAAGCGTGTCAGACTCTAGAAAAAATCTCCATTTGTTTATTTGATGAATATTTCCCGGAACCCCAAGACGTCGAGACTTTGACACCAATTCCACATTTCCTTTGCTTCACACAGCTTCGAACCCTGCAGCTCATGTGTTACAATTCCTACATCTACCTGGACAATGAATTGCTCTCGCAAGCTATGTCTAGTTGGCCACACATCCACACTCTGGAAATCAACGACTCTGGTGACCATGTTCCTTCTTCCGAAGTCTCCCTCCGTGGATTATTCACAGCGCTTGGTCTATGTCCACAATTGCATAGACTACGAGTCCCGATCAATCTTGCAACTATAGACATTGATCCTGATGCTGAGCCAATACAACATACCTCCCTACGATCATTGATATTGGAGACATCGGAGTCTGAAATAGCAGATGCTGAAACTCTTGCTCGCATCATATCCGCCTGGCTCCCTTGTGTCGACCGAGTTCACAGCATGTATGGGAGTTGGGATGAAGTCAACAAGCATCTCAAATCTTTGACAGCGGCTACTGCGCTGTATGTTGCGGGAGCCTCCTAGAATACTTCACGTCTGGGAATGTTGTTACATACCTTTGCAAAGTTCTTTCGTTATTTTGTTGTCGTTGTCGTCGCCGTTGACTGTAGTTATAAACTGCTATAGTACCTGAACATACTTAATCGCCAGCAAAAACTCACCGGTTCACTGATTAGTATGATTTCCAACACAATTATTGGAGATTTGGAGTCAGGTGCGGGGCCAAATCATCTTCTATCACTGCTTTCTTCATTATATATATACATCTACTCTATCATTTCTAGTCACCCTGTTCCATGGTCTGCCCTGCCGATTGAGTCTCTTGTCTATTGGCTGTGTACTGTATCTGCTGACATGCTATCGCAGTGCATCTGCCTTCTACCCATCGAGACCACTCACTGGAGGTGAGCTGCATACATATCTCTGCGGGCAGCACGCTACTAATGAGTAGGTCAGAGAAATCCTCAGTGCGGATATCATTAATGTGGAGCTTGGAGCCTTGGACGCTGTGGAACTCGTCCTGGTTCCACCGACTCGTGTAGAATGGCTTTCCCACGAAACAGCTGTCGCTTGTATTCTCACGGTTCGTACTTGAGCTCGAGCCCACACCGATAAATAGTACGTAGGCCATGTTTTTAGATTTACATGAAACCTAGTTTTGAGTCCTGACTCTACCACAGTGATGCATTAGGCTTTACTTGTCCCCGAAGTCCTCCTGGAGATATTCGCCTATGTGAATGTAATACCATCTACTCGAGCAGCATCGACCAAGAAATTGCTTGCAGCGCTTGCAAGGACATGCAAAATCTTCCACGAGCCTGCGATGGATTTTCTGTGGAGTGAAATCCATGGGTTAGCACCACTGCTAGGCTGTGTAACAAGGTTACATCCACTGATATATCGTAGGGGTACAAGGGTTAGTGCACGATTTCATTACACTTTGTTCGTTTCTTTTCGGTTCACCGAGCATCTACATAATAGTCACAGCGAAAAGAACCGTGGGCGAAAGGCGTCGAGCCATTATCTGCCCATGAGGCCCGTCAATTTCTGCGTCACTCCTCCCGTATGCGCACATTGAACATAAAAATTACCCATCTCCACTTTCTCTCTGTCATTCCCCCCGAGGCATGCATATTTCCGAGGCTGAGGTCGTTAAGTTTTCCTGACACATATTTGGACCTCTTTCTGCCTCACACGCTGCACCAGTGTCATCTGCAATCTTTTGTGACACGTTGCATTGCTTTGGAGCAATTATGCATCTATCCTGAAATGGACGAGTATGACAATATAGCAAACCCGGTGTCCCTGGTATTCGATAGGATTCGTTGGTGCACGCGGCTTGTAACCCTGTCTTGTCCGATGATCGACGGGGCAATATGGAAGCACCTCTCCCACATCCCTACCCTTCTCAAATTGGAAATTGTTCACGGGTATGATGACCCTCCTTCGCTGTCAAAAAGAGATATCGTGAATTTATCATTCCTTAATCTCACGAGTCTTTCCTTTCGACAGCTGGACGATGGTGCAGACATCATCACAGTCATACAACACTCGCAATTTCCCTCACTGAAAGAGTTCAAGCTTGAAGCCAGCTATCTGACTTCAGAAGCGGCAGAGCGACTCTTTCATGCTTTGTCCCACTGCAAAGCGTGTCAGACTATAGAAACAATCTCCTTTTGTTTATTTGATGAAGATCCCGAAGACGTCGAGACTTTGACACCAATTCCACATTTCCTTTGCTTTACACAGCTTCGAACCCTGCAGCTCATATTCAATGATTCGTACATCTACCTAGACAATGACATGCTCTTGCAAGCTATGTCTAGTTGGCCGCACATCCACACTCTGGAAATCAACTACTCTGTTGACCGTGCTCCTTCTTCCGAAGTCTCCCTCCATGGATTATTCACAGCGCTCGGTCTATGTCCACAATTGCATACACTACTAGTCCCAATCAATATTGCAACTCTCGACGTCGATCCTGATGCTGAGCCAATACAACATACCTCCCTACGATCATTGGGATTGGAGACATCGGAGTCTGAAATAGCAGATGCTGAAACTCTCGCTCGCATCATTTCCGCGTGGCTCCCTTGTGTTGACCGAGTTCAAAGTCTGGACTATATGCGTTGGGATGAAGTCAACAAGCATCTCAAATCTTTGACAGCGGCTGCTGCGCTGTATGTTGTGGGAGCCTCCTAGAATACTTCACGTCTGGGAATGTTGTTACACACCTTTGCAAAGTTCTTTCGTTCTTTCGTTGTCGTTGTCGTCGCCGTTGACTGTAGTTATAAACTGCTGTAGTACCTGAACATACTTAATCGCCAGCAAGAGAGCTTACCGGTTCACTGATTAGTATGATTTCCAACGGAGTCAGGTGGGAGTCAAAGCGTCTTCTGGCTGTTTTCTTCATCATCTATACAAATCTACTCCCTCATGTTCCATGGTCTGCCCTTCCGATTGAGTCTCTTGTACATGTGTACTGTATCTGCTGACGCAGCACGCTACTGGTGAGTGGATCAGAGAAATCCTCAGTGCGGATATCATTATGTAATATGGAGCTTGGACGCTGTGGAACTGGTCCAAATTGGCTTTCCCACGAAACAGCTGTCGCTTGTGTTCGCATGGTTCGTCCTGACCGACCTTGTACAGTACTATTGCAATACTAAGCACCCTTGCGCGCGTGCGCTCTATTACCCACAATATCACAGCTGGTTATAACTTTGAGACCCCGCATGGTTATTCGAATCGTTCGCCTCTCATCACCATTCCTGTCACGCTTGTTCCGTCAAATTTTGTGGTCATGTGGCGTCTCAGTTGTCGTCACGCTTCCGAGTCCGTATCTATTCCTCTGTGTGAGTTTCAGGCATCCAGATATTGCTACTTGTATGCTTCTGCGCTAGTTGACTTCTCGCGCTCGTAACGAGGCGGTCTCCGACCTTGCGTCGAAGTCCGACAATTTTCCGGTTTGGTTCAGATACATTGAACAACAGACCATTGCAACCTAGTGTTGTTGGCAGAACTCAGAAGTTTTGTCTGTTAAAACTGGTTGAACCTGGTCCACGGCAGAACTCATGCGAAGGAAGGGTGGCAGAACCCGGCAGAACTCCGATATAATTTACATTTGATAACACAATTTGAATTCATTAAAACATCATAACATTAACTGACGTCCCTCAAGTAAGATGGTGCATGCTGGAGGATGCCCCCTCGTATCACTGATCAACGACAATTTCGAATGCCCGGAACGAGTTGAGAACAGCTCGAATCGCTACTACTGGAAATGCAAATATTGCAGCGACACTGATAACTCATCAGGTACTCAAGTCTAGGGTCGTGACAACAACCTACCCAACCGTCTTCCTCTTGAGCATGGATGATCCAAACTTCCGAAAGCCATCCACGGACCACACCGGACCTGTCAGTGCTGGACACATGCAAAGTTTCTAGCTGCATTGGAAATCTGGGTCTCTCCTAGGTAATCTTTAATAGAGCACTACGTACGCATTTTGAAAGCTATAACCCTTCACCTACTGATTAGCAGCTGTGACTTTTATAAACAGCTGCAGTTGAACCGGTTGCTCCTTTAACCACATATTGATTCATGGCCTTTTTTCGCTACCTTATCATCCTACCGCTCATTGCAGGGTGCCTCCTCCCTTCTGGTGTCCAGGCTCTCTGGCCCATTCCAACTACTCTCGAAACCGGGCTGACCACCCTCAAAATCTCCTCCGCATTCTATTTTGACGTGCAGGTTGAAGGCGCGCCGTCGGATTTACGTGACGCGGTTGCACAATCACAGTACTATCTCGAAAATGACAAACTTGGACGTCTGGTCGTAGGTCGCGGCGCGAATGACACTGCAGCATTTGCCACCGCGATGACGCTTTCAAAGTTAACGCTGTTCCTCGCGAATGGAGCTGCTGTAGAGCCCATTTCTTCAGAAGCTGTCAAGCCCCTGGGAACCCGTAGTGAGGAGTACGCACTGGTCATTCCAGCAGACGGCTCGGCTGCTACGTTGACAGCGAACTCGACGTTGGGTCTGTACAGAGGACTCACCACTTTCAATCAGCTTTTCTACTACTATGGAGGAGTGACTTACACTTTACTCGCCCCGATTTCTATCAAGGACACTCCTGCATATGTGAGCAGTTATCACTGACACTTTAACGTCAGATGCATGAACCCATATACGTAGCCTTTCCGGGGATTAGGACTGGATACCTCGAGACACTACTATCCGGTCAGTGACATTCAGCGAACTTTGGACGCGATGAGCTGGGTGAAGGCGAGTGTTTTCCTGGTATCTTGTCTTGTCGTCCCTCACAAGCTATACAGATCAACACTTTCCACTGGCATATCACGGATAGTCAGAGCTTTCCACTCGAAGTCGCACAGTATCCCGAGCTCGCCATCAAAGGTGCATACTCTCCTCAAGAAGTTTACACGGCGAGCGATGTCCAATACATCGTGCAGTATGCTGCTGCAGTACGTGTTTCCCTTTACCACGGTCTGTTGTTCGTTGATGGTGTTCTCGCAGAGAGGTATCGATGTCATGATGGTTAGCACTCATCAGTCGATTTTGCAAATAAATTCTCAAACATTCTACTAGGAAATAGATACACCCGGCCACACCGCTATCATGGCAGCCGCTTACCCCGAATATGTTGCGTGCTTTGAGGCTAGTCCATGGGCATTCTTTTCCGGCGAGCCACCTGCTGGCCAGCTTCGTTTTGCACTCCCAGAGGTCGCGAACTTCACTGCTTCCTTGCTCACCAACATCGCAAAGACCCTCCCTTCGCATTATTTCAGCACCGGCGGCGATGAAATCAACAAGAACTGTTACACCAATGACCATCCCACGCAGCAGCAGCTTAAGAGGACTGGCATGACGCTGAACGGTGCTCTTGACACGTTCACACAGATCACTCATGGTGCACTGATTGCCCAGGGAAAGACGCCTGTCGTATGGGAAGGTATACTCTGCCCTTTCTTTGAATGACAGTATCAAATGAAGACGGTTGGTCATTCAGAAATGGCCCTCGACTGGAATGTTACACTCTCAAACGAGACTATTGTGATGTAAGTATGACAATATCATGATCTGACTCCGCTGATTCATCTGTATTGAAAGGGTTTGGATTTCTTCTGCAGATGCTGCAGCATTGGTAGAAAAGGGTTTCAGGATCATCCAAGCACCATCAGATTACTTCTACCTGGTCAGTTGACGAGTTTTTTTCTACAGAACACGATGTCCTTATTATCCTAGGATACTGGTGCTGGTGAGTGGCTGGGAGACAACCCAACTGGGTTAGTCTTTATATCGTCGAATGTACTCGATCTGAACTGGCATCCCCTGGGAGAACAGAAGTAGCGGCCCCTTCAGGACCTGGTCCGAGGTAAGTATGAATGTCGAAGATGGCCACGCATCTCACAATGTTTTGTTAGGCATATACCTTTGATCCATTGGCAAACTTGACTGAGGCGCAGTACGAACTTGTTTTCGGAGGTAAACACGATCTAGCCTCGAGGTTAAATCGATCTTTCTGAGCAATCTGCAGGCGAGCAAATTCTATGGAGTGAACAGTCTGGTCCCCAAAATGTCGACCCAATCGTGTGGCCACGCGCTGCATCATCAGCAGAAATTTTCTGGAGTGGGAAGCAGCCCACTGGCGCTGCACTCAACGTCGCCGAGGCACTTCCTCGTTTGCATGTAAGTAGTGTTTCTTGATGTGGAAGTACTTGATGATATATGAACGATACAGGACGTCAGGTACAGGATGGTACAGCGCGGCATCAATGCCATCCCACTCCAGCCGCAGTGGTGTGCGTTTCGACCGGACGCATGCGATATGAACGCTTGAATCAGAACTTGATCCGAACTGGCCTGCGCTGTTGCTTACAAGATGTGACAGCTCTCGTTCACCACAAACTGACTTATAGTGAGAAATTTGTGCCTCGGCTTTGCAAGAAGTCCCGCGGCGAAATGGAAGTTGACGAAATGTTCGAGTTATGGATGCACTAAACAATGATTAATGATTCAAATATTCATGAAGTATCCACATAAATTGTATCCACACTACGTGTATATATATAGCGCTCCCACATCGATATCTTGACTGCAATTCTGAAAATAGCAGGTAACAGCACGGGCGGTCCCACGCAGGCAATGTTTTTAGATTTACATAAAACCAAGATTTGAGTCCTGACTCTACCGTACCAGTGATGCATCAGGCTTTACTTGTTCCCGATATCCTCCTGGAGATATTCGCCTATGTGAACACAATACCATCTACTCAAACAACATCAACCCAGAAATTGCTTGCAGCGCTTGCAAGGACATGCAAAATCTTCTATGAGCCTGCGATGGATTTGCTGTGGACTGAAATCCATGGGTTAGAACCACTGCTAGGCTGTGTAGCGGGGTTACATCCACTGATATATCATAGGGGTACAAGAGTCGGTGCACGACTTCATTACGCTTTGTTCGTTTCTTTGCGGCTGACCGAGTGTCTACATAACAGCGGGACGAGCGTGTTTACTGGGCAAAAGGCATCGAGCCATTATCTGCCCATGAGGCCCGTCAATTTCTGCGTCACTCCTCCCGTATACGCATATTGAACATAAAAAATGCCCATCCCGACCTTCTCTCTATCATTCCCGCCGAGGCATGCGTATTTCCGATGCTGAGGTCGTTAAGTCTTTCCAGCGCATTTTTGGACCTCTTTCTGCCTCACACGCTGCGCCGATGTCATCTGTTGACCGTTGACGAGGGTCTGCAATCTTTTGTGACACGTTGCATTGCTTTGGAGCATTTGTACATCCACACTGACCCACGACTCGAAGATGGCAGCACAGATCAGCTATCCAATAGGATTCGTTGGTGCACGCGGCTTGTAACTCTGTCTTGTCCAACGCTCAACTTGGCAGCATGGAAGCGCCTCTCCTGCCTCCCTACTCTTCTCAATTTGGAAATTGATTATGTCTCTCCTTTGCTGTCAAAACAAGATATCGTGAATTTATCATTCCTTAATATCACGAGCCTTTCCTTTCGACGGTCGTACAATGGTGCAGACATCATTACAGTCATACAACACTCGCAATTTCCCTCACTGAAAGAGTTCAAGCTTGATGCCAAGTATCTGACTTCAGAAGCGGCCGAGCGACTCTTTAATGCTCTGTCCCACTGCAATGCGTGTGATACTCTAGAAAAAATCTCCATTTGTGTATTTAACTCTAAACGTCTACCGGAACCCCGAGACGAGGAGTTTTTGACACCAATTCCACATTTCCTTTGCTTCACACAGCTTCGAACCCTGCAGCTCATGTGTCAGGATTCCCTCATCTACCTAGACAATGACATGCTCTTGCAAGCTCTGTCTAGTTGGCCACACATCCACACTCTGGCAATCAACTCCTTATACTATTTTTCTCCCTCCGAAGTCTCCCTCCATGGACTATTCACAGCGCTCAGTCTATGTCCACAATTGCATACTCTACGAGTTCCAATCAGTATTGCAACTATCGACGTCGATCCTGATGCTGAGCCAATACAACATACTTCCCTACGATCATTGACATTGGACACATCGAACTCTGAAATAGCGGATGCTGAAACTCTCGCTCTCGCTCGCATCATTTCCGCCTGGCTCCCTTGTGTCGACCGAGTTCAAAGTATGGATAGAAGTTGGGATGAAGTCAACGAGCATCTCAGATCTTTGACAGCGGCTACTGCGCCTGGAGCCTTCTAGAATAGTTAAGTAGGAATACCTCCACGCCCGGGAATGTTGTCACATACCTTTGAGTTCTTTCGTTCCTTCGTTGTAACTTGTCGTTGTCGTTGTCGTCGCCGTTGACTGTAGTCATAAATTGTATTACCTCAACATACTCAATCGCCAGCAAGAACTTACCGGTTCAGTGATTAGTATGATTTCCAACACGATTATTGGCGTGAGGTGGGGATCAATTCATCTTCTGGCAATCTATGACTGCGGCTTTCTTTGTCATATATACACATCTACTCTATCATTTCCAGTCACCCTCATGTTCCGTGGTCTGCCCTTCCGATCGAGTCTCTTGTCTATTGCTTGTGCACTGTATCTGCTGACATGCTATCGCAGTGCATCCGCCTTCTACCTTCCCATGGCCGTCTTAAATGCCCGGTCTCATACGGAGATCAGGTTGGCCAGCATCTGCCACATCCATGAACACGTTATGTATTTACAATTTGCAGGTCGTGAACTGTAGTGTCCTGGGCGATATATAGTCTGCATACTTTCCTGTGTTTCCGGACACTCATTGCATTCCAGCCTTTCTTGAATGTGAGCATGACGCAGACGTCCGAGTCCTTCCCTGCAAATTCTCGTGCCTAGTAGTTAAACAACGGAAGTTACAGCGACGCGAGGACAAAAATTGCAAGAGGGATGCTCAATTGTACAATAATATGGAGCTTGGACGCTGTGAAACTCGTCGTGGTTGGTCCCACGAAGTGTAGAAGAGACTCTTTCATACTTGGTTTTGGCGTCATGCCGTTGCTTACAACTTATACAAGATGTGTACAGCTCTCGTTCACCAAAAACTGACTTATATCGAGAAATTTATGCCTCTGCTCTGCGAGAAGTCACGCGGCGAAATGGAAGTTGACGAAATGTTCGAGTGGAATCCGTACCACGTGCATATGATAAATATCTTGACTGGAATTCCGAGAATAGCAGGTAACAACACCCGTCAATATTGGTCCCACGCAGGCAATTTACATAAAACCTAGTTTAACTTGTGAGTCCTGACTCTACCGCACCCCAGTGATGCATCAGGCTTTACTTGTTCCCGAAGTCCTCCTGGAGATATTCGCCTACGTGAACACAATACCATCTACTACTTGGCAAAAAACAGAGAGATTCGGTTATGTGAACACAATACCACCTACTCAAATAACATCGACGCTTGCAGCGCTTGCAAGGACATGCAAAATCTTCCACGAGCCTGTGATGGATCTGCTGTGGATTGAAATCCATGGCTTAGAACCACTGCTAGGCTGTGTAGCGAGGTTACATCCACTGATATATCGTAGGGGTACAAGGGTCAGTGCACGATTTCATTACGCTTTGTTCGTTTATTTTCGGCTGACCGAGCATCCACATAACAGTGGGATGATATTTTTTCCTGGGCGGAAGGCGTCGAGCCATTATCTGCCCATGAGGCCCGTCAATTTCTGCGTCACTTCTCCCGTATACGCACATTGAACATAGAAAGGACCCATCTCCAACTTATCTCTGTCATTCCCGCCAATGTATACGTATTTCCGAGGCTGAGGTCGTTAAGTCTTTCCATCGCATATTTGAATCACTTTCTGCCTCTCACGCTGCACCCACGTCATCTATTGAACATCGACAAGAGTCGGCAATCTTTTGTGACACGTTGCAGTGCTTTGGAGCATTTGTACATACACACTGACGGCTATTATGACATCGCAAGTCAGCTGTCCCTGCTATCCGATAGGATTCGTCGGTGCACGCGGCTTGTAACTCTGTCTTGTCCAATGCTCAACTGGGAAACATGGAAGCACCTCTCCTGCCTCCCTACTCTTCTCAAATTGGAAATCGATCAAGGGTATGATGACACTCCTTCACTATCAAAACGAGATATCGTGAATTTATCATTCCTTAACATCACGAGCCTTTCCTTTCGAGGGCTGGCCGATGCTGCAGAGATCATCACAGTCATACAACACTCGCAATTTCCCTCACTAAAAAAGTTCAAGCTTGCAGCCCTCTATCTGTATCCAGAAGAGGCCGAGCAACTCTTTCATGCTCTGTCCTGCTGCAAAGCGTGTCAGACTCTAGAAGAAATCACCATTTGTTCTCCTGATGAAGAGCATGGACCCTCAGACAGCGAGCCTTTGACACCAGTTCCACATTTGCTTTGCTTTACACAGCTTCGAACCCTGCAACTCTGGTTTTATAATCCCTGCATCTACCTGGACAATGGCATTCTCTTGCAAGCTATGTTTAGTTGGCCGCACATCCGCACTCTGGAAATCAACTACTTAGATGACTTAGATGATCATCATGCTTCTTCCGAAGTTTCCCTCCATGGATTATTCACAGCGCTCAGTCTATGTCCACAATTGCATACACTACAAATTCTAATCAATCTTGCAACTATCGACGTTGATCCTCATGCTGAGCCAATACAACATACCTCCCTACAAACATTGGAACTTTTGGATATATCCCAGTCTCAAATAGCAGATGCTGAAGCTCTCGCTCGCGTCATTTCCGCCTGGCTCCCTTGTGTCGACAAAGTCAACAGCATTGGTAGCACTTGGGATGAAGTCAACAAGCATCTCAAATCTTCGACAGCGGCTACTGCGCTGTACGTCGCGGAAACCTCCTAGAATGGCTAAGTATGGAATACCTTCACGTCTGGGAATGTTGTTACATACTTTTAGTTCTTTCGTTCCTTCGTTGTCGTTGTCGTTATCGTCGCCGTTGACTGTAGTTATAAACTGTATTACCTTACAACATACTTAATCGCCAGCAAGAAAGGCTCACCGGTTCACTGATTATTGGCTCAATTCATCTTCTGGCAGTGCTTTCTTCGTCATATATACATCTACTCTACCATTTCTAGTCACTCTCACGTTCCGTGGTTTGTCTATTGCCTGTGCGCTATATCCGCAGTGCATCCGCCTTCTAATACCTTTCCATGTCCCGGGCCCGTCTTAAATGCTCGGTCTCGTACGGAAACCAGGTCGGTCAGCAACTGCCACATCCGTGAATCAATACGCTATGTATTTGCAGGTCGTAAACTGTAGTGTCTTGAGCGATATATAGTTTGCATACTTTCCTGTGATTTTCCGGACACTCCTTGCAATCCAGCCTTTCTTGAACGTGAGTATGACGCAGACATCCTTCCCTGCAAATTCTTGTGCCTAGTTAAACAACGAAAGTTACAGCGACGCGATGACAAAAATTGCAAGTTGTAGAGGACGAGCATTTGGCGCAGGAGTATCGCTGTGCTTGGCCGGTCACTGTTCCTCAAATGAATGTTTGCTCTTATCTCAATCACTATTATCAAGCATCAAAGTGGACCGAGTCTCCTATCTGTGTTGTGGGTGCTCGCCATGAATGGGATTCCGTGGTTGTGACCTTCTCCGCTACCGATGCACCTATTTTCCATCTCGAGACCCTCCTTCTCCTTCTCACAGGCTGATTGATCCAGAAGCGCGTTATGCAAGGTTCGTCTGCCACGTTCCCTTTCGATTGCCCGATCATTAATGGCCTCAGTGCTTGAACGCGCACGTGTTGTTGATTGCAGCAGTGACCATGGACCGCCACGACATGAACGGAAGGGTAGGACACATTTCTGTCGCGACTTTAGGCTTCAGAATTCGGATGAAGCCACCATAGGAACCTCGTCTCAGCTCCCAGCTGTACTAATAAAAATCGCCAGTTCGAGAGCATTAGTAGCTACATACTTCTAATGCCGCAGGGTTTCAGGTCTTAGATTTTACGAGATTAGCCTAGGTGCATGAAGCACTCGAGAAGAAACGGACATGAAGCCAGAACTTGAGAAGATATCCCGACTTTCTTTTATTGATCATCGTAGAAGCTTCATGAAATACAGTCCATCCTCTATATGTTTTTATGAACGAAAGCAACAGATTGCTCGAGTAGTGGGCGCAAATCATCGGAGACTGCACGTACGTGATCAGAGGAGTCGGGGAGTGATGAGTGCCCTTTTACGTGACCACCCTTCTGACATACTTCGGCTCCTCAAAGCTCCCAGAAGCAAGGTACGTGCAGCTAGCGCTGCCGCGAATAACTGAAGCGAATTGAAGTGGAAATTTGAGACACTTCAGTAGACTTCGATGAGTCAACGAAGTTATTTGAAGTGCGCTTCGTGGCGCGCGACACAGAGAAGTAGGATAGGTTGACTCTAGCAGCTAAGCAAGTTCGTCGACTCCGAACTTCTCTGCTGCAATGAGCTCATCCGAGTTTATGGCATTCCTAGATACCGGTCAGTATCATAATAAGATAGGGCGTGAAATCCAGCCGGTCGTGCCAGTGCTTATAAGGAAACTTAAGTATCTGTAAAGCTTCGAGAACGGTTGATGCTAGAGGTCAGCACACCGATCTGTGCATGCCTCTTTGCTGGAGGAGAAAACTCATTCAGAAGGGGACAGGGTGAAGCCTGCGTGGAAAGGCCATCGTGATCCATTGTGATACAGAAAAGCAGCGAGAATATATATTCTTTTTGCAACGAAATATTATGTTCATTTGATGAATGGCTAAAAAACTCAAATAGTGCACGTACCTCCAAAAACGAACGATATCAGCTGTGCGTTTAGCCGTAGCATCAAGAAGCGCTGTATTTCTCGCTCGGCATCTGCAGCAGCTCGACATGCTACAGGGGGGTCATATACTAGACATATACATGCAGAGGTGGATAGAGGTTTCGCAAAGTCCTGAAAGAACCTTTGGTGTCACTAACGGTGAAACTGGTGGGCCATGACTGTGTAAAGTTCTTGGACCTGAGGTACAAGCGAGTACTAACGAAGTCAATCAAAATCTCACGTTTCGAAGTGAAGCGAATTTACCTCTTGAAGTCACTTCACTTCGGTAGCAACAAGTATTACCGATGTAGCGTAACATAAGCACGTAATGACAAGACCTCGAAAACCTTGTCAGCTGCAAATTCGCCTCTAACTTACCCGAGTAGTAGGAACAGCGACGGCAAAAACCTCTTGACCACGAACAGGACAACTTCCTGGCGCTCCCCAACGCCAACGATGATTCGCCTATACGAAAAATTCATTACCTATCTCTTTGCTTGTTCAGAAACCCGCCATCGGTATTCATGTAGCTCCTAAGTCAAGTTTCATCACTGCATACGGCGGCGTGCGCCCTTTAACGCACCAAACTCCACTTGTCCGTCACTTTTTTTGCCCTCGGCGACTGAGGGTGCGCTTTTGGCGCCGACAATGCCGGACACGCTGTCACCGAGTGATTCAGCATCGATGTTTCTGGCCTCAACCGTATCTCCCCCAGGTATGGAGGATTGTGCTGCTCGTATCGTATCAGCATTATTACCGCCAGGTATTGTGAAACATGAGCATGTGTCCCCGCCCTCATCAGCCCCAATCACTCTCGCACTCGTGAACAGCAGCGATGACTTGAACATGCCGCCCGTTCCGGGATTTTTCGTTGAAGTTGAAAAACATAGAAACATGCCTCCTTCATTTTTTTGCTTGGAGGCAGCACCAGGCTTCATGAGGTTGTAGTTGGCCTAGCGCCTGATACAGGAGGATGCAAGTTGGAAGTCAGGTGTGGTAGCCTGGTCACGGCGGCGGGAGACTGCAGGTCGGGCATGGTGGGCAAGAGTAGACGCGCAATGGGCGCGATGGCACGATGCTTAACCTTATACACGAGCAGAAAATACCTTACCGAGCGGTGCTGAAGGTCTTGACCTGTCACGGTACTACTATGATGTAACTGCCTCGTTTTCGGGAGCTTGGGGGAGCCGAAGTACTTCGGAAAGGTGACAGGGCACCTAGTACCACGACTCGTCGGGGACTGCCTTCAAGGCGCCATTACGGCAATAAAGCGTTCCGAGAGATAACCCTATGGAAATCAATTAATTACATAAATTAAATTCTAATTCTAAATTTGGACTTAAAAACTGCGCAATCTCCGCTTTAAAGGGTCTCATCACCGTGTGCAACAGCGACCAGACGTAATTTCTTCCATTCTTCGATTTTCATATTAGCTTGAATTTGTACAGGCATAATCTGGCACGATGTCGCAGTGGGGCCAGCCGGGATTTCAGTATCCCATGTCCACAGGCTATCCAGGTCAACAGCAGCAACAGTTTCAGCCTGGCCAGAATCCTCAATTTCAGCAACAACCCAGTTTCCAGCCTGGAGGAATAGCTAGTGGTGGTTTTCAGCCTGGTGGAATTGCTCCACAGCCTACTGGGTTTCCAGGCGTACAACTGCAACAGCCTTACCAGCAGCCTCAACAGACAGGCTACCTGGGCCCGGGTCCCTCTAGACTGGGTGTCTTGCAAGCCCAGCCTACGGGTTTTCCAGGTGGGAGTAGCTTTGCGCAGCAGGCTCGTCCACAGCCTCCGCCTGTTCCGCCCATTCCAAGCCAATTCCAGCAGCCGCCTCAGTTACACCAACAGCCTGGGTTCGCAAATCCACAGCGTTTCGGAGGTCCGTCTTCAGGATTCGGTGGAAACCCAGGTCTTGTACCCCAGCCAACCGGGTTTGCGGGTCGTACTCCTGCGCCCTTGATACCCCAAGTAACTGGCTTTGTAGATCCACGGTTGCAAATGATGTCTAGCTCGTTCTTACCTGCCAATATATCTGCACCATATGGTGCAGGAGGAATTCCCCAGCTTGCTGCCCCTCCCCAGCAGCAGTTGGGTGGTCTATCTTTGCAGCAGTCCTTCCAGCAACATAATCAGGCACGAGGCATAGGGTCTGCACCCAAGATCCCATGGACGCTCTCCAAAGCCGAAAAGAAGCAATATGACCAGATCTTCAGATCCTGGGACGCCCAAGCACTGGTTTCAATCAGCGGTCAGACCGCACTCGAGGTCTTTGGCCAGAGTGGAATCGAAAGAACGAACTGGCTCGCATCTGGTGATTATCAAATTTTTTCTTATTGTGCATCAAGTCTCTAATGTCTATGCAGGACCCTTGCTGACGCTGATAACCGCGGCAAGCTCACCTTGCTGAATTCCATGTCGCAATGGGCCTGATCTACCGCAGTATGTCCTTGCATTTCCTCTCTACTTTACACCACTGACGCAACACCAGAACTTAATGGCATGACATACCCGACGAACTCCCACCCGAACTTATCCCTCCTTCCTCTCGAGATCTTGATACTTCTGTTAATTTTCTCAAGGACATTCTCAAGAATGATACACGCGCCCGCTCTCCATTGGGTCTCGACACTCCTGTCTCGCGTCTCAAAGAACGTTCATTCAATTCTACATCTGCACCAGGTGCTGGCGGGCGACAAGATTGCTACAGTCTACAAGCATACCGATGCAGAGCCCCCTGGCGGGTTCTACCAGCCCCGCAGCAGCACATCGATCGCAGCACTGTGCGCTCGCGTAATGAAGACAACAGCCCTGCCGCAGATATGTCTGATATAAAGCGTCAACTTGCCAACACGCAAAAGATGCTCGATGCAAGCGCAGTAGCAGATGCGGGCGATGACGAACTCGATCGTGAGATGGGCGATCTGCGGTACCGTATCAAGCGTCTGCAAGAAGATCTGGACTACGTCTCCCGCGGTCCGAGGAGCGCGAGCAAAGAGGAGGAACGTAGGAGGTTGGAGAGAGAGCTTGTGCAGCTCATGCACGAGCGCGTACCTGAGCTCGAGCGCAAGATCGAGGACCGCCAGGCGAGGAAAGAGAGGGAGAATCGCGAGTATGCCAGAGAGCGTGATAGGAGGAACGAGAGATCTGGTCGGTTTGACGATACAGATGGCGGGCATTCGCCTTCCTTGGGTTATCGAGATGATGACCGTGATAGACCTTATTCTCGCAGTGCATCGAGGTACGATAGGGATGACAGAGACTACGACAGGGATAGGTCGTACCGTGACCGCCATGGTGACCGCGATGTGTCGACAACAACGCGTACTTCCGCCGCCACCGCCTGCTGCTCCAGCAAACAACATATCGCAACCACCACCAGCCCCTAGCCGCTCGCCTGCTTCAGGAATGAAAAACATGACACCCGAAGAGCGCAAAGCATTTGTCCAAGTCCAAGCCAAGAACGTCTTGAAGAGCGTATGCAAGCTCTAGGTCTTTCTACGCCATCGTCGACTGTATCACCTACCTTGGGTCTCACCGTTGAAGACAGACTCGCCCAGGAGAAGAAGGAAGCGGAAGAGAAAGCCAAGGAAGCTGAGAGACAGGCTGAAGAGCGCGAGAGACTTAGGAGAGAACGACTTGAAGCGAGAAGGCTCTTAGGGAAGGCAAGGCGGCTCCTCAGCTTACGCCTACCGCGCCAACACCTACTACTACCCGCCCCACCTCCTGCCCCTGCACCCAAGATTGCGTCACCAGCTCAGAAGCCCCGTGCACCAGCACCACCCCCACCAAGGAAGGGCTTTGCTCTTCGCCCATCTGCAACTTTATCTTCTTTGCCCTCGCCTGTTCCTGCTCCCCAGCTCCAGCACCAACACCTATGTATAATGTAATTCCCACACCAGCTCCCGTAGCACCTGCTCTTTCACCAGTACCTGCTGTACCCAAGAAGACCCAGAGGATGCAGACTTCAAAGCCCGCGAGGCAGCACTTCGCCAGAAACGAGAAGACCACGCTGCCCTCCTCCGCAAGCTTGAGGAAGAAGAGGAGAGGCGCGTCGCGCTGATGAATTATACCTGGCACGCCGAAAGCAGTTCTTGGCTAGTAAATCTGCCGTGTCCCCCATCACGCCTGCTACACCTACGTCTCCTGTCCCCCCCGCCGCAGCTTGCTTTCGTTCCTGCTCCGCCGCTGCCACCACCGCCTGCTCCTCCAGCAGAGCCCAAGTCTGGGCCCGAGGAAGTGGCGCCTACTATTACTACTCCTCCCACCACCACCACCGCCCGCACCGCCTGTAAATAAGTCGAGTACCCATCCCTTCAGTCGAATGATGAAGGAGGGGGGGATCTACTGTTTCAACCCCTGCAGCAAGCAACGGTGGCAGCAACCCCTTCTTTCTCAACAATTCTGCACCTCCACCTACTACACCCGCTCCCCCAAAAAGTCCTGGACCTTCGAGCAAAACGACCTACAACACGGCTGGAGGTGATAGCGAAGATGACTGGGATAACTTAATGGAAACGAAGAGAATGATAGTAGTGATGAGGAGTTGGGTTCAAGGGACACGCGTATGGTTTGGCGCAGCAGCTGTTTGGGACCTTGTTGCCTACAAGGCCGCAATCTGCTGGACCTGAGAAGTCTCGAAGTCCTGCACCTCTGCTGCCAGCTTCTGCACCTTCTGCACCTCCGCCACCACCCGCACCCGCTGCGCCCTCTCCACCATCTGCACCCCCACCACCATCAGTCAATATCGCACCCCCAGCTCCAACCGGTGATCGCAGTGCCCTCTTGGACGCTATCCAAGGAGGAGCAAAATTGAGGAAGGCTGTTACTCATGACCGTAGTGCTGCAGCAACCTCTGGCAAAGTCATCGGCGATGTTACTCCTCCCGTTCATATCAATGCTGCACCCCGTCCGGCGTCGCCTCCCGCTGCCATCGCCCCTGCAGCGTTTGTGCTTCCTTCACCCCAAGAATCCATCGCTGAGGCACCCCAGATGAGCAGAGGGTCAACTTCAGGACACAGTAAGAAGGAATCGGTTGACTGGTATACTGGTCTTGCTGCTGACCAAGGCACTGTGCATCACTTACCAACTACTATTGAGGAGGATGAGGAGCCGGCTGAGGAGATATCTGTGATGCCAGAGATTCAAGGGTCTGAGGCAACGATTGATATGATGGATGATGTTGATAGATCTACTGGTGAGCAGTCATGGGGTAGGGGGGGAATCCGAACTGATTATTTTTCAGAGTTCCGTGTGTGGTCGCTTTACCCGTATGAGGGACAGAGACCTGATGATCTTAGTATGATCGTTGTTGATCTGTACAACTGATTGCTGATTATTTTGTCAGGTTTTCTTGAGAACTTGATCATTACTGCTCATCCTTCCAAGACAGGAGGCGCCTGGTGGTATGGCACCGTCGTGAAGGATGGCAAATCTGGATTCTTCCCACAAACATATGTGCAGAAGGTGGAACCAGGTGCGTAAACCTCGATGTACCTTTCTTTCGATATGTTCATCACATATGTAGTGAAAGCAACTGCGTTGTACTCATACGCAGGGAAGAACGCAGATGAGCTTCCCTTTGCCGAAGGCGACGAACTCTCCATCATAGATAGAGGCGAAGCGGATTGGTGGAAAGCTGAACGAGACGGAATTGTCTTCATCGTGCCGGCTGATTACCTGGAGATAGTAGAGGGTTCGTGGATTTTGTCGCCTCCCCCTTGAGTTTTCCTCTTAACCTTGATCGCCGTTGGCAACTAGACTAAAATCTATTCTTTTGCTTTTCTTTTACATGTACAATTCGGAAATACCATTTTCGTTGTTAACAGCCGCCGGATCTCCACCCCTCCTGCGCGTGATCCCGCATGAGAAGCCGTCGACTAACATTGACAGCGCCGAACGTCCTGATATATCGGGAGCAGCAGCTGTCAGCGGATCACCTGATGAGGACGACCACGTTGACAGGTCTTCCGATGAGGGCGAGGACTATTTTTCGATGGACGAATCAGATGACGAATCAGATGGGTCTGAAGACGGGACTATTGAGGACGAACACGCTCGAGAACTTGAACGTCAACGAGTGTTGGAGGCGGCGGGTCTGATTGTAGATACGAGCTCGAGTGTGACAGCGCCGCCTAATCCCCCAGTACAGAAGCGCCGCCATCCACCCGTGACTCCTCAACGGGTTTCCATAGCACCAGTGGCTTCGAAAATTCTTCCGCCATTGCCGACTGTTGACTTGACAGATACTGAGCTCGATTCGACGTCTCATCTGGACGACGCTTTCGATCGGTACGAGGTTTTCAAGAAGACGAATGGGAACTTCAGCAATAGGATGTCTGTCTCATCCTTTGATACCTCTCCTTCGTCACCGCCGCGCTCGCCCGCTGTGTCTTTGGCGCCTAGTCTCACACATCGAGATTGGGAGAGTCGTACATCGCAGTTTTTGAGCTTTTTGGGGAGACATACAAATAGGTCGAGTACGCCGGAACAAGAAAAGAAAACGTTGGTCATATCTGGTCCTATCGTCAATACGCCTGCTGGTGGTGAGACTGGAGATGAGAGCCCTAGTTTTGGCACGGTGCGTGTCTTTTTTGCTATTACCGGGCGCCGTATTGAGGTGAGTAGTCATGGGCGAGCTTAGTGGACAAGTCGGCACTTGAGGGTATTCCTAAGATGGAGCGGCGACGACAAGAGGTGAGATTATGTTGTAGTGTGGTTGCTGTGTCTCACGATCTGCAGGCAATTTTTGAACTTATTTCTACCGAAGCAGATTACGTTCGCGACCTGCAGCTCATCGTTGAAGTATGGTTCAAAGTGCTATTAATATTGTGGTGTTCAGATTGCTCACGTTACTATGACAGTTGTTCTACTCCCGACTTATGGGCACGCTCGGAGAGAAGGCGACCACTGTTATATTTGCCAACATCGAAGACATACTACTCACTAATACTGTACCTTCTCAGTGCTCTCGCTTATTGGCTATGACTGACAGCTTTGTAGACATTCCTTTCTGTTCTCGAAGAACGTCAGAAAGACTGTCGGCTCTATATCGACCACATTGGCGATGTTCTGGAGACTCACATTCCTAACATGCACCTTTATCTGGTACATACTTCCTTAGTCTGCGCATCGTTGGTATTCACCGTTTTTAGTCGTACTGCGTGAACCAGCACAATGCTGCCAAGGTTCTTCAGTCCATGAGAGACAGTAATGCTGACCTTGCTACTCAACTTCAGGTATGCTACAAACGTTTTGTTAGGTGTTTACTGACCTTTCTCTCAGCGCCTGCGTGATGACCCTTCTGCTCGAAATCTTGATTTATCACATTATCTCCTCGTACCCAGTACGTTCATGCGGAGGCGTAATAGCCGTTAGTAACTGACTTTCTATTCCAGTGCAACGCCTCACCCGATACCCTCTCCTAATCCGCCAAATCCTTCAATATACGGATCACTCCTCGACGACTGATACCTCCATCCAAACCGTAACTAACGGACAGCCTCCAGCAGTCTCCATCCAGCTCCCAGGCGATGACGAGGAACGAAAAAACATCAGTACTGCTTTGAAAGCAGCACAGAAAATTCTAGAGCATGTGAACGAGACGATAAGGGAGCAAGAAGGGAGGGAAAGGCTGGGTGAGATTAGCAAGGATCTGTGGATTGGACAGGGGTGCGTATTTTCTTGCATATTTGCTCCTGATGGCGCTGAGTTGTCTTCTCAGTCACCTTGATCTAACTGCTCCAACACGCCACCTGGGACCGCGAAAGCTTCTGAAGGAAGGGATAATAAGCAAAGCAAAAAGCGGACGCAAACTTCGTCTGTTCCTATGCAGCGACATTCTCGTGCTGACTCATGAAGGAGGAAAGGGTTTATATCGTGTTGTGAGTGTTTTTATCGCCATTACCGGAATTTGAGTAGGTGCTGACGTGTGGGATAGCCCATACCTCTCAACGAGGTGCAAATAAAGGGGTCGAGAAACGAGCGAGGTTCGTAATATTTCTACCTATCACGACCTTGAGTTCACCGTGCCATAGAGGACTCTCTGCTTCGCCTGCACCTTACTTACCCGCGTGGTGGCGATACCATTGTTTTGCGAGCGATTTCAACCAAAGAAGCTCTATCGTGGAAGGATGCAATCGAGCGCGCTAGTCGAAGAGCCAAGGATGGAGAGCGACGGGCTGTAAAAGCTCTGCGTGCATCATCAAAGACGGACCTACAACTTTAATATCTACACACATTTATTAGACTTCTCTGCTATTGTTATGATCCCGTATTAACTGACATTCAGCTACCTATTCCTAGACAGCATCTTATCAATTCGATCTCATTGCTGTGACCACGGACGATCATGCGATGCATACGTACTTGAATTGTTCTGAAGTGATTCGGCAGCTCCGGCTTTCTGGTTGTGCAGCGACTCCCCATTTGGGATACCCTTAATACGCTACAGTACAGCAAATGAGCGCCCAGTCGTCTCTCAATGCTCAACCGCCACCATAGCGAGCCTATCTAGAGCAGAATGGATTCTTTAACGCTTTCCACTCTCCATTGCTTCATAGCTTGATCCTTTCGAGACCCAATGGGAGTTCTTCACACAAGCAGTAAGAAATTCAGAAGCCTGCTCGTGTTACTGGATCATTCTGCAGCAACTTCCTAGCCGTATCCTATGATGGCACATAGACAAGGAAGATGAGTTATAGATGTTCATACTGTCATATTTATTTTGCTAGACCACAACTGACCGAAATCAAGTTATACATCGCACGTAGGCAGCATCGCTGCGATCTTGTCCTTCCGCTGTCTAAGAAGATCGATCATGGTCTGTATGCCCTTCAACACGCCCTCATCAGGACCTGCCCCATCGATAAGTCGGGTATGTGCGAAGTCTATGAGAGAAAGGGAACACAAAAGAGCTTGGTGTTCCTCCTCTTCCTCTATCGCTTCGTCGGGTATAGACTCCAGAACAATTTGTCCGTTTTCATCTATCTCGACCTCTACTTCGTCGTCGTCGTCTTCTTCTTCTTCTTCACTCGTGGCGGTTCCGGAAGGCATGGAGAGTGTCTTCCATGCACGTTCCCAGTCTCCCTCGTACACTATGAGAATACTCCCACCTACCATGCGCATCTCAATGTTCGCTATGGTAGCTTTCAATTCTTCTAGGTCGGCTTGAAGTGTAGTGAGAACGCAGTGGAGGAGGATAGCAGGAAGACCAGATTGTGGCTTTGACACGTTTGAATCTGATGTCTCAGTAGAGTTCGGTGGTGTTGGATAAGGTGCAGATGAGACGGGAAAGAACATCTCAATAACGTCAGGAAGCTGTTCCTTCTTGATCGATCTGCCGTACGACTTGGGCGTCAAGATAGGTTCGGAAGAGTCATTGCCGTATACCTTCACCGATTTCAGCGTTTAATCTGAGTATTAAAACCATGAGCAGGTACCTGAAATCCTGTGAAGCGAACGCCCGTTTCTCCGCTAGTAGTATTATGAGCGACTTTAATCATGCGCGCTTGCTTTTCAGGAGGCGCATCTTGATCGTAGAGGACGGTCCCAAGTTTCACATCCAGAATACAAGGCTTCACAAAGCCGTACGCAACATTTTCAAGGACGAGGCGCTGTGCTGGACCAGATAAGAAAAAACGGGACGCGCTGACAGCAGAATCGGATTGACATATCTTTATCCTCTGGCACTATATTGCCATGTACGGGAACTATTTCCATATTTCCATCGCCAACTGCATTTAAATCTTTGAGTTGCCCCTCGAGCTTCAGCACGCCCAAAAACTTTGGGGTCCAATTTCTAAGCTTCAAGAGTTCTTCGTGATCGCCTGCTGCGGCGATTCGTTGATAAAATTCAATTTCACGAGGAAGGGCTGGTTTGATCAGAAGGGAATCGTCTTCTGATGTCTCAATGCCTGCATGGCCACCTACTTGAGCTGCTAGAGGGCGGGTGGCCGCTATCGTTGGCCGGGGCAGGAGCGGAGAATTAGACATGGACGTAGAGTAGCACGTGACCCAGCGTGTTTCATTTAATAATAACAAGGCATTTTACAAAGGCGCGTCAACTTTCAAGGTACACCGACGTCGATAGCCTTCAATCACTTTTTTTCAGTGCTTCCAACAATGAGCAGACGTGGAAATAATGTTCGGGGACCTACATCTGCATTGACTGAGTTTCTTCGGGTATGTTTCGGTCCCCCTAAAACATTTGCATCGCTTCAATAAAACTTTGTTAACAGGAGTCAGGTATTAATCCTACTACCATTGCTCGTCGAGTGGCTACCCAGAATCAGCCTGAGAGCCGGTCACAAGATCAATCTGTAGCTGGTCCGAGTAACTCTGGGGATAACGTGGAAGATGTTCCAGAAGAAGAGCAACCGGAGGAAAGTGCTCCACAGGCGTCGAATGGCCGACGTGGTCGAGGCAGGGTAAGTTGTTCATATGAAAGTCTTTCATCGTTGAATTGATTCTTTGGTTGAATAAGAACACTGGCTATGCCTCAGACGAGCTCGACGAGCCTGCGGAAGAATCTCCTGTTAAAAAACGGAAGGGTACAAAGGGCCGAGCGACGGCCACCGCAAAAACCAAGGCCAAGAAGAAAGCGAAAGACGATGGTGAATATGAAGGCTCCTCTGAGGACGAATACCGGGCAATGTCGAAGAATCTCTGGTCAGTGGGTGGAAACAGTAGTCCTAAACCTCCAGCTGGGAGCTTCGAAACCTGCGCGAGATGCGAAAAGCAGTTCACTGTGGTATGATTTCGTTTCACTCAGAATACTCATGACATAACATTGCGTGTAGACAAAGTATACTATGGCAGCCAATCCGCCTCCTGGCTATCTCTGCCACCATTGTGCCAAGGCTTCTGGTACCGACCCTTTCAAGAAGCCCGTAGTCCCTCGCAAACGCGTTAATGTCACGGAAAAACGGGATGTTATCAGTTATCAGGAACGCCGTTTTCCATCTCTTGCGGCAATATGCATCGAGGTGGGCCATTAATAACTTTTCATTGTCAAGACGACTGAACTTTCATGGCACAGCTTATCAGCCGCTACATTAACGATGTGGAAGCTTTGGGTGATATAGGTGCTGTGAACATGGATGAAATTGCGAAAGCTCTCTCTAAGAACCGTGGTCTGTGAGTGATGAGTATGGGATACTTCTCGGAGATTCTCACAGCAGAACGACAGCACTCCTGAGAATGCACATTTGTTCTATGATGTGCTCAACAAGAAGCTGAGGTTCTATGATGCAACTAGTATGTTTCACTATCCTTCTGCTCGTACCGGTTCACCCAAGCCTTTTTGTTCAGATTTGACTCCAGACGCATTGACAACCCTCGCTTCCCTCAACCCCAACTTGACTCACTTACATCTTGATTATTGTGGGCGTCTCACATCGCCCGTCCTTTTAGCTTTTTCCACTTCAATGCCGCAGTTGACTTCCCTGACACTCCTTGGCCCGTTCCTCGTACGGGCTGAAGCCTGGATCGAATTCCTCAAGGCTATGTCAGGCTTGGGAGTGTTCAAGATCACGCAAAGTCCAAGATTCGATTTAGAATGCATGCAGACACTCGCAGATAGCTGCAAAAATATCGGAGAGCTCTCATTGAGGGAAATTGGTTTGATGGACAACGAATTTGCAGATCCTTTATGCTCTCTACCGCCATTGAAAGTGCTAGATTTGGCGTTTCCAGGAATAGGCATAGATGAAGACGGTTGGATGAAGATCATAGAAAAGCACGGGAGCACTCTTGAAACACTTGATACCTCAAAGCATGAAGGATTCACTGACCATGTCCTCCAGGAGAGTGTCAGGAAATACTCCCGTATCTTGTTCGAATTAAAACTGGACGAGTGTCTTAGTCTCACTGATGGAGGCGTGGCGCAATTCTTTGGCAACTGGGCTTATCCCATATCCACTCTGAAAGACGAAGGCGACGATATGGATGTGGACGCTGACCCTGTCGAAGTCAGTCTCACTTCCCTCGAACCATTCACGCCAAATCCACCGTTGCGCGTACTGTCTCTTGCCCGAAATCAGGAGCTCTCAAGTGCGGCACTCGCAGCTGCCATCGTACATTCTGCGCAGTCACTCACGTGGTTGAATGTGAATGGACTACGCAGCGCTTCCTCTGAAGCACTTGCACAACTCAAGAGGGCGAAAGAACTGCGCTATCTAGATGCTGGGTGGTGTCGGGAGCTAGATGATTTTGTGATGAAAGATGTTGTCACAGTGTGCACGAAGTTGAACGAGATTAAGGTGTGGGGATGTAGTCGCGTAAGGGGTGTTGGTTGGGGTGTGAAGGTGAGCCAAGAAGCTTCGTTTACGTGTTTGCAAACTGATCTGACCTCACAGAGAGCCATAAAGGTTCATGGGATCGAACCCAGCGGGGGCATGTAAAAATATCGTGTGGTTACCTGGTGCCAGCATTGCATGTACATGCTTGAGATGGTGTAGTTATTTACAGGTTTTTCGGCCGCCTTTTTCTCGTTGAGCACACTGAAGCCTACTTTCATTACTGACAGACAAGCCAATGACCGTCTGATATTTTGATGTGGAGATTCGCAGGCAGTTCATGAGGCTCGTTTCAGAGTATTGATATATAATTTGGTAACAGATTAAAAACACGCGGCTTACTGTGGAGATTCGCTGCCATACCCTCGCACAGAAAGCGGCGCCAAGCCCATCAAGCATCTTGCTGCAAAGCACTCACAAATTTGACGGCATTTGAGCTATCTTTTCATTTCCGAGTTCGTCGGTTGCTCCTCGACATTTAACGTTCAACTTTGACGGTGAAAATGTGCATCTCAACCATCATGGGAGGGCTTGTGCATCCGAAGGTATGTGTTTTATCTCGATCTCTATGTACTTTCATAAAGCGCATCAACAGGAACCTCTATCCATTCTGCTTGCCCCACCAGACACTCAGGCCGCTGCGATCCCAGAGCACGTGGAACTGTACAATGACCCAGGACGCGTTCCTTCAAAGATTGATCCACCAGTTGGAGCACTATATGAAGATGAAGATCCTTGCCAGTGAGTAATCATCCCCATGGTGGGATCTCTCCCCCTCATCTCCACCATCTGATAGAGGGTCTGGACCCAAGCTCTGTGTGGCGTTCGTCGGAATGGGATCGCAACATCCAGCCATGGGTCGCCAGCTCGCGGAAAGATACCCTCCATTCCTAGCTTCCATCAAGGAAAACGATAGGATCCTAATGGAGGTATATGGCCAGCCATCATTACTGGACCGCACAGGCCTCTTCATTCCGGGCGCCGAGTGCTCACTGAACGCCAGTGGTACCTGGTCGTTAAATGATGTCATTCTATCGTTTGCATACGTACAAATCGCCCTGTGGGATCTCATTCGCAATTTGGGATTTAAAGCAAATTTCGTTATTGGCACAAGGTATTTAATCGCATCGATCAGAAGTTGAAAATGTTATTAAATGGGCGTTCAGTATAGGGGAGATAGTGATGGGTTACGCGGCAGGCCATTACGATAGATCAACCGCGATCGGGATTGCTGCAGCCTTCGCTACTACCATGTCTGAAGTCGAGGGAAATGGTGCCACCATATTTGTCGCCGTCAGCCCACGGCAAGCACGGAACATCATCGGTGACGTGCTGCTTCAAGCAGGGGCGACATCCGGCCTCTGGATTTCATCCTTTCATTCTCCACATGCCGTTGCCATCGCTGGCACCCATCCCCTTATAGACGCCTTATTCGCTTTCCTAAGCAACTCCAAGACCTTCTCAAATACATTTGCGCTGCGGCTCCCTCAGCTTGGGTGTGCATTCCACACACCATTGATGGAACCAATAGAGGGGCCGTTCAAGGCAGCACTGGAGAATCTAGACCTAGACCGAAAGTCGGATGGGGGAACACGTGAAGTGCGAGTGATGTCCACCATTGACGGTGCTTGGCTCAATAGGCCGCTTGATAGCGACTACTTCTGGGACAATGTTCTCCGCCCAACGAGATTTGGGGACATCGTGCAGAAGCTTGTTCATGACGAGGGCGATAATATCATTATCCTGGAGATCGCTGCTCACCCAGCAATGAAAACTTGCGTAGAACAATGCGGAGCTCGTTATGTCGGGCTAATCCGACGCCCTGCCACGGACTCCTTGATCGATGGATCAAATGAATGTATTCAGCTTCTTGAAGCGGTCCAGCATCTTTACGATGCTGGGTTCAGGAGCACACTCCCGCTAGGGGTGTTTGAACAAGCCCTTCGACTTCTTCGTACCGGTAAATAGGCTACATGATTCGTTGTAGACATGGTGACTCGACCTACCATATTTTGGCGATTGACGCTGATATAGCTGCTTCTTAGATGAAAGAGTTTAGGGGAGCGTGTTGTCCGAGTGTGTCGTCTACATTATAACGCAAACTCGCTAATACTGGGTATATTCACGCTCGGATCCAGCCATCTAATGTACATTTAAATTTTGGAATAAGAATATGCCTCTGGCTTTGCGTTGAACCTGTGTTGAACCAACCGCAATTCACTGGATCAAAGGTCGGTGAAAGGGCTCAGGTCTAGTATGGACATAGTATAAAGACAGTTATTCGGATAACTACCATGGCTACTACTTGTACCCGTGGGTTGCTTCAGACTCAATGTTAAAGCGGGATGTGGGGACAGTAACAGGAACTAGTGGGAAGGAACGAATAAGTGCACTGTTTAAGTTGTGACTTTTCCCTGGGTCGACTGGTACTGAACTCACGCTGCCAGAGTATCCTTGGAACTGGACTTGTCGGCAGCCGCTGATTGTGATCCAATGCAGATTGAGAGATATCCACTTGAGAAACACACGACATTAACTGAAGACGAAAGTGCCTCCCCGAGATCATCATTTGGTGTCCATACCTATGGGTGCTGGCGCACTGAACGCTGGACGCGTAGCCTGAGGGGGCAGGTAGTACGAGGTACAGCTATAGAGTACATTGTAGACTCGTAACCAGTCTTGACTACGTCTTTGAAATGTTGAAAGCTTTGCTATGCGTCTACGCCACGCTGGTCGGGAGCTCAAGTACGACCTGGTTGTAATTGCACGTTAACGAATTACTCAGGGGCTATATCCGCTAGGCATATATGTCATTCATCAGTCCGAGCAGGTAATAGATGACTTTTTCTTTCCTTCTCGATATCAATTAGAGTATCGATCCTCATAATCTGACATAATAATCGCCTCCAGGGCACCGAGTTCGCGCACCGCCATGACATTCTGTTAAAAAGTTAGCTGAAGCACACAGCACAACGTGAATCAAATGAGATGAGTGTGGTATTGCTTGAAAGAAGTCGCACAAAAACAACAGAAAGCAAATAATCAAAGAACCAAAAAAACGTGCACACTCACATCTACCAATTCGTTGGGCACAGCATTCAGCGCCAACTGGCTCCACCGTGCCAGTCCAGGCAAAAGGCCTGCCAACCGTATCTTTATCTCCTCCTTCGTTTCCTCTTCCACAGTCAAATCAATCGGATTGGTCGCTGACAGCCCATCTGGGAAGTTGGTCGAGTTCGAGTCTACGAACACCTTCGCCCGCAGTCCGTCGACTAGCACTATCGTGGCGCGGTCGAGCGCAGCGCTGAGGGCATAAGCAAAATCTGGGCCGGACAGATATGCTCTGGTCTGTGAGAGGAGGGAGGAGAATATTGGATCATTGAACTCGGCGCGAGGTTGCGAGGTCGGGGGTGGGGGCGTTGTATTTGGGGCAGGTCGGCTGGAGGATGGCGATGGGGAAGAGGAGGGAACAGATGAGGGAGGAGTTGGAAAGATACCTGCACGAGGGGTGGGACCGGCAATCGGTGGAGAGTCATTGCTGTCGCGTAACGATGAAATGGAAGAACCAGGGAGGGGTAAAATTTTAGAGGGGACTTGGGAGAGAGCACCACCTTGTGCAAGTACGTGGGCTGTTGTTTCTGGAGTCGGTGGAAGGAGAGAGCCAAGAAAGCTAAGTGGTAGAGTGAGTCAATGAACCCGGCCGTGAAGCAGCGAGAGGGACTCTACTCACCGGCCAGGTATGCTTGCTCTATCGTCACCTGTACCGTCCCGCTCAACGCGTCGTCGAACATCAAGGATTAGTACGTGGAGCTCAGAAGGTGACAATTTTGTCTTGAGAGATACTCTGACATTAAAAAATTAGTAAAATACGCGTATACACCTACCTGAAGAAAGCACATACCCCTCAAAGACGGCTTCGACGCTACCTTTCACTCTTGCGGCTACATCCTTCCATCCAACGTGTAGTATCCACCAGCTAAGTGTCAAGAACCGCATCTCGGTATCGTCTGATACGCCTTCCACCTCTTCATCCCAGTCCTCTTGACCTGCAGACCATGCTGGCCATATCATCTCCACGTCAACAACACGAGATACAGCCTCACGGAAGATAAGACCAGAGAGTGTAGGTGCTGCCTCACGCATGCGTTCGGCGCGTTCAGCGGAAAGGACCGAGGCTATGTAGCGTTCACGTGCTAAAAGAGCCAGCTGTATGCTCGTGAGGAGGGACAGCAAAGTGGTCGTATAGAGTGTCGTCAGTGTACGTGTCAATGCTGATATATTGTGTGAGCAAATTGTAAGGGATACTAGATATGACAATGTACTTAATATTTTCACTTCCTTCCATAATTGTGCTTTCGTTCGGGTGCTACTCTCACTCATGGAGGAAACCATGGAAGCCTTTGGTTCCTAGTTTGCGCATAAATAGAGTTTTTCATATTCCGGATCCGAAGAGCTCACATGAAAAGGGGCACCAGGGTTGTAGCTCAGTGAGGAACTAGCGGTGGTAATTGAGTCAGATAGTTGACTACCAGCAGAAGCAAGAAACTCGTGAGGTTGCTGTAGCTGCTCACTCGCACTCCTGTGTGATGAAAAGCTCGAAAGGCGATCGACCCAACTGCCTGTTGAAGCTGCCATATTCGATGATGTTTCGCCATCAATGCCTGAATAGGACGACAATGACATAGACCCAGCATCCGAGCGCATATCTGAGGTGGAGCTAACTTCGGATTCGGAATGAGACTCTGGATGTTGAAAGCGAGATTGAGGACGGGACATGCGTGACAGAGATTGAAGCTCGTTGGTAAGTGACTCGACATCCATCTCCTCGAGGATTTGCTCAGCCAGTGTAGGGATAAGTGCCATAACAGTAAAACATGCATCATCATGAGTACTCTGAAAGCGTCTTCGAAGTCTAATAACAATGAATGAGCAGGTAAATCAGTAACCTTTGACAAAGTCAGCGAACATACGCCTCTCGAGCAGCTCTGCCTCTGACAACCTTTTCTTTGACCTCCTCCAGTCTCTCGTTAACATAGCAACTCACAGCATAGGCTCCACATAGAACAACCGATGTCCCAAATAGCCCACGACGCCGGTCGTACACGTATTTCCTTGCAGCGTCGAACATGAGGTCACAAAGAGGAAAGTTAATGGATGATGTAAGCATTGGGGTAGTGCTCGTGACCGAGTCTTTTGTTGCAAGCGCAATCATGATTCCAGTCTGACTTACTATCTCCGCAACATCGTATGGTTGGAGTCCAACATTTCCAACACCTTGCAGGCGCATAATATTGGCACTGAAGCTAACCTCAGATTGAACGGAAATTCATTATGGTGATGTTCATCGAACCTACGAGGCTTTTGATGTTCAAACTTCAAATCATACAACCGTGACAAGACCAATACGCCGTATGTACTTCAATGGCATATCATATTCAGTGTTCGAAATATTCCTCTATTACAAGTTCTCCATTACTCAAGCGGCAGGGAATTTTGTTCAGAAGTAACATTTCGGCTAATCAGCAACGAACTACTTTATATTGTACATCAACCACGCTGTGCATGCATCGCAAAATCAGGAACACGACTTACTGCTGTGTCTTGGGACTTAGATTTGATGTAAATGCTTGACATTTATGAATTAATCCTATCGAGGCCTGTGAGTGTTGGAGAAATTGTGCAAAGAAAATTATTCATACTCGCTCTTCTCAGGTTCTAGTGTCCCCATCAACAACATTTTTCTTGAGAGAAGCCCTGCAGTCAGGGGGTCCGCATATAAGATCGTCATCCGCGCTGACAGACAAAGATGCCATCAAAGCAGTAACAATAGCAAAGATAAAGAAACGCATTGTGATATATGGTATGGGGAGTAATAAATGCGAAGGGAAACATTGCTGGCTTTTATGTCCTGACACTAGCATTCTGGGCACGACTTCATGCAGTGGGTTTAGGCAGAACGTACTATCCGAAGAGACGTCACCCGCGTGCCAGCGGACCTCAAACCAACAGCTGTACGGTATTTGCGATCTGTCGTGCGCAAGAGCTCAAAATTCCCGTAGCATAGGATGCTGGACTTTTATACATGACCGCGATGCTACTGGCTCTCACTCTGACAGTGTTGTGAGCAGAACTTTGCAGAACCATGTTCTGCCAGTGTGGTAGGTGGCAGAATCAAGGATAGGAGGTCCAAGTATACTCATTAGACCACTAGATAGCGAGTCCGAGTCCTCGCATCGTGGTTCCGTGACCATTAAATTGTCTACCACTAGGCTGCCGGCACTAGTCCCTTGTCAGCACACGATGATTTCGCAAAGTCGAACGTCCTCTCTTATAATACTTCCGTCCCATACACATTCCAGTCCAAGGCAAATTACCATTTTCCATGCATTGATTTTTTTTCCCATTACGGATGTATTTTAGTCATTGGTAGAGAAGTCTGCTATTCCAGCCGGTTCTGCCAGACCGGTTTAGGCAGATGCGGCAGAATGTCAGACTACAGGGTATCACATTGAATGGTGTTCTAACTTTAACCTATCTAGAAAATATGCAAGAAAGACGATGGCGATAGGGGGAGCAAAAGGCCAGACTGCTCATTAACAACCTCAAAGCATATAACGGTTAACCTGTGCTGCAGGCCATTGTCGGGTGGAAAAGCTGATGGATTAGTAGGATGGTGGGAAGGCCTTTCATCAGCGCTGACGGCCTTTGAAAGCACTTGCAAACCACTCTTATCCATTGTTCTCCATTCCGCCGACGTCGAACGCCTCTTCTCGTATATCGGTAGTACTCGGTCTTCAGTCTATCAAGCGCTGCAATTTTTTGGTAGACACATTCGAAGCACTGGTAAAGATTCAAGCGAGTCTTTATTACCATAATAATAATCAGAAGGCCATGGCTAATGGAAAGCCAATTCGCCAATATTTCATGTGTTTGGTCCAACCCACGAAGCGTTTGATGTTCAAGCTCACAAGTCACAACAAGATCGATAATACTTATGTCGTAAGTACTTCGGTCACATATTATGTGTTCAAATCAAGATCATATATCGAGTGTTTGTTCTTCTAATGCTTCCATTGCTCAAGCGGCACTGAAAGCAAGCATCTCGGTCAAATGAGCTGCCTGAGTATCATGCATCAACCACATTGTACCAACGCGTTACCAGAGAAACGACTCACTGTCGCGACTTGCTACTCCGGCTTGATTTTATGACGCAATACACATGAATATAAATGATTCCTACAACGCCGGTGAGCCTTGAGGAATACTGAATGCGAGCTACTCATACTCACACTACTGGCGATGTATATCGGCTTACATGACTGACCAAGGCAACAATCTTGAGTGGTTGCGCAAAAAGTTGGGCATGCACTGACAAATGCAGACGCTGTCAAAGCAGCCACAACGGTGAAGACGAAGGAAAAATGCATGGTGCGATGTGACACAGGATCAATAAATGTGGGTGGGAACAGTAGGAAGACTACTGCTTTATAAGTGTCGCGTTCAGAACTTTATGACTCGGGTTTGGATAGAACCTATTATACAAATAGATGTGATTTGCATGCCAGCAGGCCTCAAATTTGACTAGCTCTGTCACCGATATCATGAGCGTAGGAATTTGCACGCTGCCGTGCTCTGAAGTTGAATCCTCTCACCATACATAGAGTCTTAAAACTCTCCAAGTCCAAATCGCAAACGGTATGGCCACCGCATCACCCAGCATAGTCTCGTCGATCATGATGTGATGATTGCTCACCTTAATGAATTCAGTCGTACGCCAGCTGGTGTTCACAAGGTCTGTCTCTAATTTAGTAAGACTATTGTTGTCTGTTGATATTTTCTTTTCGGTCGACACGTCTTTCGCGTTCCCTGAGAAACCGGTGGAAAATCTGGTACTCTATCGATAATCACACTGCAGAACAGTGAAGTCAAATTTTTTGGTGGTGATTTCGAATGTCAAACTGATTCCGATTGTCAATTTGGTAAGGGCTGCCGACGCACCTTCTTCATACACGGCACACAGCGTGCTACCACTACGATGTCAAATTGGCTAGAAGTGTGCGAAAAATGATTGTTAGCGAAATACCAACAAGGGCGGATAAGGATGATATAAACGAACAATTGTCCCAGTCGATAGGTTACACTGACCATACTGAAAGAGATTCAATCTTGCAGATGGTTGCATGATTATTAGAATTTCAGTACGAAGCAGTCATGTAATAACTGCACCGCTTATGATCTACTGTGAACATACTAACCCGTGGGGTTTCACCAAGTCGGCTGATGTGTTGATTATTGCGAGAGTTGCCAACAGATCCTCGTTCCTTGAGATGAACCTGCACTTGGATGTTTTTCCGTGCCTTTGGGTCTGTAAAAATATGTTTTAGGCTCAACGAAGGACGAGTTACCAGAGTGTACCAACATTCTCAAACTCTACAAGTATGATTTCTTCCCCTAACTCATCGAGTTGTTTTGCGATCGTGGACGCAGCAAGGATACAAAAGATAGAGGTACAACGAGGCTTCGGCAGAATGCAACTTGAAACAATGTGCCACCGTCCAATGGCAGCTTGTTATCGATGGTGTCGTGTAAATGGCACGCATTAGGGCATCTACGGCACTCAAACTCAAATATGAATCTGCGGGGCTCCAATTAAGGCAAGAGACCGAGGAAGCGCTCAGGCCTGAACGTTGAACGTTGAACTCCGAGGTACATCTCATTATCTTGTGAAATGGAAAGAATGTTCGAGATAACGATCGCACCCTTAAGTACGCTGTTTCCTTCGTAGACGTCTTCCCTCATTACGTGACGTGGGAGCCCTGCGTCGTTAAGAATGAGCAGGAACTAGGACGAAAATGCACCTAGCTTGATGTGCAGAAACTTTTCTCTGTCCTCAAACGCGGGAAATTGGTCCTGAAGGCCTGACCCACGACAGCATCGATTTCTGCCTGTGCACATTTCTGCATCTCGGGATAAAGCAGCATCGCTGAAAGAGCGTTAAGCATTAATGATGCTGTTTGTTCATGTTAATGATTGTTTAAAATTCACGTGAGGCAGGGCGCAAAAGATACCTTACGGTGTCGGCTCCGCACAGGTCCCCACTACATGTGTACACCATGAGGTAATATCTTCTTGTTTTGGCCCTTGGGCAGACTGTACACGCATCCTCTGGAAGAATCTGTTCTGAAACGAAGAAATGCGTATAACTGTCACTTTGTTGATCGGCGGCGACAATGGGTTAGGAACTGAACGGCATCTGGCAGCCCGAGCACGTACCGATTTTTAGGCAGCAGTGCAGTGTCAGTGCTACGGGTCCGAGAGGCACAGAACGACCTACATATCCTGCAGTAGTCCCGCACTAACTCCGCGTTAATTCATCCTAGGAAGATTTCGAGCACGCCCCTTCACCTCATACATTTCCTACCCTTGAAAATACTTGACACTATGAGCACATCGGCGCGCATCGCCTTTCCTACTCCTTTTAAAATCTCCATATTTATCTCTAGGGCTTTCCCTGCCCATTAATGGCTCGATCCTCCTCGGAGTAGCGGATGAAGTCAAGGATGCATTTTCGGCCACCAAGGTCACCTTGTAGCAAGCGGACGCTAGTACGCATCTTGTGCATAAGGAACCACTTCAACAAACATCTAGCGACTTTGTTGTACAAGAAGACAATCTAGGATCTTCCACATCGGGTCCGAACGATGTGCTCATCCATCTGATATGGGCGCTTGAATTCCTTTCCACAGCCTGCACAGACAGCCTTGATCTTCCCCTCATGCACCTCTTTGACGTGACGACGGAGATTATCCTTCTTGACGAGTGCCGAGCACCCGTACCAGGTGCATTTTATTTTGTCCTTTACTTGGATGGGGACAGACTCGGGCTCATAGACGGAATCCAATGCGCCACGGAGCGATAAATCTAGGGATACATTGTAAGTGTTTGACGAAAAGCTGTTGAATGATAGTGAATTGACCGTGGCGATGATCCTCACCCTCTAACGGCGATGCCATGACATGCGGGTCACAGAATGATGAACGGGCCTCAGGGTACATGCTGTACCGAGGCTGAGTTAGGGGATGTTGAACAATCGGCCCATAGTCGGCAGAAGTGCGAGCGCCGTGGGGCAATAAGGCTATACACAGTAAGTGTTTAAATGAAAATTTGGCCGCAAATACAGCAACTTACCTTGGGGGGGACTTGTACCCTCTGACAGCGATCCCGTGACCCCGAACGACGTTCCATGGGGTGCAATCTGTGGCACGAAGTAGCGGTCATGCGAAGGTCCAAACGGTGCAATGGGATTGAGGCTACTGATTTCAGCTTGGGAGTCGACGGTGATACCACGTCCACCCGAATTCTCCATTGTGACATCTGACTGGTAGTTGCCAAGGAGATTCGTCAAGACGCTGCGGATCTGCTGGATTTCCTCATGCACACGACGCTCTAAGCTGTCAAGGCGGTCGAGACGCTGGAGACATGACTCCAGGACTAGTCTCGTTGAATGTTGGTCAGGGGCCTGCCCTGGCCATGAGGACAATGGGTTTTGTAGTGTTGATGAAATTATGGTGCGCTCATGTCTTTTTCTACGATGTGTGCGTAAGTTATCCATCTGTAGACTCTAGGCGACAAGTAAAGCAGTGCAAATGCAGGAGAATTCTGTTGTCCTTTGCGAGAGTTGGGAAATTGAACACAAAATGAAACATCGCCCCGACACCTTTATATTACATGTCCATAACGCATCTGGCAGGCGTAATCTGGATTACTCCGAACAAGCGCTTCCAACTAGTCTAGTTGCCTCGTGTTATATGGAAATTAATTGGTTAGTCTTCCAAGAAATGAATGGTCGCTTGCCACCTTGAATCTTATCATGAATTCAGATCGTTTTCCCGCCATGCGCAGCCCGCTTCTAGGCGACGGTCAAAGATGTGGGTGAAACAACCGTGCGCTATGTCACTGGACGACTCCTTTGAGTTCAGCTATAGAAGTCGGCGTGACTGCTATTATGAACTTGCTGGTTGTCGGTATATGTCTAGCTACCGTGGTAGTTCCATTGGGACCGTCTCCATTGCAGCGACTTCCTACAGAAATTCTCAACCAAGACCTACATTGTGAGAAGAAGGCATCATTTAGGTTGGTACCCATATTTCTTGATATCAAAAGGGGCAGCCCTGTTCTTGCAAATATAGGGGGCACACAAGGATCCCGCATTCCATCAGCGCAATAACGCTAGATTCCACTGGCGCCAGCTGGTTCAACGTGCGGTCTTTACCGTACTGCCACCTGCCATAAAATTTACTTCCCCTTGGCACTTCAATTAACTTCGCTGGGCGCCTCTCATCACGATGTACAGCCAACTCTGCTTTGTAGTACGTACTTTGAATAAAAACGTTTTTATCCTCGCCGATACTTCCCTCGTCATGCATGTCATTAATTATGGTGTCTTTCCGGATCCCAACAGATGCATATTTGTACAGTGCCTCGAGCCGTGCTTTATTTTTGTATAGACTCATTCCCCGTCTTGAGAAGTATCATCATATATTAACAGATGCTGACGCCGGCACGTAATATCGGTTGAACGCCCGTACTGCCATTCCGCCGTTGCAACGATAGACGTAAGAAGGTTCACTAGGCATACTGCACTTTGCCTACACCTGGAAGATCCGGAATATGAATGCCATTTCGTGAGAGTGGAATTTAACTTCCTTTGATCCAATTCAAAAACGACGCAATTACGGGATTGGAGACCAGCAGAAGCTTTTACGATGGTTATGGGGTGCTGGCAGGACTTGACGCCAGGATGATCTGTCGTGCATCTACAAAGAGAAAAATAGCTGGTATTGAACCAAACGCATAGGTAATACAGCATACAAGAATGACATCGTGTTTGCAGTGCCAGTCTCCACTCCTCGGCCCCGAGTCCGAGTCCATCGAGTCATCTGTAAATATGTTCCGATGTTATGTTAGTACTAGTGCGTATTCTTAGTAGACTGGGTTAAAGGAGGAAATTGTATATGAATGCTAGTGCGCGGAGACTGAGGGGGGACAAACGAGCAGGAAGCATCAATCACCAATGGGCGTCGTACTGAAAGTAATATGTCAGGCAATCGCCGAAGCCACATACTAGAAGATGCGCCAAGAACCACCGTCCTTCTGACTCGGAGTTCCCGCCCAGGAGCGGGGCCAAATTTCTTTCCGTTTGAAGACAATGCCATGGCATACACTACAAGGCTGTCTCATGCTCACAGCAAGCAATCGTAAATTCAAATTGGGGTGATCTGGTTATCCGTGTTACGGTGGCGTGGAACGATGGCAGCGTAAGAGAGATTGTTATCATATGCCGATAGATGACGTGAAATAAAACGTTGTCTGCGCGAGGAGTACTCACTCGTTAATTAGGGCCTGACTCGGACATCTGGGGTTGACCCGGGTCATACCCGGGTGCTACGTAGCGCTCGCCTAATTGTGCACTTTCAAGCACCGACAGTATTGGACTCATCCCATCCCAGGTATGGGCATTCCTTCATCAAAAGTTTGCCAACTGCTTCGCAATCTTCCGAGTTAGGGCTCCGTGAAAAACTACCCACGGAGTTAACGACGAGTTTTTAACTCACCCCCACCCTCGAGGGGTTTTTGACCAGTTTTTGACGGACTCAAAAAATGCGTTTTTTCAGGTCATTTTGACATTTTTTCACGACGGTAATGCAAATGCCCACTGTACAGGCCCTCCCGGAGGCGTTGGAACTGTGCTATCCTGTAGTTGAGGTGTCCTGCTTGCCCCTTCCACCGGCTTCTCTGATAGTAAGTCCAACAATCGAGGAGCATCAAGATGAGCATCCTCGCTACCTAGTACCCACAAGTACTCTTGTATCACAAGACCTGCACATTGGATCACGCTCAATCTCTGGGTCCTCGCTCTCCTCCAACCAATTGTCCTCCGAGTCTGAATTAGAGTCCGCAGCCGTTAGGACGTCAACGACTGCAACAAGACCTGGCCCACGCTCTTGAAACTCGAACGGACACGGTGCCGACTCATCCTTCTGGCCTCTGGGTGCAAATGTGACCTCGAGCACATTATTCAGTGCGGCTTCGGTACTGCCATAGAGTTCGACCCTCTCCGGATCTGGAGCATAGTGCTCAAAATTATATTTGGAGTTTCCGAGGGGGATACTATGTGGAAGTTGTGCGAGTGCCGTTCGGAGGTGGCTCAACTGTGCGTTGTGTTGTTGCGCCCAATGTCCTCGAAGAAGCTCATCAAGGTAAATTTTTGTTGCAATCATTGAGCCGAACGCTCAATTGGGCGGTAGTTGACAGATCGTCGGTCATATCTTAACAATTTTTCGGTGATTTCGGATGTTCGGATGGAGAATTCGATAGGCTATGTTCCCGAGATCATATACATATATATTTTAGTTTTTGACACCCCAATATCAACCCCGAGTTATCGACTCGTTAAAAACACGTTAAAAACCTGTCAAAAATTCCAACGTCAAAAACTCGGTAGTTTTTCACGGAGCCCTATTCCGAGTCGCCTTCATTTCCGAGCCATCATACGGCCATCATTTACCTACCACTATTCTGCAGGCGCCGGTCTTTGCTGACCGTTCACGAATCATACGAGTTCCTGTTCGCGGACCGCCCTTATGCACATGGTCTTCCTCAGTTCGTGGGCTGATATAGGTTGAACTTGGGTACGTTTCATACGCTTCGGCCACCTCATTCACAACATCTCTTTTTGCTTGATGTCTGGTATAGTCTGCAGTCGGAGCCGCTGCCTTTCATCTTATCAACATTACAACATTACAACTCATCACCGTTAACGACATTCGCAGAACAATCAAGATGTCCACTTCCATAAGCGCCAATGCATGAACGCAACTACCATGGACAGTATCCGCATGGAGACCTTTCTATCCACCCGTACCTTCGACTAGAACTATCATGCAACCTTGCGACAGCTTATCGTGTTGCCCGCCCGTCCCAGCTACCCTTCAATACTTAACTGGTCACGCATTTCTGAGTGGCCATGAGCTCTCTGGCAGTCCCAACTTCTTCGACATTCTTCGACACGCTCTAGTCACACCACCGGGTCAAACTACTGGATAGCTGTCAAGTGCCAGTGCATACTTGTGTGTCCCTTCCGTCGATGCATCTGTCAAATCCAAAAATAGGTTCCGGATGACCTCGACAGGGTTACATCCATCTGATGTAGCAGGTGGGCTGAGCTCAAGAATCTGGTCTGATATGCTGACAGGCGTATGCAGAATCGATCACTCCTTGTTATTTATGCTGGCAGATTCGGGTATCATGCTCCTGCCGATGATTGTCTGGCGCTTGGGAGGAGGGGTAGGAGCAGGCGCGACTTGGATGTCGAGCAGCGCGAATTCCTAGAAAAACCTACAGAACCATTTTTGTATTTCTACTTCAATCCGATTCGTTTTCGCCTGTATGAATATTCATTCACAAAGCAGATTTACAAATCATCGTAACCAGGTCCGGCTTAGAACGCAAATATCTAACCCACTCCTCACTCGCCCCTGCCCATCATCACTTATCAAGCTCGAGTTTGAAATCCGAACGGTCGCCTTTTTCTACTCTAGCTTGTAGAGATTCGCATATGGTATACCAGTACTTGCTAGCGCTGACTCTGCGACAATGCTATCGGGTTGTTTTCAAGTTGGCGCAGTGAATGTAAATGCATGCCGAGCAATTAATTAATTATGGTTCAAACGTTTTGAACGTTCATGAAACCCAGATATCATGTCCAACACATGTATTAACACGGAGTCTCGGTCCCCGACTACCACGTCATCTGTGCAGGTCTGACTTGGTGCTGCCGAATGACTTGATTTTGATACTCCGTCCAAACACTTTCAAGTCGGCGGCTGGAGCCTCCTGGCGCTAAATGATTCATCTTTGCGCAAATCACATCCCTTCCTTAGCCATGTGCCTTTTGGAGTTGCGTATCACCGTGGATCAAAGACGGATCACGGATCGTCACCAGCAAACTTTAACCTGTCCCTCCATGTTGATTTACCTGTACGAGAAGCAATCATATCGAATCTCGTTTGTATCGGTGCGCATTGCCTAAGTTCCTGTGCTGATAAGAACTCCATACCTAGGTGCTCTCACTAATCTCGAGTAGATTTGTCAAAATCAAAGTGCACCGGGTGCAATTTGGGAATGCGCAATATGTACTAAGGCAAAATATCTAGGACTTTGTCCATTCGGCCCGACAGATATGGTCCCTCAACATATAAGGGCGCGCGAACTTCCTTCCACAGTCAACGCAGACAGCCTTGACCTTCCGCCGATGCACCTCATTCACATGACGAGTGAGGTTATCCTTCTTGATAGCTCTTGAGCATCCGGGCCAGATGCAATTTACTTTATGTTGGCTGCCCTGCGCAATGGGAAGACGTAAGTCGCGACTTGTTGAAGACTCGGACAAGGTCTTCCTATCGGAGTCCGTGTCATACTGAGACAGGAACCCGGGTACACCAAGCCCGTAGCTGATGACACCAGGGGTGCCATTGAGCAACACGTCTGGTCATACACGGTAAGCATTCTAAGGAAAGGTTGTACATATTGTGAACTTACCTTGGGGAATTGTACCGATGGAAAGACCCTCCGCCAGGGTAATAATACCAAACTCTAAAGGACCGTACTTTAGGTCTGAAAATTGGCCTTGGAATGCTAGTGGCTCTGCCGAGACGGAGAGCTCTGGTGGAGTCAACGACGGTGAAACGGCATTGAGTTCATCAAACGCAAGTGGCACGACGGTCTGAGGCTCACCACTGACGATTGCCTGGAAGTCCACGCTACTATCCAATGTGCCATCACCCTCCACTGTGGTGATTTCTGATTGACCGGTGACAAGCAGCTCTGTAATGCGGGTGCGGATTTCCAGAAATTCTTTGTAAACACAGTCCATCCTATCATGGACTCGGTCAAGACATTCGAGACACGATTGCAGGCTTGATCTCGTTCTCGTTAAATCTTGATCAGGGACATTCCCTAACCGTGATGACGACGTCAACTGGGGGGTTGGTAGTGACGATTCAGGCCTTGAATGTACGTCCATGGTAAGCTCATGCTCTGATCTCGAATCTACGAAGCGTAGAACGACTTCACCTTTGCAGATACATGCTCATTCTAAAACCTCGAGTTGCAGGTTTTCGATGGCACGGGAAGTTGTATGAATGTAAGAGAATGCAATATTGTTGCCTTTATATTTCCATCATTCTGCAAACTGAATTCTGATTATAGGACCATGGCAGTCGATGTAACCCAATCTCAATACTGCATTAATACTGCGCAGGGCTGACTCCTCTCAAGCCTAAAGCGGAATTTGTCGAGACCTTGACTGGTCACGTAACTAAATTTGCATTGTCCTCAATTCTGTCGCAAAGATCACGGTGGCAGTCTTGAGCTCAGGGTGGGCCCGCACAGCGAAAGACACGGGCACACAGAGAAAAGGAAATTGGATCGACTTCCGGTTGTAGTTATTATCATGGGTTCCGGCCATAACCTCATTGTCAAGGATCAATTCACACCAAATTCACGCTACTTTTTCATAATCATCCATGGCGCTCATAACGAGCCATGTGTCATCAAGTGAGAAACTAATATTGTATGTGATGTTTCTAGGCAAAAGGCATGTGATAGGGGCAAGAATTTCATGCATTTTGTTGTCCAGTGTGATCGGCCAGCGACCCTATGCTACGTGTATAAGGTTATTGTGTACGTAAAATTTCCTTCGAATGCTGGGTCGACATGTCAACATACGAACGTTTCAGATGTGCCGCAGGATGAAAAGAGAGTAGACTACCTACCCCAAACCTCGTAACCATCCTTGACAATTATAAGCGCGAAACGGTTGATTCCGCAGAACCAATTCGCGCCGTCCCCCTGTGAAGACTCAAGCTTACGGTACTCAGATCTCGCAACTGTGTGCATCTTCACTGGCGACGTCACACTACTGTATGTTGGGTTTAGAGTATCATAGTGACATATACAATGTTTGATACACATTCTGCTAAACTGTTCCGAGAAAACCGCTTGAAACTTCGGAGTGTACGGTACAGTCCGAATTACGTTAGCTTGCCAATTCAGATTCATGAACTTTAGCGCAACGTTTTCAGCGTTCAGAATTTGAAAAAAAAATCAGAATAACTTTTTACGCTGCATAGAATCAGAATGAGCTTACCAAGAATTCAAATTGAAACCCGCCCAGACCGTCTTCGTGGTTAGAGCAGAAGACTCGATGGCGCGGGTTTGCATCTGAGGAATAGATGACTGTACTCACGCAGGAATGTCCTATCTCGAATGATTCTCGGCATCCCACAGGTACCCTTGCTATTCCATCGTTTAGCAAATTCACTCAACCACCGACCCTATATCTTAACTCTAAGAGGAAAACAACACTTCACCAACATTCCAGGCAAACACCGTCCCTTTCTCGGTATCTAAATATTCTTATCCCCATCTTCCCGTCAGGGGAGACCATTGTGCTCAATTACGGTGTGCCATCTCCGTCTCGCCAATCTTACCCTATCTGGTCACCACTACTCAAATTCCATAATCGCGGGTCACCGAATGAAGAAGCGATGATCCGATGTTCGTCTGGCACTGGCACAGTGGCAGGGCGTTCGTTATTGCTGACAAACGTTAAACAGTGGCCCGCCCGCGTCGAGTGGGTAAATGAACAGTGTGGCCAAGACGATGCGACAAAGAGCACGAGCGTATCCTTCAGAGTGCATATACTGCGCAGCCCGAGACGAACGGGTCACAGCCAGGATAATGGACAGTGCCGTGACTACAGGCGTGTGAAAATTGCCATCGGCATCCAGGACCTCTCCAGATAAGTCGGGTAGTTAAGGAAGGACAAGGCCAAGTCGTAACTTGAAGATGGGGCCCTGATAGATAGCAAATTGTGTTGGCAGGTAAGAAGAAACCATAGATCCCGAAAGCTTTATCATAAGCCAAATCAGGAATGTACTGGCTGTCTCCCCGAACACGTGCTATCAATGTGTCAACCGGTGACATATTCCCAGCCGAGGTAGATCTATATGACATCACCCAACGATTCCCATTGATCTGCAAACTGAATTTTGATTATAAGACCATGGCAGATCAATACTGTACTAATGCTGCGTGCCACGCGCTGAGCTCTAAGCGGAACTTATCGAGCGTCGAGACCTTGATGTAAATTTATTTTTGTCGCAAAAATTACGGTGGCAGGAGTCAGCGCTCAGCGCTCAGGCCCAGGGGTAGGCCCGCACAGCGAAAAACACGGGCAGGAAATTCGATAGGTTTTCATATCATCCATGGCGCTCATAACGGGCCATATGTCACCAAGTTAGAAAGTACTAATATTAAGTGTGTGACGTTTCTAGGCAAATACATAATGATAGGGTGAAGGATTCCACGCGTTCCTTGTAATATGATTGAGATACAGTCGCCGGTTCATGCACATGACCATGGCCCGTCACCAGAACGGCCAGCCCTTCAAAAAGTCCAATCTCAATAACCGACCCTATGCTACGTGCATAATGTTGCACATAAAATTTTCCCGTGCATTCGTATGCGGGTCACTGGGTCGACATGTCAACATACGAACATTTCAAATGTGCTGCAGGATCAAAAGAGAGTAGACTACCATATCCCAAACCTTGTAACATGTATAACTTAAGCACGAAACGGTTGATTCCACGGAACCAATTCGCGTCCCACAATCTTGTGGGCAGTGGTCATCGGGGGCCATGTCAAGCCGACGTCGACCCTGCGCTTTCGTCCACAGAGGTGGCCTTGTAGCAAGCAAATACCAGCATCCCCTAGTCAATGCCTAGTAGAACGTATATTATTCATAAAGAACCACGCCAACAATTATTATAAGTACTTTTGGACATGAATATTATAATAGCACAACCATGACCAGCTAGCGACTTTGACGTACAAAATAACAATCCAAAAATTTCCACATCTAAGGATATGCTCGTTCATCTGATACTGGCGCTTGAACTCCTTTCCGCAGCCTGTACAAACAGCCTTAATCTTCCCCCCGTGCACCTTTTCGACATGGCAAGTGAGGCTATCCTTGTTGATGACTGCCGCGCACTCGTCCCAGGGGCATTCTACTTTGTCCATTGCTTTAGCCTGCACAACGAAGACGGACATCCATGAAGCCGCGAATCTCCTGGATTTCCTCGTGGACATGACGCTTTAACCTGTCAAGGCGGCCAAGGGACTGGTGACATGACTGCCGGATTCTCATTAAAAGTTGATCAGAGGCCTGTACTGATGAGAACAACGAGTCTTGTGATGATCGCATCATGGCGCACTGTCTATGATGCAGCGTAATCTATAGGCGAGTGCGAATGCAGGGAGAGTTACGAAATGGAACGGCTTTTATATTCGATTGCCCATGGCACGTCCGGCAGGCGGTTCCGGTTGTGCTCGTTCAATGAGCCGAGCTTAGCCAGGTCTTATGCGATGCAGCACGCACCTTGATCGCCGTATGTTAATCTCGAGTCACTTCCATTTCGACAGAAACAATAAGTCAATATGTACCTATATGTAGTGTGGGGGGCAAAACTACTTGAGGTCAGTTTTGCCGGCTATAACCGGCAAAGTGGCAAAACTGGTCGTGGTGGCAAGCAATAGTCACCGAACTTGGACGCAAAAGGAAGTTGAAGATCAGCGGCTCCATGATGCTCGTGTCGCTGATTTCGTAGCTGCGCGAGTAGAAGATGAGAACCACAATTTGCTGAAGACCATTTTGATCCAGGACTCAAAGTTAATGATGTTGCTTCCGGGCACGACCCACATGGTGACGATGATATGGAAGTGAATCCAGACCGTCTTGAGCCGCTAGACAACCTCTTCGAGACGCACAACGGATCCTCCCAATGTTCGAGGCCCAGATAACTTCAGCATAAACGAAGATGAAGAGATCTTTCAGCGACTTGCACGGTCCAATGTGCTGGAAGGTGACACAGCTATTCCTGATGACGATCCCGGCGCTGTTCCTGAGGATGGTGATGTGCCCTCCATGAGGACGAGGCTGCTGTCGCTATTGCTGGTAGCAATTCCAACTCGTGTTGGGAGCCCCATTAGTGGAAAATGGTATGTCTCCCCGAGAACGTGCTATCGATGCGTCAGCGAGTCATCCGGCCAGCACAGACACACCACTGAAATTTTGGGATTGCTGCCATAAGTCCACTTTCGTATGCATGACGGAATATATCGCAGACCTCGAGTGGAAAAAAAGTACTTAAATCCAGGTCTCTCAATCTTCCTCGGGAGGAATATCGGACGGAATCTTCACCCAACAGTTCTCTCGAGGATCACTGCGAAAGATTTTCATCGGACTTGAGTTGTTTTTGGGGTCAGCAAACGTCGGTCCCTTGTTAGTCTTCAGGTCTATCAGCTCTGTCCAATTTCCATGTGGACAAGACCAAAGAAGTTATTACGAGTGACATAATAGCACGGTGAGAGCACGACTTGAAGAAATCATAACCGAGCACTGCTTGCCCTAAAGTAGATTCAAGCTCTGCATTAATGATTATGCTTTATATCTTCTGCCTCCACCGACAGTCTCCAGCTGTGAAGCATTCACTTCATTCTCAAAAGTCCCCTCTGCTAAATCAATTTCGAAGAGTCCTGATCACTGAAAACATGCTATTCATACTCCCATATATCTAACAATCATGGTGCAGATCAAAACCCCATACATACATACTGTAACATCTAATGATTATCCAACCCTAGCCCTCGCATAAATGCAATGTCAATCTAAACATGAATGTCAGACGACGCATAACGATAGCAATGTGTGTTCAACAAAACTTATTTCTCGAGAGATGGTACGTGTCCTGATATACTGACGATGAGAAGACATCTAGGCTGTGATCCCAAGACTAGATAGTTCCTTGCGGATCTCAGCTTCACCCTCCATTTTTTTGAGCTGCGTCGCTTCCAGTCGCTCTCCGCGGTTCGCCTTCTCCTTGAGTTCATCAATGGCCTTCAGCTGTAAGTCAATGGCCATCAACACAATGCAACGACGACAACCAGAAAAGCAGA